GTCTTACAACCAAGAAGGGCATACGCATCATTGCAGGGCTAAGAATAACCCCAGAACCGTACGTTTTTTTTTTCCACCTTACGGTGCAATGGTGGGGCGAGACTCTGTTAGGCCCATGCGCGATATATCAACGACTAACCATCTCGGAAGGAATGACATCCGTTCCAGGGTAGAGCGTTCCAGGTTGAGATAACATTGAGTCGTATAATTATGATAGCAGCATAGAGTGACGCTGGACAAAAAGGGCCAGAAACTACTCGGACTGATGAGCGTGCTATCGGGAAGTTAGTGATAAGTATGAGGAAAAAGGCTGGACGTCGCTGATTTGCCTTGGCGAAACACCATGCTAGATGCATGATACAACGTTTGAACGTTTGAACGTCTGAACGTCAAAGTTATTTGTGGTAAACACGAAAAATCGCCAATTTGTGGGGCATGGGAATGAATGGCAAGATCGAGCCGGAGCTTGTATTGGTCGTTCCACAATCGACGGTTCAATTGGGGAGTTTGTGTGTTGAAAGACATCCGCCGATAATTGAAGAACAATGCTTTGAGGACCTGGAAAGAAACGGGCAATAAACCTGGGTTTTTTGAAATATTCCAGTTAGTGAGAAAGTTGACGTTGCACATCAATAACGTGAAAGAATGGGAGTATGAGTATGACGGACGGCGTTTGCAGCTGTGAGGACTATAAGCTGAAACTGGGAATTATCATCGCTGTAAACTGGTTTGTGAGAGAAATACACTTGTGTTTTAAAGAACCTGGTTAACTCATTACAGTTCAAGCAGTGTGACATTATGATTAATGGAACGTCAGTTTCGTTAATAGTGACTATATTCTGAAAGTCGAATAGTTCAAAAAGAACGGCGTAGTCAAGACGAGAAAGGTTAGTTTTTTGACTTGTTAAGTGGGGAAACAGCTCAAAATCTCACATGTGATTCGGCGGTGTTCAACTTAAGCTCTTTTTTTTTGTTGAGAATAGGTTTGCTGTTTGTGAAAGGAATTGAGCAACAGTAGGAGTCAATCCTGAGAACCTGCCACAAATGGAATGGAAATCAACAAGAAAAACTTTGACAAGCTGGTAACATTTCAAGATATCCGTCTTTGACTTGTTGAGCATTATATCGAGTCACGTGACTAAAAATTCAGTCCCGGTCAGTTTGGTCAACAACTACTTCGAATAGTGCCATTCAAATCTCCAAGGTGTGTCTCACGGACCACTAAGCAGTGCCCTCAAAGATTTCGCCATCGACTTCTTCACATGGTTCACTTACAAGCCCTTTCGATAACAACTCAACTGCTTTTTTCAAGCTTTTACGTTGATGAAATTAACTGCACGTCATAATCTATTTCATCGGGTGATTTCCTCCCATGGTGTTCACCGATCTGATCCTGTGCTAATTTTCAGCCCGAACGTTTTTGGCATCTCAAGTAAACACATCCTCATGACGATCAAACCATGTTACATTCTTGACTTGGCACAGTAAACAGGAAGGACGGATGCTTACCACCGGTTCCCAAAACGATAGAAACGGTTCACTCGCTGAGCTTCTTGTTTTTGTTGTGTCTTTTCCCATAAGAGCGGTGTGGGCTGTACTGCGTTTCCCAAAAAAAAGTCCCTATACGAGTAGATTTTTTCCCAAGTAACCGTTCTTCCAGCAACAGTCCAGGTTTTGCAGCAGTCGGCTCAATCGTATGATAGTCTTCAATTCCGATTCAACATCAACAACATAATCCAAGACATCGTGCTTTCAGTGGCCAAGCAAAAGGTTCACGATTTTTAGCCTGGAATGCGCCTCTTGCCATTAAATCGGTCCCGAGCATAGCAATTGCCTTCCTAGTTGACTCAAAATGTCCAGTTTCGTGAGCACAACACCGTAGGGCAAACACGCACACCTCTACGTATTTCAGATCTTGCGTCGTTCGTTTCTTGTTGAATCTACAATGCCTCAGTCTCTATACCGAAGACTACATCATCATGACATGGCACCGGCCATCTCCCCGATCATCTAGTCGCCCCTCTATTCACAAGTCAGCAATCAACTCGATACCGTAGAAGGCGACTGGAGGAAACACTTTTGGTCACGGGGCAGGGAGACAGTACTTGGTACTATCCATCCAGATCAGTCAGATAAGTCGAGTAACGGTGTCAGAGCACTCAAGGCACTGGAATCTTCAGGATATATCCTGATGTAAGTCACATTTGAATTCCAAATACTTTTTATAGTCTTGTGGCAATCTGTATCTTCTCTTGGAGCGATCAAGTGTTTGACAGGCGATGGTTTGAGGTACAAGCTAGCTCGGACTCAGATGAAATTGATTGAACAAGATGTTGTCTTATCAGAACCGAGTTTTTTTCTGAACAAGTTATTATAACCCCTAAGCTCCGGCACCAATCCTGGCCAGTAAAACTCATGAAATATTCCTATCAGTGGACCAATCCTAGTTACTCTTTATTTCGTGAAGAGGAGTTCTTTGGCGGTTGCGTACTGGTCGAAATACACACAAAACTTCAAAAAACGCCATTCTGTTACTGATGTTTTTCAACCGCGGGGTATGTGTAGGTGTTGTAATTCTGTATAACAATTACAAATGTTAATGTCAATGTTCTTTTAAAAAACATAAACATCAAAAATTCTCATATAATCAGCCATTCCCACTCAACATTACCTGCAACTGACGCTGGCGTTACACAACCTTTGAAGATCTTCTTTTCGAGGTTTTCAAATCGTTAAGTAACGTTAACTTTCGTAATTTCTTAATTTTAATAGTCTATGATGATTAAATGATGCTATACAAACATCGGGATATACAGATAATGCGGCTTTCTACCGATCAACTAAATGCCAAAAAATAGTCGTTGAATAATTGTAGTCATAAAATGTCACTTCATTTCAACACAATGCGCTTGCTTTTCCATCTCAGCGTTAAATGCTGATTTGGACCTCGTCTTTACTTTTAATTAAAAGTATCTCTTGTACCATGGCAAGTTCATGTCGTCGTTTTGCAACGCTTCAGCATGGTAGTCAGCACCTCTTCTGGAGGCAGGGACCCAGCCGGAAGATCTCCATGGCAAAACACCTTCTTGGTACATTTCGTTGACTTCTTCTAGAGTCAAACCCTTGGTCTCAGGAATGAAGAAGAACACGTAAAAGATCGAGAACACCATGCAGCCCATGAAAACGTAACCGTAGTAGAAGTTGATGGCAGAGGTGATGAATGGGGTGAAGAAGGAGATCAAGAAACCCCAAATCCAGTTAGAGGCGGAGGCAATGGACATAGCCTTACCCTTGACTCTCAAGGGGTATGTTTCGGAGATCAAAACGTAGGCAATAGGAGCCCAAGTGGTGGCGAAACAGAAGATGTAGAAACAGGCGAAGACAATCAAACAGTTACCAGCACCCTTGGAGGTGACATCAGTGTTTTTAGCACCTTCAGGATATAGTCTTGTGACACCGACAGAAGCGTAGACAACGTAACATGCCACCATACCAATGGCACCGTAGATCAAACAGTTACGACGTCCAAATTTGTCCACAGTGTACAGCGACAAAGAAGTACAGAAGAAGTTGACAACACCGAAAACGATAGCAGTTTCGAAAGAGTCAGTCATACCAATAGCCTTGAAAATAGTAGTACCGTAGTAGAAGAAGTAGTTGTCACCAGTCAACTGTTGTAGAGACATAATGACGATACCGTTGATGGTACGCTTCAACATTTGAGGCTTACCAGTGATCAATTCCATCCAGTGGGCTTCACCAGCCATTTTCTCGGCTTCGACGCTTGCTTCAATCTGTTCCAACTCAAGAGTCACGACAGCGTCCTCCATTTGAGCCTTGTTAACACGAGCCAAAGAGCGTCTAGCTTCTTCCAATCTACCGTATTCGACCAAGTAACGTGGGGATTCTGGCACAAAAGACATACCAGCAATCATGAAAAGAGCCCAGGCAAAACACAAACCTAGAGGAACTCTCCATTGGACAGAGTTGTCGTAGTTCTTGGTACCGAAGTTAGTGCAGTAACCCAAGAAAATACCACCGGTGACCATAAATTGATAACAAGACACCAGGGTACCTCTCAAGTGCTTTGGAGCAACCTCTGAGATAAGCATGGGCGACAAAATGGTGATAGCACCAACACCGAGACCAGAAATGATTCTGCCAATGAAGTACTGGTACCATTTGTCAATAGATGCGATTTGGATGATGATACCCACAGCGTAGATGACGACCACGGCACTTAGACCGAGACGACGTCCGTAAACTTCACCAAGCTTACCCAAAGCGATACCACCAATGGCACAACCAATGTTGAAGATAGAGACGATCAAACCAGTTCTAACGTTGGACAAATAATGTTCTCCATTGGATTTTTTCTGACCGAATCTGCGAATGAAATCCTTCTGTTGCACGAAACCAGAAATGGTACCGGTATCCCAGCCGAAAACGAAACCACCGAAGGCAACCATAACACAGCAGATCGATACAAAGACGAAATCTGCCGAACTTTTGCCGGCAAGCTGTTCTTCGGCGTCCTTTTTCAGTTCGTCGATTTCGTCGTGGGAGTCCACTCTGTTGGCCTTAGGCTCTGGAGCGTTCATCACGTTCGAGTTGTGCGATCCCTGGTCTTCAGAGACACTTTTGGAAGTGAAAATGTCCTGAGAAGGACCCACTTCAGGCGATGCACTGCTCATCGTAATTTAATAAAGATGTATTTGTTGTATAGATGGGCAAATTAAAGAGAGGTCAAGAAAGATTCAAAATTAATGGACCTGACTTAGCTTTAAAAGTAAAATTAACTTATTTCAAGTCAAACTTCACCTATACCAATCCCTGCTTAAACTAGCTTTACAACTATGGTGGATCTAGTTCAAGTACAAAACTTTTAAAAACAGTGGGGTTGATCAATCCGAGATTCCTCTCCACTTATATACAAATTTCTTGCTGGGGAGCGGATGAATGCGTGTGTGTGTGTCCCGCAGTTTTTTTTCGTCACCCAGCAAGCTCTAAGCAGGACGAAAACAACGTTGTCGTCGTTAGTACGGTCTGCGTCGGCTGCGGTGGCTTACTTACCCCGGTGCTTTTTTTCCAAATCGTTCGACATTTTTTGGTGAGCTTTTGCTGGCAACTACGGCTTGCAACCCCTGGTTGAGAGACTTGCTGTTTTCCCTACATTCCTTTTTCAGCGCATTATTTTGTCAGACCACTGGAAGCTTTTGGCTATTACTAGTGCCAATGGTGGAAGTGCTACTGGAGTATCTCTGCGCTGCGGTTGTGATGAATTCAAAAGAGAGTTTTGAATGTTTTGGCCAGTTGATAGTGAGTTAGTTGAATGTGTGTGGTGATTGCTTACTGAGCTTGCTAGGCTTGCTAGGCTTGCTGGGCGTGGCCTACTACGTATGGGCTTCCTATAGATTAGAGGACAACAAAAAAAAGTACGCACGTCATTGGGTCTCGGAACTTCTTTCGCGCGGGTGCTTCTGGGGGGAAGAGAGAAGTTTTTCCGAAGCCGGCACAGACGGCGCCGCGAGGACCCGCCGCGCCCGGTGGGCACCGGAAAAACTTTTTTCCGAGACGTCACATAGTCTTAGAGGCAAACAGCAAAAAGAAGCAAAACATAACATAACATAACATAACACACGCAGGAAAAGATAGAATGGAAGAAGAAGATTCTTGGGTTTCAGGCTTAAGCTCTAGACGCTGTTGAGAGAGAAGAGCCTGAAGGGAAAAAGAAAAAAAAAGAGAGTCGGAATTTAGAGCCTAAAGAATTCCAAACTGACTCTATTTTCCTTGTTTATCTGGGTGCTTGCACACACGGCTAAATTTTGTGTCTCTGTATGAAAAAACCCTGGGTCTGAGCATGTCATAGTTCTATTTCACTGTCGCGCGCGCCCATTGCTTTGCTTTGCGCAATTGTTCCGCAGCATTAATTGCAAATCTTACACATCAATTTGCCGGATTAATTGCTTTTGCACGTGACCAGCCACTGGTGCCTTTTCTTTCTTTTTCCTTCTTCTTTACCATTCTTCACGACGATTTCTAAGCACACACGTGTCATCTGCAGGGCCCAGTCCATAAAAAAAAACAAACTTGAGGGCACGCCCACGGAACAACTCGTGCGGGCATATACACCGGAACCGGAAAAACCTCAGTGTTATTGCAGTCTTTGAATTCTTCTTTTTTTTTCTGTTTCTCCGCCCACGGAAGATCCGCCCTCCAGTATGACGCGCGCGGGCACCGGATAAACTCAACAAAAAGGAAAGCAAAACCAAATCGCCAGAAATTAGTTATTCCGGAACCCGGTCACGGGATCCCACTCGTCATTTTATATTGGGTCATTGAAGACTAGGTGTATGGGTGCCACTAATTCTTGGTAATTTAATCCAGTCCTTGCTTCTTGCTGGCACAGTAATGGTTTTTCGTCAACTGCTGTCACTGACGTGGATTGCTTTTCCATTTGTTTTAAGAATCGAACTCCGGTGACATTTGACAATGAAATGGTCTGCCCGGGGCTGGGAAGCAATCCAAACTTTCGAGCTACTCTGGAGACTCGCGTGTTTATGGAATTTTAACCCTCTCGTGGGCTGTAGGTCTTTGCCATGATCCGTCTTGTGCTTTACTCCGGCTGCGACGACAGTGATGGAAGGAAACGATTAACAAAAATAACTTTTCACGGAAGCAAACCTGCGACACAGACGTCTCTAATGACGGTCACGCGGCTGCAAGCACGGTGTGACTGATGGGCCGGGTAACAAGAGTAATGGCACCTTAACAGGATCCGCTTAAAAGAAAAGAAATACCCGTTTAGAACCCGTTGTACATTTACCAGCAACCCGTTTAAAACCCGTTTAAAATCCGGAATTCCAAATACGGGTCAACCTGTTTAAAAGTACTGTCTCGGAACCATATCATCGCCACACGAGTGTACACATTTCTTATTACGAGCGTGCATTCTAGAGTTGTCGTCCCTAATCTTCCCCCAGATCTAATGCCCTCTCGATCATAAAGCATGCTCAAACCATCAACCGATCTCAATGCTACACATATCATTATTATTTATTGCAATTCCTGTTATTATAAAAAGTAGCCAAATGATGAACGCGACAACAAAAAAAGGTGTAACTCAGACCACCCGTCACCGAACTTAAATTTCACTGTAAGATTCTTCAGTCACCTCTTCAGCCTCGGAGATGAAAGTGATTTCAGACCACCCCATACCCTTGACCGCAGGCTCGTCGCCGACCGTAAGATTGAAATCGTTAGCATACTGATAGATGTATGGCTTGGTGCCAGCAACACCAGATACGATGTTCTTGACAAACGTAGGAATTTCTTTCATGACATCCACTCTTTCGACTAGTTGTTTGAGCGGACCCGAAGCCAAAGCGGTCACAGGAGAAGCCTTTTCAATGTCTTCTGCATGAGCAGATACACCGTTGAATTCAACCTTTAGACCTTGTGGAACGGGCCAACCCACAGAGTCAACTTGCGGATCGACGTGTGTCACTATGTTGTCGATGGTGACGCTGATGATGTCGTCTTTACTGCATAGTATACCGATCGAGACTTTGGTGTTGGCATACGACTTTGGTGTAGTGAACTCCATAAGCACTGCACTGTGAGTTTCCGACTGGAAATTGAGGAAATTCCAAGACTTGGCCGCGTGGTGAGGCTTCATGCCCTGTATGGCCATGACAAACATCGAATAAGCCGGTTGCTCTTGAGAGAAAACTATGTCTTTGTAGCTGGGTTTTTCAGAACCTATGCTCACGTCCACTTTTAGGGATCCGTGGCACATGTTTCTGGGCCAGAAAATGTGTCTCATAGTACCCCAAGGCTGCTCGACGTTGTCACCGTAGTAAGTGGTGGCATTATCGCCGACTTTCACACCTGGGACTGTCCGATCAAACGTCAGATCAATTGTAGTGTCTGGCGACACTGACGCCTTGAACGTAACCTGAGATCCTGCAGCGTCCATTTCGATGGCAAGATTGTCCGCGTAGAAATTTGGACCATCGATACGGAAGTTTTCCAATCTGGTCGAGGTCCATATATTGAACTCTGGTGTTTGGACATTGTACACTCTAAAGGTCAATTGTGCTGTCGTATGCAGACCCACAATGTTCGAGTGAATGACTTGGGCAAACCCGATGTAACCTTGTTTAAGGTCCGAAAAGTAGAATGTAGCGGTCTCCACGTTAGTGTGACTGGGACTTTGCCAGTGGAAATCCTCTCTGGTTGTTTGGTGGAAGGGTTGCTTACCTTCCACCGTTTCGGTCACTGGATGGATGAATTCTTTGCCGTATTCGGGCTCAGCGATCCCTGTAACGGCAGAAATACCACCTTGGATCCACTTAAGCATTAGAGGCGGTCTTTAAAGGTTACTTATTCACGATTGGATAAAGCTCGAGATCGATGATCTTAAAATGCTCGGTTTGAGACACTGAAAAATGCTAGAAAGTTCGTAGAAATCGCTGTGAAACGGCTTACAGTTCAAGAACTCTTATTGTAATCTCAATTAGCTCTAAATTCAGCACAAAACTATAGTTCGAAGATAAGTTTGTTTTTCAACAAGGAGTGAGATGAGCTAGCTTACCCACGTCTGTGTTGGTTGTATATTTTTCATTGTGTAGGGACTTCGTTTAGCGTTACATGGGGTGTTTTGCGAGTGAGTACGAGTACACGTGCAAATGGAAGTAAATGTCGTTTTTGACGAGATAAAAAGGCTGCTGAGTGTAGCGTGATGTGACTTAGTGTATATATTAGCAACAAATCTTTTTGATTTCATATTCATCCGCGATAGTTTAGTGGCTAGAATTCGGGCTTGTCGCGCCCGGGACCGGGGTTCAATTCCCCGTCGCGGAGTAATTTTTTTGAAATATTATTTTGTATGACAATTATTGCCAGCTCAAGAGTGAATCTCTGAACAGACTGAAGTGGTGTTGAAATACTAGCAGTAGTAGCGCTAGAAATTATTGCTTTAATGTAACCTCGTTAGCTTCGTTATCTTAATCAAAATGGGAGAATTCTTATAGATTTATCGTATTAATTTCGCTTTTGAATCTCAGCGACACAGTGTGAACTTGAGAGAATCAAGCAATCAATGTAGATACGAAAAATAGTATTTAGGTTCTATTAAAAGGGACTTTATATGGCAAGAAATTGTTTGAAAGAAGTGGAATATTCTCGCAATGCATGAATTGGTCGTTTTTTGTATTCAGAAAAACGTAACGACAATGATATGGCCCTCATAGTCGTAAATTTGCAAGCTCATCATCTCAATCCTGTATTGGTGACCTCAATTCTTAATTAACAATTTCCAATACATTGACCTCAGGTAAAGCCTGAAAACCCTTTTGCGAGGTAAAAGTACCATCTCAAGACATTCAAAAATACACGTCTGTCACACTCTAAGTTCCCTAAACCTTGTGCTCTTCAACATATCCAGAAACAATAGTCGACTTCTCTGTCGTTACCAAACTTCACCAAAAAGCGTCTGTTTCGTACGAAAGTGATCTCTTAATTGTCAAAAATTTTAAGAGTTGTCTATAATAATGATGAGGATGATCAAGTCAAGAAAAGTAGTTGTTTGAGCGACATCTGCGTCATGTTCGGGACCAAATTGACGTACAGAACCTTCTCCAGGTCCTACATTACACCCTCGCTGGAACACCTCAAAAAAGGTGCTGGTCTCAGTGGTATTTTCTCCGAGAAAGGTCTACAAACAGCATGGTTCGATAGAGCAGAACAGCATACCGAAAAACTCAATCAGTATCTCAGTCATAGCGAGGAAAAACCCCTGGAGACTATTGTTCACGGGTCCGCCAAATCTGCATCGAAACGTGATGTTTTCAATCAGGCATCCCAGCTTTATAACCTCAGGTTCGCTATGAGCTGTTTGCATGGAAATGATTTACCATCTATACAAAAACCAGGAGCCAGTTTTCTTCTGGAAACTCCAAAGCTGGAATTGAATTTCAAAAATGACCCAAGGGAAACGGGGAACGCCAGATTAAGTTCTGCACTCGCCTCATCGTTTGGATCTTTGGTTGAATTCAGATCTCTATTGCTCAATTCTAATAAAGCGATCTCCGGGGACGGTTATACTTGGCTTGTAGCCAGAAAGGTCAATACTTCTCAAAGAGAATCGCTGGTCTCTGGGAATGTCGAGTTCGATTGGCTTTACGTGTTGAATACTTACAATGCAGGCTCTCCTTTCAATTTCAATAAAGTTGGCCATATCAGCGACCTACAGAAGCAATTCGAAAAGCTGAAACCTGTTGAAGAAGTGGGTGAAGAGGAGGAATCAAACCCGCTGCAAATTAAGTCGGTCCAAGAGGCAAGAGAGTCGGAATCTTATAAATCCACCACTTACGTCCCGCTCTTAGCTATTGACGCCTCTCCTAAAGCGTGGCTTACAGATTATGGTGTTTTTGGCAAAGATCTATACCTCGAGAGGGTATGGGAGTCAATCGAATGGAACGTGGTGGAACAGAGACTTCCGGCAAGAGCGCCAAACTATCAACTGACATGAATGGTTATTTTTCATGAAAGAAAAAATACCTGAATTTCCTGTATATATAAAAGACATAGCATATATTTGATGCTTTTTAAGAGCTTCGCGAGTCCGTTAGTCTATTTGGCCAAAGCCACTCTGTTCGTCATTTAGCTCGTCCATAAACGCAGTAAACGTGATTTTTACGCCAGATTGACTGACAAGAAAAAGCATCTCTTCAATATACATTGCGACGTTCCATCAGTTTCTTGCAACTGTCGAGACGGGTTTGCAGAACACAGTCGCCCGTCCATTCTATTCCAAAAGTCTGGATGCCTTACCGGCGTGATTAATGACTGTCCAGTTTACGATTTTCTACCCACTTTCAGACTCTTCACTCTCCTCATGAACTTGTTTCCAGAAGCCGACTTTTTCGTTGCGGGGTCCACACGTCCACCTAAGTAGACATCATCTTCGTCTTGATCGTACTCCAAATGACCAGAGTGTGTCTTTGTGAGTTGTAGAGGTTCTTTGCCATTGTTGTTGGTGTATGCGTCGTGAGGATGTAGACGATTGTAGCCGCTTTGAACACCAGTAGCAGGAGCACCATCCAAAAAGGTCGTGGAGCCCAGACCGTCGGTGGTTGGGCCGTGAACTAGCTGCGTTTTGGCCTTAGCATCGAACTGAGTCATTGTTCGACTGTTGGGTTTGATGGCATCTAAAGTGGCTGTTGACGACGTGTTCACTCCGCGATAAGGCTTGCCACCACCGTAGAGGTAGGTATCATCGTCGTCAACAGACTCTTGACCGAAAACCTCTTTCATTGGCGATTTGGCGTTGGCAGCACCTGCAATGGACGAGTTGGGTCCGTTTGCTGGGAAAGCCATCACAGGGGCCACCTTTTGGTTACGGTTACGATGCGGCGTACACGCATCAAAGGGTCCATCATGATGAAAAGCGCCGCCGAAAAGCCCCGTGACGTCGAGCTTATCGATGGTGTCAACGTTTTTTGCCAGTGGCTTGGATGAGGACGAGGATTTTTTCTTGTCCTTGGAGGATTTGCGATGGCTAGAAGACACTCTAGTGCCCCCGGAAGACGATGCTTCACGACTGCTACGATGATGTGGTTGATGACCACTATTTGTGGAGCGTTCTGAACGATGGCGATGCGACCTTGAGGACGACGAGCTGTTGTAGTGAGCAGAGCTCGATTTTTCACGCGGACGGGGTGCGTCCTTCTGTGGGCCCGCAACTTCATCGTACGCAGGAGGCAGGTCTTCAGAGGGCATGGCTGGGTGATCGTCGTCCACAGTACTTTGTTCCAAATAACGGCGTCTTAGACGGTCTTTTTCCTCCTGGGCAGTAGGGTACGACGACGACGCTGACGACGAGTCGTCACCACCAGATTGAGGGGTCAGGTCTTCGAGAAATGGATTTTTAGACGTTGGTCGATGGGGTGGTGTCATGCTGTGAAAACAAAAGAAAATTCAAGTTAGTAAAAGGGGGGGCGGGCACACGCTGTCGCAGGAACAAGGGCAAAAGAAGAAGAGACTCAAGTTGTTGTGGCCTGTAGCAGTCGTCACAAGCAAAGGGCTCAGGTGGGCGGGCAGAAACAGCTGTCTTTCACGGTGTCTTTCGAGTGTATCGGGTTTACTTGACAGTAACAGGGTCAGAGGTCTTACTGCTAAGAAAACGTCAAAATAGCAGCTTTACGGTGTGTACGGTAACATTCCTTCACAGCCTGTTTCGAAATAATATTTGAACAGCCATGTGAAGAAGCGTGATAGTCACACTATAGTCACACAATAATCACACCAAAGACACATGACACAAAGTACATGTGACAAGCATGTGACAAGCACATGACCAAGCACATCATCTGATATTCACGAGGATTTCACATGACATTTTTTTTTCCCAATTTCTCTGGCTATTGCTCACCCGCGACGAAAGATTAAACCAGGTACGGTTTGTAAGTGGTGTCTGGGATACCAATTTGACGGACCGTTGATGTTCCTTAGCCACAGCCCGTTCCTTGAAATTCCTCTTCTTTTCTTCCTCCGTAAGTTTTTCTCGCATTGTCTAAATAACATACCTTGAGCGCATATCGCCAAGACTGCGCGGTGAATCCACGCGTGGTGGCGCAATCGCTTGGGGCTCTTCCTCAATGCTGTCTGTGAAACTCAACAACGAAGAGCTTTTGTTGTAGTAAGGCCGCTGGCCAGATGCTGCCGATCCGTACGGACTGTGCACTCGGTTTGCAGAAACCCATTTTTGAAATTCCTCATCACTTTGGTAAATTTGTCTTTCCTGTGCCACAGCATCCGTGCGGAAGGGATTATTTGTCGACAACCGGCGGTTGCTGGTCGCCAGGGTGCGGTCTGCGCTCCCAGAGCGCAGCATTGGTGGGGCAGGCATGTGTGTGTGCGTTTGTAAGGGTGGTATGAGTGATTAACAATAGCAAGCGTGTGGGCGCTTAACGCGTCGCCTATTTGATCTGGGTAGAAAAAGGGGTATATATCAAGCGAAAGCGCTGGGAACTGGTTAACAGCTATCCTAACGGGCACGAATTCGAAGCGCTGCTAATTGAACACCTAGCCACAAATAACTGAACGCTGTTAGTAAGTGTGTTGCGAGTGGTGAACAGAGAGAGTCAAGTGAGTTCAGCTTCGAAGCTTGAAAATTGGTAAAATGGAAAAATTGACAATTCGCAAGCAAATATCGCTATACACGTAAGTCGTACGAGGAGATACATAATATATCATATCCGACGAGATAAATTGAAGTCACAATCACGTAATACGGTTGTTGAGAAATGTTTGTCACTAGTGAATTAGACAGACGCTGCTACTTTAACAATAAGTTACTCACGAAGCATTCATGACTGAGTTTCAAAGTAAAGTGGGCTATGGATCTTGCATTCTATTTAAGAGAGTGAGTTCATTCTGCTCTTCTTTCCCAGGAATCTTTTTGGCCCAAAATTTCTCTATCTGGACTCAACCTCCATATTATGCAGAACAAAAAGCATGTGAGAGCCAAATCGGCTCGTTCACATTGTACAGCTTTTTTCGCAATGCATCCACCCGTTTCCTTGCCTAAAAGTTCAAATGATCCTCTCTGGGGCCCTCAGAATTGTATAAACTTTTGACCAATGTGTTCGTGGTCACGAGCCTGCGAGATCTTCGTGTAGTTGTCGCTTTCCACTCGTTTCTGGATACGTTTGTGCAGGGACACCAAAAACTCGTCGTAATTCTCCACCATCTCGATTGACTTGTCCTCGCATAACAGCGCTGCCATTGCATGGGCATAGTGCACGTCCACATGTGGGCGCAGGGTGACCAACGGCACGTATGCACGGCCCACAATTTGGCGCCAGTTTTGCAAAACGTTGCGGGCCTTCACATTAATGATGGTATCTACTAGGGGCAATGTGTTGCCCGCAAGTGTGATATCGGAAGTCTTGGCATTAGAGTCTTGTACGTCCAGCAAGTCCCGTAATAAGAGCACATTGGTGTTTTCATTAAACCACAGATACGCTGTCGATCCGTCGAAAATAAGATAGCACCCCCCGTCCACTAGCTCCCTGCGAGCTGCGCGCACACTCAAGTTCTCCGATGGCACCGCTCGAAGTAGCAAATCTTGTTCGTCTGCGAACGTGAAATCCGTCTCCTGTAGTAGCTCGTGCAGTGGCAAAATCTGCGGATAAAGTTTGTACATCATCTGGGGTATAGTACTAGAAAGCCATTGAAACAGGTCATGCACGCGGGCGTTACCATTGGCAGACCTACTGTTGTTCTTCATCAGCTCAGACTTTTCAAAAGACAGCAAATAAGCCGCCATGGTCTTGAGGGAGTCTGGCAAAACCAGCTGGCTCGAAGGCGATCCAGACACAAGGCAGCGGTATTGAGTCAAAATATCGGTGATTTTTTCGTCAATCGTCTTCCGCATTTGCACAAAATTACAGTCACTCAAAGTTGTCAGCAAATCATGCACGATTATGCTCACTACAGCGTCTTGGTTCACGAACTTGAAAACCTCGCTAATGTTGTCACTGACTGCCCCTGATGTGTTCAATGTACGCACTTTCCTTACCCCGTTTAAATCTGTGTAAAGGATCGCACACTGGAAATGAACATCTTCGGAGTTAGCTAGTTGACCTTCATATTTGAAAAGTACGCTCAAACTGGTATCTTGATGAACGACAGGTATGATCGGCTCTCGACTGGTGTTGTCAACCGATTCTGAATAATAGTTGTAGATGGAGAGGCCCGCGGAGCACCGAACTTTCAACTGGGCATTATAACCAATGGTCTGCACAACGCTATGCAGCACGTCGTTGACAAAGGTAAACTCATCTTTCTCCAAGTTGAAGTTTGGATATGTTTTCAAAAAACCAGAAGTGGCTCTCACAGGCTGACCGACAGACACCAAGTCGACGAACGCAGAAGCTGCGCAATACAGGTCGACTGAAATGTTCGACTTCAACAAGTCCTTGCCCAACTTGGTGTAAAAGTCGTTCTCGCAGTTTAATGTCTTTTTCAAAGCGTCTTCTTTTCTTAGTCTTAGGTTACCAGAGCCGTGTGACGGTTTGCTTCCCAAACTGACTAAGATCTTACCACCCTGTCCTTCAGTAACTGTGTCAATTGCCAGTTTTGCCGCTTGTAGTGCAGATCCGTAGCACGCCTCGAATCGATGGAGAAACTTATTGTCCTCAATATGCGCGGTAATTTTACAGAGGGTATCTTGGATAACGTGCATTGACTCCTCTGGTCTTACGAAAAGCCCGTTGAATAGGGGCAGAAAAACATCTTGCAGATCACTAACAATGTATTCTTGAGCCTGGTTGAGCTCTTTCCGCAGATTGAAAAACCGGATTTCATTGTCAAATGCCATGATTGCAACTTTGCAGTTGGGCTGCTCGTTTGCAATGTGCTCAATGGATGATCTGATACCTTCCAGCATTGCCAGAGAGCTTTTGTTTTCATTCGAAATTGTGGAGATATCGATCACAAATACATAGTGCAGAGGCACGTTGACTTTAGCAGCCTTGAAGTTGTAGGTTTCTGGAACTATAAAGTCCACAGTTCCCTTCAAGAGTTCTGGTCTTTCGTAAAGGTCCGATCGCATGCCATTGGGGTTTAAAGGCGCAGTGTACTCGTCACTCAGTTGCGTGCTTACTTTGCAGAAATTGCAGATGGCCTTGGAATCGAAAGTGAAAGTGTATGCAGGATTGACATACGACCTGCATCTTCTACATCTCAAGGGACCACTTTCTTTTGCAGTGTCGACCTGGGGTACTTCCTCGCCAAGACTGGAGCCAGCAAACGGTTGCAAGATTGCACCCATGGGAAGTTTTGCCGCTGACCGGATCTGCTCATTTTTGGGAACGTTATACATCGTAAGGCTCATTTTGCGAGGGTCGCTGGAAGCCAGGTCAACACAATAGTACTGCGTGGACGCACATGGTGGGACTGAATCTTTCGACGTGACAAAAGACTGTTCAGTGTACAGTGCTTGATCATCTAATCTTTGCTTCGAGACGTAATGCGATGTAACCAATTCTGGAGACTGCGCTGCGAGAAATGGGCTATTTTGGCCGGCTTCTGCATTTGAAAAATCAGAGTTGAAGCGCTGACCAGCGAGTGCTGGAGAGTTCATTCCGGAATTAGACAAGGATGGCCCAGGACTACTCGCATCGAAATTATGAAAGGCGCGATTTGGCCTACGACCGCTCTTTTTCAAGCCGCCAGAAACCTGACTTTGGTCTAGGTCTAAGCTAGAAAGACTCCTGTTGATGCCCTCCATTAGTCTAATAGCGTTTGCTGGCTCAACAGAAGACAGCTCGAGTAAGCGTGTTGATGTTCGAGTGTTTGTTTGTTTAGGTCTGATGAACAAATCGGTATGTTTTCTTGAACAATAGCTGGAAAACTGATTTTAACCAGTCACGTGGTTTCAATGTCGCTATACAATGGCGACGCGGGCATCACGGGCAGAGTAGGCTGGACAACATGAGAATCTCGATTTAAACAAGACCATGGGCTGGAGGAAATTCAATTTTTATTCCAATATTGATTTATATCATTTCGGATTATTCCCTTTTTCTCTTTTCTTCCTCCCTATTTTATCAATATTGTTACAACGGGTTTGTCCGGTCAGTGAAACCCAGAGAATGTTGCATTTTAGACTATGCCAGCAGCGCGAAAATCGCTATTATCAGCAAGGGAATCAATGTGGTATATGTCTTTATTGGAGTCGAATTTTTAACGTTCAGAAAATTGTTTTTGGCAGCATTATTACGGTGTTTTAGCCCACTGCTGGTGGAAAGGCTGGGGCCTGTGGTATAACTGGTGTTGTAGAAAGATCTGCCGGTGAAGACAACACCGTCTGATGAAATGGTAGCGGTAAATTGGTTTATTAGACCGTTAACGGTTGCATGCTGCGCACTAGACGATTGCAAAATCAGCGTGTCATAGGAAGAGTAGTTATTGGTAGTAGCAAAGGGAATGATGCCTGATTTGATGGCTGATGGATTGTCTTGCGTTAGAGGAACCTTGTGTTGTAATGGAGACTCATCGCCGTTGTTTGCGCTTTGAGTGCCAGACGCCGCGTGCGCATGCGATGACGTCGAGATCCTTTCTGTCGTGGTTGAAATGGTCGTTCTCGGCAGCGTAGAGGCTTGAGCCAACGCTATTTGGTGGCTGTCCAGCTCAGCAGCCATGTAGACGTTCTTGAGAAAAGGGCCACCCAGTATACTCATACCTATGTTGGCCTTGGGCAGAACCCGTAGCTCGCATGCAGGCTGAGAATTTGAGAAGTGCAAAGACCCATTAGTAGCCAAGTCATATGTTGGGCCCATCAAGTCTCGTAAGGGAACATTGATGATCAGATTACCAAATTGGAAAAGAATGGCGGCATCTTTTGACGCTACATCGCAAGCTAGCAACCATCTATCCAGAGACTCCACATAGTAGGCATTGGATTGCATAGCTATCTGAACGATGAGACTGAGAGGAAGGTAGTTGTAGCGGTAGCGGGAGTCAAGAAGCACGGGCTCGAGAAAATGATCTGAGGTCAAATTCAGCACTTGACCAGAGCCAGAGCGTACGCTGACTTTATTAAGCGGAATGATAGGATATCCGCGCGAAGACGCTGCTGAAGGTCCCTCGATAAACGGCACGGTGTCGAACTTTACAAAATCGCCAGTGTACAGAGAACGATCCACACCGCCCAAGATGATTTTCCCGCAGTTGTCGAGCCCATCGGCGGGCCCAAGGGGATCGAGCGTATCAGCCCCGAGCCAGAGGGAATACGACGCGGCGCTGACCAAATTATTATTGAGCATTTGGTCAAGGAAGTAAAACGATTCGTTGTATTGGGTAGAGTCGACGGTGCTGCCAGGAAGATTGATTTTCCCACCAAGTCCCAGGGCACCCTGCAAAAGATCAAAACTTACCTGTGTTGCATCGAAAAATGCGTAGTCTCGGAACCAGAGTGAGCTGGAATTCCTGCGCCAACCGACCGACCTGTTGGCGGAAATTTCGGGGCTGGAGTCTGGCATGTTTGCCAAAGAAAGCAGCTCCATGGTATCCATGCAGACAGATGCATTGTAAGAGATACGGTCGACTTGTTGGTAGCTGTGAACATGTTGGTCAAACAAACGGTGGGCGGTGGAGCTGTTGTCTGCGTTGTAGAACGTAGAATCCTCAGTGTCCATGTCTTCTTGTCCCGAACGAGCTTCTTTGAGCTCCTGAGAAAGAAGCCACGTATACGGCTGGGCAACGTCCACCCGAAGCATCTGTATCTGTGCTGGAGTGCCCACGGACGCATTCACATAGTACAGGCCGGTAGTGTCTTTATTCACCATCAGCGACGCCAGCGAGCTGTCGTTGTCGTCCGCTACGCAGAAACGACATGTCCGCAGGACGAGAACGCACAGAAGCACGGTGTAGAGCGGGCTCATGGGCAAGGTATCCTGTGGTTTTGAAAGACGTGGATTAGTTTTAGTTAACGGTGATGCCCTGCCAATTTTCCAATTTTGAATATATAGAGTGAGAGGGCTAGTGGTGAGTAACGATTGAGATGGGCAGACAATGAGCGATAAGAGAGCATTGGACAAGAGCAGAAGGATTAGGAAGGTCTGATGGATGATGGGAGAGGGACTTAGAGGGTAAGAGCGATGAGTATCCGAAAGTTATGGACTTCGGCCAGATATAATGTGACTTAATGGCTGGTATAGTTACCAACAAAATGTTCAATTTTCCAACAGTAGCTTCAGTAGCTCAGTCGGAAGAGCGTCAGTCTCATAATCTGAAGGTCGAGAGTTCGAACCTCCCCTGGAGCATTTATTTTTGGAGATTTCACAATTTTTATCAGAAATCAAATTAACCTATGGTCTTTTAACACACACACACACACACACACACACACACACACACACACACACACACATTCCCTCTGCCTCTCTATCTTCCCTGAATCGTTTGTTTCCAACGGGCTCTCCGGTCTTTTTGATTCGTTCGATGGTCTCTCCCTCACTATTGCAACGGCCGTCACCCACCGTGCCATACACATGTGGGTTGTTGTTTCCCGTGCTATATTGAACGCTTAACTCCGCAGACAAATGTCTAGCCTACTTACAGTAGATACAGTCTTTCCGTATTGGTTGTAACGTGGGGCACGCCCATCTCACCAACTGTACAGCTCATTATTGGTTAGATAGGCAGGTAAGTACGTAGATAGATAGATAGATAGATAGCGAAGGGTGCCGATGCAGTGCGGACGCACGCACGGCTTTGGAACTCTCAAGGACGAGTCTCTACGGACAACAGCGATGCGTCGAGAACGTGTTGTATTAGCCAAGATGCTCAAATGTGAACGTGAACGTGTTTTATTGGCCAAGAATACCAAAATATCATTCAGTTAATTGGAATCGTGCTTATAGTTCGTGCTTATAGTTGTCTTGGCACATCGTGGTAGCAGCAGCCAACAAATAACAGTCACCAGTGCCAGTAAATTAGAGAGTGCAATGAGGACAATGAACACCAAGAACGCCAGTAAAAACGGTATATAAAGAAGGGAAACAGCAGTTAGGAAGGAAGTTGGCGATGGTGAAACTTGTTGATTATTGGGCTTTGATTGAAAGTAGCCGGTAGCTCGAAGTGATAAGAAGGGCGATTTTGAAGGAACTAGTGGAACTAGTGGAACCAGTGAAAGTGTTGAAGTCCGGAATACAAAGCTAAGAAAGCTAAGAACAGGATACTGAGAATTGCTTAAAAACACATCTGGAGTACTAAAGCGTTCAATCACTTGTCAAAAAGGCCATCAAAAAAATGGAAAACTCCAGAATTCTGACTTACGACGCAGAAACACGCAAACAGCGTGTTGTAGCGTCCCGCGAACAGCGGATGCTCAATATCTTCATGATCATGGCTGCAGGATTTGCCCTGATATCGGACGGATACCAGAACAATGTAATGTCGATGCTCAACAAGGTGTTTCCCAAACAATACGGCAAACACGTCTATAGCGGAGATGTGGCAACGCGTGTATCCAACGCATCGCTAGTGGGAACCATTCTGGGCCAGGTTATCATCGGAGTGGCCTGTGACTACATGGGACGCAAATGGGCGATTCTGGTGGCCACAACGCTGCTAGTAGTCGGGTCAGCGCTGTGCGCTGCGTCCCACGGAACCACACTGAACGGGATGTTTTGGATGTTGACCGTAATGCGTGGAGTAACCGGGTTTGGCCTCGGTGCAGAGTATCCCTGCTGTTCGGTGAGCGCCAACGAGGCTGCCAACGAACACAGCGAGAAAAGAAGAGGCGGAATCATGGTCTTGGTCACCAACCTGCCGCTTTCGCTGGGCGGACCCTTCGCCAACATCGTTTTCCTCATCGTGTACTCCATTTGCGGGCCCCGCCATCTACCAGCTCTGTGGAGAACCATGTTTGCGCTTGGATGTGTGTGGCCCCTCAGCGTGTTCTATTTCCGCTGGAAAACCAGCACAAACACGCTCTACAAGAAGGGTCAATTCAAGTCCCGCGTCCCGCTATGGCTCGCCGCAAAATACAGCTGGCGACCATTGCTGGGCACCTGTTTTGTGTGGTTCTGCTACGATTTCGTCGCTTTCAGCAACGGCTTGTTCAGTGCCACCATCATCGGTTCTGTCATAAAGGACAGCAGCAACATCAAGACCATCGCAGAATGGAATTTACTGCTGGGAATCATCGCAGTACCCGGAGTTTTCGTTGGTGCTTATCTGTGCGACCGTATTGGGCGCAAGTACACGCTGATGTTCGGATTTGGTGGCTATCTGGTCTTTGGACTAGTCATCGGGTGCGCTTGGGAAAAAATCCACAAGATCACTGCTCTTTTCATTGTCTTCTACGGGCTCATGAACGGCCTGGCCAATGCCGGGCCCGGGGACATGCTGGGGCTCACCTCAAGTGAGAGTTTCCCCACTGCCATCAGAGGAACGTGCTACGGGCTTTCTGCTGCCATAGGTAAAGTCGGTGCCGTGGTGGGGGTGTACTGTTTCAACCCCATTCAAAAAAACCTTGGCATTCGCTGGGTTTTCATTGTTGCTGCCATTTGTGGTCTTGCAGGTATCTTGGCCACCTGGCTTTTGATCCCGCATTTGAGAGAGAACGATTTACTGGAGAGAGACATCAATTTCCACAACTATTTGGTTGGCCAAGGCTGGACTGGTACCATGGGTATGGATGTAGACTCCGACCTCGAAGCTAAGGCTACTTCCTCCGTTAGTGGCGGTGACTCTTCCGTCAAAGAAACGCTGGAGGTGGTCACTCGTGAGCTTACCGCTTGAACATCGGGGGGATCAAAAATAGTGCAAATCTAACCGAACAAATAAATACCACTATTTACATTAGACGGTAATTTCCCAAACTTTAAGTTTCTATATTTGGCGAATGCAGCATGCTCTTGCGAGAATTGATCGAAAGGCAGGCGTAGTCGTGCCGTTTTCTGCAATGGCTGTTGAATTATAGATCCGAAATTCAGCTGCATTTGGGAAAGAAAGAGAAAGATCAAGACATTTATTGTAAAGACTTCAATTTGATAAAACCAAGATCTCAAACTCAAGCCACGAATTTCAGGACCGTTCGAATATCTTTCTTTAGCGAGGTTCTTTGACGTCTTCGAGTTCTAGGAGGTGGAAAGCATGTGGTCCACGCTAGAGGTTAAAGTAATCAGATAAATTTTGGAAAACCCACTAATAAATACCACAGATACCAACAAAACTAAAGAATAACCATTTGCAGCTGTCACAGATCGCCATTGAATTGAACTCAATCATCATTGTTTGGTAGGGTTCCATATTTCGAGTACTTTATTCTGACGCTGACACCGCCTTCCCAAAAAGGCATATAAGCACGTGACTCGAGAGAGCTCCAGGTCAATGGAGTTTTTCAGGCTAATTGAAAAAAGTTTGGAATTAAACGTAGTTCAAGAGAGCTAAGCTATCAACACACATAAATACAAGCTCACAAGCTTGCATTAGTGGCACAAATACCGGGATATAAGCCATTGGATTGAGACTTTGCTCGAGTTTCGTATTCCCCCAAGATTTGTGTTTCTTTACAGAGTTCTACGACCAAAAACCGGTAGATTTTGAGCCCAAAAATGTCACACTTGGAACGCTTTGATGGGTTGGCTTTGAAACTGAAAAGTGAAGACGGTAGTGCTGTGCATCTGGCTGCTATTTCAGAATTATGCGATATTATCGATCCCATAGGCTCGTCAGCGGAATATGAACAATTTTTAAAAGCAGTGATGGGCGTACTCTTGGAGCGGTTGCAGCAAACGCCGATCTCATTAGATAGCACTTCTGCGCAGCACAAACTCAGGAACTCGATTCTAGAGGTTATAAGTCGATGTAACATGAACGAAACATTCGAACCGTATGCGTTAGGTAATCTAGATACCATGCTGGCCATCTTGCAAGAAGACAACGAGGAAAACGGCGTTCTTGCAATGAAAATTATAACAAGCTTTTTCAAAGCGTACAAATCGGTGCTTCAGGATCGGGTCACAAGTTTCATCGACGTCATCATGAACATTTACAAACACATGCCTGAGCTCGTTAGGCAAACCTTCAATAGTGATGATGTGAGCCAAGAATTAGGATCTCCCATGGAGTCCGCTCCGGGCAACTCGGATACCAGAGGTTCCGACGCGGCTGAAGAAGATGGTCAATCCTTACAAAGCGTGGCATCTTCGAGACTTTTGAAGCAGTCGATGTTCTCCTTTAAGGTCCTGTCAGAATGTCCCATCACCATGGTGACACTGTACTCCTCATACAAGCAATTAACAACTACATCACTTCCTGATTTCATGCCTTTAGTAATAGATTTGCTAACCATGGAGGCCAACGCTCAAAAAAAAACACGGGAAGAAGCCGAGTCGCGCGGCGAGAGATGGATAAGTGTCAGCCCAGACATAAGAAATAGGTCTGCTTACTGTGATCTCATTCTTTCACAAATCAAGGCAACGTCTTTTCTGGCATACGTATTCATCCGAGGGTACGCCGCAGAGTACTTACAAAAGTATGTGGGTTTCGTTCCGGATCTCATATTGAGGTTGTTACAGGATTGTCCAGCAGAACTTTCTGCCGCCAGAAAAGAGTTATTACACGCAACAAGGCACATTTTGTCCACCAATTATAAAAAGCTGTTTTTGCCCAAAATCAACCTTCTGTTTGACGAAGAAGTCTTGATAGGAAATGGATTTACGTCACACGAAACTCTCCGCCCTTTAGCCTATAGCACTGTTGCAGATTTTGTGCATAATGTGAGGGGCGACCTTCAATTGGACGATATCGAGAGAACGATAAAAATGTATACGAGTTTCCTTTTGGACGAAAGCTTGGCATTGACCGTTCAAATCATGAGTGCAAAACTGCTGCTGAACCTGGTGGAAAGAATTCTCAAGCTGGGGAAAGACAATCCCAATGACTCTGTGCGATCCAAAAAACTCTTGATTGTGATAATAGATGCCTACACCGCGCGGTTCAGGAACTTGAACCGCCAATATGACAACTTAATGAAGCACCACGAAGAATATGAGAAACAGAAACTCGTTAAGGCGGAGACTTTTAGAGGAGAGATCGAAAAAAATAATAAGGAAACCGAAGATTTTATCAGCAACATGCTGAAAATAAAAGAGCCTTCGAAGGCAAATAAAGACCATGAGGGGGACATTAAAATGGAAGACACTCCGACAGACAAATCCCCATTGATTCCAGAAGCAGATAATGGTGGCGTACTTCAGGTCTCTGAAAAAAAGGCCGTCGATGTTTTTGACATCAAATATAATAGTCCCATCTTGCTTTCACCGCCACCCAGTGGAGATCCCTTGAAGGATGCCTTTTATCTTTACCGGACTTTGATGTCGTTTTTGAAAACAATCATACATGATTTAAAGGTTTTCAATCCACCTTCGACTGAATATACAACAATTAATCCGAAAGTTTGGACCTCGCTCTCCAGGGTTTTTTCTCACGAAGAGGTTATCGTGTTTAAAAACTTGTTCCATGAGTGCATATTGGGATTGCAGTTCTTCTCCAGTCCCGAGCGCAAAGCTGCCGGCACAGAGAAAAAGCATTTTGACATTGCAGCTCCGAGCCTTCCTGTGTCAGCTACGAAAGATGGAAGGGAGCTTATGGATTATTTTGCAATAATGTTCATGCAAATTGATAGCCCGACTTTCAATGATATCGTGGAATCCAAGATCGATTTTCTGTACGAAGCGATGCTGCGGGACTCGGCTCTTCTTCATGTTGCCCAGTCATTTTTAACAAGTGAGATAACGTCTCCGAAGTTCACGGGGATACTACTGCGATTTCTCAAACATAAGCTTCAGTCACTGGGAAACGTTGACGGCAACAAGTCTAATATTTTGATCCGATTATTCAAGCTTTCTTTCATGTCGGTGAATCTCTTTCCAATAACTAACGAGGTTGTATTGTTACCTCATTTGAACAATTTGATACTAGATTCCCTGAATTATTCGACCACAGCCGAGGAACCTTTAGTTTACCTCTATTTGATTAGAACCCTCTTCAGAAGCATAGGTGGTGGACGGTTTGAAAATCTATATCGGTCGATAAAGCCTATCCTGCAGGTCCTACTACAATCTCTGAACAGAATGATTTTAACTGCGCGGCGGCCGCATGAGAGAGATCTTTACGTCGAACTATGCCTCACTGTACCTGTTCGTCTAAGTGTGCTTGCACCGTACCTGACATATCTAATGAAACCTCTGGTTTACGCGCTGCAGGGTTTCCCCGAACTTGTGACGCAAGGCTTGAGAACTTTGGAGCTCTGCATAGATAACTTGACAGCAGAGTATTTCGATCCCATAATCGAGCCTGTGGTGGAGGATGTTATTCGCTCCTTGTTCAAGCTTCTGAAGCCACAGCCCTTTAATCATCAAATCAGTCACACAGCTGTAAGGATACTCGGGAAATTAGGTGGCAGGAACAGACGGTTCCTCAAACAACATACTGATCTTAGAATCGCTGGCGAGTTAGACACACCTGTCAATGCACTTTTCAAAATTCATGGAATGAACGAAGAAGTCCCATTGTCGATCACACCAGGAGTCCGTTCCGCTCTTAATATTCTCGATGACTACCGTTCGGACATTTTTTACAAGAAAAGTGCCTTCAATTACTTGAAATCGATCCTACAGCTTTTCCTCAAGTCCTCCTTGGTATTCCCCGATGATTACGAAAAGTGGGTCAGAAGTGCATTAAAGCTTCTGTCGGCAGATGGCGTGGGCCCTGTTGAATCAAACGACATAGACGAGGGGAAAGTTAAAGACAGGCGCTTGTTGGAAAGTCAAGAGCTGCTTTTGATGAAACTCTTAGAGTCGCTCATCTTTTCCACATCGATCGCCGAGCTTAAAGAGGACGCCAGCAATCTACTCAACAATGTAATTCGCCATTTTTGCTTTTTGCAGTTGAATAACTCGGTTAAAGCCAAACGTTGCGAAAACACAACTTTTGATGTAAACGTGAAGCTTTTCGATGTCACTATTGATGTAAACATCATGCTTGATGCAATACTGACCGGATTAGGCTCCTACTTGGAAGAGGCTCGGGAAACCGCTATATCAGCTGTTAAGATGATTTTCAACACAAGCAGTACGATTTACGGCTCGGAGCTAGCCTTAAAATACTCGTTCATTCCGGTCTTGACAAAAAAGTTGATCCATAAATGCTATGATGAGGCATACTTCGAAAAAAGCAGCGGGGTGTGGGGTATGAAAACACTGATAGAGGAGCAAAGCATACCTGTCGAATACTTGAAAAGGTATCAATTTCACATGATTGCTAGTCTTTTATTTGTTCTGATAGATACGCCTATGGAAGCCCCGGGGATCATACGTGAGAGAGCCGCTAGTATGATAATGGAAATCTTGTCGAGAACGTGCCAAAATATCAGTGAAGATGATTTGAAAGATAAAGACTTGCAGAATACTCTGATCGATATTGTATGCGAGCTGAGTAATCCTAAGGAGATCGTCAGAGACACTTGTCAAAAAGCTCTCTCTACCATATCTGATGTTTCGGGCCTTTCGATCGTAAAGTTGATGGAGCACTCAAAAAACTTCTTGCTTTCTCCTATTTTTGCAAAACCGCTTAGAGCTCTACCATTCCCCATGCAGATTGGCAATGTTGATGCTATAATCTACTGTTTACAACTTCCCAATACATTTTTGGAGTTCAATGAAGAGCTTTATAGGCTTCTTCATGAAGCAATAGCTTTGGTAGATGCGGAAGATGAGTCTCTTGCTAGTGCCCAACGGGTGACAGAGTACCAAACCGCCGAGCAATTGGTGCAACTGAGAGTAGTGTGCATAAGGTTGCTTTCCCTCGCTTTGAAGAATAATGACTTCGCGTCCGCTCAACAAGGTGCTACGCGGATCAGGGTTCTTGCCGTGTTTTTCAAAACCATGCTGAAGACGTCGCCGGAAATCATCGAAGCTACGTACCAAGGCTTAAAAAGTGTTCTTGCTGAAAACTCGAAACTGCCAAAAGAACTTTTGCAGAATGGACTGAAACCCATGCTGATGAACCTTTCGGACCATCAGAAGCTGACGGTCTCTGGACTCGAGGCTTTAGCAAAACTTTTAGAATTACTGATAGCATACTTCAAGGTTGAGATTGGGAAAAAGTTGCTGGACCATCTGGACGCCTGGTGTAGAGTGGAAGTGCTAGATATGCTTTTTGGAAAAGATCTAAAAGAGCAAACTCCAACAAAAATCATTTACGGGATCATCAATATCTTTCACCTCCTACCGCCTCAAGCCGACATCTTCCTTAATGATCTCCTTTTGAAAGTTATGATGGTCGAAAAGAAGTTAAGACTTCAGCTCGACTCTCCTTTTCGTGTGCCGATGGCTAAATACCTGAACAGGTTTCATGTGTCAGTTATAACTTACTTCAAGAATAACCTAGGCTCAAGAGATTTGGTATTACTCATGTGCTCGATAATCAGAAGACCTGAAGCCATCGATCTCAAAAATGATTTCAAAAGCGAGTTTGACAATTTTTACGAATATTACATGACCGGAATTGCATCAAACAAGGTGAGGGTCGTAAGCTTTTTTGCCAATGTGGTAGAAATTTTTGACGCTTTGCTTGAAGTAGAAGGCGAAGCTTGGCTCGCAGAAAGTGGATCAACATTGGCGAAAATTAGATCCATGTTCAAGCTTGCCATCGATACAATTGAAGAAGGTAATTTTTACTATGACTCTTTACAATTTTCACAGGCCGCTGACAAAGTCCAAGGATCTTATGCTCAGTATCTGAAATTGAATGTGCAAAACCCATCCTTACTTTTCGAATATCTGGATTTCGCATTCACTGCGAAGATCGATCTTTCTCAATCTATTTTGGAGTTCATTGAAAAGTGCGTTATTACTACACCAGATACCGAGATCAGAAAAGTGTATCTTCAGCAAGCCGTGATGTTTGTAACCAGTGATAGACCCCTAGCGGCGAGTGTTTTCGTGCTTAAAAATGTGATCAACAGTACACTCGTATACGAGGGCGCATCAAGGAAATCATTATCGAATCTAACCGGCGAACAAGGAGATCCATTCCCAGAATGGTTGACTCTTATGTACTCGAAAATCTGGAAGGGTTCAAATGAGGCTCTAGAAAACTACGCTGCTGGAGATTATGATACATTTAGGTTTGAGCTTTTACAACTGTCGTCAATCTTGACAGAGTACGCTCCAGATCTAAACTCTGATATCAGAAAAGATATTATCAGATTCTGCTGGAACTTCATAAAGCTGGAGGACCCTTTGCTCAAACAAGCGGCTTACATGGTCACTGCTTACTTCATTGCGAAATATGACTTTCCTGTTAAAATTGTTACACAAGTGTTTGTCGCACTTTTAAGGACTACCCAGCTGGAGTCTCGATTCATGGTCAAGCATTCTTTGGATCTTTTGGCACCAGTCATGCATGATCGAATGTCGGAGGCCGACGCTCCTAATTCTTGGGTCAACTGGGTTAGGCGTGTACTTTCTGAAAACAATGCTAGTCAAAACAGCGCGCTATATCAGCTTTTGATCAGCCACCCCAACGAATTCTTCGAATCTCGCGATCTCTTCATTCCCAGCATCATTAATTACATTGGTAAACTGACAATGCTAGCAAATCCAAATTTAGAGAACCAGGCGTTGGCCGTTGACTTGGCAGAGCTTGTTTTGCTTTGGGAGCAGAAGGGTAATGGATGTCAAAGTGCTGCCCTAGCTTCGCCCACAAACGATGGAGATGAGGGAAGTAGGGAAGCGCAGAACATAACTTCTGGTCAAAAGGAGGCTTTCGTTTCATGCATCATTAGATTTGTGTGTGCCAGTACACACCGAGCCTCAGAGACTGAATTGGGTTACAGATCTCTCAAGGTTCTTTCCGAAATTTTGAGTGAGAGCACATGGCCAAACGTAAACATCAAATTGAACTACTTTGAAAAATTCCTTGTTCAGCAAGATCTGACGTCATCAAACGTTTCATTTTACTGTATGAATGCGCTAGATGTCCTAGCCATCATCTTGCGTAATAAGAATTCAACGTGGATTTTGAGCAATCTAACTTATCTTCAAAGTCTACTCGAAAAATGTATGAGAACGGATCATCATGATATACAGGAAGTTCTTCAAAAAGTAATCACCACGATTCTTTCCGCAATCAAATCTGAAGAAGATATACAGGTGGAGAGCGACATTGAATCCCCGGGCAGAGCAATGGTGACCACGTTGGTCTCCATAATCACCGAGGATTTACAAGGAACATCGTCTGTCGCGGCAGGTGTTATGTTAGCTTGGACCTTATTCATCTCTTTCCCGCAGCAGATAGATTCTCTTCTTCCTTCCATCATGAAGACATTCAGCAAGCTATGCAAAGACCATCTCGCAACCTCACAGCCCAAAGACCCTGCTACTCTTGAGGAGTCGAGGATCACCACCAGGTTACTGGAAAAGGTGCTATATTTGCTTTCCATGAAAGTTGCCTCGTTAGGTGATGCTAGAAGACCGTTCTTATCGACCGTTGCACTGCTCATTGATCGCTCTATGAATCAGCAATTCTTGAAGAATGTAATCACAATCGCTCGTACGTGGGTTTTCACAAATGAGATCTTTCCAACAGTTAAAGAGAAAGCTGCAATTCTGACAAAAATGTTGGCATTTGAGGTTAGAGGGGAGCCCAAGTTATCCAGGCAGTTTTACGAAATAATTCTCGAACTTTTCGAAAACAAGAACTTCAATAACAGCGAAATCACTGTAAGAATGGAGCAACCGTTTCTGGTGGGAACCCGCGTCGATGATATCTACATCAGAAAGAGACTTATGACAATACTTGACGAGAGCCTTGAAAAGGATATCAGGGAAAGACTCTATTATGTCATCAGAGATCAAAACTGGGAATTCATTGCTGACTATCCTTGGCTAAATCAAGCCTTACAGCTTCTTTATGGTGCTTTTGATAAGAATTACTCTCTTTATTTGAGTGACTCATATCAACTGGACAGTTTGAAGGCACTAGCCACAGACCTGTCGGTAGAAGAGATCACTGACGACTTTGAAAAAGACTCCTTGACTACTCTTGTCGAGGACCACAAGCACTTTGCTGAGAAGTTTGAGCACGTTACGACCAACGACCTTTTAGAACCCTTGGTCGACATTTTCTACCAAAGCCCGCAAGCGATTCATGCGACTTGGATAAATGTATTCGGCGCAGCATACAAATCAATTCCAAAGAATGAGAAATTTGGGTTTGTGCGCTCTTTGGTGACCTTGCTGTCAAAAGACTATCATGCTCGCCAGTTGAATGTGAGATCGAACGTGGTAAGCACTTTGTTGGACTCGATAGGTGAAATTGACTCACTAGAACTTCCTCCTCACCTCATCAAATATGTGGCTGGATCATATAATTCGTGGTATCAATCGATCAGAATTCTCGAGTCCATGGAAGAAAAAGCGAGTCTTGAGAATGCTAAGATCATTGAGACCAACGAGGACGCTTTGCTCGAGCTTTACATCAACCTGCAAGAGGAAGACATGTTTTACGGTCTGTGGAGACGAAGAGCGAAATATACAGAAACCAGCATCGGACTCTCCTTTGAACAGATTGGACTTTGGGATAAAGCTCAACAGTTATACGAAGCAGCCCAGATCAAGGCCAGGAGTGGGGCCTTACCATATTCTGATTCCGAATATGCTACGTGGGAAGATAACTGGATTATGTGCGCTGAAAAACTTCAGCACTGGGACGTTCTCACCGAGTTAGCCAAACATGAAGGTTTCACAGATCTACTTCTGGAATGCGGCTGGAGGGTTGCAGACTGGAGTGCAGATAGAGAGGCTCTCGAACAATCGGTGAAAAGCGTCATGGATGTCCCTACTCCTAGAAGGCAGATATTTGAGACATTTCTGGCATTACAGAACTTCGCCGAGACCAAAAAAGGAGAGCAAGATGTCAGGAGACTGTGTGACGAAGGTATCCAATTATCCCTTCACAACTGGGCCTCTATGCCAGAACGGTTTACGCCCGCTCACAAATTTCTTTTACATGGTTTTCAGCAGTACATGGAGTTTTTGGAAGCTACTCAAGTTTATTCTAATCTGGCATCAACGACCGTTCAAAATTTAGACTCAAAAGCACAAGAGGTGAAACGAGTTCTCCAAACGTGGCGGGATCGGTTACCCAACATATGGGATGATATCAATATGTGGAATGATTTGATTACATGGCGTCAACACGCTTTTCAAGTTATCAATAATGCATACTTACCATTGGTTCCAGCCTTGCAACAAGCGAGTGGAAACAGTAATGTCAATACGCATGCCTACCGCGGCTACCACGAAATCGCTTGGGTCATCAACAGATTTGCTCATGTTGCTCGTAAGCATAATATGCCTGACGTCTGCATAAGTCAGTTAGCGCGCATCTATACATTGCCAAACATTGAAATTCAGGAAGCATTCTTGAAGCTTCGAGAACAAGCCAAGTGTCATTATCAGAACATGAATGAACTAACTACTGGGCTGGATGTGATCAGCAACACGAATCTAGTATACTTCGGAACCGTTCAGAAGGCTGAATTTTTCACTTTGAAGGGTATGTTCCTGTCGAAACTGAGAGCACACGATGAGGCTAATCAAGCGTTTGCCACTGCTGTTCAAATAGATTTGAATCTAGCCAAAGCTTGGGCCCAATGGGGGTTCTTCAATGATCGGAGACTTTCTGAAGAACCCCAAAACATCAGCTTTGCGAATAACGCCATTAGCTGTTATCTTCAAGCTGCCGGTCTTTACAACAACTCCAAGACGAGAAAGCTGCTCTGCAGAATATTGTGGTTAATAGGAATTGACGATAGCACCGGAACACTCGCAGGCGCTTTCGAGTCATTCAGGGGCGAGATTCCAGTTTGGTACTGGATCACATTCATACCACAGCTGCTAACGTCGCTCTCTCACAAGGAAGCCAACATGGTGCGACAAATATTGATAAGAATTGCTAAAAGCTATCCTCAAGCATTGCACTTCCAGCTCAGAACCACTAAGGAAGATTTTTCTGTCATCCAGCGGCAGACAATGGTCGCTATGGGCAACACGCGTCCACCGAACAGTAAAAACACCAACTCTGCGAATGGGTCGCGGCAACCTTGGGAGTATTTGGACGAGCTCAATGGTATTTTGAAAACGGCATACCCTCTCCTGGCTTTGTCTTTGGAATCTCTGGTTGATCAAATCAATCAAAAGTTCAAGACAACGTCAGACGAAGATCTGTTCAGATTGATCAATGTATTGTTGATCGACGCGACGTACAATTACAACCGTCTCCCGTTGCCAAGAGTGGATCTGTTGTTACCAGCAAGTACGGAAACAAATTTGGTTAGGTTCTCTGAAAACCTCCTTCCACCTCATATACGAGTCAAGTTCAACGCAGACTTCATTGACAGCAAGCCAAATTTCGAAGAGTACATCAAGAGATTGCGCTACTGGCGGAACCGCTTGGAAACTAAACTTGACAGAGCTCCGAAGATAGAAAACATGGAAAAATGGTGTCCACATTTGAGCAATTTCCATCACCAGAAGTTTGAAGATATCGAGATTCCTGGTCAGTATCTTCTGAACAAGGACAGCAATACTCATTTTGTGAAAATTGCTCGATTTTTACCTCATGTTGAATTTGTTCGCGGTACCCATTCTTCATATAGAAGACTGACGATTCGAGGCCACGATGGTAGTTTACACTCCTTCGCTGTTCAGTATCCGGCTGTAAGGCATTCACGCCGCGAGGAAAGAATGTTCCAATTGTTCCGTCTTTTCAATGAAACTCTATCCAAAAACGTGCAAACGCGTCGGAGAAACATTCAATTCACACTTCCAATTGCAGTACCACTGTCACCACAAGTCCGCATAATGAACGATAGCGATACTATAACAACGATGCATAGCATTTACGATGACTATTGTGATAACAATGACATGGATAGAAACGCGATACAGGATTTCGTCTGTCAACAATTGGATGCAGCATACGATAAAGTCCTACCGCCCCCCGATATAACGGCCGTCAAAGTTGAAATTTTCAGTTCCGTGCAATCCATTTACCTCCCTTCAACAGTCATGAAAGATTACTTTATGAAACTTTTCACTCAATTTGAAGACTTCTGGCTTTTCCGCAAACAATTCTCATCACAGTACGCGTTGTTTGTTTTTATGACTTACATGCTTGCTATCAATAACCGCTCACCCCATAAAATTTCGATCGACCAAGCTTCGGGGGATGTCTTCACTACAGAGATGCTTCCAGCGAGATATCCGTATGAGAGGGTTAAGCAGACAGTGAAAAACTTTGAGGCCAAAATACCAGCGGACTCGCCAGTATTTCATAACAATGAGGCTGTTCCGTTCCGATTGACACCTAACGTGCAAAAACTAATAGGTGACTCTGGTCTCGAGGGTATATTATCAGTCAACGTTTTTGTTGTGGCGCGTGCGTTACTGGAACCCGAAAATGAACTGAACACTTACTTATCACTTTTCATTCGTGACGAGGTCATTTCATGGTACAGCAATCTGCATCGCTCTATTGTTGAAGATCCTCAATTGCGGGAAATTGTACGCACCAATGTTGACCTCATCACACGGAAGACTGCCCAACTGGGACACTTAAGCTCGAAGCCTTCGGTCGCCACTCAGTATGTTTTGGATGCCATCAGTGCTGCTGTCAGTCCTAGAAACTTGGCGAAAATGGACCAAAGTTTTATGCCATACTTTTAGAGTCCTAGTCTGTACTTATATAATTAATATATCCGTATTTCAAGCACGAACACCTTGATTCCAGCAAAGCACTTAAGGTGGTTAGAGATGATTCAAATCTCCTGTGACCTTAGTTCGCAAAGTTTGCGGGAAACTGGTTTTGTTTGTACCATCACATCTCAAGTTACAATGAAAGTTGACTGTTATCAAGCATTAACACGCCAAATTTCCAAGAAAGGACTCTATTCCTAGTGGCTTTCCTGTGACTTCAATCGAGCTAAGGAAAACTGCAATGTTAGCCTAAGAAGAAGAAATATCAATGCACCGCCAGTGCCAAACACTGACTCTTACCAAAAATATAGAGGGAAAGCGTCATTTGTTCGTCACACAGACATATTTGCGCCTCAAAAGTCAAGGAATGCTAAAACTATCGGAATAGGTTCGACGACTTCAACCAGCGTCCAAATGTGACGATCCCAAAATGCAAAATTTGGCTCCCAAAGACTAGCACTCGCCTCAGCCATTTGTTTAGCTCATCCATTCATACAATTTGCGCTCTAGAAACGTCAACGGTCCCGAAGGAGGTTTGACACCTTCTCGAACCCATACGCCATGACTTCCCATTAAATTGGACATAATAATGTCGGTGAAAAGTCGGTCTCCAACCACAGCGATTTCTCTTGGATCATCAGTGATGTTATGCTTAGCAAAATGCTGCAAAACCTCGTCGCGGCAGCCAGGTTTCTTGACTGCATGTCGTAAGACCGGCACTCCAAGTGATTTTTCCAAGAAGGCAGCTTCATTTCCAGTGTCGTCATTGCTACCAGCGCTGTTGCTCACAATGAGCAAAGATGCGCCAGGATACTGTTCTTTCAGCTTCACCCATGTTTTCTGCACAAACGCACACGCATCTAGGTTAGTATAGTCCAGATTTCGCTGCCAAGCATTACAAGACCAAAGAAGTCCGGAGTATTATCATCATCATACCTCGTAGTCCGACCACACGGTATTTGTGTGCGGATATGCGAAACAGTTGTCCTTGTCGAGCACAACGCCTTTTATAGAGGGCCCAATCGGTATCGGGAGCTGACCAAAGTTCTCGATAGTGGTTTGTGGGATACACAATTTTGGATTCACCAAAAGGCGCAGAACATTGACCGTTCCACTGAAGTTCATGACGCGTTCGATAGAGATATTTATACCGAATGAAGCGCAGATTCAGCGCGCAAAAACTACGGAATCTTCAAGAAAAGAAAACGGTGATGTGCTTTGGTTTTAAGTATAAATCAATTGGAGCTTGTTGGTGGATATAAGCGATGAGATCAGATTGAGTGAAAAATTCAGTCACGTTACCTAATTTAAATGACCTCCGTCGACAGTGATCTTAAATTTTGGTAAATTAGCGATTTTAGGTCAACTAAATCTCAACTGAACTAACATCTTCATTCAACAGATGAATCATCTCATCGGAACCGTTTACGCTCTTTTAGCACTTCTGAGGTTATAATCTGGACTATAAAGGCTATGGAAGCTGCTCAACAACCGAAGCCCGCTCAAAAACGCAACTTTCGTAGGACACAAGGTGCCCAAAATCGGCTTGAAAAAACGGTTGAAAAAGAGGTCGGATCGACCAGAAACGCTTCAAATTTGGGAGACCGAAGCAAAACTGAGTCCGCTGAAGATGATGATTTGTGCCTGGTGTGTGCCGAGAAGATTGTGTACGCTGCAGTAGCACTTTGCAATCACGTAGTGTGTCATGTGTGTGCGTTTAGACAACGGGCTCTGTATGAAAAAAAATCGTGTTTGGTATGTCGCACTGAAGCTGAGGATGTAATCATCTGCCAAGATAGAGACGCGAGCTATGGCTCGTTGAAGGAGGAAAATAAATTCGCCGAGGTTAATGAGAAATACGGATTATCATTTATAGAAGAAAGCGCTGCACGCAGCACCTTGGATTTGCTCAAGTTCACATGCCCCTTTGGCGACACCGGTAGCGATGAGGATTTTGGCAGCTACAAGAAATACAACTTGCATTTGAAAAATGAGCATGCAAAAACGCTGTGCATGATATGCGCATCCCACAAAAAAGCGTTTCCTAGAGAGCTCAAAGTCTACACGCCGAACCAATTACGTGTTCATCAGTGCAAGGGGGACTCAAAGGGGTTTTCGGGCCATCCAATGTGCAAGTTCTGCTCAGGTCAACGGTTTTACTCAGAGGATGAGCTTAACATTCATATGCGTGACAGGCATGAAAGGTGCCATATCTGTGACCGCATTGATTCTTCCAAACCGCAATACTTCAAAGACTATGACCAGCTATTCGAGCATTTCAAAGCTGCGCATTACGTGTGCACCTTCCAATTATGTCTGGACAACAAGTTTGTCGTCTTTGAAGACGACCTAGACCTGCAAGCCCACATTTTAAAAGAGCACGGGAGTATATTGGGAGGTGGCAGTAGCTCAGCGTTGACAAACGGCGGACGTCGTTATCAGTCGCGGCTCTCGACATTCGAACAGGCTCCTAGAGATTCTGGTTCTCAGCGGTCAACTCGAAAGAAACCAACTAATGAAGAGGATTCTGATTCTTTGGAAATGAAGAGCAAAAGAATGCAGGAAAGGGCAAGAAACTATTTGAACTACTCTCATAGCGACTACGAGCAGTTTCTTGCCATTAATGAAGGCTACAAGAACGGAATGATGAGTGCCGAAGATTTGTTTACGGCTTATCAAAACTTATTCCAATCTGCAGAAGCGAACACAACATTACTTTTGTATGACTTTTCTGAGTTATTCTTCAAGAATTCCAAAAACTATAAGGACCTGCGCGCGGTCTACGATAGAGAGCAAGAAAAGCAAGACAGACGCACTAATTTCCCTTCCTTGAGCTCCTCGAGTCCGAACTTACTCGCAAGAAATGTGGTTAGTGGAAAATGGGGAGGAAGTGCGGGATCGGCCAAACCAGCGGCTCGTCAATACAATTTCCCTTCATTGAAAAAGCCATCAGAGCCGGCATTTCCTGTTTTGAAGCCCACACCTGCGCCTCAAAAAAAAGTGGTCAACGCTATATCGAGGCCCAATAGCGTTAGTGGCACGCCGAAGTCTAACTCGGCAGCTGCTAGTAACTATAAGCCGACCTATTTACAAGACAAAAAGTCTGCCTCCAGCTCCACGACATCACTTGACCGAAACATGTTTCCGCCGCTTCCAAAACCACAGAAGCCAACATTCCGTGCACCATTGGTGAACAAACCCAATATTCCAGATCCAACACAGTGGGGAAGAACTTCTTGGGATTCACCAAACACGTCTGAATCAGAGACAATATCTCCGTCGCATGGCAAAAAGAAGGGAAAGCAAAAGCAACTCCTTTTCCACATTGGCATTTAAATAGTTAGATAAAAGGATAGATCTCGCATGTTTAAAATCATTTGAACGTTATTTTATTGGTAAAATGCTTTCCATGCGACAAGTTTGTCGACAGAGGGGACATTCTGGTCTTTTTTGCGACCAGTCGAGAAGACAGCGCCAGCAAAAAACATGCCCGCATGGTCCGCAACTGGGATCTGTCATCCACTCCAGGCATAAAATGCATTTTCGGGAGCTTTCTTTTATGAACGGCAATTCCTCCAAATCTTCAAGGTGTATATGATCGACTTGATCGTCGGGAGGAATTTCGGACAGTAAAAGTGAATGTTGGTCATCGGAAGGTCTTCTTTTGTTTTCATCTGCCTTCAAAACTGATTTCTTAGACCAATTCCAAAACTCAGGCAAATCCTTTGATATGATTTTCAAAAGTAAAAAGCTACCCAAAATTTTGTAGGTTTGATCGCTCGACTGTCTAAATTTCTCTTCAGACTCATCAAGAGTACGTGCAGTAAAGTATCGCAGACCAAAAATGCGCTTGGAAATGTGATAGAAGGATCCTTTGAAATAAAAGACGATCAGATGGATATCGGTAATCGCATTGAGAATGACTCTCAAATCGTGGTCTTCAATAAGTTTGAGCATCCGCGACAAATTGCGTTGCATGACAGTTTGCGGTTTTTCCCCATCCTCTTCTTTTTCGGAGTTTTGCGTGTCACTGTACTTTCTGGAGAGAACTTTAAGAGTTTTAGATAAAATGTACGGCAGAAGCGTGTATGAAAGTATGAACAGCAGACGCTGCTTCATATTTGTGAGTTTATCGCCTTTTTTGTCCAAATAAACCAAACTCACATATTCTTCACCCAAGGTTCTTCTTCCGCGAAGCGTACTCAAGCAGAGATACAGAGTTTTCGCCGCAATACTTATTTCTGTGCCGTAAACATTGGCAAAATACTGGCTTTTCAGTTTTTTGGCCAAATCCTCGAGCTTCGTCGTCAGCAGAGTCTCGATCTGCTCATCTTTCTGATGAGATTGAACTATGAACAAGGTATACAGTTAGCATGGCAAAACCAGCTTGGCAGGTGTCTTTAGAACCCAAAATTTTCAGTGATTATTTTGAATAACATACCAATTGATGCAGTATCGGCGGCTTGGAGCCTACGGGCTGTGGTCATGGCATAGCGTTTGATATCATGATGAACTTTTGACATCAAAGCTACTGGAACTTTGACAATTAATATATACATATATAATTCACTGTCATGTGATGTTGAAAACAAGAAGAAGAGCGCCGAAGAGAGTCCAAAGTTAAGGATAAGAGATTCTAGAAGAGTTGAACTGTCATGGAGTTATCCAAAAATGATTATTGTTTAGGAATAAAGCAAGAAAGTGCTCTATTCATGGAGGAGGACGATAAATTCTGAAAGACAGTTTTGGTTATCAAAAGCTAATTTTTATGTTGCTGCATTTGGATTGTTAGAATTGCCAGCATATTACGCAACTCTGTGATCTCGCTAGCTTTACTTGTGGTGATGTCTGTAAAATTCGATATGAAGCAACTTAAGTCCAGAAAAAAAAGTAAGCTCAACGATTTTTGAAATGAAACGTCTTGCTAGGTACCGGGAAACTGAATTTGATGCTATATGATGAGCCAGAGATGCTAGCTTGGTTTTATAGTCATTTTATAGGTGATGACAGCGATCTTCTATAATCATCACTTTATACTAAATGTGTCACTGACATTGAATTTATGCCAAGTGTCATTCCAGATCACAACACTCGAGCGTACTTTGCATAAATGAAATTATAAGATCCAAGAGCTTGAGTGGCAGCTTCATCTTATGAGATAGTCAGTGACATTACTGCTAATCTTGATGTCTGGTATATCATCGAAAAAAAATGTTTCAAAACATCTCATCCCAAAGCTTTGAGTAAAACATTTCAATCGCCCTATAAAACCATAAAACTCGTTGTAGCGGACTGGTAATTGGATTCAAAATAGTCTTACTGCTTGCCGTTTGCAAGTTTCGTTAAAATCGTCTATATAAATTGGTCACGTGACCCTTGTCTAATTCGAGCAGATGTGATTGATAGCCATCTAGCTAACGCTCAACTAGAACACTCATCGCAGAGATGCCGACTGAATAGAGACGAGCAGAACTCCGGTCCTCTCTCTTTAGCCATGGGAGATGTTCAAATTTCCAGTTCGGAAGAACCGAATTCAGCTCGCCAGAAAAAGAACGATCAAATTACAGAAAGAAATCGGCAATTTGACAGCTGGACGAGTAAAGACTTCAAGAATGGTGTTTATCAGCTATTCCGGGGCAAACAAGATGCATCAGATAGAATTGGGAATGAACTTCTCATGAGAAGGGCACTGGACGATTCTGCAGAATCTCGAGACTTCCTTATAACGCAATTTCGAGAAAATATCGACACTGGCCTAGCAATCCTAGGCTCATGGAGATCGGGCACTGCAGACATCTTATTTCGGTGTTTTGAAGAACAAAAGGCGTCAAATTCGCTTGTTCTCGAAGTGATACGAATTTTAGAGCTCAAAGAGCACAAAAGGGCTGACACAAGCAGTGCTAGCGGGTCTGAAACACACAATAATTCTCTCAAAGGATCTGACATCTCTACTCCATTCTTATTCACGGTGGCCGCGGAGCTCGTCTCTAAATTTAATTTGGACTTTGACACTGTCAAGCCTTTGGTGAAAATGGCCGTTTTAAGAAGCCACGGGCAGGTAGAACCTATTAAGTTGCTGCACGCGATGGTCATGAAATATGGAGAACAATTTCAAATAGAGTTGCTCAACGTCTTCACCTCATTGCTTCAAGAAGGACTAGAAAAGAGTGACCTTATGCAGTCTTACCTTATCAATGTCGTTTCCGTCCTAAAGGCCCTCTACTTGCAAGCAACAGCTTTCTGTACAGAGCTCTTCCTTAGCGAGCAATTCCAAACCGTTGCGCAAACGAATTTTTTCAAGACAAGCCAAGTGACTAGCTCGATTTTAGATCTAATGTCAACCGCTTGCATTGATAGCGTGGCAAGGAACTACATTGCCGAGAAGTACTTCACTCTACTAAGCGAATGTCTAAGTGTCGAGCGTTACAAGTTTGCAGCCAGCTTAGTTTTGCTGAAGACTTGGAATTTTACTAAATTGAAGGGTGACGCGGTCGATGACATGGCATCCACCCTGATAAAGCAGCTCAATATGCCCAAGAAGCAGCAGAAATCAATGGATAGCCTCAAGCAGGATGAACTGGCTGTAGAAGGTTTGGCATACCTCACGCTCAAAGCATCCGTGAAGATGCTGTTGTTTTCGAATTCAGACTTTCTTGATACCCTGATCGAGTATCTTGGGGAAGAGAACACTCCTAATTCCATGTATTATGGTATTCTGGTGATTCTCGGTAATTTATCAGATTTGCAGAGCTCTAGCACATCCGCTGGCAAGTCTATAGAAGAGCTGAAAGCTCGCGCAGAGCCGAGTACCATGCGGGACGGCGAGAAAACAAATATAAAGGATGAGACTGTCCTGAAATTCATTTCAGAATGCATCTTAAGTCGCGACGTGATAGGCATTGTGAAAAGACACATAAAATCGAGGAAGATGCAGGGAACTGGTTCGCATCATCAGCTCCTAAGATTAATTTTTAGTGCGGCCCAAAACAAAGCTTACATCACTACCCTGGTATCGCAGGGTAGCGTCACTGTTCTACTCGAATCTTTGGCTTTATCAAACATTCCTTCGGAGGTGAGAGTCTTGGCTTTACGCGCCTTAGCTAGAACTTTAACGGCAGTCAATCCCCAGCTTGTGTTCAAAGAATATTCCGCGTTGAATGCCTTGCCATTTTTGTTCGAACTCATCCCTGATCCAGAAATGTCTTCGGAGAGTCACTTGCAAATCAAAGATACATATGAGTCATTACTGGCATTGACTAATCTCGCCACTTTGTCCGAAGGCGCTATCATTTGTGAAAAGATCATGTCAGTTGCAGCGTATTGGGATAAGTTAGAAAATTTGATGCTCGATTCGGTAGTGGAAAATCAAAGATCTACACTCGAGCTATTTTCGAATATGATGGCTTCCTCCTTGCGTGTTGCGGTCAAATTTTTCAACTTTCAAAACCCTCTGAGTGTCCGCAATTTCAAGATTCTTGTAAAACTGCTCCATTTGGATGACAGAAAGTCAAGGCTGGCGGTGGCTGCGATTTTCGCTAACATTGCGACTTCGGTTCCTTTCATTGCCGAAGAACTTGCTCGACAACCGGAATTGATTAAAAACTCGATAGAGTTACTGGAAGATCAGAAAGGCGATGCAGAAATGCGTCATCGTCTTATTGTTCTTTTCGATGCGTTGATAGGTTTCGGCCTTGATACGGAGGCTTTCTCGTCTCAGAAATCAGAACTCAAAAAGGCTTTGTCAGGAATTCAGAACGAGGAGCCCTCTTCTTCGGAGTACAGCATATCCATCAGGGACATGTTAGCCAAACTATAAAACTCAAGTGACATACGGATTCTGAATAACCCAATCAGAGATGTTAATCTCACACACCCAATACTTACGAGGAAACGCTGTCATGGCCCAAATTTTAACGAAAAAAAAAACGAACGAATATGGACCGCGGGGTGCGTTGAACTAAGACGTTAAGAGCCATCAGATCAATCACATAAGTGACTTATCGTTTTTAATAGGCAGGATCATAAGATGACAGCGAAAATTCGTTTTTTTTCCAGCTCCACCTGGTGCTACAAACTCTTTCGTTTTCCGGAAAAACAAAACCCGTTCTTATTCCAGAAAGACGTACACCTACAAAAAGCCATCGAGAAAACTCCATCTTTTGATCAAGACAAAGCCTTCGGTGGGTTCGCAAATGGTTCAGATGCTTGTTTTATCTCACTTCAATCTTTTACTGGCGCCTGGCTTTTGCGAGTCCTGCGAGTACTTCCGTACATGGTAACCTCATCATCAATCAAAATGGATGATTTTGTTTGACAACGCCTCGCTAAACCGCCCTTCACAGCGACATCAGCTCGCTTCTGTTTACTTTCCGCTTAGCTTCAACACTTTCTCAATCTAGCAACTGAGAATAAGTACCATGGAAGACCAGGAAGAAATTGAGGCTCCCAGTGCCGGTGAAAGTCTAAGTGCATCCATCTCATCGATTGAGCCAATAGCGCCAACGAACGATAGTGAAGGCGCAGTGGAGGATGTTTCTCTCAACAATGATGAAGAACAGCTTCATACAGAAGATCCTATACTAGCAAAGTACCGGGAAGCATGTCAGACAGGAGATCTTACAACAGTTCGGTCTTTGATAGAATCTGGTGTGGTAGATCCAAGTCACGATTATAGCGACGAAGAAAGAGTTACCGGTCTCCATTGGGCTTGTATCAATAATAGGCTGGGAGTGGTGCGATATTTGGTGGAAAATGGTGTTGACATCAATTTTGCAGGTGGGAAACTAGATGCAACACCTTTACATTGGGCTGCCAGGTACGGATATGTTTACATCGTGCATTACCTGCTGGAAAAAGGAGCCGACCCAAAGCTCCTTGACAAGCAGGGCTTTAATGTTGTGCATCTATCAATCAACTCATCCAATGTGATGCTTGTTCTTTATTGCTTACTTTTTATTGTCGGTGATGACATTAGCATCGACACTTTGGACCCCAGCCGCAGAACTCCACTATTATGGGCCGCATACCAGGGCGATTCTTTCTCTGTCAAAGCGCTGCTCGAATTTAAGGCGGATTCATCTATCATCGACTCCGGTGGCTTCTCCCCTTTACACTGGGCTACAGTCAAAGGACAACCTCAAGTAATCAAAGCTTTGATTGCTGATGGCGCTGACTGTCACCAAAAGACCAATGATGGCAAAGACTGTTTCATAATTTCCAAGGAGCTTAACACAGTAGACAGCCTCTCTCTGGCCTTGCTAGAGAATGGATATGAATCCGACGGCACTCCGATGGTAAGGTATTTATGGAGCTCGCAAAATGCCAAACTTATCACTTTCATTGCACCTTTTGTACTACTGGGTGTCGTTTTCCAGCTATTTACATCACTGCATTATCTGCCGGCTTTATTGTTGTCTGCATTCACAGGCGTTGGAACTATTTTGGGTTTGAAAAAGATGGTGTTTCCATCATACATCACAGAAATAAACGGAAACAGTTTTTTAAAGACACCATTTTGGGCTGGCATACTATCGGGAAGCATTGTATGGGTCATCTTTGTCTGGCTGTCCAGAGTGGCGGCTAATACTTTCGAAGAAGACCCGTTCTGGAACGTTTTTTTCTTTCTCTCTGCTAGCGCCTGCCTTGTGTCTTTCCTCAAGTTGCTCTTCTCTGATCCTGGCAATATATATAAAGAAGAAGAGCGTGGAAAGATTCGTGAAACTGTTCAGGAACTTCTTAAGGCTGGTAAGTTTGACACCAGACATTTTTGCCTTGAAACATATGTGCGGAAACCTTTGAGGTCAAAGTATTCGAGATTCAGCTCCGCGTTGGTAGCGCGATTTGACCACTTTTGTCCCTGGGTTTACAATGATGTTGGTTTGAAAAACCACAAACTGTTCCTGTTTTTCCTAATGTTTTTGATGATGGGTGCGATCACCTTTGCCAAACTTTGCTTTGAGTATTTTGACTATTTGGAAGACAATTCCAAGACAGATTTCAAATGCGGAATTTTTGACGATGAAGTGTGCGCTGGACTAGAGCTTGACCGTTTTGCGTTTCTTGTTATGGTATGGGCATCTTTGCAAGTCCTATGGGTGACCTGCGTTCTGACCACGCAGATGTTCCAAACTTTCAAGGGTATAACCAACTACGAGCTCAGTGAAAAGTCGCGGAAACTGCACGGGCGCAACGACTCGATGGAGTATTTTGTGACTACGCCTACTGATCTGATGGATGAGGAAGAGCTGAATTCACTGAATCAACCAGCTGCTGATGTCAATGACGTTAGACTGATGAAGTCGCGCACATGTTTGGGTACCTTCTGTGGGTTCATTGGTGTGGATCAGCTTCCTATCATATTTTCCGGTCTACTTAGACGTCGAAATGGAGTTTCTCCAGCAACGACGAAAAAGTTTCCAACTGATAACGGATGGAAGACCAATTTTAAAGATTTTTGGCTTTTGAGCGATCGCAGTGCTCCGCTCTGGCAACGATTCTTCTTCTCTCCTCGCGACTTCAGAGCACTCTACAATAATACCGAGGTTGACTACAAAACTCTCTACGCACTACCAGAAGCCACACTACCGCTTGAAGAGATGGTTTAGCGTCAGATGAATAAACCAATTGCAAAGCTTCTCTATTAAATTCGTCAAAGCTATGAGTCTTGTCAGCTTTACACTCAGAATCTGAATTTATTCTCGAACTGATTGAGAAGCGCGGTTTCATTCGTGACGCGTAAAACAGAAGCAGTACGCGTAAACGCGAAGATTTAATATTGCATCGAAAAAAGCTCTGATACCGATGTACGAAGGAGGCTCTCAAATTTGAATTTGGTCAACATAAAGAGATGCTTCAGTCCACAGTCTAAGGCGGTTGCACACCTCAGGAATATCACGTCCAGTAATGGGTATCCAGGGCTTACTTCCTCAATTAAAGCCTATACAGCAGCCGGTGACTTTATCCCGCTACGAGGGACAGACGTTGGCAATTGATGGGTACGCATGGCTACATAGAGCTGCTCATTCGTGTGCCGAGGATCTAGCGCTGGATTTACCCACCACTCGGTACTTGGAGTATTTTGCCAAACGGCTGCAAATGCTGCGAGGTCGCTTTCACATCGAACCCTATGTGGTTTTCGATGGTGATGCTTTGATGGTGAAAAAAGATACAGAAGTGAAGAGAGGGCAGAAAAGAAAGGAAAGTAGATCCAAAGCCTTGCAACTTTGGAACTCTGGTGACAAGAGACAAGCTTTCGAGTATTTCCAGAAATGTGTCGATGTAACACCTGAAATGGCCAAATGTATTATAGATTACTGTAAGACACAAAAGATACAGTACGTGGTGGCACCTTTTGAGGCTGACGCGCAGATGGTGTATTTGGAAAAAGAAGGCCTGGCGCATGGAATTCTCTCAGAAGATTCGGATCTTTTGATTTTCGGATGCCGCAGGCTGATCACAAAACTCAACGATCATGGTGAAGCGATAGAGATTTGTCGTGACGATTACCCTAGTCTACCAGCCAAGTTTCCGTTAAGTGAAATGACTTCGGAGCAAATAAGGGCTATGGTCTGTCTTTCGGGCTGCGACTACACATCCGGTATTCCAAAAATTGGACTCCTGACAGCAATCAAGTTGATTGTTAAGTTCAAGACGATGGAAAAAGTGATTCAAAGTATCCAACGGGAGGGAAAACGCATCGTGCCCAAAGAATTCATGGACGAATATCGGCGAGCAACTTACGCTTTTCGCTTCCAAAGAGTTTTCTGCCCGAAAAGCAATGTAATCACAACGCTAAACAAAGTACCGCCAGAACTAGAGACCCTTGAAGATCTGTTCAGTTGCATAGGAAGAGTCATTCATCGAAAGGAACGGATCAAACGGGTGGTGGTGAACTCTAATGAAATTGACCACGAATTGCATGCAAAAGTTGCGAGGGGAGATTTGTGCCCTTACAATTTTGAAAAAGTTTTGGTGAACCGTGAGCGAAAGTTGCAAATAACCGCCAAATCTTTGCCGAATATTTCTTGTGCGCCTTCCAGTGAAAGGTGTATCGATACTTTTTTCAATAAGTCTGCTTTAGTGACTGTGTCAGCGGTGCCAGAAAACACCGACATCAAAGTTCGACTTGCCCAAAAGAAGCTGGAGGAAAAGATGATACAGAGTGGAAAGAAAGTAGAGTCCACTATTGAGCGCCGAAAACTGTGCCGCCATGACACCGCATTACGTGTTAGCGCAGAAAGTAAGTTTTTCGGTCAATCACAAAAACTTTCAACCAGTTTGACCGTGGCTGGCATTTCTGCCGAATCCCAAAGCGACGAAGCTAATAAGTTGAACTTGAAACGAGAATTGCCGGTTGGCGAAGACAGCTTCTCTGAGGTACCCAGACTTACACCTGCGAGTAGTGACGCCGAAATTTCGCAAGAAGACATACCCACCGAAATTCCGAGCTCGATGCTATCGACGGAGATCCCAAGCTCCTTGGTACCTACTCAGACAGACCAGGATTCCACACCATTTAGCGAAGAAGACTCTGAAATTTTGAGCGAAGTGGATGAGACTACAAAAGCAGATCAAATTCAGACTAGACCTTCAAAAAGACACTGTGCGTCCTTGGCTGACCTGCGCAACACTTACCAGTACCAAAGAGCACCATTGCAGCCACGAGATCCGAACGCTGTTTCTACAGCTGTTGCGGACAAGACTTCGCGGAAAACTGTGAATACTGAAAAGCAAAGGCCCGCTGCAAGCAGGCCACACTATATGGCTTCACCATCGTCGACGTCCGCTCCACGTCAAGCCAGACGAGCTGTGAGTTTATCGGAGTTTATCTATCGGGGACAGTAACTGTGGGCTCTCTCCCAGGCTACATAAAAGGTGGAATGAGAAGAAAAGTTTAAGCGTATTTGATGAATAGATAGCGGGATGAAGTATATACGGGATGGAGTACTGGACACTATTGTCTCATGCAATCGAGTACCTTTCTAACGTCCTCTTAGACCATTTCGTAGGACCAGTGTCATGCTCGTATCAAATGATCCGATGTTTTTAGCCCCAATTCTCTGTCGTTATTACTGCATCTTGAATTCACAGTATCACAATCCTATTGTGCGAGCTACCATCACTATGATCACTGTCATCAAGACATTATTTCCCGCTTTCAAACTTTATTTATTTTCTTTCAAGGAAATTACGAAAACTCAAATCTTGTTCCTATTTCAAAATTATTTCAATCAGCAGCTAAAAGCAAGCACTCCTAAATCATGCGCCATTTTGAGACTTGAACCTTACATCACACGTCCGTTTATAGCCCTTTTATTCACCTCTAACATCTCTTATCACTTTATACTTTCCTGTCTTCACCGTTATATCATTCGTATCACTCCTTACGTATCTGTCCCCGTGTTTTCCTTTTTTTCGTCTTTTCTTTTCTTTTCTTCCCTCCTCTCCCAGAATTATCATGCCATTATTTCCTAACGATAATAATCAACGGGAAACTTAAACAATCGTCTTTCAAAGATTTCAACCACGAATCTTACCGAAAGTTCCACACTTTTCCTCCATTAAACGCTTTCACAAGACACAGCCTCGAATCCGTGCTCATTAAGCTACTCGAGACGTTGTTTACAGTTTTTACGCGGCGAAAAAAGAGCATCTGGACGCCCTTAAAACTGCATTACAAACATTTGCCAAAGTCGCCGATATAAAACCGTTTTCGAAGGTGAGAAAACCGATTTAAAACAGTTTAAAGATCGTGTGTGGTTAAACTCGGCGTCAGAAACTCTAAAGATTGGTTTATCCGGAGTCTTGCCCTCTGGTAATAGTCACTTTAGTGGGTGATATCTTTTTCTGACTTTTTTATCTCAAATCGGAGAACATTCGGTTCTTAAAAGAGAAAAAAAGCCAGGACTTTCCATAGACCGAGTTCCTTTTGTGACGCCAGACATGTCGTTCAATCCCGGGCTGAGCGAAGCAGAGGTTTTTCTGGCCTCGTTGCATTCTTCAGAGAGCAGTGATGAATATAAAAGTGATTATTGGGACGCCTACAACAAAAATTCGCCCGGAAGTAACAGCAACAGCAACAGCCACAGTAACAGCATCAGTAACCATTTTGATCCAGACGGTATGTGGACCGAACAGAACTCTGGTAGCTTGAATTTGACGCCGGAATCGTTCCAGGAATTCCCGCTGCAACCTCAGCAGCAGCAGCAGCAGCAGCAACGTCAACAACAACAACAACAACAACAACAACAACAACGGCAACAGACCGCTACGGATTCCAACACTCTCCACGATGATGTGGTCTCGTCTGCAAACCACACGACAGACGACGTTTACATCAAAACTGATGAATCGCCAAGTTTCGCGTTCGAATCCGGAGAGCTCCAGGATTTCATGAAAAGTGAAAAGTCCCCAGGATTGGATTCCCTGGAATCGCATTCCTTCGCAGATTCCGCACACAGCAAAGTGATGAAGCCCAAACGCGAAAGAGTGTCTCACAACGTCATTGAAAAGAAGTACAGAACTAACATCAACGACAAAATTCTACAATTAAGGGACATTATCCCAACGCTTCGTTGTGCTGTGAAGCGTGCTACTGGTGAGGCACTGACGCGTGAAGATTGTGTAGAGCTCGATGGGTTGGAAGTGGCCTGCAAGCTTAACAAGGCCTCGGTCCTGATCAAAACTATCGAGTACATTCGCCATCTAGAAAACAAATGCACTACCCTTAAGTTCGAGAACTCAAAGCTCAAAACCGGCCAGGGTTTTACCACCCCAGAAAGTGACAGAAACGTTTCCAGTAGTGCAAACGATTTCGTTGCCAATTTACCCTCCGATCGGTCCACTCAACACGGCACACCCTATGCCGAAGCCTATCCGCAGAAACAGGAGTTTTCGCCCAGCAGGTACTTGATGGGTGGCCTTGCTTTGACAATGGGTGCGTCCTGCTTCGGCGATGGTAACGACCTCGACAATGCCAAGAGTTTGATGTCCATGCCAATAATGCACTATTCTCCGGGCAGCGGTCTGGCTTTTTCTAACGCCAATGGCGTCATCAGCTTGCAGGCAGCATTCCTTTCTATCCTTCGGCTCATGATGTTGCTCGCCACTGGTGTCTACTTTATCCATATACTGTTCGAGAAGTATTTTGGGGGCAAAGAAAAGACACATGAATTGCCATTGGTACCCTTCACAGATACGGTCAATTTCACTGATTTCTCGCATGTCTTTGAAACTTTGAAAAAAACAATTGTATTGAATAGGCTAAAATATCCTGTCAACTCTATCGAAAGAATCGAGTCAGAAATCGTCAATTGTTTTGCCTTGAAATTTTATCGCTTTAGGTTTCCACTCAAGATATGGAGTAACAGGCATATCCACTCATCATGGTCCAAGATCAAGAAACAAGTCGAGCTGGCCAATCTTCGAAATGGCGGTGCTCTAAAAAATGGAATTGAATGGGGTATGATCACAAACGTTGTTACAAGTTCAAAATTAGACACCTTGGATTGTGAGCAGCTTGAAGAAGCTATTGTTGAAAAAGGTTCCTTTACGCTGAAAGAATTCATTCAGTTTGTTAACAATTTTATGGTCAAATACCGAAGTGATGCTGTGGTCGTTAGTTTGCTCACTGAACTAAGCTCTGCTGAGAAGTCTACCAATGAAGTCACTGAGAAGGTTTTCGAATCCAAAGTTTTCAATAACACAGACCTTCAGACGTCAACCGAGAGCTTGACCGTTTTGAATACTTTGTTTGAACCAACCGAAAACAATGTAAATCATTTGCTCAAACTAGTAAAGCAGAAAATGGAAATGGGCGTACCAGTTAGCGACCAAATACTAGTCCTTTATTCCGGCATAATAAGGAGTTTGCTTTCAAGCGGCCATGTTAAACAGGGTTGCCACTGGGCTTCGAATATTCCTGCGAAACAAATTGCTGCTAAGGATACTTCGATTATAGGCGTTGCTGCCATACTTCTGGTTCTCAAGAGCTTGTTCGCGGCACCGCAATCTGAAGAATGGCAGGAAAATTGTCTTGAGCTGGATGTTTTGATCGGGAATGTAAGGATATGGCTTGGAAATGATTCGAACTCCGGCTTGAGCTTGGACGCTAAGGGTAAACTCGTTGATTTTTGTGTTGATTGCGCACTGATATGCGGAAGCAGGCAGCTGGATGAAGACACCGATGTGGAAAGTCCGAGTGAGGATTTGAGCGACGATGAACTAGTCCGGTCAGATGTTTGAATCAAAAGGTATTTAAAAGGGCTTTAAAGAACTCATGGGAACAGAGGTTCATAAATGTAAAATAGACAATTTGGTCAAGTTTGTAAAGAAAGAGACGATATGTCTTAGGTGCATATATTCATAGATAAGATTTAGTACGTCTAATCAGAGACAGTAGTACGCTCCAAACACAGCGTTCGGTATTCCGGGTTTTCGATAGCAGTCCAGGTCAAAGACAGTTTCCATTATCCTCTGTTTCAAAAGTCATAAGTCATAAAAGCTAGATTTAAACCATACAGTTTCAATGACGCCAGATTTTCATGCCGAAACAAGTGCCTCTTGGATAACAAAGACCGCACCATTCTCAACCTCGTCCATGAGCTCTAACTCAACCATAGCCTCTGGGATGGTAGACCCAGGAATAATCTTACTCGTTGGCAGCAATCTGAACTTTCCGTCCTGCGCTGACAACATCATATCGCCATACATTTGAGGTTTTTCGGAACCTTTTTGACATGTCAAGGAGGAAAGTACAGCGGTGGCGCCCGAACCGTCGTCCAACAAATCTTTAATCCTCTGCGCCTTGTCGTTGCTTACTATCGTAGCTATGTGGTTTTCCACAAAACTTCTAATATTGTCTCTGACTGCCCTTTCAATGGTTTCTTCGTCCGACGTCTGTGCCTCCAAAGCTTCCACGTCGATTGGGAATTGCCAGGGTTTTTTTGAGAGCCTTTCGATGGCATCGTTGGATGGAGCCAAAACCACAAGATACGAAGAGGGGTCACTTATCATGCTTGACAGAACGATGTCATCTCTCAAATATCTTGAAAAAATGCTGATATCGCTATAAGAGGGCAGTTTTGAATCCAAACAAACTGGGCTCCACGTTTCTTGTGATTTTAGGTCCTTATGCTCATTATGCTCGCCAGCAGCATACACTTGCTGTCTTTCGTTCTCCCTCTTTTTCAGTGACTCTTTTTCGAGCACTTCGTCGACATTCAAAGGAAATACGTTTTTGGCGTCTCTAGATTCCAAGATCCTGACTCCAGCAGGCAGTTGGCGTTTAAATTTGCCAGTTTCGGGGTCAAGTTTTATGTCGAGATGAGCAACGTTTTTCGCTTCCATTAGACTGGCAAATAGGCATGTTATCAAACAGAAAGTTCGGTGATTGAAAGCACAGATCTTCATCGCTAAGGTTCACGATAATTTGAAGAAAAACTGGTTCGGTAGGTTGAGCTATATACTCTTTCTCAGCCTTCCTTTGCAGATGTGGTTAGAAGGGTTATGTCAAATCTTAAATAAAGGCTCATTAATTAATCACTGTATTTTTCAAAAAATAATAATGGAAATTGCGCAAGCCCGGAATCGAACCGGGGGCCCAACGATGGCAACGTTGGATTTTACCACTAAACCACTTGCGCGAGATCTTGAAAGAAAGAAAGATAGCTGTAATATAGCTTACATTTTAGATAGTGTGAGCACGAGATACCTAACATGGTGTACGCGCTTGCTTGCGTTAAAGAGGTCGTCAATTTCTTTCTCCAGCTGAGTTACATTTTCGATTGAAACCTTTTTCTTTAACTCCATTTAACGCCTTACAAATGAAAATTATTTATGCTTCACCATGATCGAAAATGTAGTTCCTGGTCAGCAGTGTCTCCGTAGACTCGTTATCATGAGGCCAGCAATGCTCTCCGGTGTCATCTGCAGGACTTCCATTTTCATCATCTTTCGAGCTCCTAATGCTCGATTTATTATTACTCGCAACGTCTTCCCGCTTACCGCCGCGAAACCGTGACTTGAATGCGCGAGCAGGTCTGGTTATTATCTCAAAGCCCTTCTTGGGCCTGTTTTGTTTCGAATCGGCCGCCACGGAGGAAGCCCTGGAATGGACCGAGCTGTTTTCGGTCACGGTGCTGTCGAAACGGTCGTAGTTGATCTTGGGATCAACGAAGAACCTGTCTTGATTGTTAATTTTTCTTCCCAAAACTGTTTCCTTGCTGAGAGTTCTCTCGCGTTGCTCTAAGACTCCAATAAGACCCCATATATTAACGGTCACCAAAACATTCAAAAAAATCACAACGCACCTCAGCCATTTGCACACATTTTGCGGCGTGACGCTTGTGAAAATCCGGATCCCATATAGTAAGGCCATGACACCCGCATTATAGGCCAGCAATAATACGAGCTCATGGTAATCGCAGAACAAAGATTTCATTTGTTCCCACCGCGACAGGTGTTGGTTGAACGTTTTTGGCCGAAGCGTGAACCCATATTTTCGCCACACAAAACACGAGACCGATAACGTAAAGACGGTGTAAATAATGAAGTCAACCACTCTCAGCACTATCCGAAGACGACTGCTACAGCGTTGTTTGGCCCAAAGTCTCAACCCCATCAAAATAGCCTGTGTGGAGGTCAAAATTAGTCCCACAGCAATGATCTGTCTGTTTCTGTTGCTCAGTATTCTTGGGACCCATTTTCTCTTAGTCTTTTGATAATTATGGAACATGTAGTAAACGATGTGCATCCAATTGAGGTTGCTGATTAAGGTGGTGAAAAAGAACATTACGTTGAATAGTGTGGAGTCGATTATTTTTGCATCGAATTCAGCAGAATTTTGGTAATTTTCATTGTATTGGCTTTCAAAAACTGAGTGCATAGATTTGCTCAGCACCACAGTGTGGAAGACAGCCGAATACGTAACACCCAAAAAAACCATTTTCTTGCGGCTATTATGGTTGTTTGCGGGCAACAATAACAACACGACTAGAAGCATCCACGAGCCCGCACATACGGCACATACTGCGAAGGAGATCAGTAAATTTGCAGACGAGAATTGGTTTTTGCCAATGGCCATAGTCGGTGCGCCTCCACCACTCACAAGTGCTTGTCTGCTATCTGCAATCAATGTTTGCATTAACGATGCATAAACGCTGGTCATATTCTCAGTTCCGTCTCCGGCACAGTGCAGAAAAAAGGCAGGAGCGTTACTATTTTGACTGAAGGGTTGTGATTCTGGGGTTTCCTGGAGCGTAAAGTTACCGCTATTTAGCATGCGGGCCGTACAATTCGGCCACCTTCCGGCATCAAGTTGCTGTTTCAATATCCCCACGAGCAGCTCCAGATGAGTTACATTTTGCTGCAGTGAGGCCATCTCAGTTTCCCACCTCCCAGACCTCTTTCTCGCTGACGATGGAGTGGGACTTTGAGTTTGTTCTGTATCTTTCTTCTGCTGGATGAAGATGAGTTAGAATGACATCCCATTTATATTGGCCGGCCATTTACATGAGTCTGGCTGGTCACATGGTGGTGTCTATCAACCAGTGAAAACTTGGATTGACGACGGCGGTTAGGGAGCTATTCAGTGCTCTTGGAGACTTCAGGAGCATTCTTGACCATATTTGTAGTGGTATGGTATGGTTATACAGCCTTTTGATCTCTGATTGTCTCCCAGTAACCCACCAGAAAGCTAAGAAAATAAAATGGCCATTGTGTATCGAAAGGCTTTCTTTCAAGGTCAGGGAGACCATTTGTAACGAATCTGCGGCTGAGCAGATGTTGGAGTCGGACATTATCTTGGTTTCAGCTCGTCCAGCGCGAAATCTCGCCACAAGCCCAATTCTGTCCTTTTTGACGCAAATAGAGATCCTAGCGCAGTGGGACTCTCAACTAATGGTGGCATAGCTGTCAACTGGCCGCTGCAGTCTACTTGCAAGGGATGAAACTGGTCCCAATCGTCCTCGTCGTGAAAATAGTCCCAAAATGGGTTTATAGGAACCGACGTGTTTTCGGAACGCAACCCGTTTGTGGCAGTGTGGTCTGGAGACATGAAGACATCCTGATTCCAATCTAAATACAAAGAGTGATGGGGTTGGAGAAAATGATGGCTTTGGAAATAGGAGTCCCGATACATCACGATGTATTTGTTGGCGTTTTGATCAGTGACTAGCTCGAAAAGACGTTGGTGTTCTGTCCGATTCGATATCGGCTATATTTACCAGGATTGAGGACGAATCACGAATCCACAGCACAAGTACATTCGTTTAAAATGCTTGATGATTCGGATCATTTAGTATAAGATGATAAGACGCTCAAAGAGTCCGAATGAAGTGCTTTGATGTATGTTCGGATATGCCAATCGTTTAAAGCATTCCCGTAGAGTGTACAAGCGAAGATGCTGATCTGAGCTCATCTTGCACATAACGTACATGTATTAGAAAGAAAGTCCAGTGAAAACGAGCTCCAGCCCAGGGAAAAGAGAGTGTTGCAATCTCTACGAGTAAAATGTATACTAAATACGTGAATGAGATCTCAAATGATACAATTCTCGGTCGTTGACGGTTCCTATTACAACCAAGGTCGTGGACTCCAAACGAAGATTTCGTTTAAAGTGACCGATTCTTGTTAATTAGCGAATCTATGTATGTATGTAATTGACAACGTGATTAGCTCTATTTGTCCCCAGTCCTGATAAATACTAAAATACCTGTGTCACTACGTACGCAATATCGACAACTCCAGTACCGACGTCTGTTTCCCGGTTGGAAGCTTCTTCCTGGGCCATTTGGCTATAAAATGGTTTTCTTCATTGTTAAGGGACGCTCATCTTCCGACTCTCACCTTGGTTGTGGTTTTACCGTTCTCGTAAGTAGGTATACTGTCACTGTCCGAAACGTCTGATTAACTGGCTAATAGCGATTTATGACGCATCATCCTAGAGGAAGTGATGGTATCTGTGAGTAATGATTGTGCTTTCGAATCGAGACTCGAATCGAAACTTCTGGTCCGGTCTTTTTTTTTTATCTTAACACATGTTACGCTTTGGTGTGAATTCTAGTGTAGAAAGCGTAGTCGATGTAGGATCCAAGTCCCTATTTTACGACGCAGTAGTCGTGACCCATACCTTAGATGACTGCAAAAACCTCATTCTTACGGTTCAGTGGCCACAAACGGCCGAACACCATCATTTGGTGGTCAACAATTGTTGTACAGCAGAGCTGGTAAGCAGTTCAAAAAAGTGAAATGGCTTTGGAAGCGCTAACATTAGCCTGGCAGTGATGTAGCACCCGCATTTAGAGAGATACCTAAAGCTGTGAAAAACCTTTTTCAGCATTTTGAGAAAAACGGGAATAAATCAAGGTGTGCCTAATACGTTCTTCCTCTATCAAAATTGACTACATTTTGCCACGGCTCTCTGTTTTTAGTGCAGACGCTTTAGTGCGTACATCGTCGAGCTTCTTAGTCCCATTAATCTTACCTCTAAATCTTGACGATTCTCAACTACTCCCATCGCTCCAAGATATTCGCATTACTACGAACCTAAACCTATTCTCCTTCAGCAATTGGACGCAACCCCAGAAGATGCTCCGTAAACCTCTCCAGCCAGCTACGTGTTCTCAAATTCTGAGTTGACGATTCTTTACATAGGTCGTACATCATAACTTTCATTCATAATTTGGTAATTGTCTGTATTATCAACCTATCTACACACTACTTCAACTAAGCTCACTTCCAAGGGCAGCCACATTAGATGAACCATGGGCTGGTTTAGCAAGACGAAACCAATGGACGACCAGTCTAAGGCTCCTTCGCGGTCCTCCAGAAAACAGTGTTGGGAGGCTCGTGACGGTTACTTTCGCTGTCTAGATAATATATCGGTTGTGAACGCTCTAGACCCTAAACACCATGACGATATCAAAAAGAGCTGCCATGGAGAGGAGGACAAGTTTGAACAAGACTGTGCCACCAGTTGGATTAAATACTTCAAAGAAAAGCGGGTCGTTGACTACAAGAGAGAGAAATTCATGAAAGAAATGGAAAGCAAAAACGCTCAACAAATTGATCTTTCCGGCATGGTAAGAAGATGAAACAGGCGCTTACAAAAAGAACTTTAGATCATTCCACTCGCGTATAAACACCTGTATTTATTTATATGTGTATATTCAGTCCAAACTCATATAGATCGAGTCGTACTAAGGAGAGAGACCAATATGTCTACTGAGTTAAATGCGAGTGACGCACCGCGGTGAAACAGGTGTGCACTGAATTGGTAAGCACCCTGATACGCGTACAAACCTCGCCATTGTTTTTCTCTCGATATTACAAAACTAACTACGTGAGAGAGTGAGGAAGGCAGTTGAAGAGCTTCACGTCTGTTTTCGTATAGAGTGATGTATCTTGTTGTAAGAAATATATCAGCTCATTTTGGCAAGGTCATTAGGAAAGAACCGTTCTCAAATTAACCTGGGGTATAAACTCGTCAGTTGTGTGGACTTTTCTCCCACTTTTATAGTGACCTTTTTCGCCTCGATCCTTATTAGCACGCCCACGTGTATTCTTACATATCGAGAATAATATCACTTTCCACGAAACGATGGATCATAAATCCGGTACCATGGACCGCGGCTATCGCGTTTTTTGTGTCAAAAAGAATATTACAAACCATGTTCCTGCTATCCGGACCCGGATTATCGGCGCTTATCGGATGAAAGAAAGGATTTAGGGGGCTTTTTTGTTTACATTTGAAAAAGCGGACACAAAAGACAACCGCTGGGAATCAAGTATAAAAGGCGAGCGTTTTCTCCCATTCTTTTGGTTTTATTCTGTTCATCAATTGGATTCCTTGTTGTGTTTTGACCTTTATTTCCAGACAACAGTCGCGGTTTCTCCTTCAAGCTTATATATAACTTAGGTAGCTGTTTGTATAACAACCTCCATACTGTATAGATTGAACCTCTCTACTCAAATACCACTTTTCCGCGCCTAATGTTGCAATTGGAGCTTTTGAAAAGAGCTGGCAACGAAGCCATCGACGTGAATCCTGCCATCGGCGTGGACATCAAACTAACCGAGAACGGATCGGACTGGCTATGGGCAGTTTTTTCCGTTTTCGCGCTTAGCGCCTTGATCTACGCTGTTTTGTTCGTGTACTACGAACAGAGAGGCGTCAATCTTCACCGTTTTGCAATTGCCGCACCGCTCAGTATCTCGTTGGTCATGGCTTTTTCGTACTTCACCATGGCTTCTAACTTAGGTTGGACCGGTATCCAGGCAGAGTTCAATCACCAAAAAGTCGCAAATCAGTCGGAAACTCCTGGTGTCAGACAGATTTTCTACGCCAAATATGTTGCCTGGTTTTTGACGTGGCCCATTTTGCTATACCTCACGGAGCTTACCGGCGTTGTGACAGTTGAGTTCGAGGCATTGGCTGAGCGTTCATCATTCTTTGAATTGATTCACGGCCTAGTGCTACAAATCACTGGTAGCTGGTTCTTTATCATCGGTCTCTTGGTTGGATCTTTGATTTCTTCAACCTATAAATGGGGATACTGGACGCTAGCTGTCTTTGCTCAATTTTTGGTCACTTTCATCGTGTTCAGACACCAGATTCGCGACTTGATTGCTACAGGCATCAAATTGGTGATCTTAATTTTCACCTATTTCTGTATCTGGCTCTACTTTGTCGCATGGGGTCTCAGCGACGGCGGTAACGTTATTACTGTTGACTCAGGCCACGTGTTCTTCGGGATTCTTGACCTTTTGGTGTTCCTTGTGGTACCAGCTTTGTTGTTATCAGCGGCTGTTTCTTTGGGCGTGGTACCTTCCTTTGCTATTAGACGCTCTGGCCGCCACCATGACCTGGAAAAGCAGGTCGAACCGGTGAGACTTGGAAACGCCCCCGTGGCTAACCACAACGATACCACCCAGGTTGTTGCCGTTGACGACACAGCGGCTCGTGACCCTATTGTGGCATAAGAAATAACCTACAATTTCTTTCAAACTTCCCCACCGCTTTACTAATTTCATTTTATCGGGAAGTCCAAATTGGCAATAAGTCTTGATGGGAGTCCGCGGTCACTTAATTTTTTTTCATGATATCGAACTCAGCTTCATTAAGTGAAAAATAAAGAGTGTGGGCGGCTAATACCCTTTTTTTTGTTCATTATCCCATTGTGACTCCACTCTCTTTATCTTAATTTCTCTGTGGATCAATTGAATTGTTGATGTTTGATCGCTCAATGGGCAGATCAACCTCACCTTAGTTCGACCTTTTTCGAATATTTAATATTTATTTAACTTAATACCCATTTCATTTCGCTATGTGGGGGAGGATTAAGGTTTGGGTGAACTTTAAAGGTTTTAGAAGTTCACCACAAATTTTATGAAGCTGTCACAGGGAGAGTATACAGAATGCTTGACAAACACGAATTGAGCATCGATAAGCGTCATGGAGCCAATGTCATGGGAAGGACTTTGGAAATATTGAGCTTGAAAGCACAGAGATCTGTCTTTCCTTCTAAGGCCAGTTTAACAAGACTGACGAACCTCTGGTTTATGATTTGTGGGGCTTACGGAACCATTATGGCAGGTTGTTGATCAACAAAGCGCCGAGGTACGGAAATTTGATGAACTGTTGATGAATTATGGAACTAAGCACGAGAATAAGATCTCTAGGAATGGTTTCTTTTATCGAATGAAGAGCAGCACCGGTTGTACTCTATTTGAACTTCAGGAATATCAGGAACTTCGGAAACCAAAGGGACCTGAAAAAAGCCGACACGCCTGACTATGTCTCTACAGCGCTAACTTCCCAGGAACAAACAATGATTCAAACAAAGAAACAAACAAAATTAAACCCTAAAAACCTATGTAATGTTACAATTGGAAGCACACTTTTCGTGGTGCAACTCAACGATTTAAACTGTCATAGTGCTGATGACAGTGCGTTGGCCTCTTTTGTTGTGGGCATGGTGAGGAACGTCACGCTTGGCGTTGCCAGAAGAAGTCTCGAAAACCTCGATGTTGACCTTGGCACCGTTACGGGCGGTCACGACGCAGAATTGGGCACCGCCAGCGCCGGCAGAACCCTGGCCGCTAACCTCGTTGACGTTTTGTTGGGAGGGATCAATCGAGCATGGCAAACCAACACATTGGGACTCATCATCGCAAGTAATCTTAACACCGAACGAAGGCTTGGTGTTCTTGAAGGGACAAGAATCCTCCAAGTAGATTGGGTTCCATCCGATCTTCACATACGTGTTTTGAGAGTCGTCCATGTTGGCACCGGCAACGTATGGCGCCCAGTTTCCTCTAGGGTTGTCCAAAGAGCCCCATTTACAACCGTCCGCCACGCTTGTTCCCGGTGCGTTGATGTAGTAGTGAGCTGCAGTTTTAGCCCAGTACTCGGTTCCCGGTACCGCCAAAGTCTCCTCAGATCCGCTGTCCACTAGCGTTGGGATCAACATTTCTTCGTTACCTGGAAGAACGGTCTGACAGAAAGGAACGTCCGATCCAGCGTTGTTTTTGGCCTTCACGGTGCCCTTACCGTCGTAGCAGTAATCATTTTGAGAGATTGGTTTTTGCAGATTCCCGTTTTCGTCGCAGTACAATCCACCGTACTGGGAGCCAGGATACGTGTAGCTTGTGACTTCAGGGTCCCATTGACCGGCTAACTGGCCCGGGCTGCAAGCATATGGACACCAGCTTCCATAGCTGCATGCTTGGTCCCAACTCATTGCCCATCCGGCGTTTTTGCTGTCTGACTGGACAGCAACCATGCCGTCGTGATTGGGGAACGAACAGGTTCCATCACGACGGAAAAGATGAGACACCTGCTTACCCTGCACCTCTTTGCCCATAAGTTTGGCATGTTCGTGGTTGTGCAGGTTGTTGTACGAATCGGCCGCGACAGCTCCGCCAGCTAGCAGCGATATTAAAGAGCAGTACAGCATATTTTACTTCTTCTTTGCAGTTCTTTGGTCCGATCTGATTTTCAAAGATGCTACGGTTCTTCGATGCAAAATTTATCGTTACTACAAATGCTACGCCGCTAGCCCAAGTATGCCCGAATAATCCTCTGTTCTTATATGCCGTTAATTGTCGACTATATGGGCAAATCGTTCACATTACTTTCGTCAAAGCTACTACCTAATGCTGTTGCTCCTGCAGCTTACTCTGGCCATGGACGCCCATCATGGTTGAGTAAGTTGTTACAGATGATGGGAATTCTAGCTCAGCTACCGCTTCGTCCATTTCTGGACACCTCCCGCAAGCTGGCGAAGGAAGGTGTAAAAATGATGAAAACATTTTCATGATTTTTCACTGATTTGATGTAACTTGAAAGGCATCACTTGTTGATAGATCAGATGTGATCAAAGTTCCGTCAGAAGCACAGGCAGGTTGATTATTGCAGCGCATGATTAATGGAGTACTCGCTTCATGGTTTACTTCTACAACTTCCTCTAGTAGCGTGGTTAAAAGATACGTAGGACCTCTACGTGAAAACCACGTCAACAGGACGTGTCATCTACCCGACTATCTAGTCGGAGGTTTTTTCTTTGATCACTATGGGAGAAGGGCCAAATTTCACATCGACTAGATAATCGAGTCGAGAAAGTTGGCACCGTATTGCAACGGTTGATGTGCTTTTTGATTTGGTTTTGCCTGTTTGAGCGAGTGTCTACAAACAAATGCCGTATTATCGAATCGGGAAAGAAACTTTTGCTGTGTTCCAGAAGCACTGCACTGCATTTTGGTCAGTGCCCAGCTGCAGCTATACTGCGTGAAAAGAAAAGAACTCGCAGTAGGTGGCTTTTCCTGGAGGCAACGGAAAGGTTTCCAATAGTTCCTGTCTGATGCCAGCAAAAAGAAAACAAAAGTGATAAGTCTTGCGCGTTCTGAATCGGGAGTTGCAAAGCTGTCGTTGGGATTTTGAAGCAGTTCTTCGCCGTGTGAAAAATCATGGAATGCGACAGAATAGTACATAGTGACATGGGAGGACTGGATACGAAATGTCACCATTACGAGAGGCTTACAGCATCTTGCAACGGGCCAAGAAAGCGTCAAATCGGTGGTAACCGTTCTAGAGAACGACGTTAAGCGATTCAACACGGCCGTCTCCGCGACACTCCGCTTTTGGATGAGGCTTTTTCCATTGTTGCGGGAAAAACTGGAAGTGAGTCTTTGATTTCACACAGCAAGTTACGAGGCTCTGCAGAAGACTAGTTTGAGCGCGCAAGCGCGCGAGATGGCGTCCTAGACCTTATCTCAGTCTGGCATTCATCAGCTCAGCTTAGTCGGAGGACTGCGAATAAAACCGCAAGAACTTTTGTTAAGAAGTTCTTTTCTCTAAAAGTATTAAATCGAGGCCTTCTACGCACATAGGTGGAAACAAGTACACTTGGAACTCCGTTTGAAGAGGGCAAGAGCATTGCATAAAGTAACGACCGGAGTGAAGGTTTTTCTTTTCGGCCTGCGTCGCGTGATTGTAAAGATGACGAACTAGTACAAAGTGACTGAGTGTCATAACGTCGAATTAAACGACGACATGATTACAACAAATTTCAACCGCTTTGTGGGCGTTTGGTGATTGGAGTTGGAGGGCAGTCTCGTCAAATAAAAACTTTGCTCACCCGAAACGCAACATTCGGGACTAAATTCCAGCCTTTGTCGATATGCTGGCGAAAGAGTCCCAAAACCAAAAAAAAAAAAAAATACCATCATCCTTAAGGTACGAAATCGCAGACAATTTCCAAATCGCACCTAGGAATAGAATAAGCATTTCCTGAAGGTGCGTTGAGCTTAAGCGAAACGCTTAACGACAGAAAGAACAATATATCCTAAATTGATGCACCCTAGAACGTCACGTGATCTCTCGAATTTTACTCTTTTTTAGGGAACGCATTGTAATACCGAAAATTGGGCGATACGACTGATTTCAAGCCGCGATTCATCGTACGCTGAACTACTAATTTGCTCGTTTTCTCAAATAAGCTGTTTCTCAATGTGAAACCAGCTCATCAGCCACGAATGCCAAGCTAATTGCACCCTCCGTACAATGAGACACCGTTCAATTAGTGGGCATAAAAAAAACCGTCGAGGTTAGCTCATCTCATCTCACAAATGTGATGTCGGTGCTCCAGACTCGATTCACCAACATTGTTTCAAGAGACCAAGACCTTCAAGATGCTCTCTTCCAAGGAGATAAGGATCACCACTTTGCTAGTCATTGACACGCTCTTTTTCTTTCTGGAAATTATCGTTGGTTATGGAGTACACTCCTTAGCCTTGATTGCAGACTCTTTCCACATGCTGAACGACATTTTCTCTTTGTTGGTGGCGTTGTGGGCTGTCGGAGTTGCGAAGAACAAGGGCGTGGACTCCACGTACACGTATGGGTGGAAAAGAGCCGAAATTTTGGGTGCTCTGATCAACGCGGTGTTTTTGATTGCGTTGTGCGTTTCCATTTTGATCGAGGCAATCCAGCGGTTCTTCGAGCCTCAGGAAATCAACAACCCCAAATTGGTGCTTACTGTCGGATTTGCAGGTCTTTTGTCGAATATCGTTGGTTTATTTCTGTTCCACGAGCATGGCCATTCCCACGGTCATGGCCACGGCCACGGCCACTCCCACGGTGCTGAAGCCCAACATGATTACGAAGCAGGCGATGGCGATGACGACTTCTCACGCGACGATTCTTCCCACGATCTGAATGACATGCTTCCCTCCACTGTGGTCCACACTTACACCCCAGAAACGTCCTCTCTGCTTGGTAACAAAACCAATAATGGCCACAGTCATAGTCACGGAAGCAACACCAACAGCGGTGAACACTCCAACAGCAAATCGGCTCCTGTTAAAGCTCAAAAGTCTCTTAATATGCAAGGTGTATTCTTGCATGTGTTGGGAGACGCGTTGGGAAACGTTGGTGTCATGGCCACTGCTCTTTTCATTTGGAAAACGGACTACTCTTGGAGATTCTACACGGATCCAGCTGTATCGCTTCTAATCACGGTCATTATTTTCTCGTCTGCTCTACCGTTGGCTAACAAAGCCTCACATATTCTTCTTCAGGCTACACCACCCACTGTTTCAGCTGACGAAGTGCAACGTGAGATACTCAACGTCCCAGGCGTTGTGTCTGTTCACGACTTCCACATTTGGAACCTGACCGAGTCTCTATCCATCGGATCTGCGCACATAGAAGTGGATGCTAATCCCGAGCGTTTCACAGAAATCGCAAAGACAGTCAGAGGTATTTTCCACCGTCACAACGTTCATTCTGCTACTGTACAACCGGAATTCCGCAGTGCAAATGTCAGTGATGACACCCAGAAAGCCTTTTCCCGTCTAGCGGGCGGTGAGATTAATCAGTCTCCTGCCGCTTTGATCTCCCAGGGTCCAGAGAGGAGAAACAACTCTTACGGCAGTATTAGAGAAAACCATTGTGCTGTTGACGAGGCTGCTAATTGCAACACCGTCAACTGCTTACCTTCGAACTGAGGTCAATTGATGTAGAAGTCAGATTCTCGCAAATAGACGTGATGAAAAACCGTTATAAACATTATCAAACAAGTGCTTAAGTCAAGGACGAAGAAACATTCTGAATGGACGCCATTTAAGGACTAAGGCAAGAAGAACTTTCCTAAAAACTAATAGTTCACATTCATAATAAAGATTTACAAATACAATGTTATTCAAAAACACTAAAATACAATAAAGAACTGAGCTTCTAGCTCTCCGATGAGTCCTTTTTTTAATATATAAAACAGGAAATGGAAGTAAGTACAATGCCGTGGTTTCATGACTTATGTTACAGTTTTTTGTATCTCTTTGCCCCATCTTAGCCTTCTCTCTTTGTCGAGTTTATTGGTATCTTCGTTGGCGATATGGTTAGAGACAGGCGTTCCGATATCAAATTCGTAGCCGCGTATGATTGCAGCATCATTCATTCGTAGGGACCCGCCCATATGATCGTTTTCGGTAGATGCATTGCCCTCGGATTCGTGTCCAAACAGCTTTGCACGATTTTGCAGTAACTGGTCTCTCATGTCGACATTGACAGGAATGGTAACTCTTTCCCATTTGTTGGAAGGTAGAGGCACTTCTCTGCTACTGGCATTTATCTCGGTAGCAAAAATGGTGGCATTAGTCAAGGAACCGTTGGTCGCGGTCACTAAATAATTGAGTGAATCTGGGCTGGAGGGTCTTTTCAAAATTGATTTGATGGCGTCTGCTCTCTGGTGGATGCTTCTGCGTGTTATTGGTTTGGCGATGGTAATTCCAGAGTGCAGTTTCTTTGGTCCAGTGCTAAAAAGTGGAAGAACGTCAGATTTTCTAGGAGCCAACTGTAGGCTCGATTCCTCGTGCAGAGTTCCGTCATTGAGCAGGCTGGAATGCAGAAGAGCAGACGACAAAAATCCGTCTTTACCAAATGGTGGGCTGCCAACAAGATCGTCAACAACGCCGTTGCCTGTTGGACTGCTCATGCCATTGGCGCACATATTGCTGTCATCGCTCAAAGTGTCGTCATCGGAGGTCAATTCAGGAGATTTCTCTAGCACGGTAGCACGCATGCCAGTCAGCCTGTTGCAGCGATAGGAGCACTTCGAAGGTTTGGAGGGAGAGTCAAAGACGGCACTATTCACGTTGTGCTGGGGTGGGAAACGGTACCCGCTTTTCGTGCCAAGTTTCAATGGAGGGACATTTGCGCTTCTACGCAGAACTTGGGCTTTGGGTGTTTGACGAGGCTGGAATGAGTGAGACTCAAGTTGGTTTCTGAACAAGTCATTTTGGACTTTGGTAGGTGTGGCCATAATATTTTCCATGGCGAATGCGTAAACGAATGAATTGTAGTGGGTGTTATTGTAAGCAACGGCTTGTGATAAAGAGCGAATGAAGTGTCACTAAGGACTGTTGGGGATAAAACGAAAGACTAGAGGTGAGGGTAAAGACCGAATACTGATGTGACCTGGATGGCTTGGGGGGGGAAAAAAAATAGATCCGTATGAGTCTCTCGACTTAAAGAGGGTTTTTTTGTCTGTTCAACAGAGTTGATTTGGTGTGGAGCGTGGTAGTTTATGCAACCGAGCTTTCAATGGCTTTACGTTACCAAAACCTCGGCGTGAAATTGGCTTCAGCCTTGCTTTAAATACCCTGTAGCCAAGATGACGTTCTAAAGTTCGCTATCGTTCCGACTAGTTCCATGTTTACTTTTACTTGGAGTACGGTGACTGTTCAAATTGTCTAACCGTTGAAAATTTCTTCCTGCGTAACGGATAGCCCGTTGAGATTGTTGTTCTTAATTCCTAATTTGTTCTGCAGGCACGCCTCGAGGCGGGTTGACATGCATATATGTTTTGGTCACGTCCCGATTGGGAAATACAATTTCCCAAAGGAGTGATGTGCTCGCAGGTCGAGCGGTAAGAATGTTCTGCTAAAACTAAGCACGGTAGCTTGTATCTGAAACAAAGCTACCGGGGTCGGCTCTAATTTACGTAGGTCCGCCCTTAAGGTTTATTAGTATCTCTATTACCCTTTTGAAGTCTTTAAAGCTTGGTTCAACCGTTATGATAAGCGATTCGAATTCGTTTACAGGTCCAACTTGGGAAATCCGGACCAGGAGTATAGAGAAACAGGCTTAGCTGTTTCTTTCGGTGAACGCCAATCACCCCATTCGGAGCCATGCGCTACGGTCGAAAAAGGATGCGTCTTTGGAAAAAAACTTGGAAAATGGCTTAGTCGCTCGCTGCTGATCTGAATCGTGGAGGGCCATGACTTCTTTCAACGGATTTGAAATTTCCGAAGCTCCCACGGATGACCGGAAGGCACACACTGCTGCCGCGGCTGCAGGTGCTAATGCTGGTGTGGCCATCGTATCAACGATTGTGTTCTTCGGAAGTGTATTGACGTATTGACTCTGTTGAAGACGATGTCAGTATACTTTGAAGATGATTTCAGAGAGTGTCAGCGTCAGTGTCAGCGCCAACGTCAGCGTCAGCGAACACAAATGCCAACGTAAAAGCCATTGACATTAGTACAAATACCGGCAAAAAACTGATGCTAGCTATCTGGATTTGCATACTAGCCTCACTCAATTAACTCAGAATCACACAGCTCACAAAAATCTGGCTATTTATTTCTCTCCCATCATCATGTCGGAAACTGAAGTTATCGTCAAACATCGCTTCAAGTCTGTCCAACATATCAAGTCGTTCCCACTGGTCAAACAAACACACGGATTTGTTGCAAAACTTCCTGCAGCAAGAGTTATTGTGGCCAACACAAAACCTGTTTACAAATATGTTGCCAACTCGAAACCTGCCCAGTGGGTTGCACCTGTCACCAGAGCAGTAGATTCTCTGGCAGACAAAGGCTTGGAAACTACCGAAAACCTGGTGCCATGTTTGAAAGTCAAAACGTACGCAGATCTTTACGAGGATGCAACAACACCATTTGTGTGCACAAGAAACGCAGTTGTGAAGGTTGCCAGTGCGGCTGTTGATGCTGCTGACAACTATGTCTATGAGCCTACGCATCAACAAGTCATCAAATTCCGGAAATTTTACAATGCCAAATTCTACGACACGCACGGCAAGCCTTTGCTGAGAAGTTCGCTAGACCCTATCGTTGCGCCCTATAACAAGAAATTAGAGCAAGCGACCAAACGTCGTTTCCCAGAGGGTAAAGATGTGCCCACCAGCGGATATAGCAGTGAAATATCGCGCACTTTGGCTCTAACTCATAACTTGCTGCACCGGATGTCACCGGTAGCTCAGAATAGACTGGTAAATTTCGTTTTGCTGCCATGCAGATACACGCAGCATGTGAACGACGTTTTCAACGAGAACTTGGACAAGCAAGAGAGTTTGAGTATCAGCAACTCCTGGACGGCTTCCATTGGTGCCGTCTCAATTTTGCACAAGGAAACAATTGAGTATGTGAAGCGGGTGAGGGGAAGAGCTCACCATATCGCTCACGAAAATGAAGTTGCAGTGGCCTCTGTCTGACAATTGCAAAATGAAAAATAACAGAAGTAATGGCTTCGAACACCAATAATCTATGTAAGTGCTTTCTGTTTCCGTGCCTTTCCGGAAATGATGCGCAATAGCACGTATCGAACTGGATCGTCAGTGCTATCTTAAACATATGCAGATTTAAACATATAACGACATAATCGTCTGGAGAGAAGCGTTGTTGTGTAGGCTGCTTCAACCAACTTCAAAGAGCTTGCAACGACAAAAACTGGCAATTGCAGACAGCAGAGGATAACTCTTAAGGTGAATGTGACATTGCTAGCCGTTCAAGTTCTTATAGCGATGAGCTCTGGAAGTTTTCCATCTTGGTTCTTTACTTGTGACTGTTCTTACATCCGTACACCATTTACTTTTGTATAAAAATGAAAAATTTCATGAAAAATTAAATTAATCAAAACCTGGAGATTTTTTGCGTGGGTGGAAAAGTTGAGTGGGTACAGCTTCTAGCTGGGGACAGCGACGGAGACCCGCTACCTACACGCTCAGCCTGGCTCCTGCCTGGCCGAGCCAGCTTCTGCCTAGCTTGCAGTCTAACCTCAGGCAGGTTGGAGCCTAGCGCTGCCGAGATTGTCATCAAGGCTAGCAAGGGCTCCGTCCAGCTTCCGCGTAGACCGGTTGGGAACACCTGGGTACGCTGGACAATACCAAGTCTTTTAGAAAAGTGACATTTCGTTAACCTTTAGGTAACCCGCTGCTCGTCGAAGTGCTAAGGCTAAGGAATCAACCGTGAATCAAAGAGTATGTGAATGAGTGGACAAACAGAATGAGAGATAAGTGAGGCAAGTGTTGAGAGACCAAAGTGAACGCGCAAGCTATGCTTTTTCAGCGGTGGAATTTGTGAAAAACTAGATGACTTTATGCAACATGGTTGAATATGTCCTCTTAGAATGACCCAAACGTGAACGCACACATCCTATAAGACCAGACGGTCATCATCCTTGAGAAACAGGCCACAATTTTGGCTATTTCACCACCCCCCATCCGTTGGTGAACTTTGGACGCACGCTTCTCCCTTCTCAAACACCGGATTCCTTTTTACTAACATGAAATGCTGTGCAGTGGCTCGTTTGAATGAATACCAGGTCATTGGCCGTAACTTGCCAACTGAATCCGTTCCTGAACCAAAGTTGTTCAGAATGAGAATTTTTGCTCCAAACGTGGTTGTTGCCAAGTCTCGTTACTGGTACTTTTTGCAAAGACTCCACAAGGTCAAGAAGGCTTCCGGTGAGATTGTCTCTGTCAACTCTATCCACGAGTCCCACCCAACCACCGTCAAGAACTTTGCCGTGTGGGTGAGATACGACTCCAGATCTGGTACCCACAACATGTACAAGGAAATCAGAGACGTTACCAGAGTTGCTGCCATCCAGTCCTTGTACCAGGACATGGCTGCCAGACACAGAGCCAGATTTAGATCGATCCACATCTTGAAGATCGCCGAGATCGAGAAGACCGCCGATGTCAAGAGACAGTACGTCAAGCAGTTCTTGACCAAGGACTTGAAATTCCCATTGCCACACAGAGTTGAGAAGTCTACCAAGACTTTCGCTTACAAGAGACCTTCCACTTTTTACTAAGCGTACTTCAAAACCTGAAAACGAGTGGTTCGGCATAACATTTTAAGGGCCTCTCTAAGGATGTATAATCTGTAGAAATTTATTTCAAAATTGTTTCAAAGAAGATAGTAAGCGAAGCGGTGGGAGTGTGTGACTAACGGTGGCTAACGCTGAGTTTTGGTCTTCTAGTTCACCGATAGACTCCATTGGTTATGAAGAGCGATGGCTCATGTACTCATGAACGTACTCGTCAGTGCACGAGAATTATTTATTCGGCCTACCTGAGCAGCGTGAAAGACGCTACAAGTACATCCGTTACTGAAGCCACGGAAACAGTACCAAGAGCTACAAATAATATCGATTAAGCTAGAATAGCGAAGAATTCTGATAAACTGAACCTTGCTAAATGATACGTGTCGTCTATAGTGATACATTATAGCATTTTGGCAAAGTTTAAAAAATAAATCGAATAAGATCACAACATTAGCGGTTTTCTTGCAGAAATATCCAAATTTTCTGCTCAATCACTGTGCAATCCAATTACCTCCATGATGTCTTTCTTCTTCATCAGCAAAGCTCAATTCTTCCTTCTTTACCTAGTAACAATTAATTTCACATGATTTTATCACTGTCGTCAGAAACGACAATGTATAATAACTAAATCAAATATTGTCAACTGTCTATCGGTGAACTCATCAAGATCCATCACCAACATTCATCTGGAAAGCCGGTCAGTCGCATCTCGGTCGCGGCATTCCTCCCAGCAGGATCTGTTGTACCAACAATATATGGTAGACTTACAAGCCAGTAGTGGAGGAGAAGCCTCTGACACTTTGGGATTAACACACAGATCTAACAATGCTGCTAAATCTAATTCGATCTCGAACGTGGATTCGAACTCAAACTCAAACTCAAGTTCAAAGTCTGGCAGTCACCTTGGCGCTGTAACCAGTCAGAATGAGGGTTCGAGTAGCGATATACACCTACCGCTCACAACAATACATTTGAAAAGCCATGAGTGGTTTGGAGATTTCATTACGAAGCATGAAGTGCCCAGAAAGGCCCTCCACTCTTCTATCGGGTTTGTTACACTTTATCTCTACACGAAAGGGTTGGATTACCGGAAAGTGAGGAATCCGTTAGCCATAGCATTCGTTAGCATTTTTGCATTGGACCTGATTCGGTTGAGATGGACACCTTTCAACAAATTGTACTGCAAGTTTGTGGGCGCGTTGATGCGTAAACGCGAGATCCATACCTACAACGGCGTTTTGTGGTACCTTTTGGGGCTCATCTTTGCGTTCAGCTTCTTCCCCAAAGACGTGGCGTTAATCTCGCTCTTTTTGCTGAGTTGGTCAGACACGGCAGCGTCCACGTTTGGACGCAAGTTTGGCCATCTGACGCCCAAGCTCGCTCGTAATAAGTCATTGGCAGGATCTATTGCTGCTTTCATCGTGGGAGTCTCCGTTTGCTACGGTTTCTATGGCATTTTTCTTCCTCATTACAGATACGTGGACTCTCCTGGGGAAATAAGCTGGTCAGCCGAGACGAGCAAACTAACGCTCGGTCAATTCTCCGTTTTGAGCGGAGTTTTGGCGGCGTTCAGCGAGGGCATTGATCTTTTTAACTGGGACGATAATTTTACTATTCCTGCATTATCTGCTGTATTCATGAACACGGCCATTCGTCTCACCAAGCGGGCCAATTAAAAACAAGAGTTGGCAGAGTTTTATTTCTAGTAAGCAAGTATATAGATTTCAAAGGATGATACAAATTCCATTACTTATGGGAAGGTGGGTGTGGTCTAGCATTTGGGCGTGTGTGTTTTTCTGCTCATTTTAAAAGTTAACCAAAGCGTTCAAAACATTAAAAAGCGGGTTGAAAATGATGCTAAATAGTTTAACGTTAAATATTCCTGGATCACCCTGTTTACAACAATGAAAATAAAAGTCAACATTATAGAAAGCAAACATGACATTGAACCGCAGACATCTGTCCTTAAGACCTGCTTTTTCCGAGCTCACCCAGTGTTTAGACGTGGTGACGACACGTCCGTACCAAGTGATCACTATTCCCATTGCAACTGTAAACAGTTCTACGTAAGTTGATTCACAACAGAGGTACCTCAACAATTCCTTTATTCACCAGCAGAGAAATTACTAGTACTCTTCAATTGACACAGCTCTTAATTGGCCTCGAAAATAAGATGTGCCCCGAAAAAGTCTTCACTTTAAAAAAATTACTTCTCGAGTGGCATTTTGTTCCAAGGGAGGTCTAAGACTTTTTAAATATCCGGAAATCAGCAGTGAGCTCATCTAAATCTCCCTGGCCTCTTCGCTACCGCTTTTTTCCAAAAAATCATTTTGAGCTCAGCGCTGTCGTCGTTATTTTACTGACGCTCGATTTTCCTTTTTTCAGTCTTGAAAAATTTTAACTATGCAGAATTTTGACCAAGGTCATCGGATGGAAAACTTTTCGACTAAATACTATCCCATCGCACAACTAAAATAGTCGAAAACAGCGGGAATCAATCCATTTAAAACTGGTGTTGAAGCTTTAACGTAAGTGCTTGAATCATACAATAGCTATAACGTGAGTTCTGTCGATTTTTCCCGGTTGAAATCGAGTTAGTACAAGAGATTTCTGATTGATTTTACAGCATACGAAATGGCATACGTTTTGACAGAAACCTCTGCCGGTTATGCCCTTTTGAAGGCTTCTGACAAGAAGATCTACAAGTCCTCGTCTCTGATCCAGGACCTAAATAGCTCAGACAAAGTGTTGAAGCAGTTCAAGGTTGCTGCTTTTTCGAAGTTTGGGTCTGCAGCTGAGGCTCTACAAGAAGCCAACAGCATTGTTGAAGGTAAAGTATCGAACCAATTGCAAAAACTATTGGATGAGAGCAAGGCTGACAAGAAGGCTACTCTGGTGGTTTCTGAGACCAAATTGGCCAACGCCATCAACAAATTGGGTCTGAACTTCAACGTTGTGTCCGATGCAGTCACTTTGGACATTTTCAGAGCCGTCAAGGAATACTTGCCCGAGCTTCTACCTGGCATGAACGACTCTGACATGTCCAAGATGTCTTTGGGTCTTGCCCACTCGATCGGCCGTCACAAGCTTAAGTTCTCTGCCGACAAGGTCGACGTCATGATCATCCAAGCCATTGCGCTTCTTGACGACTTGGACAAAGAGCTCAACACCTACGCTATGAGATGTAAGGAGTGGTACGGCTGGCATTTCCCGGAATTGGCCAAGATTGTGACCGATTCCGTTGCTTACGCTCGTCTGATTTTGGCCATGGGTGTCAGATCCAACTGTGCTGAGACAGACCTCACCGAAATCCTTCCAGAAGAGATTGAAGAGCGTGTTAAAGCTGCTGCCGAAATTTCCATGGGTACCGAAATCACCCCCGTGGATTTGGACAACATCAAGTGTCTAGCCACTCAGATCACCGAGTTTGCTGCCTACAGAGAACAGCTTTCCAACTACCTATCTGCTAGAATGAAGGCTATTGCACCAAATTTGACACAGCTTGTCGGAGAGTTGGTTGGTGCTAGATTGATTGCCCACTCTGGTTCTCTTATTTCCCTCGCCAAGTCCCCTGCTTCTACGATTCAAATTCTAGGTGCGGAGAAGGCTTTGTTCAGAGCTCTAAAGACCAAGCACGACACACCTAAGTACGGTCTGCTGTACCACGCATCCTTGGTGGGACAAGCCACTGGTAAGAACAAGGGTAAGATTGCTAGAGTACTAGCTGCTAAGGCTGCCGTTTCTCTACGTTACGATGCTCTAGCCGAAGACAGAGACGACTCCGGCGACGTTGGTTTGGAAGCCAGATCGAAGGTAGAGAGCAGACTGTCGCAAATCGAGGGCAGAGACTTGAGAACCACTCCTAAGGTGGTTCGTGAGGCCAAGAAGGTAGAAATTACCGAAGCCAGAGCTTACAATGCTGATGCCGACACCGCCACTGATGCAGCTCAGGCATCTGTTGACTCCGACGAAGAAGACTCCGATGCTGAGGTCGACACCGAAGTAAAGGAGAAGAAGGAGAAGAAGGACAAGAAGGACAAGAAGGAAAAGAAGGAAAAGAAGGACAAGAAGAGAAAGAGAGACGATGAGGCCGAAGACAAGGAGTCCAAAAAGTCCAAAAAAGACAAAAAGGACAAGAAGGACAAGAAGGACAAAAAGGACAAGAAGTCCAAAAAGGACAAGAAATAGACCTCTCTGCGCGAGAAAATCAAGATGAAGGAAAGACAGCATGTCTAGCTGCTGATTGAGCAGCCGAGTAAAGGAATGTGTCAGAGTAGTAGAAGAAGAAGAAGAAGAATAAAAGAAGAAGAAGAAGAAGAAGAGGAGGAAGAGCAAGAAAAAACAGAACACGGCCGGACAGAGAGTAAGACCAGTTATTCGACTCACAGAACCAAATTCACCTCATCTCATCACTAGTCATCATTAATTGTATTTTTCTGTCATACATGTAAATTAGTTATTTAGACCGCGATGGTGCTACGTACATTAATCCATCAATTTCAAAAACTGTAGAGCCGCTTCCAATCCATCGTCCGTTGTATTCTAATTGCATTGGAAATCTCTAGATTCTCAGCATTGAGTTCAGTTCCATGGCCTTGGTGTTCCCAGCTTACTTGTTTGAATATAAGCTAGCTACATTTATATTATTTTGACATCAAGTTGATGATCGAAGACCTTTACCACAACTTTGAAAAAGTTCAAACTCTGGAGAAAGCTAGATCACTGGTCAACGGCAAGCCATGGGCGAGCAGGAGTCTCTCTCGATCGAAGAAACGAATAAGCTGCGAATTTCGTTAGGTCTAAAACCCATTGAAGTACCTGCAAGAAACGAGAAAGAACCCGCAACTGTGGAAAAGATTGGCGATGAGGTAGAAAACAAGCTTGATTATGATAAATCGACATTCATAGATCCGAAAGTCTCAAGACTACGATGGAACTTGAAGAGAGCCAAATCCAGATCACAGGGAAATACTGTTTTGGACAGTAGTACGAACGACAATGACGACGACAGCGGTGATTGGATTGCAAATGTGAAATTGAAGAATAAAAGACCAGGCCGTTCAACTTTAAAAAAGGACTATTTCGAGGACAATGAAGAGCACGAAGATTTACAGAACTCAAACGTTGACGAAATTGGAGCTCGCACACGGGTTGAAGGCCAGATTTCAAATCTCCTGCCTGGTAAAGACGTTATTCTGACGCTCAAGGAATCTGAGCTGGACGAAGGCGAAACTGAAGATACCTTGGTGAATGAGGGATTGGCTCATGACCAGCAGCAGGCCAAGAACATGCGTCTCAAAAGAATGAACCAGGAACGGAAACGTCGAAAAACTACTATCGGAAAAGGTAGTATGAACAATGATGACGATGAAAACGAAGAGAATTCCGAAATATACATGGTAGACGGCAAGATAGTGGGGCAAGATTCCAATGACCAAACTGACAAGGAGGTGAGGGATGAAAGAAAAATAGACATCGTATCCAGGTCGGACAGTGCAGACGACAGCGCTGAAGAAGAACCTTCAGACTTCGCAGCAGTGAAGATAAAGAAACGCAAGAAACTCAACAACAACAAAGCTGTTTCGAGCAAACGAACAAGACTCACAGACTCCGTAGCTCCCCGGGTTGCTTTGATCGATGAAGACGCTGAAGACCCAGTCGAGGACGAGTTACAGAATGTATTGAAGATCCGGAAGAAAGCCAATCGTGGAATCCATCAGGAAAGTCTCAAGACACCAGAACAGATCGCCAAAGAAGTAGAGGAAGAGAGAAAAGAGAGGGCATCTCGCATACGAAACATCAATCATTCCAACGGTATTACTATAGATGAGAACAGTACCTTTCTTTCAAGTCTAACCGCAGGCCAGCAGACCACCAAAGAAAGCGCATTTGAACGCACGTCATTCCAGCCTGTAGACCTAAAGGCTTCTGCGTCCAGGCCTCGCGAATTTGAAGCAAACGAACGAGAAAATAATAGTGGTGATGATGACAATGGAGACCAATCTACAGGGGCCAGTCTTGAAGGGGGTTTAGCGGCAACGTTGGGGTTTTTGCGGGACCGAAACGTGATTCCAGGGCAACCATCGCGCGAGGTGGCCGCTAGCAGCACCTCTTCGAGAAATGCGGAAATTGTCGCCTTCCAGCAGCAGCAGGAAGCGCGAAAAGTCCGCAATCGGTTCGCGGACGAACTAACGAAGGGAAGCGTTCAATACAGCAAGGAAGAATTAGAGAGTCTACAGCAGCTTCAAGAACAAGAAATTAATGATCGGAATAAAATTCTTCAGAGACAAAAGCTCGCTGATTACAACCCAGAAGTGAATCTGACCTACAAAGATGATGCTGGTAATGTACTCACCACAAAAGAGGCATACAAGAAACTGTCACAGGCGTTTCATGGCACTCGTTCGAACCGCAAGAAGCAAGCGAAGGCGCAACAAAAAGTTCTAAATAGGAATAAAAACCAAGGTGGCTATGTATGAATTGGAATTGGAACAAGTCAAACAAGAAGCTGATCCTTAGCACAACAGTGCGCTTATTGCCGCTGATAACACCACGCAAGCTTTATAGAGATGCTACAACGAAAAAAAAATTAAATTCTGGACGAGACCGGAGTCGAACCGATGACCTCTCCCATGCTAAGGGAGCGCGCTACCAACTACGCCACACGCCCATAATGTTTTTATTGAGAGGGAGAAAGAAGGAATGGGATATACCAGCTAGTTAAAGTCATACATAAAGAGCAAATACATCGTTCAACGGCTTCCAACGCCTTGTACTTAAGCTTTACAGCTTTGGTACGCCAGGCTTTGTTCACTGAAGAGTTCGCGTCTTATGTCTAAGTAAAACAGTATCACGTTTCACGAGAATGTACACTCACAGGAATCCCAAACCCAAAGCACGTGACTGGTGAAAAAAAAATACCTTAATTAGCTTTTTTTATTTTTATTTTTTCGCAGCTTAAAAAAACAAACAATATATGTTCATAATAGAATCCCAACTCATCACCATTTTACCATTATCTTAACGGCTCAACTTACTCATCCTTCGGTCATCAAACTCAGAGTAGTCCCTGTATAGTATTTACAGCTGTTTCGCATTACCTGGGCCAAAAAAAAGCGTTCGAAAAAGTCCATTTTTCAGCAAGCTGGTAGGAGAACTTGAATAAATCCAAGCTTCCAAGCACCCGTACAAGCTCGCACGCGCTGCAGAAGGAGACAAAGCCTGTATTTTTGAGTCACTTCCAGCTGTCACTGCACTGCATTGTCGCTGCTTCAAGTTTCTCGTTGTTTTAGGTAAGAAGCCCTCCCACTTTCGCTTTTAAAGCTTCTTCCTGTCATTCGTTACCTCCCTTTGAAAAACACATTCTACTTTAGTAGATTGTACCGAAAACCATACCAGCAATGATAACCACGCAAAGTACCACCCAGAACACAACCACCAAAAGGCGCAACTCTTTGCATACCAATCTTTTCGATCCACAACTGTTCCAGGTACCGGCGCCCCCGGTACAGTCCCAGGGTCATCTCCGGCCGGCAAGTCCATTGGAAACACACCGTTCTGGTGGCCGTGTGCAACATGGTATGCTGGGAAAGCTTTCTTCTCGTGTTCCAGAAGACGTCAGGGAATATTTGCCAGTCGTCAATGTCAAAGTCACCTCGTTGTGCTGCGTCTGGTACGTCACGTCTTCCGTCTCTAGTAATCTCTCGAAAGCCATTTTGAGTGATTTCCCACACCCTGTGGCTCTCACAGAGCTTCAATTTTTCATTAGCGCTATTTTATGCGTGCTGTTTGTTTCCATAGCCAACCAACTCAGCTCCGAGACTCAAAAGGCAGGTTCCCTGTCTCGGGCAGTGCTATCTTTTCCCGAAGGCATAATACCCAGTTATTTGAACGGTAACTTCAAGCTATGCGTGGTCAACAAATTTTTGAAACCGTGTAAGCTGGCTCTGGCAGCAACATTCCCAATGGGTATTTTCCAGCTTATAGGTCACATCAGCTCTCATGAATCTACCTCGCTAATACCGGTTTCTTTTGTTCACTCAGTGAAAGCTCTGTCGCCAATAATGACAGTATTTTACTATAGGTTCTTCAAGGGAAAGCAGTATAATATGATGACTTACCTCACACTAATACCTTTAATAAGTGGGGTCATCACCACTTGTTGGTCAACGCATGGCAGTCCAAAAAAAAATGGAGATATCGCTGAAAGTCAGTTCCTAAAGGGCATTTTGTTTGCTCTGCTCTCTATGATGATTTTTGTCTACCAAAACATTTTCGCGAAAGGAATTCTGACAGTCAAGAAACAGCGGGGTATTTTACCTTCGAAATCTGAAAAGCAAGCTCTTCTCAACGAAAAAGAATACTCACCTTTGCAAATCGACAAACTCACCATTCTCTTTTACTGCTCGTGTGTTGGTTTCATTTTGACTTTACCCATTTTCATTTCAAACGAGCTCTTCAACCTAAGTTCGACAAAAAGTGTTTTTCAAGACTTGACAGGCAGAGCGTTGCTTTTAGTATGGATTCATGGTTGTACCCATTTCTTACAGGCTATGCTTGCGTTTCAGCTAATTGGGATGCTAAGTCCTGTCAACTACTCTATCGCCAACATTATGAAGCGTATTGTTATAATTGCAGTTGCGCTTAGCTGGGAATCGCGCTTTTCATTACAGCAGGTCTTTGGCCTATCACTAACGGTTCTTGGTCTTTATGGCTACGACAAGTGGGGCCTTACTGGAAAACAACATCATACATAAATTATAATAATGTTTTCGTTACGATTCTCAGTTACTTCAAAATCTTCGAGACTGATGTCAATTCAGATCTTTTCAAACCACGGCATGAGTTGGACATAAGGCTTCCCCACCAGACTTTACACACACCTTGAAATTTCTAGTTTCGAATATACTGTCTATCAAATCGGATTTCTATCTAAAGATCATGGGGGTCCATAGATCAGTGCTTAGCAGCTGGTGTTTCACCAGTTAGTTTGCCCACAAGTTCCCTGGCCATGTCACCGAAACCGACCATGAAAACGGTTTGCCAAACACCTAGACAGATTCTTGGAGCCACACCACGGTAAAGACCCTTGATACCGCTAGATTGGTAGATGTAAGAGAAAGCAGATCCAACAGTTAGCTTCTTTGGTCTGTTAGGGTCATCTTTCTTGGATTGCATTTCCACTCTGATAACTTCGATAGGCTGGTTCCATGCACTCAAACCACCACCGATGGCCGAGGCCAAGATCTTTTCAACAGCGGTGAGCTTTTCGTCGCTGTTGGTTTTGCCAGTGACGTTTCTGATACCTTCTTCCACCAATCTCGAAAAACCAAAACGAGAACCCCAGTTGGTCATTTGTCTGATAGCAACCGCGTTGACACCTTTGTTAATACCTCTAATACCCTCCTTGTTGTAGATCTGTTTGAAAGCGGACCACGAAGATTGAGGAACTGCACCAGCAACAGCAGATTTGGCCTTAGTGATTTCCACCGTTTTCATGCATGTGCAGAAACCCATAGTCAAATAAGCTTGAGCAACACCACCGGAAACACCACCCATGATACCAGCACCAAAGTTACCCAAACCTAGTCTTTTGAACTGATATTCGGCCTCCGCAGAGACGAAAAGTAAAGCTGCACCTTTAGTGGACGCTTCAATCCAGGCCCATGGGATCAGACCTTGGTAAAACCCGAAAACACCGCCACGAGACCAGATGTGTTTAACAGACTGCAAAAAGTTCAGATTACGATTAGCAGCCATCGTTGTCTTGATAACTTCGAGAGGTTGTCCCAGCGTTGTAACCTCGCAGAGGTTCAACGCTGAGCCCAACAAGATGTTGGAAAACGAAATGGGCTTTTTCTTCAATTCCGCTGGTTGTTGTGGTGCGATAGACATTACTACTGCCGACTAGGAAATGAATGAATGCTTGCTAGCCTTGTTTTCTTGAAGATCGTTAGTTTATAGATCATCAATTCTTTTCATGATCTTATAAGATAGGATATTTCGTCTAAAATTTTTCAAATTAATGCGAATAAGATCTCTTAGTCTGGAAACTTGACGAAAACCAACTGTTTTGATAGGTAAACAACTGCTCATGATTCAGTGATTTACATTGGTGTCTAGCGAGAATTTCAAAGATTCCAATGCTTTTTTTTTCATCTCAATAGGGTCAAAACTCATGGAGTTGTGCGAAGTGTCAGTGAGAGCATTTGTCTTGGGATGACTCAAAAATCCAAAATGAACAGTGACCAGCGAGAACTTAGGCGTGATGCGGTCACACTGCTGTGTGAAAGGGTTCTCGTTAAGAGGTGAATTTTTGTTTCAAAACTTCATTGAAAAATGCGTCCTCTTATCTCAAAAGACGTGGTAGTTATGCCGGCTGTAGCAAAACGAGTGGTGTGTTTTTTCCATGCAATGCGCAACAAGACGCACACACACACACACACACACACACTAGGATGCATGCCATGATTTTGTATTTGTTGTTACCGTGTGATGCAATCATCAGTAGCAGTATGGTTCGGACCAAAAATAAAAAAATGAGTGCTTGACTTCTCTGCGCTCAAGAAGTCCGATTGTATTGTCGAAACTTGAGCCAATGGGAAATGCCACAGCCCTGCAAGAGCCCCGCAGCGTATTCGTTTTCATAATAGTTTTGTAGCTTGCCGGAATTTTCCACATCATACCAGCCCTGGTGTCGCTTCAACATGTCGACTCTAACGTAGATCAACGGGATCGCCAAACCGTTCATGACATTCAGCCCGTCCCGCGTCAAAAAATTGGGTGATCCCAGCACTAGCATGTACTGGTTTCTCTTGCTGCCGGGGACCGCAGAGGAAAAGGCACCCATTGTTTCTCGAACTTCTTTGCCTGTTATCTTGGCACTGCTAAACGCTTTGCACTGAACAAGCACGTTCAAGGGCTTGAAAGTCGTTTTTTGGGTCTCCAGTTTATGTATAATCGGTTTGAATTGGGCTCCACATACGCTCATTTTTTTGGCAACGGTATCCGCACTGGTAGAACCTTTTTTGTTTGCATGGTAAATAGTGTCCAATGGCCAAGTCCCACGGATATCAATTCCAGCGTCGTACGACCCTCCACAGATTTTAAGATCTTTCATGGCCAATTTCTCAGCCAGTTCTCTGGCTACTGTGTGTTCATATAAGGTCCCTTGGTAAACAGTTGAGCCAGCAATCCCCTCATTTTCCTTCAAAAACTTGCGGATGGCAGAATTGTGGGTTTTTCTAGCACAGGAACGGGTCCACACTCGCTGGCTCCGGGTGTAAAGTTTAAGCATACTAGATCTCTGGATTCTTCGATACAGAAAGTTGGCTATATAGGCTATTGCGATAAAAGGCTATCTATGTGATTTCTAGAAGATTATAAAGAACATCTCAAGAATCAAGTAAACAATTCATTCGAGTTTTACTAGAACTGGCTTCGTCTTCTTCTCGAGATGACTTGATATAATCGCTTAATTATTATAGTAGCTCTCAGAGGTGTAGTATTGGAAAAACAACAAAAAAACAATGTAAGCGAAAAACTGACCCAGATTTGGCTTTTTAGATCGAATCATAATCGCAACAAGGATTTGAGCTGATACTGTGCCAAAATACCTGTGGAACAGCTCTTTCCGATCAATTCTCTACAAATTCCAAAATTTCGTGAAATTTTCAAAAAAATATCGATTTACATACCTATTTCAAGCGACAATTCGAGATCAACATCCAAAATTCACTAAAACCTGGCTAAAAACAACAGAATTGCTAAACTTACCGAGTTTTCAGTGGTTTTATCGTCTTTTAACGCTGTCATAACCATCTCACTATATACGACCCGTATAATTCTCGGAATTTACCATAATAAATATATATATATATATACATATACTCATCTCATCTAGATGAGCAACGGCCTTTGTTCTTAAACTTGTGCGAGCAATTGATGCCAAAATCAGGCCAAGTTCAACACTTGTGAGGCCAATGTCACTGTCTAACGAGTCTAAAAAACTTGGTAACGATGCTGGTGATTCGAAAACTGAAAATAGCGAACAGATAGTCACGGTTTTCGATCTGGCGACCGAAATTGAACATTCGTTGCAAAAATTGATAGAAGACGTCAAAAGCAACGATCGCGAATTCCAGGAACAGTTTGAATCTATTCAGAAAGGATTGAAAAGTCTTGAGAAATAAAGCAGGTCTCTATATGTATGAATTTGGAAGCCATTTTTTGTTTCAGTCAAAAAGTCGCAAGTTTCGAGATCTCTCCTTTTTTTTCGGGGTTTTGGACAGAGAAGCTTCAGTAATAACCGCTCATTGATATTTTAGTTCAATGGTGAATGAATTGGTGCATTTGGGCCGCTCCTCTTGACTGTTCAATGGTGTTCTAAACAGCATATCCGGTCGATCTCTTTCAGCAAAGACTGTCACTAATCACGGTTACCTATATAAATAAAAGCGAGCGATGAGATGCCCTTACCTGTGCTTTCTAGAAGAGCTTTATCTGCAAAAGCTTGGAACACACGACGATCACCACTGAATTGAGAGTCTTCTACATCGAATGGCCGTGTCCAATAAGACGAAACGCAGACAAAAGCTCAAGAAAGCTTCAAAATCCGAGAAAAATGGTGATTCAAGACAGGATTTGCTAGAACTTGTTGGTCAAGTTAAGGCCAAGAGAAATCACACTAATGCAGCTTCCAGCGTTACTGTGGCTAATGGAGCTAAACAAGATGCCATCCTTGGATCTGGCGCGGAGGCTGAGCATTTCAAATCGGTGTTTGCTAAGTTTCAGCCTGCACAGAACACTGAAGATGATAAAAGTGCGTCTTCCACTAATGCTGCTAGCGTTCAAGCTAGGAGGGTTTTCGAAACGGACGGACCTGATCTCGATCAAAGTAACTCAGTAGAGGCAACTTGGCCCTCAGAAAAATCGCCACAGCTTTCTAAACGTAAACAACGCCGTCTGGCCAAAGTCTCATTGGCAGAGCTGAAATCCAAGGTTTTATTTCCGGAGCTCATCCAGTGGTACGACTGCGACGCTGTAGATCCAATGCTATTAGCTCAAATCAAGTCCTCCAAAAATGTCGTGCAAGTACCGAATCACTGGCAACTGAAGAGGGAGTTCTTATCAGGAAGATCTTTAACCGCTAAGAAACCGTTTGAGCTGCCTTCAATCATTCGTCAAACGAGCATAGAAGAAATGCGCAACACTTTGCCAACCCAAGGCGCCACAGATGAGCAGTCTTTGAAAGAGAACGCAAGGGCTAGAATACGACCAAAGCTGGGTAGCTTGGACCTGGACTATCGTAAACTTCATGACGCCTTTTTCAAAATCGGAAGACACTGGAAGCCAGATTTCATGCTGCCTTATGGTGACTTGTTTTATGAGAATCGCAACCTGCTAGAAGAAAGCAGATGGAAGCAAATGGAGAAAGATTTACGACCGGGGAAATTAAGTAAAGAATTGAGAATCGCTATGGGTTTACCAGAGGGCAAGCTCCCGCCTTGGTGTGCAAAATTCGGTGAGCTCGGCATGCCACCCTCATATCCTGACTACAATGTTGCTAGTGTGAATTGGGATATAACAAATCTTCATGGTGACACATACGGAGTGTTGGGTGCGGAGCAAAAAACCAAATCAGAGCCTCCATTATTTGGGCAAATGGTCCAACTGGATGAGAGTGATGAGCAGACACAGGAAAGTGAGGTTGCTCCCGCGCAACTTCCCGATGTTGATGAAAAGGATGGCAGGAACAATTCTTTGCCAGAAAGGTCTCAGGAAAGGGACAAAAAAATAGAAGATGAGGTACGCGCTAAGGCGATGAAAGAGGTGCTCAAGAGAAGAAATCAAGAAAAAGCTTCACGTGGAGGTCAAGAGAAACGAAGAAAACTATATTCTGTTATACAGCAGAAGGACAATTCGTCGGAATCTGAGCTAGCGGGTAAAAGCATTGCATATGATTTAGAAAACTCGAAACAGGGACTAATATCTTCTAGGGCTGGCGTCCAAAACCAAAAGGCTGGCCAGTTGCCAAACGAGCAGGACGCGACCGACCAGGAAGAACAGCAAAATTTCAAGTTTTGAAGATATTCTTTATCTATTTTGTCTCTTGTCTGCCGTTGAATTGTTACTTTTTTGGAAGGATATGGCTCACAGGCTGCCTCATTCAACATTGCTGTTCCTGTACATTTTCGAATACAGCGCTAACCTACATGTGAGCGAGAAAATCGTCAGCTACAGCCTTCGATGTATGAAATTGTCTTTCTGCAAAATGTTCTCGTCATGTCATGACAATCCTGCCAACTACAGAAGTAGTCTATAGCAAGTGGAACTAAATGCTTCATTTCTAACGCTGTATGGATTCGAAAATACGTGTTTGTCGAGTGTCGCCTTCTCATTGTCGAATATCTGTCGCTGAGACAGTTTTGAGAAAAAAGATTTTAAAATTAATCGAGTTGGTTATCCACGATAGAAACACAGTAATTTGAACATCAGGAGTGAAATACCTAGAGCAACTCGAGACAATCGACTGGGATGCGAGAGTCAAAAAACGGACAATAAAATGGACAATAACGTGGGCTGAAATGGAATTACGACCTGCCCAAATACAAAAACTTGGAGAATGGTTTTCCCACTCATCAAGCATTGCTCTGATAGCTGGAAAGTTTCCTGGCGTACTGTAAAATGAGTGGGCTGAGACCTAGAATCAAGCCATGATGATAGTCCTTGATCAAATCTGTGAGTCGCGCGGTCGTGAATGATGATGATGGTGTAATTTGACCAAGCACCAGCAGCAATTAATCGAACGTCCGAAGAATTTTCCTCTTCTTATAGAGCTACGGGAAACATACACTGACTAGTTCGTGGAAAAATCGCCAGCAGTTAGGGTCATTGCGCATGTTTTGGTAGTAAAAATAACACTCGTACAAAGCGACTGTTAGAATCTTCTGCATTTATTAGAGAATTGGACGCCAGTTTCGTATCCCACTTCCGACCCAACTTGTTCTCTCAAATTTGTAGCTGTGAGAAGAAGCACAAAGAACTTTATCTACTTTGATGCTCAGTTGGGTACGTGTTCGCCGCGTACAAAGCGACACGTCCCAATTACCGAGACTCTGTACGTACCCAGTGATATCACGTTTCCAAGGTATTTCGTACAAAAGCATACTAAGCGCTGATCGATATTAAATCAATATATGAAAACCTTCAAATGCACGAGCTCATCGGCCATCGGATCGTCTCTCCAGACAACATCGGTGTAGCTCTAACACCCCATTATCACTCGAAAGGATGTCTGAGGCTAACAGCACTGAAAAGAGCAGGTCCAAAAACCCTAGAGACGATTCCGACGATAACAGACGGAACGCATACAGTATTCATAAGAAAAGTCAAGAAAAGATGGGACCCACAAGTGTTTACCAGTATTCCCAGGTTTTACAGCTAGAGCATGCTGTAACAAACTTTTTGGAATATTTCAACAAGATCATACAGCTCTCTCCGAATTACAAAGTTTATCTGGAAAACGTCGATACCTTGCAAGACACCAGTGTTGAAATACTGCCAGCGATGTTGAGACATAAACTTAAGTGTGCAGCGGAATTGGCGTCCCTGAATGAGCTTGGAAAGCTGCCTCTGCTGGATGAACTGAATAGCTACGAGGAAAAGTTTTCAAGTGAGGATAGAAAACCGATTTTGAAAGAACTCAGGGAAAAGGATGTAAAGAAGCTCTCTGCTTCGGTCAATAATGAAATGGTTCAGCACTGGAGTGAGGTTTCGAAAAAGTCCCAACAAGATCAGGAAGAAGATGAAGAAGAAGATGATGGGTATGAACCTGACGAGACTAAGAAAAAATGGCCGCCAAAACTACCGGAAATCAAAAATTCGGCTATCAAAGCACGCGTCTTTATTCACAAGTCTATCATCAACGATAAGCTGTATCTATCCGAACATGATATGATCAAGGCCCATAACGAGCGACTAGAATTTCTCGGTGATTCTATTCTGAACACAACCATAACCATGATTCTCTACAATAAATTTCCACATCTCAGTGAAGGCCAGCTATCCAAACTAAGAATGAAGCTAATCAGTAACGAACGTCTTAAAAGGTGGTCTTTCCTTTACAAATTTAACGAAAAACTGAGGACAAACATAGACAAAAATTGCGAGACAAGTGAGTTCAAGCAAGGCAAACAAAAATTGTACGCCGATGTTTTCGAAGCTTACATAGGTGGTCTGCTGGAAGATGACCCCAAACACAATTTGCCCAGGGTACGGAAATGGTTGAGTAAACTTGCAATGCCTGTTATTGAAGACGAAATAAAAAAAGACGATGACATGGACCTTCTGGAAGTCGACGTCAACGCCAAGAAAACCCTTTATTCATTAATTGGCTATGCTGCTTTGAATTTGCACTACAAACCTGTCCAAAAACCTTCATTTGAGAACCCTGTTGCAATGGTAGAATGCCGAATCAAAGATGGGTCAGTTTTAGGTGTTGGCAAAGGCCGAAACATCAAGATAGCAGGTATGAGAGCGGCCCAGCAAGTATTGCTCAATAAGCCTTTGATAGAAAAATACGCGGGACTTAGAGCAGCAGTTCCTAGAGCGGATTCGGTGGTTAAGACATTGGCGGGCAGCAAAAGGCCTGCTTTGGGGGACGACGAACTCGATGAAGAAAATTTGGATACCTATTCAGTCAAAAAAAGTGATTACCATTCTAAGGACCGACAGCAAAATGCATCAAATGCATCAAACGGTCGAATAATGCCCAACGTGGACGGCTCCCTGAGCCTTATGTAACGTGTACGTATAAGCTGGAAAAAGCTCATTTCGTATCAGTTTCATTCATCTTGCAATTTGATTCGTTTTTCTGCTTGCACGCTTGGGGAATGACTGGTTTCATCGTCGCCAATTGGTGTGTTATCCCGTCCTCCGCGTTTCTTCTTTTTGAAAGGCTCGGGTCCATCAAACTCTCTCGCAATAATTGCAAGTAAGGTGTTGGCCCGTTTTGCGATTTCTTGAACGTTTCTAGACTTGAAAAACCAGTCAAACTCAAATAAGTCGCTAGCCATAATTTCTTGTTTGACCTTGTCGTACAAGTTCTCAGCCGAAAGGCCTATCTTGTGAATGGTCGTTAAGATGAAACGGTCCTCGAAATGGTCAAACGTTTTCCTAGAATTATTTGGTGGATACTGTACCACCATGTCATATAGCGGATCTTCATACTGCTCAACCTTTTTCCTTAGTAGTGATTCCTGATTTTTCAACCTATCGGCCTTTTTCTCACCAGCCTCTATGGAATTCAAGTATTTCTCGTGTCCCGGAAGCTCCTTATACCTTTCCCAAAAGACCTTTGCATAAGCTTTGACGTCCTCAACACTTTTGTTGTCGAAGGCCTCAGCAATGGATTCGTAATCATCTCTTCCAAACCTCGCAGAGCTATTAATGAAAACAAAGAATTCTTTCCGATTCCAATTCATAAAAGCTTGGCTGATCAGTTTTTGCTTCATTTCTTCGTCCTCCTGTGTATACTCGACCGCATTATCGATCTTGCTTTGTTCCTCAAGCACGCGTTTGTTAACATCTTCATCACCAACTTCTGTCTCATCTAATCCCAGATCGTATGCCGAAATCCGGTAGTTGACCTTTTTTTTGAACCATAATTGTTCCTTGTATTGAAGCTCTTTGGCCATAGGAGGCAAAAACTGATGGTCCTGGAAATTAACAGTTCTGGGTGGTTTGGTCACCCGCGACTGGGTATTAGTTTTGGTTACTGAATCTTCTTCCTTGGGATTGTCCTCCGTAAAATAAGATTGTTCTCTTCGTCTTTCTCTTCTTGATGGATTGATCCAAGTCTTTGTTTTATCATCCGGCCGCTTTTGGAAATTTTCACCATTCCATTCGTAAGCAGACTGATCTCCAAGTCCATTAAACTTCTGAAGGTCATCTAAACCAAGTTTTTCATACTTGGCATTCAGTTGAAGAGTCTTTTGTTCACCTTTCTTCAGGATTTCGTCGATGTCGTCCTCAACGCTTATGTTTTGTGAATCTTTTCCAAAGACGTCTTTCGCACCAAACTGAATCATGTCTAACAGCTCACCTTTCGAATTGCCGATGGAGGCAGACTTCTTGCCGACGCCTTGTTGAATGACCAGCTGGTCTAATCTGAGCTTTTGAGCCGCTCTCTCGATGACCTTTTCCTCGATAGCATTTTCAGTCACAAACCGATAAACATGAACTTGCTTTTTTTGACCTATTCTGTGTGCTCTATCCATGGCTTGTAAGTCCGCTTGGGGATTCCAGTCTGAATCATATAAAACCACGGTATCCGCGGTTACCAAGTTGATTCCGAGACCGCCTGCTCTAGTTGTCAATAGAAATATGAATTTCTTTGAGTTTGGTTCGTTGAACTGGTCGATGGCCTCTATTCTTTCTTCATGCGATGTGGATCCGTCAATGCGACAGTATTCATATTCTCTAAAAAAGCAGTAGTCTTCGAGAATATCAAGAAGCCTGGACATTTGACTGAAAACAAGGACACGAGATCCAGCCTCTTTCTTCTTCTTCAGCAGCTTGTCCAGAACTATCATTTTGCCTGCATTGTAAATCAAGTGCTCATCTGTGGTAAACGGGGGCCCAGGTTCGGCGCCTTCGAACAGGTATGGGTGATTACAGCATTTCCTCAGCTGCATGACAATATTAAGCAGCCTTGTGTTGCCTTCACGCTTTCCAACCGCGCCGTTTACGGCGTCGAGGTCCTTTTCTAGAAGACTTTTATACCACTGTACCTGCATCTTGGTCATTCCAACGTACAGGTTTGTTTCGATTTTCGGCAGAAGCGATGTTTCCACTTCTGACTTCAGTCGTCTCAAAAGGAAAGGACTTAGCACTGTGTGTAGCTGCTGAACAACAACATCTTGATCTTCGTCACCCTCGTTTTGTTCGAACCACTGGTCAAAAACGTCCGAGTCGCCAAATATATCTGGCAGCAGGAAATTCAGAAGAGCCCACAACTCATGTAAATTGTTCTGGAGAGGTGTACCAGTAATAAGAAGTCTTCCTCTGGAACTGAAAAGACGAATTATTTGCGAAAGCGTGCTCTGTTCGTTTTTGATTCTGTGTGCTTCATCAACTACCAAAAACTGCCACATAAGTTTTTTCAGAGTAGACTTTTCCTTGATAACCATTTCATAGGAGGTGATTAGTATATCGAATTTGGCTTCAAGTATAACATCGTTGAGAATTCCTTGACGTGCTTCTTTGTCACCACTTAACACGACGGTTTCGACCTCGGGAGTCCATTTTGCAAACTCGCGCTGCCAATTATTGACTGTTGATTTTGGAACAATGATAATGGAAGGCCCATCAACACCTTTGACGTAGCGAAGATAGCCAAGAAACGCAATTGTCTGTAGAGTTTTTCCGAGACCCATTTCATCTGCTAAAATTCCAGAAAGTTTATTTTCATATAGAGAAAGCAGCCAATTGACACCCTGAACCTGGTAGTCTCGAAGCGTTCCAGACTCAATGTAACTGGGAGATTCTGTCAAAAGCCCTGTGGATTCAATGTCTTCCTCTTCTTCTTCCATCAATTCTGCATCTTCTTCTTTTTCGGTCTTTCTATGATGTCTCGAGTCCTGAGATCTTCCGCTACCACTTTTTTCATGGCTACCACCATCCAATTCGATGCTCTTCAGTAGTTTCTGGATGTTTTTATCTTGTTTGGCTCTAACGCTTATAAAATGACGAAAAAGATCGGTCAGTTTGAGAAGATACTTGAACCGCTCGTATGATTCCTCTTTTAATTTCTGCTTTTCAACTGCCGCGCCATTATGCTGGAAAAATCGTTTCTTTCGAGCTGCCCAGTACGCTGCGTCTTTCTTAACTTGAACTTCTGGCATCGAACGATGATTAACTTTTAGTTCGTAATTCTTTATATGTCAAGATCTATGGCTCAGATAGCAAATCCAAGGATGCTATGAATTCAAACACCCAGAGAAAGATGATGATGATGATGATAGACCAACAAAGGTCTGATGCAGTATCTGGACGTCTAAAGTTCTTGAGATTTTGATGTTTTTAAACCTTTTTAGAGATCAAGAAATAATAATATTTACAGTATATAAATAATGTATGGACATATTTTGACCATCACCAGTTAAACTCAGAAAAACTCAAGATTCAGCTAAAGAATCGAGTAGAAATCGCAAGACGTAGCTTGTATAATAAAAGGCCATAAAATTTAAGAAAAATCAGCTTTCTTCGCCATAAAACCTCTCAGGAGATGGCCTTATCTCGAGAAAATTGTATTTTTTTTCATAACGGTCATGTAGAAGCTTTAGTCTCTGATTGTCGTTTGTTCAATGGCCTGCGGGACCTATTGTGACCCTTTTTGTGGCCATGACTCTTTTTAGTACTCGACCGTGCATCATTTCCACCAGAATCTGTTGACTTGAATGATCTAGAAATCAATTCTTGATTTCCCTCTAGTTGTAATTGTACTTTCTCTGACTCTTCGGCCCACCATTTGGCAAAGCGCTCCTCCTCTATAGTGTCTTTCAAGGAGCGCGATGGTATACTGTTGTTAATCTTGGTGTTACTCAGATAAAGAGGGATCGTTGAGCCTTCTCCTGTGCTGGTCAAACTGACCGTTGGAACCTTTTTCTTACTCGATTGACCTTTCAGCGACTGAGCAAGCGAAGGAAACTTGCTAGCCGATGAATTAGGGAGCTGCGCAGGCTCAGATTTCGTTTTCTCAATATTGCTGCCCCAGACAGCCTTTTTCACCGGAGGTAGCTCCTGGGACGCTTCTTGAGCAGCCAATTTGAGCCGCTCCTTTTGAGATAGTTTCTTTACACCCGAAAAATTGGTTGCATTCAATTTGCTCGAAGACTCGGCACTGGAAGCACCCTGGAGAGAGTTCCCAAGTGCTGGAAACATACTGCTTCGGTCCGTTGTCAGACGCGGGATCGTTTGCGGGACTGCAGTTTCTGACCGTTTTTCAAACTTGGTTTGTGCCTCAAAGCGTGCAACATTAGTGGTGGAATCGTTAGAAAATGGCTTTGAAGACCCACCTTGAAGAATACTTGGAAAAGGACGTACATCATTTTGGCTCTTGGACGCCTTGCGTTTGCTTTTTCCCACCGTAACAAAACCTTGATTGGCTACATCTGAGATATCATCTTCAACAGCCTCTTCGCCGCCGTCCATCAGTCTATAATCAAGGGCAACTGGCTTGGGCTTGTTTACATTTGGTAGAGATGTCGAAGGGCGCCTCACATTCACAAGGTCTTCTAAGCTCAATGATGGCTTTCTGTCTCCCGACGATTTCCTACGATCCGTCCCTTTTTTGGATCCGGTTTGCTTTTTGACTGGCTTTCTAGCATCAAAACTGGGCTCAAATGGATTTTGCAGATCCATAAAGTGTTCATTGTACTTGGTGCGATTTTCTTGAAACAAGCTTAAAAGCGAGCTTGCTCCCATCCTTTCGTTGTACCAAGCGTCGTAAGTCTGGCGATTCACTTTTCTTGCTTCAATGACAAACTCCTGCACTATTCTCCATAGTTCAGGACCAAAGTAGTTTTCAATGAAGTCAGAATTCTTCTCTGTGAATAAAAGCTCAATGTTGTTGTGGAGATACCAACAGCATTCAAAAATGAGAGCCTTGCAAAACAAGTGATGTGCGTTAACAAGAATTACCAGAACCGTACTGGCGTCTATGAAATCAACCAAAACACTCTCGAGGTAACTTCTCAAATCTGACATCATAAGCTTGCCCGTGAATTGTATCAGCCCGAGAACGAAGTCAACAAAACTCTTATAATCGGCAAAAGTACAATGCGAAAACAGGTCCGCAAACGGAAGAGCGTAAATGTATTTCAGAACACACATCATCTCATCGGTCGTATGATATTTCATGGCAACCTCTTTCATACCACAATGCTGGCCGTTCCAATCTCGAGAGAGAATGCTCTCAAAATAAGCGGACCTTGCAATCAAGATAAAGCTGTAAGCCTCCAGAATTGCACCGTCAGCAAGTAAAAGCCTCACGTCAGGTTTAATCAATAAGGATGCACTTTCGAGCTTTATAGAACATTCAAAGAGCTTTGCTAAGGAAAATGGCAACTTGTCTCCTCTGAAAGTGTTTAGATGCAAGTCCAATTCCTTCATCAATGCTTTGATCGATGAATCAAGTAATTTTCTATCTTGAGCGTTCGCGATGTGAGACGTGTCGGGTACGTTATCCGTGTACATGTAGTTTAGCGCATAGGAAATTGCCTCATATGTGTGATGCTCGAACATTACCTCTATACGTATTGGTGCATCAAAATTGAAATCGTCCAACAGACGAAAAGAAAAGGAGCTTCCGTTCTTCGAAGTAGAGCTCCCTAACTCGGCCAGCTTAGAAACAAATGCCGGAGCCCTTGCTTGAAGCAAGCCGCGATGACACCCTCCCACGACAGCACCCGTACTTTTCTCCACGAACAAGGTGTCAAAACCTCTGCTATCAATGAAATTGAGCCGAGTTTGGGAGTATAAATCATTGCGCAATGCCATGAGCTGATCAGCGTAATCAAGACGCTTATGTTTTCCCCACCTTCGATTCAGCGTACTCCAGAGATTGTCTCTCTTGAGAAACTCGTTCGTGTTGTCATCATCTCTGTCGTGAGAGAATAAAGCGCTTCCCGTTTTAGCAATATTGAAGCCTTTCAGAAAGTTATCGAACATCAAAGGCGTTGTATAATCATCCTCAAGTTCATAGTTCTGAGTAGTTCTTCGATGTCGATGGTTTGTTGAGAGAGGAGAGTATGAAGCCATGTTGTTGTAAATGTTTTGCTTGATGTATCCTATGGGAATCATATCAACGTCATCCTTAACTACTCCAAACGACGAGAACAAAGAGTCGCAGCTGATAAAAATGACTTTTCCCGAGGTTAGCTTTTTACTTTTTAGCATTTCAAACTGAGGGCTGCTTGGCGATTGTGATCTGTAGATTTTGCCTCCTGTGGTACAGAGAACCAGCTGCCCATCTACGCCCACATCGAAGTCAAGACATTTATTCCACCCATAGTACGGTGTCCAGTAAGTATTGATGGGTAACGAGTTCGGCAGTTTTGACCATCCATGTGCAGAGGTTTTCAAGTGGTTGGAGCTTAAAATCCCTACAGCCCCACTTTCATATAGAACGCATAGATTGTTACCGTGAGGATTTGCCGTTTTCAACTTGACTACCCTGCTTTTTTTGCTAAGCGAGTTAGGAGTGAACAGATCAAGTTCGTTAGAAGAGTTTTGCTTTGAAGCCGTCTTCGGCAGACTGAAATTCAGAACCTTATAATTGTTCAATACGCAAAGCTGATTGTCCGCCCATAGAATGAAGGTTGCAAAGTCTGTGCAAAAGAGTTGTTTTACGTCGCGAATGAAGTGCGGCAGTTTTATTCTCAAAGGAGACCTGATAACACAACCTTTGTAACCACTGTAACTGACTGTATCTTCTTCCGTATAATTACTGGTAGCACCCATTTGACCCAAGTTTAGGCCCCAGACAAAAAGGTTGTAATCAGTGTCCATTACACATGAGTGCACCTTGGAACATGCTACGAACTTTAACTCTGATGAAGGGGTTTTTTTCCATGGCGTGTTTGCTATCTTTTTGGGACTTGCGCTGCAGATGTTTTCCAAAGCCGACTTGTCGCTATTTTTCCCATTGAGGGAGGTAGAGTACCCTAGCTGAGAGTAACGGTTCCATCCCCAGGTAAAAACCTCACCGCTAGTCGTGAGAACGATCGAATGATGATCGCTACAATCCAATTGAAGAACTCGGTGATGATCCAAGTCGATCTTGGTATGACTGACGTTCGAAATACTGGTATTTCCGTTTCCAAGTCTGCCCCTGGTACCAGTACCGGCGACCAAAATTTGACCGTCCATCGTTAAGATCAAAGAGTGGTATCTTTTCATGATCACAGCTTTGAATCTGGGGCTTAAATAAGGGCTTTGAAAATCTGTGAGTGAGTATTCGTCAAACTTGAATAATTCCTTGCGATCTTCGGAATCACCAGTTCCCAATTGAAGGTTAACATTTGTTCCAGTAGTGAAAAGCTCACGTCCACCGCGTGAATGAACGTACACGTCTCGAAGTTCTTGAACACTGGGAGCACAGGACTTGTACGAAAATTTGTTCTTTTGATTTCTAGGACGCCATTCTACCATTGAGGAAGACCTTTCTTGTGACTTATCAAGATGAGCGTCCTGCTGGATGGAGATCGGAACATGACTGCAGTTCCAAATGTCATTTTCGCACCGATATAGTTCGATCGGAGTCAAACCCTCGCGATCTTTGAGGTCCCATATATCTTCGACAAAAGGCTTATAATGAGCCTGGTGTTGTTTTCTCCAAAGCCGATATAGTTTGAAAGCTTTTTGAAGATATGCCAGTCTCAAACAGACATGCAAAGGAGTGTATCCACTTTCCATATCGTGCGAATATAAGTCGATTTTGCCTAATTGTTCATTTGCCGGATGGCAAGCAAGAAGATAGGACAGATCTCTGCCGAAAACGTCCCTTGGAGCATTTTTTTTGTCACAGCTCATAGTATCAACTATAGTGCTATAAGGAGTAGATTTAAACCGACATGGGAGTGGTTTTTGTTAGGTTGTTGTTGAAGTTGAATAGGTGCACGAGCTGAATCTTTATATTCATCAAATACTCATTTATGATTTATATGCTGATAAGAGTACAAATGTACTCAAAAGTGATCGAAATAACCGTATTCCAACTTGAACATGTTTGAGCGGATAAAAGTGTTGATAAAGTCTCTAATGGCCCCATTGATAATTTGGATAACTTTTTGAAGGTATATGAGTGTCTTGACGGCTTTTTTCTAGACCTTTTGGGCTCAAAAAAAATTCGAATTGAGTGAAAACTAAAGTAGACAGCTCTCTTACAGGTCTTGAGCGATGAGAGGCCCGAAAGTCGAAGGTCCAGCATGGGGAGTCAAAGAGAATGTGTTTAAACTTGATTTAAACATAAAATAAAAGCATTTTGCTGGAAACCAAACTCTTTTCTTTACGGTGACAGGAAAGGATTTAAGATTTGTTCATAATTTAATAAGACGACGCTGTCATCGGGTCAACAGTGGAACTATGGAACTCGACGACAGGATAAAGATACGGAGTCAAGCGCTGGAAACCACGCAACAGAACTCAACAGAGTGCTAATACTAAACACAACGGATACCCAAAAAATCAAATTAAATTAAAATGCAAATTATTCCTATACCTCTTTACCTTACAAAAGGCATTCCTTAGATACCTATGTTATATGAATGTTCTTAAAAATGTTTAAACGCTTGAAGATCGAATCCTCGGTCTACAACACTCTCTCAGTGGCCATGGTGTGCACTGGAACCTCGAAGGTGGCAGCGGTCTTGGCGCTGGATCTCTTGAAGTTCTGGTAGGCAGCGATGTTGTCAAAGTACTTGTCAAACAAGACGGCGGAGTCCATGGGACCACCCTTGGCCTCAGGGTGGAACTGGGTGGAGAAGATCGGCCTGGTTGTGTGGATGATACCCTCGTTTGAGCCGTCGTTCAAGTTCACAAAGTAAGGCTTGAAAGCATTGGCTGGGAGGGTTTCGGCGTCGATGGCGTAACCGTGGTTTTGAGAAGTAATGTGGCACTGGCCGGACGTCAAGTCCAACGCTGGGATATTGTGGGCTCTGTTACCGTACTTCATTTTCACGGCAGAGGCACCAGCAGCCAGGGCCAAAAGTTGGTGGCCCATGCAGATACCAAAGATGGGCAGACGCTCGAATTTGGGGTCTTCCAAGAGGTGTTTGAGGACCTCGACCGTGGAAGTGCACAGAGCTGGATCGCCTGGCCCGTTGGACACAAACACACCGTCAAACTGGTGTGCCACCTCTTGCAATGGGTAGTCGTGTGGGAAGACCGTGACATTGGCACCGCGGGACGCCAGACAGCGCACAATGTTTTCCTTGACACCGCAGTCGACCAAAGCGATGTTGGCGGTGGCGTTGTGGCCGCTGATGTAGTAGGGCTGTTTGGTGGATACCTGGGCCACCAGATGCGACTTCATGGTGTCGACGAAAGCGGGAGCGGGCTTGCCGTCGTCCACAACGATACGGCCCAAAGACGAACCTTGTTCACGCAAGTACTGGACGACAGAGCGGGTGTCGACTCCCGTGATGGCTGCCACGCCTTCTTTGATGCACCATTCGGAAAGAGACTGAACTGCGGTCCAGTGGGAGTATTTCCAGGCGTATTCGGCAACGACGATCCCGATCACGTGCGCGCTGGGACTCTCGAAATACTTGAGCAGATTGAGCTCGTCACGTGCCTCGCCCGATGGCACACCGTAATTACCGATAAGTGGTTGAGTGAACACCAAGATCTGGCCTTTGTAACTAGGGTCGGTCATGGACTCTGGGTAGCCTACCAGCGATGTAGTGAACACGGTTTCGCCTGCCACGGACTGCTGGGCGCCGAAGGAGATCCCTTCGTGCGAAGGGCCATTTTCGATTTGAAAGCTAGCTTTAACGAATTGTGGAGCCATGATGAAGGTGATGCTGTTGTGTGTGTTTTGTGTGTTTTGTTGTTTGACGCGCTGCTCTTTCAAAAGCCGCTGGTTTTCCAGATATGGTCCGGTAGATAATCTTCGCAAGTGCAGTTGGTATGGCACAGCCTAAACATGCACAGGAGATAAGAAAAAGTGAGTTATTAAAAAACACAGGTCGGTTTAACCGCGAGTGTTCGAGTGTGAGTTAACAAAGGAATTAGGTTTTGGTTTTGGAATCTAACAACCAAAATAAAAGTCTCGATACGTGCGTTTGTTATATCGACAGGGACGTTGTGGATCTTTTCTTTATATACGCGATGAGATGCGATGAGCAATGGCTAACTTTCTCAAATTTTTCATTTTTTTTATCATTTTTCACTAAATGATTTTTTTACACCATGATGCTTTTTTTTTTTGGGTCTAGAAACCTGCACGGCGTAATCAGTCCCTGCGAGTTTCTTTTCTTCTTCGTGCAGAGGGAGCAGTGCAGCGAAGCTTAGCGAAGCGTGATGAAGCGTATATGCATGATAGAATGATGGGATAGGAAGAGTCACGATGACATCAGTGCGTGTGGGAGGGAGAAGCGTGAGAAGCGTGGATTTGATGTGAATGGTGTGAAAGAGAGGAGAAAGAAGTCTTAGATTTGGCCATTACAACTGAGTAGCGGTAAAACAGAGGGTTTTAGTTTGAGAGAAAGGTTGGCACGTGATACGGTAATTGATACTAGTATGTTTCATTTATCTCAAAATTCATAATCGGCTTGCGTGGCGTAATGGCAACGCGTCTGATTTCTAATCAGAAGATTGTGGGTTCGACCCCCACCGTGAGTGCATTTATTTTTTGGTGATTAGGGTAAAGAGAGGGTTAGGTTTTTCTACTATGAGAGGAGTATCTATTGTAAAAGAGACATACGGAATGATACAGGGTAGAGAAAGCGCTAAGCTCTGCTACTATGGGAAAAGTACTATTATAATGGAGATCTTTTTCATGATACATAGCTTACAGCAGATTTTAGTGTTCGTACACTGGCGATGACCTTACTATATAATATTTATCTTTACAATTCTTATCGGCGGGGCTTGAGTCCCGGTATTAGTCACTAACAGCGGCTGTGCAACACACCCTACGCTTTTCGAGCGCTCGTACAGGCTTCAGAGCTCTATGCTTTTCGTGCGTTAATATATGCTTCACAGTTCTCTTTAAATGTTCTGTACAAGCCACCTGTCGCACACTTTTTATCTGCATCGAATGGGTTTCCAACGTAAATTTGACTTCCCCACTGCAAATTCACGGGTGAGTTTTTTCAAGAACATTCGTATCCATGTTTGTCCATCAACGGTTTTTTTTTATCCTCATCCGACAGTTTCATCAACTTCATGCTCATAAATCTTTAGCATAACCCCTGTCTTCAGCATCCAACCGCCTTCTATTTCCCATACTTTTTCATTTCTAAAACACGCGTTTATCCTTTATGCTCTCAGTAGTTCAACGGTGCTTGTTGTCATCTCGCTGACGCTCTCAGTTATAGCCTGGATTATGACCCTTCTTGGTTTCCATTTGTTGAAGTATACTTCCCAGTTATCGTCCCCATGCATCCTTATGCTTTCTGGAATCTCGGTCACTATCAAAATGCGTCACGGCAGTGGATGCTCTGGAAGCAAACGTCCAAACGAGAAGCCCTGGCCCGTGAGTTTCCATCGATCTGCATTGTAGGTAGCAAGCTCTGAAGCCTGCCTGTGAGTTCCCATCGATCGGCATTGTAAGCAGCAAGCCCCGAAGCCTTGGCCCGAGTTTCCATCGATTGGCATTGAAAGCAGCTTTCTAATCAGCCAAAATTCAGTTTCTCTTTCCAGGTCGCGATGAACAAATAGGATGTCAAATGTAATCGAGTCAGACAATCAAAGTGCCACATAGCTTTGTTCCACACACTTTTTTCGGCGGAATTTCGTTCCGCAAGTGTGCACTTGGCATGCTGGCTTTCACTGAACAAGTCGTCACTCTTCAGATCTACACAGTCCCCGTCGTGTAACCTACAATCTATAGCCCGGTACGCAGCTGAAAATCACGGTGAAAATCCCTGTGCCCATCGCGATCAAAAACAAACACCACCATGCACGTCGTTTGATCATGCCGTTCACAAGCGGGTTTCGTATTTTCACCAGCCTGCTGGTGCCGCCCAAAAGTCGTAGGAAAACGGGAGCCCTATGGCCCATGCGGTGATTCGCAGAGTTTCGATTGAGCCCTATTTCGAGGTCTTTAGACGAGACCAGCTCGTTCGATACCAACGACTGCGTCACCCCACATAGGGCATACAAAATATCGACTTTATAAATTCCAGTCCATATGAAGTAAAACCCTAGGAAAAATAGGACAATTGTTGTTACTCTAATGCCACGATTGTAATCCAAAAATATTAGCACGTATCCTAGCCACAGCCCTAGCCATAGAAACCCCATGCCAAGGACAATGCGTGAGAGCGACGTGTAATGCGAAAACGGGTTAGATGTTCGACCCAATGACTGGTCTGCGTCGTACGACCGAGAAGAGATTGCCTCCTTAGTAAGGTCATCGTGCAGATTATGCAAAGCCACAGATGTGAGAAACTGCGGGAAACACTCCATTTCCAAAAATTGGAATGCCAGAGACTTTAACGGCTCAAAAACGTCCGGATCGTGTCGTTGTTCCGTAACAACCATATGCAGAGCCTGCTGACGCATGTGGTCTGGCAGGTTGATCAAATATCGAGGGCTGTCGATCGGGGATCTCAAATAAGTATCTACGATCGTTTGTGCGTTGCTCAGCAGCTGTTTGGAAGTTATATGAGCCTTTTGAGAGCCGTGAGCCTGCGTTTTGAGAAAATCGTCCACGAGGCCCGTAAGTGGGCTTCTGAAAGGCGCGTCCTCTATATCCTGGTCGGTGTGTTTTTGCCAGCTTTCCAAGAGACGCGTGAGTCTAGGAGAGTCTGTTTGGCCCTGCAGAAACTGGGATACTCTTTTGCTGTCTTCAAAATCGAGAAATCCGTCATTCATGAGGGCTTCCAATAACAATGAACTGGACATTGACTCTCGATTTTCAGGAATCTCAGCGGCTCTTGCGTTGTCCATATTGCCGTTGGTGTTTCCGTCCGAGATTTTGGACTTCTCTTGCGAATCTTCCCATTCTGTCACACTCTGGCGGATTCCTTTAACGTAGTCTTTGCATAGCCGCAGATGCGCCATTGTATCGATCCAGAAGTCCAAAAAATTGATGGCATACGGGTATTGCGAGAGGAAAGTGTAGAAAGACCATAGGTCTACAGGTGTAGACGTTTGACGATTGAGTACTTCATACAGGGTCGGTAGTCGATCAGTTTTTGATGTATTCATCGGGGTGGGAAAAGGACAGAAAACAGAGAAAGCAGCAGAAAGAGAGGTAGGATAAGGAGAAGAGGAGAAGAGAAGAGGTAGGAAGGCGAGCTCAATACCTCAGTTGCTGCTAATCACTGCTCAATCCCGTGTGGTTTGTGTTGATCTGTATATGTTACAACTCTGCACTGTTCATTCTCGTCACTGAATTTCTCATAATAGTTTTTTATTGAAACCAGCCTGTTCGTGCAAAATGACATCATCGATCATCTGGTTATCACGTGAAAAGAATCACGTGTAATTCTCCACAACAGTAACAGATTAAGTATAGAAACGATCTCAATGGTAGTTCTAGCAACTACGCTGGTGAATTCCTTCATCTTTCTCTTCTCAACATGAGAGCTGCTAAGCTCCTTGGGTGAATGAAGCTATTTTCAGACTCTTTTGTATATAAATGTAGATGTACATAGAACCATATATACATAATTAAACAATGCAAAGCTATGAAGAGAGCGAACGACAGGAAAAGAGAATAATGGACGGACCACGAGATTCCACCATCAGAATATTCCAAAATATGTTCAATATTTATTACCAATTCCTCTGCAAAGCTATTAGAAGCTCTCAGCGCGCGTGTGGGTGTGTTTTTTGTAGTATACAATGTGTCGCGACGCACGGGTGCTAATCCTGACTCTCTTTCTTGACACGAATCAAGCTTTCACAGCTGCCTGTACTTACGTGCTGGTCGAGCCATTCGGTGTTGTTGCTGAACTCTTGGAAACACGCCGCACACCGGCCCTTGGAGCGGTTGCGGAGGCTCCTTGTCATGCCGACAGGGTAGACAAAGTGGATGGCCTTGAGATGCGTTTTGTAGGTGTCTTTGCGAGAAAACGCGCCCGTTGTATGACACTGACAGTCTGCGGCCCAGAACGGACACTGGAAATCCTTGACGGCCTGATGTTTTCTTAGATGCCGCGTCAAATAGCCCTTGACTTTGAAGCTGGCAAAACATTGCTGACACTCAAAGGCCGGTGTCTCCTTTGGCGTTGATGGCGCTTTGCTGGTAGTAGTAGAAGCAGTAGAAACGTCTTGGCCCGTCGTGTACGGTGACAAGAGGTCCAAATCTTCAAATTGTTTAGCATGGAACTGAGTTCCTAGAACCACTTCGTCCAGCGAGGGTTTCATGAGGGTGGCATTGGTGAGGGCGGTCTCCGAGCGAGTGTCGTTGCTGTTATTAGTATTATTATTATCATTATTATTATTATTCTTGTTGTTGGTGTTGGTTTTGGTGTTGGTGTTACGATGCTCGACAATGGTGTTGGCTGATTTGAATGGGAACCCTTGCAAATTTGAAACTAGTCCTTTGTTTTCGTGGTCGTGGTCGTGGTGATCCTTTTCGTCGTTAGCGTTCATAATGTCTGCCCAAATTTCAGCTAACGATTCAAAAGTTGGCGATAGACCCGTGAGAAGTGACCTATCATCGGGGCTCACGCTTGACGGGACAAGTGTTGTAGTGTCTTCGAGATCATCGACGGGATCGTAGTGATGTTGTTGTGTTTGCAATGGTTGTTTTGAAGCGGTGTTATTCCAGTTTTCCAATGAACACTCATTTTGCCGTTGTTTTTGCAGTTGACGGTGCAGAAGCCCTAGCGACACCAAGTTGTCCTCTGGGACGGCAATTTTGTCGAACTGGATGTAGCCCATAATGCGGGTCTATTGACGAGGGCCTGAGAGAGTAGAATGGAGCCTTAATCTGGGAAGAGAGGCCTCGAGCGGCTGGCACACGGCTGGAAAATTCGCCTTAGAGAAATCAGCTTTCTTTTTTTGAAAAATGTTATTGAGGCCAAGAAACGTTTCTGGCCTGTGGGTGTGAGAAAGAAAGAGGGACAGAGAAACAGAGAGACAAAGTGCCGTTAAGCAGTAAAGTAGTGAAGCAATAGGCTTTGAAAAATAGTAGTACGCTTGCGTATGTGTGTGAACGTGTTAGGCGTTGCTAACCAAAAAGTATATTCTTTCGTTCGAGCGTACGGCACTCACGACTTATATGATTATTTTCCAACAAGCGTTTTCACACCACTTGTATACATATATATGAATTGAGCGAGCGACCGACCATACCAAAAAAATTTCCAGGAATCGCTCACCCCGCGCTGCTCATCGATGCTGCCACTACTGTTCAAGACAACCGAGTCATGATGTGCGTGTGAGTGTGTGTGAGTGTGTGTGAGTGTGTGTGTGTGCGTTTTCTCTGTGTGTATGCCTGCCACGCAAAATTCGTTCTACTGGACTAAGAACTTGATAAGGACTGATGACGCCATGGTCGTTTTTCCATTTCCAGCCTCGAGCAGCAGATAGAAGCCATTCTTGAGGAAAAGAAAGAGGACGACGATGACAGAAGGAGAAGGGAGAGAGACGAGAGAAGACAAGACAAGACAGGTTGGCAACGTACGGTACGGTACGGTACCACTAGCGACGTATGTGGGGCTATGGCTATAAAAAGTCTAATCGGTAATGAGTGGTTTAGTAGGTTTTTTCGCTAGGTTCTTTAACCCCAGGACCAACACGAAGACGTAGACCGGAGGTTCCGGAGGTTCCGGACGGAACGAGCGGTCGCAAACTTGCATAAGATTTACTCAGCTATTTACAGTTAACCTAGTGCGTAGAGAGAAGAGGATGGATGGGTTGTTCGTTATCTTGGCATCGGTGGGAAGACCCAATAGACAGAAGAAAAATGAGTAGAAATATAGATCTTCCGTGGAAAGTGATGCGATATTATATTAGGCGACTATTCAAGATATGGGAGATAGTAAGACGATAATCGTGAAACGTGGGAATTGAGAAACCAGGTGGGAAACAGCGAGCAGATATGAGGAGAGTAGTGGCAACAACAAAACTGGATCTAGAAGGTTTGTGTGTCAAAAAACTTGTAAAAATGCTGTCTTTTGGCAGTCTGGTCGCTTTGTACGAGACTGTCGTTATATGTGAGTGTGTTTTGATGACCGGGTAACCAAAAAAACTGTGTGTTATACGTCATGATACATATACTGTGACCCGATTAGGACAGTTCGGCTAGTCCGAGAGGAACCCGGTTCGGAACCCGGTTCGGAATCCGGTTTGTGATCCGGAATGGGATCCGGAATGGGATCCGAAACCCAGACATGCGGACACCCAGACATCATATTGAGAGTGTCAGGTCGAGAGTGTTCCAGGCTCTCACAGACCGATATTTTGAATAAAACGTGACTGACTGGAAGCACTGCCATAATATAATGGGTTTCTATCAATAATGATTAAAGCCCCAATATATTGAGTCATTTGTAGAGCCAAGTAAGTCATGTACTGATTTTAGGCTTGCCATGCCGTTGCAACAGTAGCAGCAAGTCCGCTGCGTTGGAAAGAAACATGTATCATTGCGTACGGCGAGTAGTGAACATACTATATTCCAATGTCAATATGTATGATAATGCGGCGACTCTTGTCCTCGAAGTGCCTCTGGAGCCAGGTAAACCAGTCCAAATATTTTCAAACCAATTCCTCTCGTTTTAAAATGTAAAACTCATTTTTTGCACGTCTCGAATTTTCTCTCTTTGTTGTGTGCGGCACTTTGGAACTGATAGAAAAGACTGGGAAGCTCGATTCCTGCTCCAGCCGCTACGTAGTGCTACCAGAAGCCCCCGAATACAAACTCATTGTCAAGTGATTTCCAAAATTTGATGCTGTCATTTGGTCACGTGACAGTGACCCTACACATAATAACATTTCAAAAGCTCACCAAGTATGTTGAAGACTTTTAACAGGGCTCTCAAGACCTTTCACTTTTCTGGTCCAAGCCCTACATATCTGGATTGGCCCTTTGATAACCCCGCACCCAACTGTGCGGTCTTAGTCAACGCAGACCGGAAAAAACGATTGTTTCAAATGGCACTGTACCACTAGCCCGTGATAGCCAGTTGAATGAATAGTCAAGCATATGCGTGCTTGTACAAGCTTGTGCAAGCTTGTTGTTTTGTCGTTCTTCGAAAAGTCACGTGACCAAGATAAAATTGTTAAAATTTACTCAGAAACTCAACCATTGAAGTTCCTTCTCTCAATCACATAGAGCTCGTACGTCTGGCCTCGAAAACTTCAAAAACTCTCAAAAAGGTCTGCTAATTGCACGTAAATTTCCACTCCAACTGCTCACAACAAATCATCCACTCGTATCTAGTGACCATCTTCACTAATATACATTACCATCAAAAACTCCGAATGGTCTTTCTCAAACTCAACTCTCCCGTTTACACACTTCTTTAGAAACCCATAGAAAGACTCAAAGGTTTCCCTCACACCATCCTTTCGTCGCTATATAAATCTATCGTAGCAACACTCGACGCCTTACTTATCCAAAACGTCTCTTTTCTTAGCCAATCCAACATGTCGGATGCTCTTCGCCGAGCTTTATTATCTAAAGTAGAACAGGCAGACTCAGTTATACATTCTGGAACCAATTCTGGAACCAATTCGAAAAAAGGGACATCGCTGTTGGCTCCGGAAGCTGATTTTTCAATAGATCTGCCGAGTTGGAGAGACTTTTTCGATCAAAATGAGACCTTTTTGATCAAAGATGGCACGTACAGTTTCAATGCGTACTTCAGCTTACCAAAGGCTGAAAGCTTTCCAAAGAACTCTACAAGCCAAAACATTCCTATCTTTATCTTCCATCATGGTGCAGGCTCTTCGGCATTGAGTTTTGCGCCTCTAGCACAAAGTCTAAACGAAAAACTCGGAAATCTATGTGGGACTTTTACCTTTGATGCTCGCGGACATGGTCAAACGAGAACGCCAGATGCTACTACTTTCCGTTTAGAAGATTTCGTTTCGGATTTTTGTGAGATTTTGGAGCTTTTCAAAAAGCGCTATCTCGAGAAGTTATTCACGGAGTCAAGCTTTAGCCTCATCCTAGTGGGCCATAGTTTGGGAGGCAGCATATGTTGTAGTGCATTTGAGCAGCTGGACCAGTCCTTGCGCCAAAAAATCGTCGGCGTGGCAATGCTGGACATTGTAGAAGAAGCAGCCAAAAAGGCTTTGAGTACAGTTGATACGTTTCTAATCAAGACACCCAACGTATTTCCAGATTACAAGGCTGCAATTGATTGGCACGTCCAAAAAAAGCTTTCTTCTTTAGAAACTAGTGCCCAAATCAGCATTCCAAGCCTTTTCACTCCAAGCAAATCTGGAAAAGTGACGCGCATAACAAATCTGCACACATTCCGCCCCTTCTGGAATACATGGTTCACAGGCCTTTCTTCCAGATTTGTTAAACTGCCAACCAGTAAACTTTTAATTTTAGCCGGTGACGATAACTTGGATCGTGAGCTGATCATAGGTCAAATGCAAGGTAAATTCCAACTAGTTGTCTTCCAAGATTCTGGCCATTTTATAGAGGAAGACTGCCCTGCTAAAACAGCTTTAACCCTAATCGATTTCTGGAAACGCAACGACGTTAAAAACGTAGTCATAAAGACCAATTGGTCCAAGAAAACTTCTCCAGTTCCGTTAAAGTAAGGTGATAGAAAAAACAATTATTTATCATGACTTTTACAGCCAGCCAGCTTAATCAATGGACATGACTTCCAAGTCGCTAATATCTTTCCCGTCGCATTGATCAACAATCCGATCTATTTTTTTGGACGCCCAAGCAAATCTAGGGTTGATCAAGAATGGTCTTAGATCAAAGCGGTTGTCATCAGGAGAATATTGCTCAGCATGGTAGCTGGGCGTGATAACAGTTTGCTTGTGCCTATTGATAGCATAAAAGAAGAAAAACCTCTTCACTTTTTCCGCTACTTGTCTTGGAGTCAATTTGGGACTCCATTCGTGAAGTAATTTCAAAAACATGGAGTATGGCCCACATTTTTCAACTTTCCTCAGGTACCCGAAAATACTGAGTTCTTCATAAGTCATTCCCATGTCAATTTCATCAGACTGAACATAGTCCTTTGTGATAGGTTCTAGTTCTGCAGTTGGGGTCGCCGTCAAGAACTTGTCCAAAATCGGCATCTCGAACGTTTTCGCAGCGTAAGCGATAAATCTTTTCAGATCCGTTTTCGAAATACCACCGATCGGATTTATATCTGCTGAGGAGCAGTCGTATTTTGTCAAATACCCGCGCAAGCATTCATCGACATTGGCACTGCCTAGGACCAGAAGACTGCCCCCATTAGGGATACGACGCACCCATGGCAAGAGCTGAGCAAATAAGTAGGCCAGAACCATACGCAAACGAGCCTGGATATTTTGCAATGCTAGGTTTTCTGTCTGAGATCCGCCAAAGATTTTGAAAATTGGTTTTTTACCCGTTGTCACTTCGAACAGACTAACGACGCTGCTGACCAAGCTGTCCATGTTGAAGTCAACGTGGTATGATGAGATCTCATTCGCAAGTTCGCGGCTTCTTGCTCTTGTCTCTTTAGAAGAGTTTTCGGTACCCATAAAGCAGGTGTGAAATATCAAGGATGCTAGTTCTTGTGGAGTCTGCGGTATCCAATCGCTATCCTTACGACAAAGTCTTCTGGCATCTTCCATTACCTGTTGATTGCCCTCTTGGCATTCCTTCACCACCAATCGACACATCGAATGAACGATCACCGCTGTAGCGCATGAGTCTATCCCTCCAGAAAGTGGCAAGAAAAAGCCGGTACCGTTGCAGCGTCTCAAGTAATCCCAAAGCCAACAGGCAGGCCCTAGGGCTATTTCTTCTTCGGGGGTATGATAAAAAATGGGTCTGCGTGCTGAGGGGGTAACTTCCGGATTAAATCTGCTCGTCATTGGCGCAAGTTCCTCATCTACGTCAATTCTTTCATATCTCAAGTCGCTGACGGAAGCTTGCAGTCCACGAGACATCACGGAAGCTCTGTAATTACGCACTTCTTCCAAGTCCACGGTTGCAGTGATAACCTCGACGTCCTTTAGACAAAACTGACTTCCCTGGGCCACAACGTTTCCGTTTACTGCGATTAAGGCACATCCATCGTAATACAAACGGTCACCGTCACACCCGCGTTGGTTGGCGTAAACGTATACACCTCCACAACGCCTAGTAGCACTTGTAATGAGGTCAAGTCTGCGGTTGAGCTTTCGCAGCTCATGATGAGAACCTGACGAATTAGTGATGATTTCCACACCGTCCAATGACATGGCAATGTGAGGCGATTGCGGTGTGAAAAGCTCCTCGCACGTCTCTGCACCAATACACGTATCCAGTGTACGAATCACGGCATCACCAAACTCCACGAATTTCTGGCCTGTGATCTTTTGGATCAATGGTGGGAGCAGAAACTGCTCTACTTTACAAGTTTTCATCCAAGGTGTGAAAAACCGCATTTCCCGATAATTTCCGTCGTTGGCCAGCCACATTTTAGGTCTGATGAACAAGATACGTCCATTCAATGACAATAGTCGACAATTGTAGCGCACATTTTTATGCAAAACGGGCATCCCGATGTCCAACAAGATGTCGTGCGTTTCTGGCGTTCTAAGGATCTGAGCGTACATTTCCCACGCATGCAGATACACATCGTTTTCCAGAAAGTGGTCAAGACACCCATAACCCGTTATTTCTAGTTCTGGACCAACTCTCAACCTTGCACCCTTGGCTTTAGCCAACTTGATGGATTCCAGAATACGGTCTCTATTTCCCTCGAAATCGAGCGCCCATTGGTTCAAATTACAGGTCGCGACTGTGAGAAGATGCGACATGGTCACAATTAATCAAAGTTGGTGATTGAATAGTTCAAAGGAGTCTTGTAGACAGCGTTTTGATCAAAGCGATGAGATAGCTGGTTTATGTTGTTATAGCTGAATTAGTTTTGAAATCTGATAGATATGATTTCGTATATAGGTATGTGGTGATGTACTCGTCATGGTACTCGTCATGGTACTCGTCGTGGTACTCTTGGATAGTACTCTTAAAGTACTCGTGGATAGACCTTCTCGAGATGGACAGGATCCATCGCATCGACAGCACCTGGAAGGACTTCAATTCCTTTGATTGAGCTTCCCAATCGACTCAATTGCTTACGCATTGGACTCGTACGTGGCCTGAAGCCGCTGTTGCAAGTGTTCAGCCGCTGTGATGGTAGGAGGGGTCTTCCCCATGGAATTTTCTGCAACAAGTTTACTGGGCACTGGCACGAGCTCCGTGGCATGCTCTGGATGCACGAAAAACACAATAGAATAGCGATCCCGCTCACGGGTTTCTCCTGGAGCAAATTTCACACGGTGCAAAGTGCTTTTAAGCACGCCTGCGGTCCAATACGACAATAAATCGCCAAAATTGACCACTAGTGGAGGAGCTTGGCCCTGGTGTTGGGAACCCACAAATGGGACCTCGGCCCAGCCTTCGCTTTGGGTGTCGTGAGTATCCCCGGTTTGCAATTGGAGTCCCTGTTGGCCCTCGCGTTGGAATAAAAGTGTTAGCGAACCGTAATCTGTGTGCGCACCAGCTCTGATAGTGGCATCGTAGCTTTCGGTGTCAACCTCGTCATTTCTCGTCAACGGGTAGCGCAGCATTCTGAAAACACAGCCACTGGCTTCGTCAGGACGGTGTCTGTCGGTGAAAAATTCCGGGTTTTCCACTTCTAGAGCTATGCTGATGACCTGGAGAATTCTCGTCGCTGTGGCGTGTAGTTTCTGAACAGTTTTCGAGATCAAATCGTGCTGTTTTTCAAAAACCTCGGGAACTGGGTTTTCGTGGTTGTCCGAACCGGTGCGAGAGTCACCGTTGAACGTGGAATCGTCCAAGTTGAAGTCTCCGGTCTTGAAGTTTATGTTACCGAAATTGTATGCTTCTTTGAAATCCCGAGCCTTGCGAGGATCCAATTGTTCATTGGTGAAGTGTGTGTAGCCGATATTGTTAGACTTTATAGCATACTGGCTTTTGACCTCAGCAGGAGTTTCAGTGAAAAACTGTTTTGACAGGTCGAACAAAGCATCCACTTCGTCCTGACTGAAGTCGTGGCCATCGACAAACAAAAATCCTTGCAGTCTAGCTGCTTCCAGCAAAGGTCCACTGATCTCAGCAGTGGGTTTCGAGATATCGACAACTTTTAGCGGATTTGACATGTAAAGAACGAGAAAAATCGTGGGAAGATGAACGGATAAATACTGAAACTATTATCGCTACGGCTACCGCTCGCAATACGTTAGTATATCACAACCGGCTTTCTAGAATACTTAGATTTACTTTGTAGATATGACGACGAGCTCTTATCCTGACAATAAATCTTATCGATCACCAAGCGTCAGTAAAAAGTGCTGATGATCCTGGGTTAGGAACAATGGACTATCCGCCAACGTTTATGTTGACGTTGGTGTGCATGGATTGCCCTTTCTTACGGTCTTTTTTAACCACCGTAAGCGTTGCTGAACACTTCTCTGATTTCGTTCAGACCAAATCTTTCAAATAAGCACAATTGAAGCAGAATTCTACTCTTTTCTGGATTCAAATGCCCAGATGCGATGATGTTGCTTCTGGCAGTTTTGGATTCCTGTTGGGGCATATTTGCCTTGGGGACCATCCCGTCCATCGATCTTTTGGAGTAGATGACCGGAATTGACAATTCCAACACAACGTCGTTCACAGCAGACGGCAGAGATCCAGCACCCATCGTGGCAATGACCAGACCCTTGCAAGTCTTTGCAACAAGCTTGACCAGCTCTGGTGACAGCGATTGGTGGCCATACAGAACATGCACAGTAGGGAAATTGAAAAAACGGTCTTGGACACCAGCATCATCTTTCGTGTTGGCGATTGCATTGCAGGACGATAGTCCTAGCTTGAACTTGTGGCACACTTCGGGCTTGGCTGGTGGCCAGTAATAGTGTACTTCATTGTTGACAAAATTGCCCAAGTAGCCCTGTCTCACGTTGAAGGAATCGAGTGTGTTGGCATTGGTTTTGGTGATGTAGTAACCTGCAGAAATCTGGTCGTTGAGCGACACTAGCACACCACGGCCGCGCGACTGTTTGTCTGCTGCTATACAGATCGCCTGATACAAGTTCATGGGTCCATCTGCAGAAACACTAGTTGAAGGTCTCATGGATCCTACAAATACCACCGGAACGTCTCCAGAGTCGATGGTGCTTTCGATGAAAAAAGTCGTCTCCGCCAAAGTGTCGGTCCCATGAGTAATCACAATACCATCAAAAGTTTGCAGCGCGGCAGAAATCCCGTTGTATATACTCACCAGCGAGTTTTCGTCAATTTCTTTAGAGTCAACGTTGCATAGCTGCTCATAGTCGATATCACATATCTTGGAAATGTCAGGAATTGATTCCAAAAGCTGTTGAATGGTCAAATCCACATGGTAGCCAGCAGTATGCGACGAAGAAGCTCCTTTCGACGCAATGGTTCCTCCAGTGCCGAAAATTTTGATTTTTGGCAGTTTTTTGGCAACATGTTCAGCATTCATTCGATCTTGTTCGTTAGGCTCATGGCCTGACGACAAAAGCGTAAACTTAGAGGACTCCAAGTCTGCGCATATCGTGGTGATCTCAATATCGTTGTTGGGCATCGCCGATGGGTCTTTGATGGTATAGTTTTGGTCGCGATGAGGTAGTCGAGTTGTACTGGCGATGAGCTTCGAATTTGACATTCATTCATACGAGAATTCACACCCATGCACCCAAACAACGATACAACGATACAACGACAGTGGCAGAATCATACACCATTTGGACGATGCTATATAATCATGACAGTATTTCTATAGACATTTATTCATCAATCGGATAACCTTTGGCTGTTGTGGTCCTGTTGAAAAATTCCCAAAACTTTTTGGGAATTGTGGAAAAATGCCGTCATTGCGACCTCTAGAATTGTATATCTTCACCATAATGGAACAACATTGGTCCAGTCGTGCCGTTTCCTTCTTTCCCAGTAGCTGTCAGGTCCGGTTTTGACCTCCCAATGGTTTTCGGAAACTTGGTGGAAGTATTGAGGTTGATTATCTTTGCCCTCCAAACGTCTGGCACGCTGCTGCTGTTCGAGCTCGAGCTTCAGACGCTCAGCTTCGGCAAGTTCGCCGTTTTCGTAGAGTCGTAAGTCGGGTCTGAGTCTGGAATCCGTTACCGGAATGTTTCCCTTTTCAATTTCCGTGATTTCGTTCAGATCGGCTGCAAACTGCGTAAAGCCGTACTTGCGTTCTTGATTTGGAACTAGCTTGCCGGCTTCCCATATTGTGGCGCCGGTGGCTGCATCTACAATGCTTTTAGTCCAACCTCCCTTCAGAGTGGCCACTTGTTTGGAACCGCGATGTATAGCAATCGAAACCTCCTCAGAGCGTCCGCTAAACATCCCTGCAGCCCTGAAAGCGACTCGAGCTTTGACGTTATGCGACGAGACAACCTCCATATGGTTAGAAGGTTCCACATACCGCTCTCCGGCAAATAGGTTTTTCAAAATTGTTGCAGGTTGCGACCATTCGTATCTTTCACCCGTGGACTTGAAGGTCAGTTTTAGCTCACCTTCGTTGATAAATTCAATGGATTTACCCCAAAACTTTTGGATTGGACACACCGAATATGAAAGCTCCCACTCCGCATGCTCAACGTGAAATGCAAATTTCTGCGGTTTGTGAGAAACTTTCTCGGAAATCAAACGAATACCTTTATCCTCACGCACAAGCTCGTAGGTTTCACCCAAAAGCGGGTTGAACGGCTTACGAAGAGCCCGTGTTTTACTCCTATGCATTGACAAATACGAACAGGTGAACGCAGCAACCAAGGCCATACGATGATCCTCGTCTGAAGTTGAAGCTGCTTTGTTGAGAAGTTCACAGTACTCAAATGTTTCTGAGAGCGTTTGTAAGATAGTAATAGGCTCATTCGATGTTATGGGCATCGAAATGGATGTAAGATCTTTGCCGACATTTTTCCTCAAGTGCGACAACAGACTTGGAGGAGAAGATACGGCCTCGGGAACGTCCTGGCGACGTTGAACTTTTTTCAACTCGTTCAACGGGTACAGGTCTCCTCCTGACGGCGCAGGTACACTTTTCTGCACAAATTTGGCATCATATTTAGACGAAAAGTCATCATCATTATCTTCAGCTTTTCCTGTGTGGTCTTCCTGCGATAGCATTAGCGCGTTGACTCCTTCTTCGTCGTTCAACATAATCACACCATCACTGGAATAATGGTCCAGATCGCTATGAAGGTTGTTATCGTCCGCATCGTAAAATTCGTCACTAAAAATGGACCGGTTATCTGCGGATCCATTTTTATTAATCATGTTGGAGCTGAAAGTCAGCCAATGTCGTAGTAAGTCCTCCACTTCACCCAAATCTTTGTAAAGCTGATGTTCGAATGGCGGTGGCGGTGGCTTCTCGGCTTGACCGTCACTAGCAGCGTTAACAACCTCATTTGAGCTGTTCTTCTGCTTCCCAAAAATATGAGAGAGTGAGTGTGTGGAGGGCGTGCGTGACACGGAGCTCGCTTGACCACTTGAAGTGACTGCTCCCCTTAGATCCTGTGTGGGAGGAAGATAGCTCAACGATTTTTCGCGACAACTGTCTAGTTTTTGTTCGATAACACGAAGGCCTGCTAAAATACTGTTAGGGTCCGAGACCTCTTGATCTGGGTTAGCCACAGCTGGTAACCTTTCGTCCTTTTTGTAACAGTCTTGCAAGGCACTAATCCACTCACTCCACGAAGATTCATCTTTAGCTTTTAAAACCCAAATTTCCATTCCAGAATCAATAATTATCAACCTTGTCATTTTGTTGGCGCTGACTGTTGCAAGTGGAATCACAATTTCGCCTCTGCACACGTTATTGTGTTCATTGAGATAGTAAGAGAATGCTTTGTACTTGAGATCCAATTTGAAGAATCTCTTGGTGAACCCTTGCAATTTCTTTCTTCTCTTTTTGAGCATGTAGCCTTGTAAAATGCGGCCCTGTTTAACACGAAGAAGCTGTGAGCGGGATCTGTGGACTGGGATGTTGGGGCCCTGAGTTTTGTTCTCGACGCCAAGCAAAATCTTCTTTTTGGCAGTCTTGGACGCCGTATTGTCAAGTACAAAAGCGTAATAGCCATCTTCGTCCGCTTGGATGTTACCCTCGACAAAGTCGTTTCCTGCTATTGTACCGAGCCTTTTGACCTGCGTAAAGCCCTGGCCGGTCAGTTTTTTGTCCAACGGAACGTCCTGCGTCAAATGCTGCACGGCAGATATGGTTTTGGAGCGATTTCTTTGATTGATGTCTTCTGTTGAAGAATTGCTGCGGTTCAATGCGTAATCGAGAAGCGATTTCGTGTCCGGGGCAATGTGTACGCTGCCGGCTGAAGGAGTGGCATCCCCGCTACTTTTGAGTGTCCCGTCACCGGTCCCATTTTTCTCAAATGCGTCATGGTTGATGGTCGTGTGTCGTTTGTAAATTCCGGCTTCAACCGATCTTTTTAAAGGTTTCAATTGGAACGTAATGGTGTCGCCCTTTTGCACTTTGAGCCACCGTACCACAAACGACTTGTTCTGCACGTCGATGGTCTCCATGACCTGTTTCAAATCGCAGCAATTGAGTCCAGATTCGGAGTTTTGTAGATGTAAATGCAAGTAAACATGTTGGTGTTTCTTAACTTTCTTTCGCCTTGATTGGACCTTTTATTTAATAGTTGACAATTACACAACGTACTAAGTGATGTCGTCGTTTTCAGAGCTTATTTCGATGAATTGTAAGAGGATAGTCATTGATCTTACAATAGTTTCAGGATTTCGGAAGTTTTACGTTCTGTTGACGGGAGTTTCGGCCTTTTTCTCTATCGTTTTGTTTCACTGATGTCTTCTTTCTACGTTTTTTCGGTATTTGAAGTTTAATAGGACCACTAGGTTAGACCAACAATATAAGTTTAAAGATGTAAAAAGAAGAAAAACATTTGGTGAAAAAGGGCCATTTGTGGGTTAAAAAACGCTGATTTAGGCCTCTGAAACGTCTCTAATTGAAATTTTCGAGCAGGACTCGTCAAAACTAGCTTTTTCCTCTCTTTCAGACCCAAAATAATGGAAAATCCTTACGAACAAGTTCATCAGAGCATCTTGGCACGTATAGTGAACAACGTTGAACGTTTGAACGAGAGCGTTGTTACTTTAAACCAGGAATTGCAGAATATAAACGCCCGCAACAAAAACCTGCAGATTATGGGCCAAATGAGTGAAAACTATCACAAGAGCGTGCAGTTCAACATGACGGCAACCAACCAAAAACGGCCACCTTTGTGAAGAGCACGCTTTTAGATATGCCTTTTAGATATGCTGTTAGTGCGCTGGCGACTGCAGCAGACTAAGAAACGCTGTTGGATCTGGAAATTGTCCCGTCCGAGAACGAAAAAGAAAAATGTTGCAATTTTTAAACACACACACACACCCTATATTATACTATACATCTGAACGCAGGGTCGCCCACCCGTTCTTCCTGTTCAGTTGGGGATCAAACCGAATCTTTTCTTCAACGTCACTCTCTGTCTCGAGTACTTATCGTCGGGAGAAAATCTGGCAGGGTGTGCAGATTTGGTGATTTCACCCTCGTCGCTCAACTTCTTCAAAGTGTACACACGCTTGCCGTCAGGGCCCAAAGTGTACATCAAATGCATGGTGACTAGTACAGGAGTTGTGAGATTTGATGATCTTAGCAAAGTGTCGCCTTGCAAAAGTTCGAGATGAGCTTGTAGGTCAATGACTGAAAACTATTTGAGATGCTTAATTTTTTTTCACTCGTGTTATCGTCGCTATATACGGACTGTTGATAGCACTATTCACGAATAATATATTGATTAGATCAATTTTAAACAAAAATTAAAGGCCAGCTTCACGAACTTGATGGGACTATTTTTGGACCTTTAAACTCTGTAAGGTTCTTACCGAATTAGGAGAAGCACAGTTATAATCACCGGGTTTTTGCATGGCAGATCCGTTTGCGAATCTTTTCTCGACTTTCAAAGGTGTTGAAAAAAATGAGAGGACCACAGATCAACAAGTAGGTGATAATCAAAAAAAACAATCAGCAGTGTCTGAAAGAACCGGTTCCAAATCCCCGGTTTATACTGATGTAGATCAGCTGCTAGGTACGCTAGATACGCGAAAACCTCAAAATGACAGTCAAACGGTTCCAGACGAGTTGGACAACGCTTTTGACGTTTTCAATTCCCCCAGCCCGCCACAATTGGATGAGCCATCTATTGAGTCTGTATACCAGCCAATAAATTCGCAACCGCCAGTAGTAGATGAAGTGAAAGATATGGAAATAGCCAAACTCATGTCGCTGGGGATGAGTTTAGAAAAAGCCACAAGTTATTACGATCGGGGCATGATGTATGATCGTGTAGTGGACAGACTTAAATCTCAAAGAAAAAGCGACCCAAGACCGCCCGACCGGGCTCCAAGTGAAGAGCCGGATCTTTTCTCGCTCGCATCAGGATGGCTGTCAAAAGGACGGACTTTTTTGGACTCAACCTTCAAACAGACTTCCAGTCCTCACGTTACGTCTTTCAGTCAACACATTTCAGCGCGCAGAGAACCCGAGAGAATGCAAGTGGAAAGTCACGATTCTTTTCGCTCCAAAGTTGTTGAGCAAAGATTCTCAGTAAGTCCAGAAGAGCAGTCATTGCCAACCTTTCCTCCTATGGGAGATAATCATGAACATTACGAAGCGTCCCAGGCAACAAGTGCGAAACAAGATCATGATGCGACTGGTCCAACAACTCAACCGGAAGAACAAGCAGAAAACTTGCTCGATTTCGACTTTGATTCGTCCTCTGAACCTAAGCAAAGCAACACCACTAACGAAGTCCATTTGTCGCCCATTGAGCTTCATAGTTATCAAGAATTTAAAAGCAAAGCATCTGAAGCTTTTGTGGCTGGCGATTACGATCTTTCTTTACAAAATTACGAGAAAAGTCACAATAGTTTGCCCTCAAACCATCCTTGGCAAACTATTTCACTTTCAAACATGATAGTATCTCAATTGAAGTTAGGCCAATACCGACCTGCTCTTCAAAATGCAAGCGAAGCATTGAGCCTAGTGCCGCTGCATCGTTTAGATCAGGAAATTCCACTTTTAGCACCAGTGAAAACCTTCAAAAGCATGTGGACAAAGGTCATGTTGAACAAAGCTGAAGCGCTTGAAGCAATTGAAGACCATAAAAATGCTTTACTCGCATACCAATCACTCATAGAAAAGGGAGTTACATCTAAGAAAGTTCTAGATGGCAGGTTGCGTTGCCAGAAAACTTTGGATCCGGAGAAATTCAAAGCTGCTACGAAATCAAAAGTTAAACCTGTTCATAACACTGAAAGAAAAACAAGCTCTGCCACTCCTCGTAACGACATTAAAACCAAATCAGCTCAAGAGAAGCAGACCAATGCTTTGGAGGATCAACGTTTTCTCCTCCATGATCAGGTCGAGCAGCGTGTACTTGCTTGGTCAAAAGGCTATGAAAACAATCTCCGGGAACTGCTTGCTCGTTTACAAATGATAGTCGATTGGTGCGATTGGAAAGAAGTACCTTCTTCTACTTTAGTCATGCCCAAGAAAGTCAAAATTACTTATCTGAGAGCAGCATCTAAAACACATCCTGACAAGATACAGGATTCTTGGCCAATGGAAAGAAAAATGATCGCTGAACATGTCTTCACGATTTTGAGTAAAGCCTGGGAATTTTTCAAAGAGGAGCACAAAATATCATAACATTCGATAAAGTTCATCATGACGAATTGTCTTTTCTGCATTGAGTTGTTTCACTTCGTAACGATTTCAACGATTCATTATTCATACTACTTATCAGGCTAATCTTCTGCCTCATATCTCTTGGCATATAAACCCAGCGCCTTTATTGGAAACAAAAATTTATAGCTGGCGTATTCGATTGCGCATGAATGGTTAAATACACCTTCCGGAGCCTGGAAAAACCACTCACCGTTTGCCGACTGTTTATCCTTCAAAAAGTCAATGCCTTTGTCAATTATTGTCTTATCGGGAAACTCTGCAAGCAACAACCCAATAAGAGCCCATGCCGTTTGAACAACCAAAGATATTTCAGCTTCCACATAGGAGTGCAGTTCGCTGGACTTCATAGACTCGCTCCAGCCGCCGTCCGCTCTTTGCTTTGTAACTAGAAAATCGCATGCTTTCTTAGCATTGATAGAATTGTTGTAATTTTCCCCAACAGTGCTGAAAGCCTCTAGTGCGAACATGCTAGCATACGTAAAGCAGATTCCCCAGCACCCATACCAGCTCCCATCTTCTCCTTGTGCTTTTTTAATGTATTTGATGGCAATGTCGATAGCTTTCTCAATTTCTGTCTTGCGGTACGTGTAGAACTTTGTGAAGTAGGTGAGGCCTAAGATGGAAGAGTCCGTGCACTCCACATACGGAAACTCTACCATAATGTTGCCGAACACCTCGGCGGGGTTTAGCTTTTCGAGCGCTGTGGTGGCTCTTATCTTTTCGTAAGTTGCAAAAGAACCATATTCAAAAGACCCAGTATTTTGCAGTCCCAAAAGAACATCAATTGCCTTTGCAAGTCTCTCGTCTGATATCTCATCTTTCACATTTTGAAACGCAGGGGAATTCTTAACCATGATGACAGCCTTGAGCGCCTCGGCAGTGCAATCAGAAACCGTGTATCCCTGGGTTTTCGTTGAGAAGGGCCATCCTCCAATACGTTTATCTCTATAGCTTCCTGGGACACATTCTGTATCAAATTGTGATCTACAAAGAAATTTGTAGGCACTTTCGATAGTGGAATGAAATTCTGGCCTCTCTGCCAGCCCAGCCATGAAGTAGTACTGAATTGCAAATGCACAGTCCCATGTTTGTGCTCCATTTGTACCCATTACTGTGATACCATTGGGTCCCATGAACAGGACTTCTTTGAAGCCTTCTAGGAAACGACCAAATTCGGGTGAATCGCGTCCTTCTTCGGCTAGCGTGACAACTGCACATAAAGCCATGTTCACCGGAGCAATGCACAAATAATCGGTGTTCTGTATTTCCATTTTGATGAGGTCATAGGCCCTCTGATTGCTGTATCTCGCAACGAAATTTGGCCTCAAGTGCTTCCCGTAAAAGGTAAGGACGTTGTTTGCCACGTCCAAAAACTTTGTGTGAGGATAGTACAGATCTACGTTGCACACCGTGTTGCGGTGCTTGCTGAAATCGATCGAGTCAAATTTTTGGGTGTATATCTCATCTCGGATTTCCTCCAGCAGCGGTGTCAATGCACATGAATACTCCACTGAGGCAAGATATCCGAGAGCCAAAAAAACAGCTCTGGTGTGAACCCACCATTTACCAGGATGAATTGGGAGTGCATACGGTAATAGCCAAAGTTCGGGTGGCACAGGATTGACGCCTTCCCATTTGTACAGGTTCAAGATTGAGAGCCAAGATTTACCCCAGTGGGGGGCACCAATCGCGCCACCCAGTCTGTGGAGCGTTTTCCGGGCCCTTTGGCATACTATATGGTCAGCTGGGAGGCCCAATAGCCTCACCACCACATAATTGATGGCTGTTCCAAAAGCGGTGGATTTGTCGACTTCGTGAAGGCCCCATCCACCGTCTACGGGATGCGCACAATTGACCAAATATCTCAATAGTTCGATTCTCACAGGTTCAGGGATAGGGATTTGTGCACAATACATAGTGCCCACGTAACCTACGGTTAAAAACATCGGTCCCTTATACTGGCATGGGAATATACCAGAGTCAGGGTCTTGCAATTTTGAAAAAAAGCGAGCGCCTTGTAAGGCAGCTTCAAATGCACTTTTATCCGGGTTTTCCAAAGGCTCTGGTTCTTCAAATTCTGGGTTCTTCAAAAGATACTTTGCGTAAGATGACTGAACATCTGTCATCGCAGCTTCTTCTGTCAAATATTCCCATTTTTCACTGCCTAAATCATCGACTCTGAGCCTCCAAAGAGTGTGATCAGTCTTGGGCAGTCCCAATTCGTCTGAATAAAGCATATCAGATTCACTTAGCGGCTGAGTTGGGCTCTGATCAACAATTCTTGGTCGAAGTTCAAAATTTGGTCAAGTTTTCCAAACTTTAACCATAATTAAACGACTTTATATGATCAGCTTTCTGAGCTCATCTCATCGCATCACCAAAATTTGAAAAAGTTTAGTGACAAAAAGGCATGTATTGGTTCCTCGAGCACAGAAGATACCTGTTGATCTATCCTTGCGCTTTTGTGCTCGGTCTTGCGGTCAATTTGGTGGTAGATTCGTCTCAATTGGACCATCAGAAGGATACTTTTTACCTTCTTTCATCGGGCAACTGGATCAACCAGATATTCGCATATCGCGGAAACCTGATCTGGACTCTCTTGTATATAGCGTTAGCGTGTTTCCAAGTGCAATTGCAGGTGTCTAGGCAGTATTTCTTGCCTCTGGACGCTCGCAATGGTGGCCAAAGAGACAGTAAGTCAGTGATTAAAGCCGTGAAGCCCTTTCTGGCAAAGCTCGTCTTGAAGAATTTGGCTTTGCTGGTGGTATTTCTCATCATAGATGGCATATTCGTGTGGACTGGGGGCTCTTGCTCGACTAGCGGCACCAAGTCTGCGGAAACCTGCCGCAAACAGGGCGGAGAGTGGACAGGCGGATTTGATGTGAGCGGACATTTCTGCTTCCTCACAATCGTGAGTTTGATCCTGTGGGAAGAGCTGCGTGGCGCCCGTCAGTATATGATTGTCAACGAGATCGATGCCAACAACGAGTCCAAAATCTGGCTTCCACTGCAATATACAGTAGTCAGTGTCCTCGCGGTATGGGCATTCATCCTGTGTGTAACAGCAATCTATTACCACACTGTTTTAGAAAAAGTTCTGGGTCTTGCCATGGGTTACATTGGTCCTGGAGTCATTTACTGGGCTATCCCTAACAGTCCAAAGCTGAAGTCCCTACTCTACTAGGCTTTCAAGTCGCTTTCCCAGAGAATCCACTGGACCCAGCAACACTGTGGCCCAGTTTTGCTTGACAAGTGGCGTACAGGAATACGCTATCACATTTTGGCTATCGATTTCGAGCTTGAATCGAGTTGCAAGTCCTGGAATATGGAAGGACGGCATCGTGCATGCGGGATCCGATTCCAGATCACAAATTTTGGCCTCCTGCTCCAGCCGGCGAAGACTTTGTAATTTTATAGACACACACAATAAGGCCTTGTAAATCTTCTTGGCAAAGACGTAAATTTGGGCTAGGTTGGACAGCAAACTGTAACGACCAGTTCGTTCCAATAAGTCTTCCAGTCCCAGGTAGGACGGTAAGGTATGCTTGAAAATGACCCAGTTAGACACGTTTGAATCCTGTTTGAATAGAACGTAGTGAGGTGCTTCAAACGTACTCTCCAGCTCATTATAGATTTCCAGTCTCAATCCCAGCATCTGTCTTTGGACCTCTACGCTCCCATCTTCTTGGCGGTCCAGATCACCGGGATCCACCACAGGAAAAACACTGATGCCAAAGGCACGATAGAACATGTCTAATCCTACTTGATGCAGATGGGACGGGGACTCATCATTGCGTTTCGATGGTGATTTTAGGATATCCGTGCTGATGAGATCCTCCAAATCACTGTCAAAAAGCCTATGTTCAGCGGGTTTCTGAGAATTTGGTAACCAGTTCGACTTTGAACTAGCAGACCGCTGGTCTGTCTGCTTCCTTGTATACGATTCTGGACTATTTGATTCGCTCTCCAGAGACTCAGACCAGCGATGAGCTTCTTTAGAGTTTTCAGTCCCAATTATGCCAAACGCATCATGAGATACCTGGAGAAGATCTGATGCATACTGTTCAGCGTAGACAGTCTCGAAATTGTCAATATTCTTTAGTTTCTCCAGCTTCGAGCTCAAATCCGATACTGCTTAGATAAAAAGAGTGTTAGTGAAGTGCAAGAAAAGCTGATGGAACTTGAGAGATACACACTCTGCGACCTCAATGCCTCGATATCATCATGTGTCATCGAACTAGCCATCTGTGATTGATTTTCAGACATTCGAACTGGCCTTTTTCTATCAGCAAGTGGTCTTTTTGGTGATGTTTGTTCAACTTTTGACTATTAAATCAATAAGCGATGAGGTAAGAAGAGCTCTTCTTGAAGCCAGCCGGGTTCATTGAAATCGAGGTAATGGAGAAGCCCGTATTTGTAGTAATATATAATTGGTGCTAGCTAGTTGGCTTGAGGCTTTTGTATCAGGTTAAATGATCGATCTGGTCACTTTTGATGACTTCTACAAAACTGTCGCTATCCATCGACCGAAGCGCCTTTAGGACTGCAACGTATGCCACCTTGTAGGCTGGAACAGCGTACCCGATAAGAGGAGAACAAGAGCGATTGTACGCTATTCTGGCCATGATTTCACCCAATTTTAGCTTTAGACCATATCTGGACAAGTCTCTAGCGAACCTGATCTTGCGTTCCAAACAGCTTCTTTTGAGACAATAGATAGCGAAAATTGTGTTTGGGATTAAGGAAGGTTTAGTCTCTTGAAAAGAAGAGGAATTAGCAGTGTTGTACAAGGTGTGCGAACCAACCAATGGACCGGGTCTCAAAATGACTAGCTTGTCCAAACCTGGCACCCTGGTCGCCAGATCTTGTTCTAGGCTCAACTTGGTGCGGAAATAGTCCGAAAAAGAGGTCAAGAACAAATTGTTGAAGCTGGTTATCACAATTGCCTTCTTTTGAGTACTGGCATCTTTACTTTGGCTGAACACCTGTATCATTTGCAAGATCAAATCGTGGTCAACAAAGGAGCGGGAAATTTTGGCTGTGCGCTGCTCATGATCTGAAGATCCTAGCGCGGAAATGATGGTGCTGACCTGTTTTAAAGACGGGAAGTTCCAAAGCATCGTCTGTTCGAGTTTTTTGGTCACAACACTGGCCGTGGTGGGCTCTTCGCCAAACAAACTCTTAAACAACTCCGGCCATTTCCATGATTCTTTCTCTATCAGTGACACTACATTCAATTTGAGCTCCACGGTCAACGTGTGACGACAGTTCTGTCCATGTTCGTCTTGCGAATTTTCGTATTTGAGACGGTAAGAGTACTGCTGGACGTGCATCTCAATGGCCGATTTTTCTTTCTGCTGTTGCGAATTGGGCAACTCTAGGTACCCCATGCTCACAACAGGTCCATCACATTCGAAGTTATCGTATCGGCACAACAACGTGGACCCTCTATAGTGTACTGAGTGTTCCCAGGCCGAGTTGTGTTCACCGAGGCTGGCGACGGTACCTTGCTCAATGGGTTTCCGCGCGAAGCAAAATAAGTTTTTGGTTATTTCAACGGTTTTTTTGCGTGTCAGAACGTTGCACAGAGGCTGTTTCGTTCTTTTGAAGAAGTGATTGTTCTTGTCAAGCTGTTCGGTAGAAGGGCTCAGGTTGTCTAATTTGCGCTGGATGTCATTCGTTGAATTTAAGTAAGCCCATGGCTGCGTCAAGTTGGCAACGATGAGCGACCCTGTGAGACCAGTGGCTCCTAATACCATGATATTATCAACAATGCGGTGCCTGGAAAATCCAAGAATGTCACCATCGAGACCTTTGGCGATCTGCGATAAAGATGTTGGACTGGAGGAAATTAAAATCTGCTCGTGGCTGATACCTTGAGAGCGTCTCATATTGGATTCGTGGCGACTTTTGAAGATACTTCCGGTACGTTCACGGAGGCGATTTCTCAAAGCGTACTCCCGTAATTCAGAGTTTTCAACCTGTGAAGACATCTTAAGGCTCTCCAAGTTTGAATGAAAGTGTGGAGTAGATATCTAGGGTGGTCGAAAACTTCGAAGATATACATTGGATAGACACAAAGCTTCGGCGTCAGTATCTGGTGGTTCACACTGGCTTCAGTGACACTGACATCAGTGACACTGACATCGGGTGTCACGTGGGTGGTGACAGATTGAGTAATAGGTCTTGACTGAGCACTTCCTTAATGGCAGAGCCTTGGCATGAATGCTTTGCGCTTTGCACCTTTCTTTAACATCTACTTTGGCTGGCAGTGCTTTCGAAAAGTCCCGAATGACAGCAACGTGCCAAACGTTTTGCGATTTTTAAGGCCAAATTACGAGAGAGTTGGGCAAACACTCGATCAAGACAATGTAGCCGAGTGACAGCCACGAATCTGAATACATTGAAACCTAATTCCTAGTTGATGAAGATACTGGGTAATTGTCAAGTTGGTGTAATTCCAAAAATGATAACTGTCGCTGGCAAATCGTCGATAGAGGCAGCTGATTACTCTCTGTCATCATATACACCTGCAATTCTCTAGATTTCAAGATAAGCGGATTTAGCTCAGTTGGGAGAGCGCCAGACTGAAGATCACTTCGGTCATAAGATATCTGGAGGTCCTGTGTTCGATCCACAGAATTCGCATTTATTTTTTTTCAAATTTTTCAGACTATGAAATACTTCGAGTTGTAGCGACGGCGCTCATACTGCGCAAATGCATACAATAGTAAAATGCAAAGTTTGTATTCTTGTTTTATCTATTTGCTGATAATTTCTATTGATGTGCGAGCTCTTTTAGCTAACAAAGGCGACGCCGTGACCTCTAACTCTCTCAGCCTTTTCTTGGCAACTTTTCCCGTGTCGACTATCTTATTGTAGATGTGTTTGTCACACCACGTTGTAAGTTCTGTTTCGGTTGTGAACAATTCGTAGTCAAGATTGGCCAAACACCAACGCTCCATCGTTGACAGGTCCTTGCATGGAAGGCCACTGATGCGTTGCCAAGACGCCATGGAGAAGGTCTGATCATTTAGAAATTTGTGGGCTAAAATGAGACAGCATAAAAATATGCGTTTCGAGCACCTGGAAAACTCGGGCAAGTTGGTGATAGAGTCCAGCTTGTAAGTGTAAAGCTTGTGAAAGTAGAAAATCGACAACAAAACGATTTTTTTGGAGCACTTGGCTCGCTTGATGATTTCGGTCAGGTACGCAACCAAGTGTTGCTTGGTATTGTTGACACGGTTATTTGAGAATCTCGACGTCAAAGCAGACAGCAAGGTTGCAGCTTGGTTGATCAAAAGCCCTTGCTTAAAGACGGAGAGGCCAGTTGCTGTCTCTGAAAGAGGCGAAACCGGTCTTGAGACATTTTCGCTGTTTCCAATAGGCGTCGTTTGCGGTGTGCAGAACGGATGTGGGATGGCAACAGCTCTTTTTGGAGATGCCATGATGATATATCAACAGGGAATTAGACCAAAGACAAACAAGTTGAGAAAAAGGAGAAGAAATTTGTGATAATGACAAAGACGATAATTATCCTCTCTCTCTCTTTTTCCTGCGCTTTCACTAGAAAAAGCCTTCCGCGACTTAAACAATAATGCACATCTTTACTGGATGCGACAGGGAACAACACAACAGAATTTTTCTTTAAATCAAAGGCAACGTAAAAATCTTGGGAGAATCTATCCCGTTCGCTTTAAAAAGCTTGATGCGAGGTTATTACTCGGTTGAAACTCGAGAAACTTCAAAAGTCTCGAATGCTCAAAATGAAAGCTCTCAAAAGCCAAATAGAAAGCCAGCTTTTTTGACTAGTTGGTTTTCGAATGAGATTTCAGTGTAAATGCAAAAAAGTACCAAAATTCTCGAAAAAACTCCTTTTGAATAGGTCTCTTTTCCTGTAAATGCAAAAATGGCTAGAAAAGTGTCAAAAAAATACCAAATATGAATAAAAGTGATGCAGTAGTGGAGAAATGTGCTTGGATAACGAAAAAAAAAAAGGATACGATTAAAAGTGTAGGTTCGAAGTTGAGGTTAGAACGCTCTGGTAGCTAAGCCTGTAAATATGTCGCGCCACTCAGAGGTTCTATGCTCTTACAGAAGGATTTTCGCTATCACGAATACTCAAGTGTAAGGTGTTCTACTTCTATGGCATCGATCTATGTTTCTTATATAATTGAGATTATCTCGTTATTTCGTCAAAAAGCATAAGGAGTTTCTCGATGAGTCAATGATCTCCTTGTCGTCGGTAGTGACTCTCGGGATTAGTGAATCATCGTGAATCATCGTAGTTTAAACTGCTATCTATGCTCTAAGTCATAGGGACTAAACATCGATAATCAAGGTCACAGAAGGTGTGGAATTACTCTTTGATGCTAGTAATGGCAACAGGGATCCTAGCATAGTGGTTTTTAATGGAATTCCCCCGGAAAAAGTAAAAAAACCAAAATAATCAGATAAATTCGATTTCGATGAATGCATGGACAGCTTGTGAGACGATCTAGGGAGGGGATGGGGAATCACCTCGATTTGCGAGAAAAGATAACCGAGTCTGTGAACTTGTGACTCGGAATGTGAGTGATCACCACTCTGCTGCTGCTGCTGTATGTGATTTCGTACCCAATGATACAAAATAGTTGAACCTTTCCACCATCAGCATCCGTATCTCTGGTCCCTTGCTTCGTCCTTTCTTAGACCTGCAATCCGTTTTCAAAGCTTACCTTCTTCTTCTCCAGTTCGCGTTTTTGTAGATACTCCCCCCTCTTTTCATAGAAGTACATCTGGTAGCTGGAAACTGACGCAGAACATAGGTTTCGTGGGAGCGACCTTTCGCACTAGATGAAATTGCAAGTTTTCAAACGGCAGAATCGTGTCGTCTATGTTCATGATGGTCTTGATTCTAGCATGGACCCGACTGTGTAGTTCAGTCATACTGGGCTCGGGACTTTCGTCCGCATCGTACTTTTCAAAGCAGTGACAGTGAATCCAGGGCGTTTGGAAGTCTGGAAGCGCCTTTATTTGCTTGAACATTTCAGGGTCTCTCGAATATAGCCCCACAAACTCGTTCAAAAACGTCAGCGCGCTGTCTGGCAAGTTCATGACGTAATGGTGGTAGAATTGCGGAATCGTCACGAACCTGGCTTCCGTTCTCTTGGTTTCGCCTGTCTTGACATCCTTGTACCGCTTACCGCCAGGGACCTCAACCCGTCCCGCAGTCTGCTGACGCCACTGCTGCAGCAAGCGGGGGCTTTGTCTGATAAAGTCTCGGCCATCAAGGTTGGAAGGCTGCACAAAACGTCCGGCCTTGTTTTCGGCTATGTTTTCCAACATATACTTGTAGCTCTCGGGGTTCAAATCGTTAGCCAACACAAGGACCTCCTTTTTACCAGCGGGCACCGCAAAGGGCCCCACACCGGCAAACACGTCACCTACACACTGGCCGGGCTTGAACTTTTGAATTAGTCTATCGTGTTCCGTGTGTAGTCGAGAATTCCAATAAACTTTACTAAAATCGAATTTGAATTTGCAGTTTGATTCGCGTTGCTCGACGACTAGATCGTCCCTTCCTGCCAAAATTTGCATGCGGAATGTTCTGAACTTGGTGTCGATAGAGTCTGTTTTGTCGACCACCGTTTCGACTTTACTGTTTTTGTCGAGAATTACCTGTCCGATAAGGTTTCCAAACGGCTTGAACTCGTTCCTGAGATTTATATGGGCTACGTGTCCTGTAGCTGTGAAACCGGAGGGAATCTCGTCCAAAAACTGCTCAGGCAGAATGGCACGAAAGATTTCTTCGGCTTTCCAAAACGAATAGTCCAGCACGCACTCGTACGGCTGAGCAACGGCAAGGTGTTCTTTCAAAAACTCTTGAGCCTCTAGTGGAAGCTGTTTTGGGATTTCGTCCACTTGAGTGATTGAGTCACGCAGTAAAACACCTTTCCGTATGTGATTGTCATTGGCAAGGCTTGACTTTTTCAGCGGTGGTTCTGCGCTTGTGGAGTCGTCCGCGGCAAGTCGAACAACTCTAGAAATGCGTGGCAGACTCAGCACTTCCTGCTTGAATTTGTTTGTGAACAAACTGATGTTTTTGGGATCCGGAAAGTGAACTACAACCATTGGAACTTTGGTGACGAAGAAAGATCTATCAAGTTCATGCATATTTCTATTCACCGGGGGCTGATACTTGAATGCGGTGTTCAAGACCACATTGTTGGTAGAGCTCGTCATTCTGGATATTTTGCACAGTAATTGACAGCTTTTATGCATGCAATGGGACGAAGATGCTTTCGAGATGAGTTTGACCTGTTGACCGATGAGCTAGATCTTTTCACATCAATATAGACTAAAAAGCTATTTTTCTAATTTCGATGGTATCACGTGATATCTACACACATACTGATCAAAATATAGATGTAATGCATTTGTTGAGAGTTGTCAGAGATATAGATGGATTGTTCCTTAATAGCTTGAAAGATTTGAGTTTGGCACTAGCAGAATTTTGGCTTTGGATTTCTGGTTTTGCGGCTTTATTTTAAGAGCAGAGTGTTTGGATGACATTTTCGTAGAGAGTGATAAAAGATTCTGTCATCTCTCTGTCACTTCTCTGTTTGAGCGTTAATCAAGCAGAATCGTTCCAGTCGGGACGTTCACAGCTTCTTTTGGGTTGAGGAAATATTTTGGATTGCGTCCTTTATTATTTTTCCATGCAAGGTGTGACACTCCTAAGCAAAAAACACACACTTTTCGAAATTGTCGTGGTTCCCTCCCACGCTGATATTTTGTAATCCTCTAATTATTTAATCTCATTATTTGCGAAGAGGAAGTTTCACCATCTTTATGCCAGCACTGTATTAACGGTCGGAAATTATTTTATTCAAATTTGTTTTCCAACCTTTTCCTCTCAAATCAAGCGATTATCAAAAGTTAACTGTAAAACCAGCTTCGATCAAGTCTCAAAATTAATATTAAGCTGTCCTTGTTTGCCTATGCACTTATGAACCTTCTCTTTCAGACAATGTCAGAAATCGAAAAATCGAAAAATCGAAAAAGTCCTCGACACGAGGCGGAAAAGAAAATCGTGCTCGAGGCAAACTATTGGAAAGCTTCTCGTTTCAATTCTCGTAACTCTCTAAATAGGCTTGGGATCCTACTCGTTCAGTCAAGTTCATCAACTTTTGTCTAACTGTCGTGCACTTTGAGTACTTATGTACTCGCCTTCAAGCTTATATTGGAAAATTTAACCTTATAACACTCGCGATGAGCTAGAAAGCTACATGATCAACAACTGCAACATCAAGTCCACCAGCACCTGTACCATGTCTATCGATGTCTTGAGTGTGGTAAAAAGACAGGAAGGATTCCAGTTCGTCAATGAGCTGGAGTCTGATTCTGACAGTGACATTGACATGGCTAACAACGAAGATGAACCAGATTCCAGAGAAATAGCCAAAGATGGAACTATCGTTACGCCCGGTGAACTGGTCACAGACGATCCGGTTTGGATGCGAGGTCATGGTACATATTTTCTAGAAAATCAGACTTATGCTTCTGTAGCAGGAACAGTTTCCAGAGTCAATAGATTACTCTCGGTCATTCCATTGCGAGGACGTTACTCACCAGAAACCGGTGATCACATTATAGGACGAATTGCAGAAGTGGGAAACAGAAGATGGAAAGTCGATATTGGTGCCAAACAGCATGCAGTGCTGATGCTAGGCTCCGTTAACTTGCCAGGTGGTGTCCTGAGAAGAAAATCAGAATCTGATGAGCTCCAAATGCGCAATTTTCTGAAAGAAGGAGATCTTTTGAATGCCGAAATTCAGTCGCTGTTTCAGGACGGTAGCGCGTCTTTGCATACAAGATCGCTCAAGTATGGTAAGTTAAGAAATGGTACTTTTTTGCAAGTGCCCAGCCCGCTCATAGTTCGCTCTAAAAAACATACCCACAATCTTCCGGGCAACGTTACCGTTATTTTAGGTGTAAACGGTTTTATCTGGCTCCGGAAGACATCAGAAGTTGACAACGCCAGCGACGTGTCAAACGTAAGCGGCAGAAATGCAGCTGCTCTTTCGGGCACCTCTGGTGAGTATAAACCGGGTTCTAACTCTGTCAGTATAACGAGGCTCGAGGAAGAATCTTCCTGGGAGATCTACTCAGATAAAAACGACTCTATTCCGGATGCTATGAAGAGAACCATAAGTCGATATTCCAATGTCATCAAAGCTTTGGCACACTGTGAAATAGGCATAACGGAAGCAAGAGTAGTGGCAGCGTACGAAGCCAGTATGGCTTACAGCCATGTCGGATCACTTATAGAAAAGGACAACATGGAATCAATAGGGCAGGACGTTATAAATGCTGAGAAAATGAGGGGAAACGGTTGAGAATGGGGAATTCAGGTTCTGGCATTAACGATAAAAGTCAAAAGTTTCTAATTAAACTATATACAAGAGCTGCTGTTCTTTCTTTGTAAGCATTTTTTCGTTCATTTATCATCGGTTGTGTTCCCACCATTTGACTTTTCGGAAGATGCTTCGACATTAGCGTAGGCCTCAATCTTGTTTTTGATGCTGGAACTAAAGTATTTCTCCACAAAACCAACCTCAGCATTTTTCTTGACGTCCCCCTTTCTCTTGGCTATAACGCACCACGTCGTTCCCAAATGTGTTCTGTTTTCTTCCACGATTTCCAAACCGGAATCGTCAAGAATTTCGCCTAGATCTAAATTCCACCTGCATCCCCACGTTTCCAAACGTTTCTCTGCCCTGTCATCCAAGATCTTGTTGATGAAGCCGTACGTTCCTCTTCCGTGTTCTAGTAACACAATTCTTCCACCTGGCTTCAACAGCTTTTCGAAATTCTGCAAAGACCTGACGGGATCTTCGAGTGAACACAGCCCAAAGGCCTCAACGATTGTATCGTACTTGACTTTGGTCTCAGGATTAACGCCCTGAACCTCTCCACCAGCAGCCAAATTCACGAGGTTTTCCGCTCTGCCCACAACGAATGCCGCTTTTTTAAAGTTGGGAAACTCCTTCCGGAACTTTTCGTGCGTTAGCTCCATCATCTTTTCAGATGCATCCAAAAAGGTTATGGAGTTGATCTTGGAGAGGTCAACGTATTTTAGATTTCTCCCCGTGCCGCAAGCAGCCTCCAGAACGTCACCTTGGCAATACTTCATAAGCCATTTGCGTCTTCTTCCCATGAAGATCGCTTTTTCTTCAAAATTCACACCCTCGTCATATTCAGAGGCTTTGAAATCGTAGAAATCGGTGGTATCACGGGCAGGCAAAATTCGCTTGTTGGTGTTGTTCTCATCGTTGTTTTCCAAAGTTACATGGTCAAGTTGGGATGAGTCCTGATTTTCATCCCAAGGCATTGCTCGATATACGGCCAATTTACGTTCATCTCGAGTCCTGAGTTTTCCTCTTAGTTCTTTGATCCGCAGAGTTTCAAATTCGTTTGCCTTGCCCTCCAATTGTTTTGCCTCCAGTCTTTCAAGTTCCTTTTCCTTAGCATACATTTTCTTCATGAAGTAAAGACCGTAGATCAGGAAGAACACATAGGCTCCAATAAGATATTTGGTCATTCCTTTGGTGAACTTTTCAGTTCTTGCAATTGCTCCCCATCTTATAAACCAGTTTTCAGACTTTAGTTGCTCTTCCAATTTCTCCTTGGCTAGTTCCTCTTTGGTTTTGATACGTTTGACTCTGGTGTTCGATTGAGCAATGTATGATGACCTTGCTCGAAGACCAGATCGTCTTGTGACGGGTTGAAGTATGCCCAGCGGTCTCCAGATTAGCCTTCGTGGCAATAATTGCTGGAACATGACTAGCTTGTGATGATATTCGTGAGTTTTTCAGCTGTCTTGTTAGTTCTTGAAATTCGATGCTCATTTATAGTTCTGGATGGTCTTATAGAGAAATAACCAGATGAGAGACGGAAAGATACGAAAACGCGATCAATGTAGGATTCTATATACGTGTTTATTAGTTTACTATGACGATTTTGATTGTAGTTCGCTCGTAGCGGTTGCATACCCGTTGGAAGCTGGAAAATAGATGGTAAACTCAATGAGTTATGCAATTCAAGCGTCACAGTATCTCTTAAAAATAATTTCGACTACTCTGGAAAGCGATGGACGCTGTGTGATCAGAGCAGACGTTTTGCTCGGAGCATGTTTTTTTAGGAGCCAGATGCGTTGATTCTGTCTTTGAAAGATCTCCTTCCGATTACTTTTCGGCTTGATGAACAGGCGCTTCCAGGTCTCTCAATTCACGCCCACACTAGCTTTGCAATAGACTTGTCCATTTGTAACATCTTTCAGCTCAATATCCTTCTGCGTGGGTGAAACATGGAAAACGCAGAGGCTGACTGCTGTTCCGGGGTACAGAACATGCACGTTCTTGTATTTCACGTCTTTCACTCCTAGGCCAAGACCGAATCGAACGTATTTGAGTATGATATGAACCATGTAGGGGCCTTGTACAATAACGTCCCTGTAGCCCTCCACATTTTGACAGTAGTTGCGATCCCAGTGCACTTTATGGGCGTTATACGTCAATGCACTGTAGCGGAAAATATCGGTACTATTGAACGTAAGTGGAATGGATTGATCACGACCGGTATTTGTAGCAGAGCTTTGCAGTAGACTAGATGCGTCGGTTTGTGTGTACACTAGAGTTCGCAGCTCGTTGACTGCGGTTTCACCACTCTCGGCGTCCAACACTGCTCTGTGAACTCCGACGTAGACATCTTTTTTGAGCTTCTTCATGAAACGGACAGTTTCCTCGCAGATGTATTCCCTATTCTCTTGCAATGGCGATTTAAACTCCATACTTCCAAGAGCCCACATTCTTCTCTTGAAGTCTAATGTTGGCTCCTTCAGAAGAGACCTTGGAGTCTGGTATTCAAAGTACCCATCGGTGCTTAAAGCTGTATTTTCCGGACAGTTGAAAAACAAAAGATGGTCCCCTTCAGAAATGCGATTTTGAACAATGCTAAACTCGTTGTTCGGTGCCAATTGTGCGGCGATCACAGCATTGAGAGCAGTTACTGGTGTTATTGTAATACGGTCTTTTAGATACCATTTTAAGTTCCGAAAACTAGCACTTAAAGCGCCCATATTTCACATCAAGCGGTACTTTAGCCCATGAAATCGTCAATTGAATGGCTCCTGGGCTCTCAAGACCGAATACTTTGTCTTTTTCAATACCTCGATGGCCTTTGCAAGCTAAGTTGTCAGGATTTGAATGCTAATTAGAGGAAATCTATGGGTGAGAAACAAGCTTGAAGTTGATAAAATGAAATCAGAGATCTGGGATTGAATTAAGATCGAGGTAGCTCTTGTCTATATATTTCAGAATAGCTTTCATGAGTAGGGCGAAACCGGGGTAAGTTTCGCGCGTTTGTTTGTTTGAATAGCGTCTGATAGTCTTATAATGATACAATATAATTACAGTGTGTCTGTCGCTGAGCGTTGAGAAGAGACATCCAGAGGAGAGATACAATTGACTGTTTGTTCTCGCTGGAATGGTTACCTGGTTGTCATCGATCTATAATAGAACGAGTCTTGGCTTTTTTCGTCAAACTGCAGTGACTTTCACACTTAAAATTCAGTTTCGATACTCAGCAGCATTAGCAGGATATCTTGACGAAAACCTGGCAGTGACAAGTTTGACGCCTCATTTTTTTCTTAACTTGTGTGCTCTACAGCATTTCACTGGTACAGGCGGTTGGCACGTATTCCCCTCTTTACGGTAGTTTTACCAAATCGGATGATGCCATAAACAGACTTAGCATGCCATTTACATGCCATTTGCATGCCATTTGCATGCCATTTGAATGCAGCTTGAGATGCCTCCAATTCACTCTGGAGTTTTCGAGCCCTTTACAACGATCTATCATTCTTATACCGTATCCAGATGACCGAAATAAAAGTCTTTGGTCGCTTCTGTTCGGTTATACCATCTCTTACTTTCAATGATCCGCAGTTCCATTTGTTTCATTGTCAGCGGAGAGCCAATGGAGGCCTTCAGGTTTTTGGGCGAATGCTGGAGAGTGACGTCGAGTACATTGTGCACAGTTGCCAGGACGCCATTTAGGTCCAGACGGCTGACATTGTCAGAATCTTTGCGCATTCGGTAAATAGTGTCTACCAACAGCGCTGCAAAAAGGTCACCGACTCCAGTGAAGTAGGAATCGATGATGGGGACTCTGTAAACGGACGCAGGTTGGCCCCGCATGGATGCAACGCAGTACAGGTTTTGCGGGTCCTGGAAAAGCTGCGCGGAGCACGAAGTGACGACAATGACAGGCACGGTGCGGTGCAGAAGGTCGAGTGCTTCTTGGAGCTCTTGCAGGGTCTCTATTTTGCTGCCATGCAGAAGTTCGAGTTCGAACTGGTTGGGAGTCACGACATCCACCAGCGACGACTGCACCAGACGCTTGTACTCCGGTATGACGTTTTCGTTGACGTATAGTTCGCCGTCGTCGCCCATAACCGGGTCCAGCAGCCATATTAGTCGTGGATCCTTTTTTTTCAGCTCTGAGTGGTATTTAGCCATGCAAACCACGGAATCGCGGTTGGGCAAGTACCCTGAAAGCAGGGCGTCGTAATCACAGAACGACTCAAGGCCCTGGAACACCGATTCCAGCTGCTGAGCCGAAGTTGGCGTGCCAAACACTCTTTCCATGCCGTACCCGGTGTGGTTCGAGAACTGGACCGTATTGACGCAGTCAACGTCCCAGCCTTTGCATTGCAGCGGGAAAGTGGCTGCTTTGTTGCCCACGTATCCGTGCACGACGTGGGACTGGGTTGCAAGAAGCCTGGGCATCTTATGTAGCTTTATATACAATTATGTTTGAATATTTCGAGATTTCGATGGGTACTGTGAGAGATCTTTAGTTTATTATACAGATAAAGACGACAAAAGTGTTGTATTTCAACACACCAAGACAAGAAGACAAGAAGACAAGAAAACAAGAAAACAAACCTTAAATCCAGAGACTCGAGGAACTCTGGGCCAATGCGTCTCTGAAAAGTGTTTGCCACCAAAATTTGTTCTATCAACAACAACACTTTTCATTTCTACGATTATAGTTTCTTTATCCAAGTCAGTTTTCCAGTCATTTCTTCTTCAATTCTTACAACTTCATGTTCAAAGAGTTAAATTCCGTTTCATTACTCCGTTTCACTAAACTCCGTTTCACTACTCCGTATTTCACACTTTTTTCCGTCTAATTTCTAGACATTCGTTACTAGAAAAACTTGACTATCCTCTAAATACGAGTCTTCCTGTTTACATCTTTCTCTTCGTCTCGCTATCTCTCTTTCTTTCTCTCTCTCTCTAGCCTCTCTCTAAGCTCTCTCTAAGCTCAAGACGGCCCCTTCCGATACCGGACTGTTGAGAAAAAACTTCCACACCTAGCCTCTAAGAATAGACAACACATAACACAACACCAACGATCATCATCATGATCATCATCCTGTTACCCGTGTAAAAACAACATCACTGGATTCGCAAAACAATGGGATCGGACGTCCGGTTACGGAATAGCCAATAGATCTCGAGCCAAATATATATCTCTCTCGAGACCGTCCATATAAGACGCAAGAATTACCATGGCTTCTTCCACCACCACATTCAAGCTGTTTAACCAGTAACCACCCAACACTTAGATTTCCAGACCTACAAGTCAAATGCCTTTCGAAAACTTTCTCAGAGGACCCAACGAGCCAAAGAGTGTGCCGCAACAACCTCCTACTGAGCAATACGAATCTGCCAAGAGTTTCTTGGACCTGTTTTCGCAGAAGGGCAAACTGGTGGTGGTAACAGGAGCAGCAGGAGCCATAGGAGGAGCTATTTGCCACGGATTTGCCTCAGCCGGCGCAGATCTGTGTGTGTTGGACTACAAGTACGACGCAGCATTGGCAGAATTCCTAGCGGAAAAATACAACATCACGGCCAAAGCGTACCAGGTGGATATCACCAAAGCTGAAGACGTGGAAACTTGCGTGCAGGCAATCCAAAAGGACTTCCCGGGCCGCAGCATCGACACTTTTATTGCCAACGCAGGAGTGGCATGGACACACGGCAGCATTCTGAATGAAAGCTCGACTCCAGACGCTTGGAAACGAGTGATGGACGTCAACGTCCAGGGAACTTTCCATTGCTCGAAATCCATCGCCCAGGTTTTCAAGCTGCAGGGCCATGGATCGCTGATCCTGACTGCATCGATGTCGTCGCACATCGCCAACGTGCCTAACTATCAGACCTGCTACAATGCCTCCAAAGCGGCCGTCAGACACATGGCCCGTGGTTTTGCCGTGGAATTCGCCCATTTGACTGAGCCTGCAGGCCGGATCCGCTGCAACTCAGTGTCTCCGGGCTACACAGACACCATTCTGAGCTCTTTTGTCCCTACAGAGCAGCGGGCCCAATGGTGGGGGCTCACTCCGCAGGGTCGTGAAGCCTTGCCCCAGGAGCTGGTCGGAGCGTATCTCTACCTGGCCTCGGACGCTGCCTCGTTCACCAACGGTTGTGATATCCCCGTGGATGGAGGTTACACCTGTGTGTAAGATAGACAGTTTATAGAGAAGAAGATGTATAAACTAACGTATAGACGCAGAATTGGAAGCAAGAAGGGTATTGAGTGAATGTCAGCTAGGTGAGTGTTAAGCAAGACTTCCAGAGAAGTAAAGCTTGGTGGGCAGCTACCAGATGTTAAACTCCGGGTCTCGAGCTTGCTTGGCAAGAGGTCAGAATACTTTGATAACTGGATATATTTCTTAAAGGTTTTCAAGTTTTCAACGGTCAGCGCCGTGGCGCAGTGGAAGCGCGCAGGGCTCATAACCCTGATGTCCTCGGATCGAAACCGAGCGGCGCTATTATTTTTTTGAATTTTTGGTAAATTCATCAATATTATCATTACTGAATTCCATGTTCGCCAACTCAGCTTTAAACTCAAGTGAATGAATGATATCTCTAGGTTCCACGACCGTAGGCCTGTAAACTCAATTGACTTTTACAGTTCCTAAAGCTTCTAGGCTAGCATTGAATAAGCCCCTCCCCGGTAAGTGAACGCGACCATCATGGACTCTGACATCAACAAGTACATTCACTCCAGAGTTATCGAAGATGTCCAAGTTGTGCTGTTCACGGATGTCATGGCGAAGTTTTCAGTCAATAGCACTAAAGCCAAGATGGCAATGTTTGATTTTTACAAGACAACAACGTCCAAAGTTCATTGCGTCATAGTATGTGCCTACAACGATGGGCTGGTACGAATAGTGAATGATTTGGACAAATTCGAAGACAGCGATTCGATTCTGGACGCATTTATTTATGCATTCAACCCAATGGAACACTTTTCACCTGTGAACTCTATGGTGAAAAGACCTGTGGCCGTGGCCAATTTCTTCAAACCTATAGTTCAGGATCCTGTACCGAGCAGTGCAAGCGAGACCACCAAAAAAAGCGTTGAAATTGAGAAAGCGGCACCAAGCAGCCGTCCCACAGCGCGGGCTAAAACTTTGCCCTCGAAGCTCGATGGACCTAAACCACAGCCGCAGGAGCCCGCCAAAAAGAAAAAGACCGGAGAGCTCAGATCGACAGCTCTACTGCAAAAAATGCGTCAAGAATGTGAAGACAAAGAACGCGAGAGAGTAGAGGAACTGCGAAAACGCAGACAATTACAACAAGATCGTCTTAATAATGACCCCAAACGTAAAAAGGAGTTGGAAGACCTGTCAGCGATGTTTGACAGCGACGAGGACAATGCGGAGCAAGAACAACAGTCTTCCAATGAGGAGGCCATAGAAGCCGAGATAAGTGAGACACCAGCACCCACAGAAGCTGAACTTGGGGATCTATTGGAAACTACAGCCGAGGAATCTTTAATAGAGATCAAGCCTCCGGAACTGCCCGAAGAACAGAATGCTGAGCCTGAAACCTATCTGGATGAAGAAGGCTATACCGTGACACGAAGACCAGCCCAAAGAGCCGCTTCAACACCTGTGAAACGCTCGGCCAGAGTTGTGACCAGCTCTGTCGAGAGCTCATCGAAAAAACCCAAACAGCAATCATTAATGAATTTTTTCAACAAACGCAGGTAATTCAAGGTGAGAAAGCCTTTTTGTTACCCAAGAATGGAGTGCGCACAATGAGTAGGAGGTACACGTCGGCTTTTGGATTAGTATGCAGAAGTATAGAAAACTTATAGGTAGTGTGAATTTAAAGTGCAAAGAGGTAAGAGAGTCATCAGTGATTACAAGGTCGAGTGTTGTTTACATATGAAAAAGTGTTTGAGAGATTTTTCTAAAAAGCGAGCTGAGATGTTATAAATGAAGTTTTAGAGACTAATGTCAGAATTAAGAACATAAACATTAAAAGTCACAATCTTTTGAGGAACACCGGTTATAAGAGCGCATCTGAATAGGAAGGAAGTCTATTTTGAGAGGCAGTTTGACGCCGAATGGTGAGTGTAGATACAACACAGATGCATGAATTATTGTTATACCTCAGTGTTAAATTCATCACGGTTTGACCTACTATCACGTGACGCGGTGACAGTAAAGTTCATTTCGATATCGAAATGGGAGAAAGCAAATGGTATCGCCTGCTATCTTCTATTTACAGCAGAGAGAATGGCGTGTGTTGTCATACCAAAACTATTGTTACGAGAACAGTCTCGCTTTTTTCTGCACTGCTGGAAACATTCCAGAAGAGTGTTGAAAAATCACGGTTTAATCAGCTCACAAATTCACCCTCTTGGCACTAAATTCATGAATAGTAATGTATTGCTTCATAAACGAAGAATTTGAACCAGCTCTCAATGTTGCTTGCTTCAATAGGTTCCAAGAAACGTTGTGATACTATCGTCAGAAGTGATAAAAAGGGCTCGACTTCGCGCCCTGTAGCTTAGAAAACACGCTGGTATGGCCCAAACTTAAATTTCTGTACGTGCCACAATAGACCATCCTGGTCGAGTCGAACACCTAAACTGAGCTATCTAATTACCATGAGTAGACCAGTACAAGTTCTCGTGCTTGGAACTGCTTCCAATTTGAGTCCGCTTGTGACATGGGAAGGCAATTGTATTGAAGGTCACGTGTTAATCACGCTCTACACCAGATTCAAGAAGAATGTATACAATTCTACAAGGACTTCGTGCCCAAAACATGAGTGACGATGTTCTGGAGCAACAAGAGAATATATCTAATTTTTCTCCCCGTCTATCAAGTCATTCTGGGACCCTAATACTAGAGTCGTCAACACCCAGTCACCCAGGACCCATATTAAATTAACTTTTTACACCCAGCCACCCGTCCACCCAGTCATCCATAATTCATTCTCCGAAACATCTGCACCCAGTCACCCATCCACCCATCCACCCAAAGTCCCAACTCCGAAGCATCAACATCCAGACACCCATCAGTACTCGAGTACCAAAATATACGGTTACCCTACTAATTAGCTCATTACGTATATAGTGACATATCTTCAAATCATCCGTAAAAAATTCGTTTTTTTCGTTAAGGGGTTAAGTTTTTCTCATGACTTAAATACTATCAGATGGTGAAGCGTTATAAGAAATATGACTATGTATATAAGTAGTGGGTAAAATCCTAAATCTGGTGTAATCTTTTTCATTCCAACTTGTTAACACAATTTCAAAGAAGTGAAGAACAAAAAAGGCATAAAAAGCCCTGTTATAGACGCTCAAACACACCAATTTCGTGTGTTCAGTAACAATTGACAGTTTTTTGCGGTTTAAACACTAGTCTCGCGAGCCTTTTCCGACCATTTTCAGTGGAGTTAGCCGTTTCTCGTTTGACATCTGAGCTTCTCTGTTTCCGTCTTCAAACCCTATAAAAACAGGAAAGAACAATGACTGAACTGTGCCCTGTTTACGCTCCCTTCTTCGGAGCCATCGGATGTGCCTCGGCCATCATTTTCTCGTCGTTTGGTGCTGCCTACGGTACGGCCAAGTCCGGTGTCGGTGTGTGCGCCACTTGCGTGTTGAGACCCGACTTGTTGTTTAAAAACATCGTGCCTGTGGTCATGGCCGGTATCATTGCCATCTACGGACTGGTGGTTTCGGTGCTGGTGTGCTACTCGCTTACCCAAAAACAGGCCCTTTACACAGGGTTCATCCAGTTGGGTGCAGGACTGTCTGTGGGTCTCAGCGGTCTCGCTGCCGGTTTTGCCATCGGTATTGTCGGTGACGCCGGTGTCAGAGGTAACGCCCAGCAACCTCGTTTGTTCGTCGGTATGATTTTGATCTTGATTTTCGCCGAAGTGTTGGGTCTATACGGTCTTATTGTCGCCTTGCTCTTGAACTCCAGAGCTACGCAGGACGTCATCTGTTAGATCCTGCTGTAGTAACAGCAGCAGCAGCAGCAGCAGCAAGGAGTGACCAGATCCATTATAAAAAAAAACATCCCCCGCAGGCGAAAGCAATCAACAAACAAGAAGTCTCCATTTCTACTTTCAAATACATTCTTCAACCTCACTTTTGTGATCTCCTACATCCCACTTCTTGAAGTGTTTTACATGTGGACATTTGTATCAAATTATAGATGATCCCAAAACAAATAAAAATGAAATAAAAGCCTTACAATGTTAGGAGTATTCTTCCTTGAGACAAGATGCGTTCCTTTCGTTACTATATAAAAAAATGCTTTCTCTTCGAATTCTTATTCTATCATTTTTTGCATCGTAAAATATCATTGACTTGAAAGAGACTGTCCAAAAATATCGTTACCTCATAACAGCAGTCCTTGTCAATTCCACTCAATTCATGAACTCTTGACAGATCTTAAAGCTTAGCTTTCTTCTCACCTGTTTTATCAAACTGCACAATTCCTCTGGTAATTCAATATCTTGCTTTCGGCTTTTTAAAACGTCGTAAAGAGCAACACTCTTGTCGTCTTCTACCTCCAACTTGTTCAATGCCTGAATTATGCGTATCACGTTTGACTCTGAAATGTGTTGTGAATCGTCCTGCAGAAAGACAGGATATAAAAAGTGGGCTACCAGTAGCGCAAGGTACTGGCTTGGAAGATATGGGAATTCCATCAGACTCAAAAGACTTTTAAGAGCCCCATCGAAATCTTGGTCTGCAGCCTGTTGGTAATAGCGGCGCAAGACTGCATATGGTGACAGCGTTTGCCTCATCGAATCTGTTAAAACATTCTCCAAAATCTCCTTCGGTATTTCCACTTCAGCGCGCCTACTGACGATCGCGTCTATTACTTCATCTTCTAGTGGTGTGCCTTGGATCGCCGATGCTTCGAAGATCATCCATGAATAGTGTTTGACCCACTCAAACTCTCCTGCTTTACTAAAATTCGTCATTGCCTCTATGACGTTGTTCTCATAGAGAAATTTGTTACCCAAGATTCGATAGATGGTCTTAGCAACATCTGGTAGCCTCCATTTAGCACAGAGAGTCAACATCCACTCGACGTCATCATTATTTTCGAATGGAAAGTGAGGCAGTAGCTCTCCTATGGCTAGCCTCACAGCGCTATTGCTTCTGCTGGGCGACAAGGCCAAAATACCAATGGCCATGGACCATAAAAGTTTATCATCATAGGAACAAAGTTCCATGGCGAAGCCGTGAAGCAAAAAACTAGCCATACTGTTCTTGGAAGAGAACAAATCCTCCTCAATACTAGTATAGTCGCCTGAGTTGTATGTGGTTGCATTTTTGAGCAAGCTATTGCTTGACTCCAATAGTCCCTTTGCTTCACAAATAGCAGAGAAAAAAGCAGCCACACAGTGGTCCAGTGATTCCAAAATTGGTAGTACCGCGTAGATCTTGCCTCTTATTATTTCCACACAAGCCTGCTCCCAGGCATTGCAGACATCAGCCGGATGTGCATTGAGTGATAGTTGCAGGTATTCATCCGATAGTTCTAATGTGGGGATATAGAAAGTTATCAGCCCGCAAAAGGATTCATACCACGTAGCAGAATATTGTAAAATTTTGCTTTGCGATCCGCTCATTAGATGAAGCATATCGTTGATAGAATCCCGCAAGTCTAGGTCCACATTTGTAGTGCTCTCTGAGTATAGTTGGGATAAGTTCAGTGCAGCGGCCTTCCACTCTCTAAAAGTGGTGGCATCGCCGAACGGATATTCTTTTAGGAGTGAAGTGGCATCGGTCAAAATATCGAAAGTTACTTCACACTGTGCCTCAAGAGCGGGAAAGATCTGAGAGCGTTCCAGAACCGCTAGCGCTTGATCAAAAAGACCTCTCAGGAGTAGTTGACTGACCAATTTCCAGAAAGACGCCTTTTCATATACCTTGGTGATGTCATCTTCCCCAAAAACCTGTTCGACTGCAGATTCCGATGGCTCTCCATCGGCCCTGTTGATCCAATGTGCAATATTTTGAACCACGTCACCATCCTGGAATTCTGAGTCTTGTGCGGATGACGTGAAGTATAAGGCCTTGGCGCAATTGAGAATGGATGCACTCTCCTCGAGCTCTGCACCTCTGGCCATGTTTTGCGTCAATGCAAAAGTCTCCAGTTCGTCTGCCAAAGCGAACATGGCCAAATCAACTGCTTGAGAGTGTTCAGCCTGAGCGGACTGGCTGACGAGTCCCAATGTGGGGATCGAGAAAAACCGATCTTCGCCCAGATTTTTGTAAATTTCGAAACACGTTAAAACGAATTGTTTGTATTCGTCTGAGGAGTCCAGTCCGTGGAAAACCGGTGTGAACAGCCTGTTGTCCTTTTTCTTGACCTTTCCACTATTGTTTTCCTCTTCAATAGCGTTGCTGAAATAACCCAAACTACGAGCTGTTATTGGGGCCAATTTGAACTTCAATGAGCCCGAAAAACCGTCTAAGGCATCCCCATACTCTCCCTTTTGCTCCAGACCCTCAAAGAACGTCTCTGGTGCCCCAGAAATTGCATCTACAGACAATTCTCTCAAAACTTCATTATTTTCCATATCTACATCAAAATCAGGTTTATTCAGAAAATTCAAACTGTCGACGTTCATAAGCGATCCCTTGTTTTGATCACTTAATACAGGAGCCATTTTGAACTCAATGGTGCTGTTTCCAGAGACACCCCGTGCGCTTATAGCTAGCTTTGACGGTTTTGTTTTGTCTGTTCAAGCTGTTGATGTTCTTACGATGGTTTAATTTTGATATTTATGATTGATATATTTCTTCAAGCTTTTCTTACGTAAGCAGAAGGTTTATTGATGAGTTTGAAAAATTTCGAAATTTAAGCGATGAGCTATAAGAATTGGTGAAATATCGAACTTGAAGATCGAGCTTAAAGGGCTAAAGAAAGGTCTACAGCATTAGTTGGAGCAACCGTACTTCTTTAGCGGCTTGACAAATGACAGGTTCACTTTTTGGAGCATCTCCAACGGCTTCGTTGGTATCGAAAAAACTGCGTTCGAAGGATGTTACCACTACCGAAATCTACGATATATCTGTGCAACTCCTGGAAGGCAAAATAGCGGTCCATTTCCCGAAAAAAGAGGTATTTGTGCTTGAACTGATTGTGGACAGATGGAACAATCAGAAAAACACGCAATTCAAACGAGACCCGCACATGTGGCGGCTTTTCAATCAAATGTGGGGAGCAGTGGAATCCGACACGCTGCGCAAGAAAATATTCAGAGTTTTGCGCTATGTACCGCATTTGGTCCAAACGCTCGAGCTGGAAAACTTGGACCACACTTTAGAGCTCGCAGAAGTGCTGGCCACCAATTTCGAGCTTTTGAACTCAAGCTTTATCGTGGAAATGTCACAAGACCAGGCTATGGCCATCATTGCCGGCATACTTAGAATTATTCTGAGCAGTCCGGAGTTGAAGCGTGAAATGCGAGAAAAACTTTTGACGGAAACGTTGAGACTCACCCGTGTGTCGTCTGATGCTGTAACGAACAATATTAGCAACAATAAACTGGGTCAAAGATTCTGTTCCAATCTGCTACCCTTCGTCTTGCAGTACAGCGCACAGTACGACGATGAGTTTGTTTCCTCTCTATGTGGCCTTATCGATAGGTACATTTTCGCTCCTGAGGTCGACAGTGTCAAACTGCTGTCACAGTTTCTGGGATCAGGGCAAAAGTGCGATCTTTCAGATCAATGCTACACCATTTTATACCGCAAATGTATAAAAGCGGTATCCAAAAAGTCAATGCTTGAACTGGAAGAAATCTTCACACTTATCACCAAAGCACGTCCGTCACTAACTTCCGTTTTACTGCAAGAACTCAGTGCACTCAAGAAAACGCTGTCGCAAAAATTTTTAGAGGCGTTATTCGAGGAAAACTATCAGAAATTCTCCAGCACGCAAGCTCTTACCGCTGATACTTATTGGGCGATTGCAAAGAAGATTCTCAAGCTTGATATTGAAGTGGGGATTATTAATACGACAAGGATAATGAATGAACTTGCCAAGACACCGGCGACCAGCAATACGCTTGCGATATGGGAGACTTTGATCGATTGCTACGTTAACGCCAGAGAGCTCCCTCGATTCTTGGATCTATTGAAAGACTACAGTCAATCTCCCGACAAGTCCACTGTTTTTGTTGATGATGCCAAATATCACCAGAAAGTCACCAAGGAGATTCCCTCCATGTCGTCCACTCAAATCAAAGCATATTTCGACACAATAGCCGACGAACTTTCGCGAAGTGAAGTTGACACCGAGCTAAGCTTGAAGCTTCTCAATGTGGCCGTCAGAGGGCTTTACAGCCTGCCGTACAGCTCGCTTCCCGAACTCGAAGGGTCATTAACACGCCTTCTCGAAACGGGTAAGCACCAATGCCCGGCGTTTTGGACTTTCACATACCATTTCTTGAATATCTATGCTGACATCTTCACCAACGATCGTCTTACACAAATCCAGAGTATGATTTTCTCTTATTTGGAGGTCACAGAGTCAACAGAAGTATTCCTGACAGCTTTCATGCTAAGAGAACTAAAAGAGTTCGAATTAGAAGAAATACTTGACAAATTCAGGAAACATTTCCGTCAATCGGACGGTCCTCAAAAGCGCGAACTTTTGCGTGAACTTTTCTGCAATTGGAGCACGCTACTAAACTTATGCTTTAGTGAGGAGCTTCTGGCAGAACTGATCGATCAGTTACTACTAGCGCAAAATCTTGACCTACTAGACTCGATAGCTTTGTCTGATGACTTTTTCGAGGAGTCAAGAATCATGAGCATACTTACCGATAAACTGTGTGACGATATCTTCAATGAGGATGTGGTGAAGCGATTGATCAAGATACCGATACAGTGCATCAGTAAAACCACGAGGGTAAAAGCTCTTAATTCAATGTGCACGAAGCAGAAACTAAGCATGGAAGATTTCGAGCTAGTGTCTTGTTTGCTCTCAAATCCTACATTCAAATCAAGCATTGAAACGGACGTTTCTGTTTTGGAAGCAATATTGAAGCAGGAATTGTACCTGTTCCAGGTCGGCAATCCAATTGTCGAAAAGGTCCTTGCCAATCATATTTCACAATTAAAAGACGCTAGCAGCAAGTTGTTCATCACAAATCTGACCTCGCATTTGGAAGTAAAAATGAAAAGCGAATTCGACGTTACTACATGCAAAATGGCATTCTTGTTTTCCAAAGCCGTTGGTTTTGAACAAGAAATGAGTGCCACTGTACAAGCCGCACTGACAACCAGACTATGTTCATTTGTGGAAGACTCGACTAAAAACTCACAAAGCCAGCCCGTGGTTCTTTGGTCACTAAAAGTGCTCTACGAAATCTATGAATGCACTGAAGTGAGTTCGCTCAAAAAGAGCATTGACTCATTAACCAAAAACATCGCCAAAAAGATACCTCAAGATGGTCTCGACGACAACATGAAAGCTGCCATTTTCTCGCTGTTCTGTACGACGAATTCGAACGAGCCAACCTTCTTGTTAGCACATTATTTGGTTTTAAGGACGCATTTGGCGAAGGTGCACATTTATCGTGCTATTGAGAAAGTTGTCGAGACAACAAGCACTGATTTCGAGATTTTCAATGTTATGCTCTTCTCAACTGTCTCATCTATAAAGGAGGCCGAGTTAGACTACTCGGAGGGCATACTAGAATTGCTTGAGCTGCTCTTTAAAAACATCGAAAAGGGAAATGAACAAGGAAAAATGCTCTTTTCCGTTGGTCTGTCAGAAATCAACACCCATCTAAGAAATGTGGTAAACTCCAACAAAATAGCATTTCTGAGTTTACTCGATACGCTGAAGAGCTTGCTTGTTTGGAAGCCTTGGCTTTTCAGCCAGCACACCATTGAAACTCTATTCCCATTTTGTCTGCGAGTGAATGCGGTCGTGATGCAAGCTAACGAAATGGACAATGACGCGGTTTTTACATGCACGTCGCAGCTTTTGTCACATATTTTGATGTATCACCGCTTTAAGCTGACAGACCGTCATCATTTGGTGAACTCTTACATGAACTCAGCATTGGAAATGCTCACAGTTGGCTCACGCTACGGACTATCGCCTGAGTCAGCAGAATCGTTCAGCAGATTGCTCACAGTATTCTGCGAGCCCTCTAACGACGCCAAGAACAATAAAAACAAAACATCTTTACAGTCGCACGTTGGTCAAGTCAGAAAGTCATTAAGAAGACATGCATCTGTTTTGCTTCTTAAATATATTAGTTTGGCTCTCGGTTCGTCGTTTGACAACCGCGTCAAAGAAGCGCTGACCTCTGGATTCTTTTCGGTGTTCGACGTTCTCTCACAAGCAGAATATACTGCCATGATTGCGTTCTTAGACAGCCCGGGTAGAATTTACTTCAAGACTCTTTATGCAGAGTACAAGAGAAGTGGGAAATGGCACGAAGGATGATGACATATTGTACAATTTATAACATTACCACCTAGAAGTGTCTTTAATAATACTAATGCATCTATAGTTAAGTTTCTGACAACTTGAATAGACTCCGTATAAAAGTTGACAGCTTGTTTTCCATTCTGGTATCGAAAGCGTAAAGTGGCCCATGCATTTCTTTGTGCTTGAGTCTCTCAAAACGTAGAAGATCTTTTCTTGTCAAAAGTCCTTCTAGATGGCCATTTGCTTCGACGACGACAAATTTGCATCCCAGTGTTCGGAAGTAGTAATGTGCCAGTTTCAAAGAGGACTGCTCGGATATCAACACCGGAGAGCGATTAAGAAGGTGTTGGAAGTCTATCGAATCCTCTTGCGTATACGATGAAACCTCTCGTCTCTTACTGAAAATGACTTTCGAAGAAGCTTCGATATTATTTCCCACAGCCACAGCCACTTCAACGCATAAGACAGATCGCTTCAGATAACCCAAAAACTGACCAGATGCGCTATCCACAACGGGATACTGTTTGTAGGCGTTATTTGTATCCAAAAACTGTAATAAATGCGCTAGGGATATTTCGTCGGGGACAGAGGCAATGACACCGGACATGATGTCACGAACTGTGTAACCTTCAAGATGTCTGGCTTCGTCTTCCAAGCTTTCGAGAAAGGGGAATCCGTTGACTGTAATCATCTGATCTGCGATACCTCCCTTCGCGCCAATCGACTTCAAAACAAGGTGTGTGACGGCTACAACAACCATGGAAGGTATAATATACGAAAACGCACCCGTGAGTTCTATCATTATGACCACAACGGTCAATGTCAGGTTTGTTATGCCGCTTAGAGTAGCGGCAGCACCTAGAAAAGCATATGTTCCGGGAGTAATAACTCTAGGACCGGTGATCCACCGTTCGACAATCAGGCTAACAGCGCGGCCAAAAGTTGCACCTACAGCCATCGAAGGGACAAAAATACCAGCAGGGACAGAGCAGCCATACGAAATGATGATTAACAGCGATCTCAGTACTGTCGCAATCCCCAGAGAGAAGAAAATTTGAATGAACACTCTTCCATGAGTATTGGAATCTAGTTGACAGATTCTATGGGTCCACAAAGATCCGTTATCGTCAACGGTACATTCATGAAAGAGAATCCCCATGCTTTCGGTCATGTCCAACCTCAGAAATTCGTTAAAATAAGAAAGCAGAGCGGTGATCAATGTTAACAGCGCAACTTCCTGTAATTTGTACTTCTGAAGGTAAGTTTTGCGAAAATTCACATAACGAATATTCCAGTCACTGACCAGCAGGCCATATAGTCCACCAAAAGCTCCTAGAATAATGAACACAGGTATTTCCTGTACCCTCCAATTATTTTCGTACGTTACTTCAAAGAGCACAATTTTGCCATTTCTAAATGGGTTCATGTACTGCAAAGTGGCCACTGCGCCTAGTGCAACGTAGTAAGACTTCCACAGCACAGATAAGTTGAAATAAGAGGATGTTGACATTTCCTCAAGCGCAAACAGCACACCTCCTATTGGTGCGCCAAAGGCAACGGCAACACCGCCAGCCGTAGAGGCTATAAGGTATTCTGATTGATGTGAGAAGCTCAGATTGCGTTTGAGCAAGAGGTTGGTGATGACAAAACCGCAGCAGGTGGCATAATGAACTGAGGGACCCTCTTTGCCGACGCTCAATCCCGATGAAATTGCCAACGGAAGGGCTACACTTTTTATCACTAGTGTTTTCAGATTCAGAAACTCATCTTTGTATTTGAACCCTGAGACCCAAACTTTTATCTCTGAGATACCGGACCCGGTAGCCATAGGAGCAATGTACCTCACCATTAGACCACTGAGCAAAGCAAATATTAGGGACAGCACGATGAACAGCACGAAGTCTGCAAAAGGATTTTTTCTTTCTATCCAAATACCGTCTTTTATGCAGCTAAGCTCATCGCGAGTAACAAAGAGTCGATTGGTGTCAGGACTTTCCACTACACCAGCACAGCAGAATGATTTGTTGAGCAGCCAGTTACGGCTGCAATGTCCAGACTTCCAATTCACCAACGTTTCTGTCACTACCTGTATAGAACCTGCAATGAACCCCAGCAGTAAGGCAATGCATGTTAGTGTGATAATTTCACGCAGACGATTCCAAAGCCACTGACGCCAGCGCCGCCAACTGGATTCCAGATAAAGCTCTTCTTCTACATCTTTGAAGGGCGGTTTTGATTGACTTTGACTCTCTTCTATCCAGTCAACAGTTTGAAATTGTTCAAAGTTCTTAGTCTCTGGAATTTGCACGGTTCTCTCGATTTCGAACTCCGAGAATTCCACCCGCTCAAAACCCATCGATCAATTTCACAAGGGAAGTAGTTTTGGATGCTAAGAAAGCCTCCTAAACGCTTCACTGGCCTGCTTTTACGGGTGGGAAAGGTTCTTGATGGATAATTTAAAGGTTAATTTAGATATATGTCGTCCTAATATATCAAATGCCACAGCCGTACCAAATGCCATAAACGACATAGTTGAAAAGATGAGAGGAAGGCCAGCCCTCAATAGAAACTTGAGTCTGATATTCGAGAGGAGATATATTTGGATCTAATGTATCACTTTTATGGGATGTTCACTACTAGTTTTGTTTTATTTTCTTCTTTTTGAACTATTTCGGACTTCAGGACAAAGTTCATTGCAGTACATGAACATGTTGTGAACTTTTTCGTTTTAGAATTGGAAAATCAGTCGAAATCCTTAAAGTGCTTTTCTCTTGGTCTTCGACGCTTCAAAAACTGTTTTTTTTCGATTTCTTGACAAATTCTACAAATAATGACATCAATAACAAAATTGTCTTCAAAAAACTCCAACAAGCATGCGAAAACCAATCTCGCTTTATTCACTTGAGATTTCATTTATCTAAGTCTAGCCGCACTATGGACCTGGTAACTTCTCTGATGCCTCAATATTTCCTTTAAGTCCTTGCCATCCAGTCAATTCTCTATCCGATCATCTACCCAACCCCCACTCAATGACTATAAAACACCCCCATCCACGTGACATCTGGTCAAACCACTACCCGTTCCTCTACTCGTCACTCCCTCCGACTCGCTGAAAAATTATTTTTCACTACTCTCTGGAAATATAAAAATTTGCAAGCTCTCTCATCGCCTTCCTCATCGCACATTCAACACTCTTTCGTAAACCATTCAGGCGAGCTTCTACTTATTGCAAGGAACTTGAACCAAATATCCACTTATCACCAGTCTCTACAGAATGTCTACCACTCCTAACCCTAAGGCCTTCCCATTGGCTGACGCCAACCTATCCCAGCAGATCTTGGATGTTGTTCAACAAGCTTCTAACATGAGACAGTTGAAGAAGGGTGCTAACGAGGCTACCAAGACTTTGAACCGTGGTATCTCCGAGTTCATCATCATGGCCGCCGACTGTGAGCCAATTGAAATTTTGCTGCACTTGCCATTGTTGTGCGAGGACAAGAACGTTCCATACGTTTTCGTTCCATCCAGAACTGCTTTGGGTAGAGCCTGTGGTGTGTCTAGACCAGTTATTGCTGCGTCGATTACCACCAACGATGCCTCTGCCATCAAGTCTCAAATCTACGCTGTCAAGGACAAGATCGAGACTTTGTTGATCTAAGCGGCATGGTTTGCGGGTCTCCTCCTACTTTGCAGTTCCGTTATATGTGTGGCAACAACACCCAAAGCCTTACGCATAGATGGAGGCTCTGCCAGAAAACATTGTATTGACCCATTGAACTTCTCAAATTTGTATAATAAGAATATATTTCTCATTAAAGAAAGTTGAATACCTTTCCCTAAGGCCACCTCGGACGTGCTGATATCTTTTCAAAGACAATTGATGAACTGGTCATCCGAAAATGCAGTTCTTGGGCTCTTCAGCAAGCGCATGACCTGGGCCAAAGAAATGTATTTCGTCGCAGTTCAGCAACCCGACAATCTCGCTTGCCGTGCTTTTGGACGCCTTCAAGAATTCTTGCAGCTTTTCTTGCGAAATTATGGTACTGACCAGATAGCACCCGCCGGTGCTGGTGTTGAGTAAGAAAAGTGGCATAAATTTCTCGCGAAGCTGCGTGTAGGTTCTGTTCAGCCCACTCAAAGCTTTTGTGCGGTCTTGCAATCCGGAACTAATGTCAACAATACCAAGACCTGTTACTGACGGCACACTAGCAAATTGCGCCCCCAATAAGGTTTCCATGCCATCGTTTTGATGCGAATACATGACTGAAACGTGCCCATCTTCATTGATAGCCGCAAAGCTCAAAGCAATTGAGAAACCTCGTCTCTCATTGAAATCCACCTTGACGTCAGATGAAAAACGCAGGTCTGTGAGGTAGTGCGACACCTCACTATAATCAGACACGGGCTGTTTTTTGATGGTGATCCCTTTGAGTTCCGAACTTAACACCCCGGTTGATATTTTTCCGACAACCTCTGCACTAACTTCAAACTCTTGAATCCCTTTTACTAAACTGTGAACTCCAATGACCTCTTGCTGACTGAAGACCTTAGGTCGTTTGCTTGAAGGCTGGTCATCAGAAGCCAATATTTTAGGGACTTGTTTCGAGAAGCAGAAACAGTATCCTGCATATCCATCTAGTACCAATGCTTTGGAAACTGACTTCAGGCTGAAAATACCCTCTTTGGCAGAATAATCCAATTGCAAGGCCTGAATGAACTCTCCGGCAGCAAATAATATTCGGTTGGAATAGTTGTACAAAGATGTGACACTAAACTCAACGCGAGTTCTTAACTGTAACTCAATCTCGCCAGTTTCATCATCAAGAGTGAAGAGCAAAAGATTATCTTGCGATTCATCCTCTGCGAAATCAAAGCTCAGTGAAACGAGAAAACATCTCGCAAAAATGAGCTGCTTAGCGAATGATGTGTTATTATCCAAGTATTTGCCACAAAGTACCCTTTTGTTGAATGTCACATCTGTTAAATCAGAAACTAAAGCCTGGGGGAATAATGTAGAGACAGCATATCTCCGGGCCACCACTCCTGTCGAAACATCATGCACATGAATTTCAGACTCATAGGCAGTCTTTTCTTGGCGAGAATCATAGCTTTGGGCCACAGCACTGGTGATTACGAATCGTCGTGATATCGGAAGTGCCAAGTGTTTTGTATAAATGTGAGAAGGGTCGCGGTAGACCTTTTTGGTCACTGTGAAAGGGCTAGTCAATAGCTCTGAAATATCGGCTCTATAAAAAGTGGAGTCAGCATCCATTCCTATGAAGGTGGTGCCAAGTGCTACTTTTATGCGCTTGAGCCGCAATGGCAAAATGACTTCACCGGCTTCGATTTTCGACGTATGAAAGCTCACCATGAACACGCTGTCGACACAACAGATGAGAAACCGGTTGGATGCTGGCAAATCTTGAAGATAAAACCTGTGTCCGCTGATTTTGAATTGAGACCTCATTGTGCCATCTGTGTTGTAGATCTGAGTATTGCCAAAGATATCTATAAAAATCAGCATACTATTGTTCTCCCAAGTTTTCACAAGACAATCACATATTTGAGACAGTCCTTGCAGCTTGACCGACTTGCTCTTGCTATCAAAAAACCATACCGATTCTGAGTTCCAACCAACCACGGTTAGGATACTTGCATCAGGCAGCTGTGCTGAAGAAACATAGCGAGAGGCAGATCTGGCATTCTCGAATCCTGGGACAAGAGAGCTCAAACCATTCAGACCCCAGCTAATTTCTCCATTCTTTTTGACGTATACTAACTCCTGAGAAAACATGATTGGCCCGACCATAACAATGTCATCTTCTCGCCGACTCCATTCACCATTCGAGTTAACGTGTACCACGTTACTACCTGTTGTGACTGGTTCTGTATCATTGTATAGTATGCCGTCGAAATCCGTCCAGAACAGTCCCTTTTCTGCTAGCCAAAAATCCGCAACTGGCCGATCAGTGATATGTGGTATAGGGCTTAGATTCAATGAGACTTCAGACGCCAAAAAAGTACATTCCAGGAAACCTTGATTACCGGAAGATCCACCAGACACTAAAAATCGCATAAAATTCCCATCTTCGCCAGAAACGGTGGAATATAACGCGGATTCATTTTCACTTGCAATCGAAAGGGACGTCTTAGTACTCGAATCGAAAATAACCAGTCCAAAAACAGTAGTCGGGATCAAAAATTGAGAACCGCGCAGATGTATGCAGTTGTCGGCGGTGTCTAGCTTGGCTCGAGCAAAGTCCGGCGAAATCAATGAGACGCAATTCGGGTCCTGTATGCCATCAAACAGAAGACGAGAATCGAACTTGAAAAACTCGCCCTCATTGGTACAGCCAGCGATATGCTTGTCCTCTTGCATTGACTGCTCCAATGCAAGGTAAATACGGGCATCAGAAAGGCCAAGCCCCAGTATCGATTTCAGATTCTTTTTGATGGTATTCAAACGCGGCTTTTGCGAAAGGAAGGCCTTACGCGCGTCGTAAACAAGCGTATAATCAGGAAAAAAGCACATGAAACCCACATTGACTCTGGAGATGAGCGAAATGGCTTCACAAGATGCATCGCAAGGTAAATCATCCAAATCTCGACTCTTGATGACCGCTTTCCACTTGTTGCGGATCAAATCGAGCTCTTCCCAGATTTCAACGGTAGGAACCTTACTATTGCGAGGTTGTGACAAAATACACATCTGATAGAATTCCTCAGAGTCCACGGAGTTCCAGCAGGCCGAGAGCGCCCGTATGGGATGCGGCGACTTGAATACTACATTTTTGGCCTCTGACAAGACCGAAAGCTGCAAATTCGCGACTCCCGCTTTGTAGTCCACTTTGTAGCCCACTTTTACCACCGACAGACGGTCCCATGATACAAAAAACCGGCTGAATTTCGCATCAACGGTCACAAGAGGCTTTGATTGAGATCTATAGGGCAAATCAAGCTTTGCAGAATCGACAATTTGCAGTTTTTCGTTTCTAACTTCTATTTCACCAGATTCGTAGAAAATAATGGCATATTTCTCTTCGGAATTCGCACCTGAATTACAGGACCAGGCCTCCAAAACAGTTTCCGACGTAGATTCTCGATAAACCGGTAGCTCCTGGTTTTTCAAATAGGAGTAAACGCTCAATTCTCGGTTTTTTACAACCAAAAGTGTCTCGTCATTACCCAAAAAAGAAGTGATCAATCTTACCGGACACCGGAGCTCACTAACAACCACGTTTGGATCCAAATCAAGCCTATCAGTGTCATTTCTCATTAAAGAACTAGTAAAACATCAATTCCAGTGCAAACTGGGCTTGAAATCAATGCTTTTATACCTTTCTTTACACCTTTATTCGTAACTATAACTTCGTAAAATCATCTGTAATTTATATATGTCAATTAATGCATCAAGAATATAGAAGTCGAGATCAAATCTATAAAAAGACGCCATCGATGTCAGCTTTAAAATGATATATAAGTAAGACTTTTGAAAGCATTGCTAAGGAGTAAAGTATCCGGATAAAACATCTTTATTTCTGTGCTTTTCTGTGCTTTTCTGTGAATTCTTTTACCATAGTATTCGTAGACTTAGCCAGTGCCGTTTTTGTTCGTTTGTCAGTGACGTCTGTGACGTTGGTGTTGGAACATATAGAAAAGACAAAAAGGTTTTGCTACTTTTGGGTATCCTGTTGATTGCTCCGGTGTGTTATTTTGTTGTGAAGATAGGTTGTGAAGATAGCCACAACGAGTCATCTTGGGTTGGTATTTGGACAACTTGAATATGGTCAAGTTAGCTGTCTTTAGACGGAAGACTAAGAAAACAGAACGAGAGGTGGAATTGACATTTGAAAGTCATGCACAACAAGCTAGAAAGGGTGCAATTCATAATGGTAATTCGGGGAAACAGGAAAAGGTCTCTACAACAAGTTGCTGTTGTTGTGGGGCGCTTTTGAAGCATCCGCATGTCGAGCACAAACTGAAATGCATGAGATGTCATACAACGGTGGAATTGACATCAACAGGTGAAAAGGACGTCAAAAAGCATCACCTGTGGTCTTTTCAAGATTTCGAGGACGTGATTTCAGCCTGCAACGACGAATTGAAGAGGAAAAGAGAAACGTTGGGCGCAGGATTCCAAAAATGTCATTTGCGCGATGCGTTTGTGCCGCTTGAAAAATTCCTAGAATCACTATTCTCAAGCGTGGCCAGTCTCAATAGCTTCTGCACTTCGTCTCACAATGGCTCACATCCACGCTACGATTCCGAAAAGATTTCAAGCTTCTATGCAGCGATTCTTAAACTTCCAACAAAAAAACCGTTCTACAAAGTGTTAATCTGCAGTAATGATCGTCTCAGGAAGCCACGGATCAAGATGTTTGAGGACAACGCGGTCTCCTACTTCAAAGAGCTTTCATGGATCCTGATGATTCTAGAAAATCCCCTTCTGCGACAAAGTCTGAAGTTTGATCAAACAAGCAAGCCGCTGACGCCGCCCATACGTGCGCTCCAATATGAGGTGTTGAAACGTTCGATCGGCTATTTGGCACTAATTAATGACTCTACGGGGAAAGAATTAATCGGCCATCTGGCACACCTCGGTTTCCGTCGTTTTGATGAACAGGTCGATCTATTAAACCTATATTTGAGTTTCCATTTTTCGCGAATCATACGCAAAAGAGCTAGGACAGAGGCATGTTTTGGGAGTCCTGACCTGGAAGAATTTTGTTCAGACTCAAAGTACAACGCAAGTAATCCCGATGACGACTTTGAAACCATCCCGCGGATGGTCACCAGATTTCTTACAAACAATGGTCGTTCCGAGCAAAACTTACCAGCGAATTTTAAATTCCACTTGAGCGACTATGGGAATGATTGGCATATCGGTACCGCTTCGAGATTGTTGTATTTCTACTATCTCGTAAGTCAGCGAAAGTACAAGTGTCCGGTGTCACGATTTTACAACATGCTTTCTGATTATCTGGACTATAAAAAGGATTATGAACAATGGAGGTCAAAGTCTAAGACCAATGCGAAAAGTGGGTCTATATCATTTGTTGACACACTTGATGGTCTTGTTTTATCAACTGGTCAAAACTCAGAGACGCAATTCACAATGTGTCAGTTTCCATTTTTGATGACAATGGGCATAAAGATATCGATAATGGAGTATGAAATACGCAAAGAAATGGAGCATAATGCGGAACAGGCCTTCCTCAAAGCATTGGATAAGAAAAAAGTAGTTGACGTCTATTTGAGGATAACCATACGCCGAGATCACGTGGCAGAGGACTCTCTACGTTGCATTGAATCCCATCGCTCGGACCTTGGCAAGTGTCTCAGAGTCGAGTTCATTAACGAGCCCGGGATAGACGCTGGTGGACTCCGCAAGGAATGGTTTTCTTTGTTGACCAAGGAATTGTTCAATCCCAATAATGGGCTATTTACAGTGGTGGAGGAAAGCAGATTTTCTTGGTTCAACATGGCTTATGAGAATTTTGAGAGCAGCCCTGACAATGCATCCAAACTCTACTACTTGTTTGGCGTTGTACTGGGTCTGGCTATATACAATGGGACGATCTTGGATGTTTGCTTTCCGAGGGCTTTGTACAAAAAGTTATGTGGGGAACCACTCATCAGAAGCGATTATTTCGAACTTTATCCCGAGAGCGGTAGAAATCTAATGAAAATGATCGATTACAAGAATGATGACTTTGAAGATGTGTTTTGCTTGAATTTCGAAGTCACTTATACAGACTCTTGGGGCGTTAAAGTTCACCGAAAGGAATTGTGTTCGGATGGCTCGAATAAGCAAGTGACGCGCGAGAACTGTCACGAATATGTAAGACTTTGGATGGACTTTCATTTGAACCGGGCAATTGCCAACAGCTTTGAGGTTTTTTTGCAAGGCTTTCGCAGGGTTGTAAAGGGCGACGCGTTCCGTTTATTCAATGCAGCAGAAGTCGAGCTGCTGTTATGCGGGAGTCGGGACAAAGAAATTGACGTGAATACTTTGAAGAGCGTGACGAAATACGCAAATGGCTTGGCGAGCAACTCACGGGTGGTGTCATGGTTCTGGAGTATTTTTGATGAGTTTGACAGCAATGAAAAACGAAAACTACTAGAATTTGTGACTGGTTCCGATAGAATTCCTGCTACTGGAATTTCGACGATTCCGTTCAAACTCTCCCGCCTCGGCAATGATTGTAATAATCTGCCACTTGCGCACACATGCTTTAACGAGCTTTGCATTTATGACTACAGCGATAGCGCAAAATTGAAGGGGAAGCTGTTAATTGCAATGTACGAATCGGAAGGCTATGGGTTTAGATAAATTATGGCTTGGCTGAAGGGCATGGTGACGTTACTTGAGCTTGGTGACTGAGGAAGTGACACCAAAATATTCCAATCTTGGAAAAATTAGGTAAAAAAGTTTCTTTCGAGAGAATTGAAAATATCTTCGAATGGTTACTACCATTTCCAGCTTGGGATAGGGTCATGATGTCGTTGAGTTTGGGTCCACAGCGGAAATCGACATGGTATTGCCCAGTGTATATCACTTGTGATACACCTTGTCGCTGTCACTACCGTGGCACGTGACCAATGACACACATTTCACCACGGCTAGAACTTTGAGAAACCAGTATTTTTGAAAGCTTAGAAACCTAAAAGTATGCTGTTTGAAGCGAACCGACATCATTGTTGCTCTTCACCTCGTTTTATATGTGTCTGTGAATGGCAAAACCATCAGTATTTACTTTGATCACATCTCACGAAAACAATGCTTTTAATTATTCACAGCTGTTGTGAACGCTGTCATCAACGTATCGAAACCTTTGTTATCAGCCTCCAATGCTTAGATGCAGCCTCAAAGGCTACTCACAAACAATTCCCTAACTCTCTAGTCACCTCAATAGCGGAAGAAAAACCAGAAGTTGAGCCGATTCCCAAAACCGCTTTTTTTTTTCAATCGAGTCATGGAATAGCCCCATCACACCAGCGGCAAATAGCTTCATTTAACCACACAGATTCTCAAACCCAATCGCCCGTCTCTTTCTGATGCTCGTAAAACAAAAATTCCACACATCACTTTTATGATTTACTGACGCTCCCTCTTCTGTCACATGACAACTGTTTTTCATATCACTAACAACGAACCAATTAAATTGGCTAAAAATTTCATCCATACTAAACTCGATCCACTCTCATAATTCTCAGACCGGTAATTTCGGTATAGGTCAAATTTAAAATTCGAACTCATCTTTAACAAATTATCACGATCAGTGTTCAAAAAACATCAAAACAACGAAACACCTCGTTTTTCGACTCCTTTTTGAGCATTAGCATTTAGCATCTTTCCCATCTGCACAGGTGAAGACAAGCCGGATCTAGCAATTCGAACGCAACTCGAACGGTGAAGAGAGCATTCCTGTGTGTCAAGTTAGCATATTTATAATACCAAGAGCACGCCAAACAAGATGTTGGGACTAAGAACTTCTTTCAGAAGCTCCTTGCAGACCATGAAGGCTCAGTCGAGACTTCTGTCGTCTTCCGTTGTGTCGGCCAAATCCACTTACAGAACCCCCGACTTTGGCGACTATATCAAGGAGAAACAAGATGCGGACAAGAGCCGTTCTTACGCTTACTTTATGGTCGGTTCTTTGGGTCTTCTATCGTCTGCGGGTGCCAAGTCGACGGTGGAGACTTTCATTACGTCGATGTCTGCTTCTGCGGACGTTTTGGCCATGGCTAAGGTCGAAGTTAACCTTGCAGCTATTCCAGAGGGAAAAAATGTGGTTGTCAAATGGCAAGGTAAACCTGTTTTCATCAGACACAGAACCGCTGGTGAGATTGACGAGGCCAACACCGTCCAAATGTCTGCTCTAAAGGATCCACAGACTGACGCTGACAGAGTGAAAAAACCAGAGTGGTTGGTCATGTTGGGTATTTGCACACATTTGGGTTGTGTGCCTATCGGAGAGTCTGGGGACTTTGGCGGCTGGTTCTGTCCTTGCCACGGTTCGCACTACGATATTTCCGGTAGAATCAGAAAGGGTCCAGCTCCTTTGAACTTGGAAATCCCAGAATACGAGTTTGACGATCAAAAGCTAATTGTCGGTTAAGAGATGAAGCCCGAATTTCTACGATACAAAAGCTTCTAAAACCAAAACCAAAACCAAAACCAAAAATCTTCAAAAAAAAATTTACTACAACAACTTTCAACGCATTTCTTTCCATCTGTCCCATTTGGTCCCTCGATCAATTGTTTGAGTCTTGTGGTCGATTAGCAGCTTACGTGGTCAACTTCTTAGCTCCAGTTTTCCGACGTCGGTTTTATTTATTGGCTAACGGAGGGGGATAAAAACTTTTTACGTGGAACAGGAGTTCCAACGTTCGTGGATGTCCAGTTGTTGCAACCGTCTCCCATCTAAACTCCTCTGAGGTCCATTTGTGATGATAATTTTGAAGACCTTTTCTTTACGCCAGAGGAGGGTGTCACAACATTCATATTCAGCCTCCATACATTCAATGTACATTGAACGACCCATATAACTTGTTATTTATATATATATAATCTTCATGATGCCATGAATATAAGCAAAATATGAAGTTTCCGAACCCGACCTGGCCATGGCCCTGGTATAACTGTGGAAGTCTAGCCATTACTTTATTTTGTTGGTGTCAGCGCTAACTTTTCATATAAAGACGATCTGTATGACAGAAAGATTTTGCATTAAAGGTCGCAGTGTGTCTTTAGAAGCTCACTCAAATCATCGGGAACCTTATTAGGAGGTAAGAGACTCCATTGCCTGAGAAGCTCTCGAGCCTCAGAAATGACTTTTTCGTATTTACGTTCATCACGCTGAGGGCATAGTCTTGTCACTCGTTTTCGAGAGCCACCTGCAATCGCTGAACGTACACTGTCTCTTCTTTCTTGCGATAAACCAGTAGTTTTTTCGAGATCCTCGAAGAGATCTAGGACATATTGAGGTAAATTGGATGGCCTGTAGTCCCGATAGTAAAGCAATCTCCAATAGACTGACCAGTGAAGGTCGCTATCTTCGCGCAATTCTCTACACCGACCACGATTGGGAACATAAGCGTTTCTCCACCTGCAATCTTTGCCCAGTGTATTACGCCTTATTGGAACTAGTTCTATGACCCACCATGCAAAGACTTGCCATAATGGTTGGTTTCCACACCCCGCTTTACTTGGAGAAAATGCGTCGCGCTGTGATTCTTGTTCATTTAATGGTGCATTTGAAGAACCAAAGTCACAAGAGCGGTAAAGTAGTTCATTGCACTTCTTGGCGTACCAACGACCTTTCCCACAGAGCCATGAGACTTTCATTTTGACAAGTTTGAAAAGTTGACGAAGAATGCGAGAAACCAACCACCTGTTTGGTGGTTTTGTTGCGTCAAAAACACTCTCGGCTGCCCCTCTACTTGTGAAAGCCAGCATATCGTGAGAAAGAGCTGTGAAACTACCGAGAGCTGGGTACTTTGTCGAAAATTCTCTTATGACATTTTTCTCGAAAAGAACTCCATTCTTGACTGCCTCGGAAAGCATCCATCGCAAGGATATGTTTGATAAGTATTGCTTTGTATCATAATCAGGTATCCAACCACCTCCAATATCGGCATGGTCTCCAGGGAACCACTTTTCAACTATATCGGAAGACAGTGAGTCATGGCTTATGGTGCTCCTGGAAAAATCTTGTTGATATGGCAATAACTTTGTAGCGACCGAATCATCTAATCTGCTGTCGTCTCCGTTACTCACGGTCGAAACTTTTGATTTCCGAATAGAGTTCTGAGGGCTATTATTGTCGGATTGTTGCTTAGAGTTACCGACCAAAACACTTGAAGAGGAGGTGGCTTTCGAGAAGATTTGGAAACTTCCAAAAGAAGAGTTCGTGAACTTGTAACTCAGAGTTCTCCAAAGAGGAGAGAAATAACCATCTTTGGGACTCTGGATAAAATTTTGTGGTTGGAATTTGCCTCGGCGCTCATCAAGACTAAGGGCGTGTCGGACATGGCGTACTACTACGCTCCTTGCGGTGAATGGGAAATGCCTATCGCGAAGAAATCCAGCAGAGTTGACAGAGTCGAACAAGCCCTGAAAGTTTATGACAATTTCATAGCTGCGAGAAAACGTCTTCTTGAATTCTTCTGCAAGAGTGGTGGTGTAGTCGGGTTCGATAGGTTGAGCTGCGTATTCCCATTTTTCGTATATTTTCCAAGCGGTCGAGATTATATCCTCCAATCCTTCATTCAGTAAGCCAACTCTCTCAATCATTCCAGCCAGAATTCTCGCAACAAATGCCCCTCGACTGACTCCAAACATGTAAATCTCATCTCCCTTCCTGTAATACTTCATCAGGAACATGTAAGCCGAGCAGACGTGATATGTCATTGTGAATGCAAATAAGGAGTCCACAAAATTTCTGGCATTCGTGAAGGTGACTTTCCGATTATAGTCGAGGTTTGAATCAAAGGTCATTGCTGTTCCGATACCAGGTTGGTAGTAACAAAGCTGTTTCTTCTCATCACTGCTGTCCAACAGTCGATATATTTTAAGAACATTGGAAAACGGCTTGGGACCATATGTACCATCTGTACCATCAAAGCAAAGAACAATTTTTCGCTTTACAGCACTCTCTTCATTTGCAACACCACGCGGGCTATCATTGTCGTCCATATTTCGAGGTGCGCTGCCAGTTATCGTGTCACTCATAGTACCCGAGATTCAATCACTACGTGCAGCTTTAGAGAGCTTTGAGTTTCGAGTTGTCAACTACAAGTCAAATTTGTGAACCAGTTGTTCTCTGTTCTTTTGTGAGTGCATTTCAACTGAACAATAGGTCCCTGGATCAAAAATTGACATTGACAGCGACGCTGTCAATGTCGCTGTCGCTGTCGCTGAATCAGACAGTTTTGCGTACATTGTGAGGACTACACTGACGATTCAAACTCTTCCTTTAGAACCCACTGGCCATCCGTTGGTTGGAATGTGGCAATCTGTTTTAACAAAGCTCGAATTTTTATTATGTCCTCTTTTTCCGTCAGTTTGACGCCGATATGCTCGATGATCTCAGATGACTTTGCAGCAAAGCCGTGCTTCTTGAGAAGAAACAGCCTGATTCTTTCGACAGTTTGAGCCGCCGTCTTCTGCCTCTCATTTGTGAAAGCCGTTTCGTCCTTTGGCTTACTTTTTTTAAGGTTTGATAAGATAGCAGCTGAGCCCAACGAATTCCCAGTAGTCTTCTTCTTTTTAATTCTACCTGCCGTTCCAAATTTACCGGTCCATGTAGGCGTGCCCACTTCATATTTTTTAGTAGCCTGTCTTGACTTTTGTAAAGCAGCGACCGCATCTTTTGCTACTTTTGTAGCCTCTCTGGTGATTATATCTTCGGAGGGTTTGGAATGGAAATTGACCACCGAGTCGTGGCTTTTCGCCTCCTTTATATCTCCCCCACAAAGTGCGTCCATGAGGCGATCGTCTTCGTTTTTACTTTCTTGGATTTTGTCTTTAGCGCTGAAAAAGCCTTCCAACTTAGAGACTCCAGATAGTTGAACCACTTCATCAAAGTCGTCACCCTCATCAGTCTTGGACTTCTTCAGCTTCTCAGTCTCTTTTTGTACTTCGCTTTCAAGATTTTCGTTAGAAAGCCCGGAGTCTCCTCCCAGAACAAAAAGATCTTGCAGTTCGTTCATCTTGAAGAAACGTTTCTGTTTAGGATCCGTTAATACCTTGTTAGTCAAAAACTGTTTGAAGATTTGTCGATGATAGATCTTCTCTTCGATTGAACCCGCAATCATTAGACGGTAGATTGAAACCTCTCGTTTTTGGCCTATTCTCCACGCCCTTTCCCGAGCTTGCATATCCGTAGAAGGATTCCAGTCAGGATCAAATATAATGATTCTGTTAGCACCCGTCAGGTTTACGCCAAGACCCCCGACTCTCGTAGTCAGCAGGAAAACATCATATGGTCCATCGTTGAACGTGTCCACAAGAGATTGCCTGGATGAGATATTTGTACCACCATCCATTCTTAGAAAAGTCAAGTCCGATAATTCACTATCCGTTGATAGAAACTTTTCTAGTATATCCAGCATTTGACGTGTTTGGGCGAACAGTAAAGTCTTGTGTTTTTGAGCATGCCATAATTTGAGCAACTGCTTGACCACTTGCATTTTTCCCGACCTTCTCGGGTCTCCATAAGAAAGCTCATGCTGCTTTTCATTTCTGACAAGCATATCGGGGTGGTTGCAAATCTTTCTCAAGATGTCGATGCCGTACAAAACTTGACGCTTTCCGTTTCTGATTTTAACCAGGTCTTCTGAATTGAGGAATTGGACGTACTTGTCACGCTGGAATTTGGTCAATTTGCAGAAGAGAACCATTTCGTTTTTCTGTGGCAAGTCTTTTGCAACATCAGCCTTTACTCTCCTCAACAGGTAAGGGGAAATGAGGTTTCGCAGCGCAACCGCGCATTTGTGACCAGTTTGAACCTGAACATTAGTTGCGTTGGCATAACCACCCATGTTGATGGGATTAGCAAATTGCTGTTGAAATACTGGAAGTGTCCCTAGCCTTCCGGGATAAATGAAATCGAACAGACTCCAAAGTTCTGTGAGATTATTTTGAATTGGCGTACCGGATAAAATAATCCTGTTTTTAGTTTTCAGTTGCTTGCATGTAAGTGATATATCAGCGTCAGGATTCCTAATCTTATGGCCCTCGTCCAGAACAGCGTAACTCCACTTAACGTTGAGAAGCTTCTCAGCGTGAACCCTAAGACCCACGTAGGTAGTAATGAGAACATGACCCTTGGTTACCACCTTGTTGATGAGTGCGTCACGCACCTTGCCACTTTCCAGAGTGCTTTTGATTTTCTTGCCCTCATTGTACGCATCGAATGAGATTTCATCAGGGTTTGAGTTGATGAAAAGCTCTTCAAGTTCGGCTTCAGTGAGGGTTTCTTTCTGTGTCATCCCAGAGCCAATGGAATGTAATATGACAGCTCGGAAAGGTGGCCACCAAGTATGAAGTTCTTTACACCACTGTCGTAGTACTGTTGCAGGACAAACCACAATTATAGGTCCATCTAGCATATTTGAGTGGTGCAAGGAAGCTAAAAATGCTATCACTTGAATTGTCTTTCCCAATCCCATTTCGTCACCGATTATGCCACCACACTGCTGCTGATAGAGCTCATATAGCCATTGTACGCATGTTTTTTGATAATTGAACAACGAATTGAAAATCTCCCCGGGAATCTTCAAATCGTTGTTTAGTTTTGCGTCCGGGAAGTCTGGATGCGTTCGCAGATATTCTTCAGACGCTGTGTCTCGATTATTATATCCAAGCTTATTTCTTCCATTGAACCACCTTTTCAATCTTCGCTGGTAGTTCAGTTCGTCCCCGTCATCGATTATAGACGCAGCTTTTTTAGAACCCGGTTCTATGATAGTCTCCTCGTCCGATCCTGACATAGCGTCCGCGGCGACATCGTCGGAATAGGACTCAACATCATCAATTTCATTATCTTCGCTGAAACTATCAGGACCCTCATTATCTTCCATCGTGAACTCCAACTTGGTACCAAACGCCGTTTTTTGACCGATTCGGACCTGGAAGTCTTCCTCGGACTCTCCAGGCTGTCTAGCGGTGGGGTCATCTTCGGCTACCGTTCGACTTTTTTCCACGGATAAAGTAGCGACACGACTTTTAATGTCTTTCAAATCATCTTGCACTGGTTTGAGTTCCTCATCATTCAAAGTTTGCAGCTTTGTCTGTAGAGTTTTACGGACGCTGATTCTAGTTGCATTATTGATTTTGCGCTTCAAGAGTTCACGCTTTTTTAGCACTTTTCCCAGAGCATTCTGGGTTCTTTCCAATCTTTTAAGTTCCTGATCTAAAGCTTGCTGGTCTATAGCGGTCTGTGCGCTAGTCTCAATCTGATTTTCTAGAGCATTTTGGGAAACTAACTCGATGCCCAAATGCTCGAGAGACTTTTGATCGGGTTCAGAGTCCATAAACAGCGAGAGAAATGATAAAATTCAGCTTCGATGTTATATCTCTGGTGATAATGATTTCAGAACGCCAGCGTCGAAAAGTGTAGCTTCAGAGCTAAGTTGTGTTAGGTTTTGCAAAATTGTAGATTGTCATCAGCTTTATGTTAATTGCAAATCGATAGACTCATCTTCAGTATCCAGGCTAGTAATCGAAAAATGACAAAGCTGAGATCTAGTTGGATCAAGTTTACATATAAACTGTACTCAATGCTGAGTTCAGGAATTTACATGTCAATCATTGATGAACTTCTATTCTTATTTCTCTTGCACCGATGACAATATATATTGTTATGACATGAGTCTTGTCTAATCCTATTTACATGAGTTTTGTAGGAAGCCAGTACACAGACGAAAATCTGAAGGCCGCGTAAAGTTGTGAATCCCACTTATAGTTCCTTTCAGTTCTTGGAGACGTTGGATAGCGTTTCCAGCTTGTGTAGCTCTTCTCTTGCATCAAAATCTCCGTTCGATAGTTTCTCATATTGCTGGTCATATTTACCGGTGGACATCGCACCATTGCCTCTGAAACGCTTGGTCATATCCACCATTCCTCTTTTGCACTCTAGAAACGCCTTCATTTGCGCCATGCACAACTCCGGCAGATCCTTGCTTAGCTCAGGATCTTCCAGGCATTTTTTTGGCGTGTTTCGCTCGATCAAAACGCAGGGAGACCGCTGCAAACAGATGGCAACCGCCTTTCTCTGATCGTTACAACTGGCGCCCATATTCTTTTCGTCAAGGAAACGTTCTTTAGACTCTGATAAATGAAGCCAATTTTCTTGATTATTGACTGAACAAAACGCACCACTAGAAACTGCGTTGTTCTAGGCTTATAGGATGCGCAATTATGAAGGTCACCAGAAGTTTTTCGGTGGTCAACAGGCCTTGCGTTTGATGCGTTTTACTGGTTGGAAGAAGCAACGCTTTGGCATTTGGCATTTGGCTTATGATTTCTGATCATATTGGTTGGTATTGATTCCGTAGCGAAATTTCCAATCACGCGACCGCCTCCATTACTAGTCAAAACAGGCGGCAGGCGATTTGAAAGAGACCCACACTTTGCAGAGAGCTGGTACGTTCCGGCATAATCTAAATCTATCCGGGCTGTAACATGTTGCGAAACCTGGGATCATTTATGCCATCCGTAGAGCCAAGAACTTAAAAAAAAAGTTGCAATAAACTGTTTCCACATCTCCCTTCTGCTTCTTACTTAGCATCCCTAGAGTATTTTCCAGGGTTCTTATGACAGAAATTCATCTCAAGACCGCCTGGGATTCGCTCAATTCTTGCCCTTTCGGTGCTCTGATATCAAAATCTCATGAACCGATAAAAGTCCTAAACATTTATTTGCCCATTGCATAGCTCAACAAGCAGTTTCCACGCCAATCGGAGAACCACCACAACGAATATCCGCCTGTTTAATCAATTCTTACGTTCTAGTCTTGAGTTTCAAGTAATCACAACAGTTCATTCTAGCTTTCTTTAGAGCTTCATGTAATCGAGGCCGTTACAAGCCGTTAAAAGTAGTGAAAAGTCAAAATTTTGTATCAAAGAGCTCCAGCTCAAAGCTCACGCCCTTTGTGTATCGATTCCTGGCATGCCAAACTTGAAGATCACTCCAGGATCGCCTTATCCGAACTATTCGGGCTTCAAAAGTCAGGAAGTACTTGATTCAAGAATTAACCGGTACTTATATATGTATAAATATAAATTAAATGGATATGGTTCAATGGTGAGAATCACAATCTTGAAAGCATCTTTTTGGACTACTGAATGCTCATAAGGAGTGGCTCGAGAGATACATGACTCTCAACTTTTTGCCAGGACAGCCGAACTCTACACAACAAACTGTTTGCCAGGAAGTTTGGCAAGATCATACGCTTTTAGCTTACTGTTCAGGGAACAATCTTATAATCCTATCGAACAACTTCAATCGTTTGCAAACACTGCGTTTCGATTATGACTGTGTTGCTGTAGATATAAATTCACACAATGGCCATATTGCGGTGGCTGCAGGATCCAAAGTACATGTTTTCAAACCCTTGCATCAAGTAATGAAAGCCCCACGATGGGTGGCATGCATCGAGGTTTTCCACGACGATTCGCTGGTCAACACTGTAAGCTGGGGAATCAATGGAGAGCTGGCTGTCGGATCTGACTACTTGTCGTTTTGGAGAATCCAGGACGAATTCGGCATATTCCAATCTTCTCTGCTATGGACCAAAAAACAGTTTCGGCCAGTCTACCTGTGTGCTGTCTCTGAGGACTCCCAAGTCATCGCTACCGTTTACAAATATAGCCGCACAGTCAAAATGTGGAAAAGAATTTCAGTGGGCAATGACCGGGTACTATTTGATCTGACGCTCATTTCCCATCCGAACTACGTCACACATTTCCGATGGAAACGTTCCAATGATTTATGCGAACGGGAAAAGGATTCGCATGTGTTTTACACCTTGTGTGCTGACGGAAAATTACGCATCTGGACGTATTACGAAAATAATAGTCAGAAAACAATACAAAAATGGGGTCATTTGGACTTAGATTCGTCCAAACATCAAAAGTTTTGTGTTTTGCTGGATAGCTGGCTCGTCCAAAGACTACTACAAAATGGGCATTTCGAAAAGTCAAAATATTACTCCGAAATGCACCCGGATATCGCTATGTTGATAACCGCCTCTGGTGAAATTGAATTACATGCTTTGGAAAACCTATCTCATGATCCGCCCAAGTTAATGAGCCATCGACTCGTTGCTACTGCTTCATTATCACACGAAGCATTTGTTTATAATCCGTCTATTCTTTGTTTCGCAGAACCTCAAATCTCGGAACAGGATTCCAACCAATTTTCCTTAGTTGTTCATGACATAAGGGGAGTACTGCGACATTCGGTATTCAACCTCGAGAACATTCTGCGCGGCCAAAAGACTGAGGTTGGAAAGCTATTGCACAAATTTACCGGCCACAAAAAATCGATTCAAAAACTTGTTAGGAGCAGCGACGGCATGGCAATGATAACGCTGTCTCGATTTTCTGAAAATTCTATTTGGGTTCCGCAAGCTTTCTCGAGTGGCTTGTATTTGCGCAAGAAGAACATTATCATATCCGAAAGTCCTTTAATTGATGCCGTGGTACTCGAAAGCGGAGCCCTCACTTTAACTCTTTCGAAAGACTTTAAGCTACAAGCCTGGAGCTGTGCGAGCGATCGCGATAGCAAGACCTCAGCTCTGAGAGCAGAGTTCACTTTGCAGTCTTCCAAAGGAGCACCTCTTCTTATGATAAACACACCAGAGAAAAAGCATCACCATGACCGACACTACGTTGCATTGATCTATCGATCAGGCGAAGTGCTAAGCTTTTGCATTACCTTCCAAGATGGGATTAAGCCGTTCACGACAAATAATTTAAATCTCGATGGATCAGACGCGATATATCTAATATCCTCCATCGACCCAGTCAATTACGGATTTTTCCCAAACAGATCTCTAGTTGCCTTGATCAGCAAAGAAGGTTCCATTTTAACTTTCAAATGTATTGTCGAAGATGACAAGATGACATGGAAGTTGAGCTACAAAATGAGAACAAATCTCACCAACAGTAAGCTTATAAGTGGCTCTTCTATTGACAAAATATGTGTTGTAGACAAATCACAGAAAAAACTAACAATCTGGGACTTGAGACGTGCATTTTTAGAATACGAAACAACATTCGATGTGCCTATTCATGACATAGACTGGACAAGCACACGATTTGGACAGAGCATTTTCTCTGTTGGTTTTGGTGATCATGTTTTGCTTTTCACTCAGCAGAGATATGACTATGCCACCAGGATTCCTAGTTATGCGCCTGTGGGAACCATTGACATCAAAGAACACACAACACATGAGATTGGTGATTCAATTTGGCTCACAGACGGAACTTTCGTGATTGCTTCTGGAAATCAGTTATTTCTCAAAGATAAGAGTCTCAACATCAGTGACAAATTCACTAACCAGTCGATAGGCTCCCGGAAAATACTTTCAAAGGATATCATGCACCTGAGTAGTGTCCTCAATGGTCCTTTACCCGTCTATCATCCGCAATTTTTAATCCAAGCCCTATACTCGGACAAGCTTTCACTGGTCAAAGAAATTTTACTGCGCTTATTTTTGGCACTTCGAGAATTAGAGTTCAGTTCCACCGATGTCACGCAGCTCGGAGCCACATTGGGCCTTGAATATGAGAAGTTCATTTATGCTTCGAACAGGAGCTATATTGCTGATGAGTACCATGAACCCTACAACGAGTTTAATGGTTTGGTCTCCGGCGAACTGAAAATAAAACTTGCAAAGCATGCTCTTCCTTTTATAACACGTCATCAGCAAGTCACTCTCATCACAGTGGTTGAAGCAATCGATGAGATCGTTAAAAACAGTGCAGCATTAGACTTGCCAGGGACTTTATTCATTTTGGGCGTGAAACTTTTCGAGCTTCACAGAAAGACACAATCTTCGGTTCATGTTCGTGATATTCAATGGGCCCAGTTTTCGTCAAGTAAGAAGGTTCTGTTCTCAACAGTTCTTCCAAATATCGATTCTTGGGAACGCGCCCGCCAATACAAAATAAGCTTGTGGGTTGGTCTAGAAGATTTAAAGTCCACATTTGATCTTATCGCAAAGCACCAGTTCTCTAATGAAAGCGGGCGGGATCCCGCCAACTCTGGCTTATTCTACTTGTCCCTTAGGAAAAAACAAACTTTGATTAGCCTTTGGAGAGTTAGTTCGGGGCATACTGAGCAGCAAAAAATGCTCAAATTCTTAAACAACGACTTTAGAGAAGAAAGATGGAGGAAAGCCGCGTTGAAAAATGCGTTTGTTCTGTTGAGCAAACATCGATTCCTTGATGCCGCTTGCTTCTTTTTGCTTTCTGACTCGCTCAAGGATGCATCCAATGTTATATTGAAGCAGATGGACGACATAGCGCTCGCCGTAGCTGTTTGTCGAGTGTACGAAGGAGATCACGGACCTGTATTGAGCGATTTGCTAATAAAACAAGCTCTTCCACAAGCTATAATATCGAGCGATAGATGGATGACGAGCTACATATATCGGGCTCTTGAGAAGCCTGCGTTCGCTTTGAAAGCGCTCGTTATGTCACCTATCGATCTTGAAGACAACAAAAAGCGTGTCTGCCAGGAGGATTTGAATAGCAGGTCATTCCTAGCTGAAGATCCGGCGTTGCTCATGCTTTTTGCTCAGATACGGGGGAAAAACAAACTTTTTCTGGAGGCGTCCATGGAAATTAAAGATAGTTTGGAGTATGCGACAGTTCAAAGAGTTGCTGCCATTTATTCGCGCATGGGATGTGATTATTTAGCCTTGTCTTTGTTGCTCAACTGGCGTTTCCCCCATCAGTTGAAGAAAGATCATAAAGACGGCGTCCAAAGAGACAAAAAGGACGAAACCCTCATGGATACGGGCACGCAAGGTCAAAAGCTCAGAAGCATTTTTGACAAATTTGATGACATGTCGCAAGGAAACAAGGAGTTAAAGTCAGCAGACACTGCAAAGAATTCATCTATCTCACAACCCAGGAACTTACTTGACGACTTCAGCCCAAGTAGTCATACAGCTCTATCAAGCGGCTCGGCACAGGCCACAGAAAACAGTGCTGACTCGAGCGTCAATTTATCTGATCCTTCTTGGCCTGGCAATGATATGACGTCTGCAACTACCAACGGCACCGATAGAAAGGACTCCACAAGCTCTGTTGGAAAAGCTAGAAACGCGCAAATTAGCAAACCGCGCAACTTGTTGGATGACTTCTTTTGAGGTATAGGCCTCTTAACTTCAAACAAGAGCGCTTCAATTAGCCGAAAAACTTTGCGAGACTTCTTTTGGTATTTTCCTTGATACGGTCCAAATTGGCTTGGCAATCGGTAATTTTTTTGTCCACAGCCTCGTCATCGGGGTTGAGTTCTTTACAGGACGTGTAATCGGCCAGGGCTTTGTCGAACCTTTTCTTGGCAAAATGGCAGTTTCCACGTCTGTAATAAGCCTTGGCTTTGTCGAGTTGAGAGGACCCGGGCATTTCCAACAGAAAAGTCGTATATGTAAGAGAATCTTCAAACTGCTGGAGCTGGAGATAAACCAACGAAATGTTAAGATAAAGTTTAGCCTTCAAATCAGTGAATTTAATGTTATATTCTTGACTGACATCTGGCTCAGGAACGAATTCGTTAACGTAACGCAAAGACTTTTTGTACTTGAAGAGTGCATCCTTGAAATTTCTCTGTTTGAACAAGAGAGAGCCCGAGTTTTTCATAATTTCAGAAGCTTTAAAAGCTTGTTCCGCTGATTCTTGATCAAAATTCAGGTCATCTTCCGGAAACTCTTCATAGATGTCACCACCGATCGGATCATTGGATGCATTGAAAAGTGGAATACCCATAGACTTCTGCCATTGTCCACAATTTTCGATAAAAACTGGCTCTTCGGGAAATCCATCAGAGTCCACTTTGGAACGTTCTACAGTGCGCACAACAGATTTTCCGTGCAAAACTTTACCAAATATGCTGTGCTTTTCGTTCAAGTGTGGCGCGCTCTGCGTTGTGATAAAGAACTGCGAGCTATTTGAATTTTCTGTTCCCATATTGGCCATGGCAACGATGAATGAATCGGGGAACTCTCCGAGATTTTCATCTGCGAAATTCCCGTAGCATCTTATACCATCTGGCGACTCTGTTGAACGGAATTCATCTTCCTGAGCATAGATGGAGCATCCACCTTTTCCTATTTCAGCGGATTTCGTACAATTTTGACCATCCTTACCATACACGACGTCTCCCGCCTGAATCATGAAAGTTTTTACAATCCGGTGGAAGCAGTTGTTCTCGTAGGTAAACCGTTCGTTGTTGATCTCAAAACCATTTGAGCATAGTTCCTGGAAGTTTTTGCATGTTTTTGGAGCTTTGTCCCATAAGAGCTCGATGACAATGCGTCCTATGGGGTTGGTTCCAATCTTGATATCCAAGAAAGCAAACTGTGCATCCATATTGTGGTTGAGGAATGTCTTGGAGCAACTGTTGTAGACGCCAGAAGAGAGTTGTTCCTGGTACTCATCGGCTAATTTTTCGAAATTCTAATATATCTTCGATGGTGTCATTGTGGTATAAAGTGATAGATTTTAGCACTTTTGAAAGAAGAAAATGGTATAAGAGACGTCAATGTTATTTAAGGTGGATAGGAAGCGGTCTATGAATGAATACTGAAATAAAGAAAGGAACAAAGGACAGAACCGTGAAGGCCGCTAAAATTTCCGAATTCCGTTCACGCTAATCACGTGACTTAGTTACCACTAGTGGCGACGCAATAAATAAAGATGACACCTTCTATTTTCAGCCGTCTAGAGCGGTTTTCGTTGTTCCGCTCGATATCCAAAGATTCAACAACTGGAGTTCTTCTTATGTAGTCCTACCGGTGCTCTCAACGCTTTTGTCGATTTATTTAGTATCTTTGTCTTAATACTCAAAACCCAAAAGCGTTCAATCGCCGGGATATTTTTATGCCAAAAATCGCCATAAATCAACCACTTCAAAAGAAGCATTGAGTCGATTATCTCAAATTTCTCTATCATCTTATCCCATGAACTGACAGTCTTTCTTCGACGCGTGTTGTTCTTCAAAGGTCGTATATAGTGCTCCGCCGATCTAATGAAATAAAAATATTAAATGTAGTGTTTCGAACATAGCAGACACAACAACACTCCTAGACCGTTCGGGCCCATATTCTGAGCCGTTTTCACCCAGAGCTTTCAGTTTTGGTTCAAAAGTAGTAGCAGAAATTTAGCCGAGGTTTTTGGCGATCTTTGAGCTACGTTCATACCGTGGAAATGACAAAATTGCAACACGATGTGGCCGTTGATCCAGTAACGATCGTGATCAAAGAATGCATTACTCTTTCGACTGCAATGCGGAAATACTCGAAATACACGTCGCAGACCGGTGTTGCGGCTCTGCTGACCGGAGGTAGCGAAATTTTCAGTAACCAGGACGATTCACTTGCCGATACCTTTAATAATCTGTCTGCAAGCAAAAATAAGGACCCCGTTCAATCCGGACTGGTGCAACTAAGGTTGATGCTTAACAATTTGAGCTCACTAGAGTCAATTGACTCGCTAACGCTCCTGCAACCATTTTTAATCGTAATAAGCACGCCAACAATTTCAGGATACATCACATCCCTGGCGTTGGACTCGTTGCAAAAATTTATCGCGTTCAACATCATATCAGAAAACTCACTCAACCATATTATTGCGTATCGTGAAGCAGTTAATGCTTTAACGCATTGCCGATTCGAAGGCTCTGAACAGACCAGCGACGATTCTGTCCTTTTGAAGGTACTCGTGTCACTCGAAGCGCTCATGAAATCCAAGCATTCCGCCATTCTTTCAGATTCGATAGTCTATGAAGTTTTGCAGACGGTTATGTCTCTGGCCTGTAACAAAAAGCGCACAGAGGTACTAAGAAAGGCCGCAGAGATGTCAATGATGTCCATCACAGTTGAAATCTTTGCCAGACTACGTCACGTCGAAGCGACAGACTACCAAAAGTACATCGATGACGAAGACTTTTCCAAAAAGGTGCTAAAGGATGATACCATTGGTCCTGATGTTGGGCTCATTCCCGAAGATAATGAATCTAAAGAGGATCTTTCATCAACGGGCAGCTTAGAGGCGCAGGTGCAGCCTCACTTTGAGAAAGGACCTCAATCCCTTGAAGAAAATTATGGTCTTCCTGTCATCAAAGACTACTTGAGTATTCTGATCTCATTAATTATGCCAGAAAATCAATACAAGCACAATAATTCCACCAAAGTTTTCGGTCTCAACCTTTTAAATATGGCCGTTGAAATCTCTGGTGATCTTTTCCCCCATCATCCACGTCTCTTCAGTCTAATCTCAGATCCTATTTTCAAAAATGTTCTGTTCATCATTCAAAACACTGACAAGCTTTCACTTTTACAATCTGCGCTGCATCTATTTACCACTCTGGTCATAGTGATGGGCAGTCATCTGCATAAGCAGATTGAATTGACTTTCGAAAGCATATTCGACAGTCTGCGAAGCGACAAAACCACATCTCCTAGACCACGAACTTCTGCCGCCAAAGAGCTCATCATTGAACAGATTTCAATCCTATGGACAAGGACACCCTCTTTCTTCACTAAATTGTTTGTCAATTATGATTGCGATCTCAACAGGTCCGATCTTTCTACTATGGTGTTGAACTCCCTTACGAAACTGGCACTTCCAGAGGCTGCTCTTACTACAGCAGATAGTGTCCCTCCCATATGTTTAGAAGGGTTGATCTCTTTCATCGATAACATGTATTCAAACTTAGAGGGCTCTCAGAGGGAAATTCTGGAGGGAGGTGCTACAATCGATGCTCTCGAAGAGCGTGCCAAAAAGACAGAATTCATCAAATGTACCGACGCTTTCAACGAAAAGCCAAAGAAAGGAATTGCTCTTTTGATACAGCACAAGTTCATTAATTCGGACTCTAATGAGGATGTAGCCAAATTTTTGTTTGATGAAAATGGAAGGCTCAACAAGAAAGCAATCGGCGAGCATATAGCGAGTCCTGACAATCTTCCCCTTTTAAAAAAGTTCATTGAATTGTTTGATTTCAAAGGGCTTCGCATTGATGAGGCAATTCGTATAATGCTAACAAAATTTAGACTTCCAGGTGAGTCTCAGCAGATTGAACGCATTGTCGAAACCTTTTCAGCTTCTTATGTCGAGAGTCAAGAGTATGATCGTGCGAAGGCTGATCAAGATATTGAAAACGATTATAGTACAGTGCAACCAGATGCTGATTCTGTTTTCATTTTAAGTTTTTCGGTAATCATGCTGAACACCGATCTACACAACCCGCAGGTGAAGAAGCATATGACCTTTGACGACTACACGTATAACTTGAAGGGATGTAACGATCAAAAGGACTTTCCAATGTGGTATCTGGACAGAATTTTCTGCTCAATCAGAGATAAAGAAATTGTAATGCCCGAAGAGCACCATGGAACGGAGCGGTGGTTTGACGATGCATGGAATAATCTCGTGGCTTCGACAACGGTCATAACACAAACAACACGCAACGTCTTGTCAAAGGAACAAGATATCGACAAGAGAGCAGTTTTACAGTTTGATAAGGCAAATTTTGAGGTTGTGGGGAGCTCGATAGTGAACACACTGTTCAAAATTTTTGAAGTCGCCTCTGATGACCATATCAGTACTCGCATGCTCACTAGCGTTGACAAATGCTCGCGCATAGCTTCGTTTTTCGGACAAAACGAGCTTTTCAATGAAATTTTGAAAACCATTGCCAAATCAACACTACTAACAAAGCAGCCCGTAAAAGCGCCGCAAAGTATTCAAGACCTAAACGAAATACCTGTTGTCGAGATAAATCTCGAAGAGTCTAAAGAGGTTGTTACCGTCAGCAGCGTGTCGGTTAGGTTCGGCAGTAGCTTTAAGAGTCAACTTTGCCATGTGGTTCTTTTCCGCTTTTTGCAGCAAAACAACTACTACGATTTGATAGATGATGGTGTTTGGTCTCTAGTCATTGAAATCATACTGAACCTATTCGAAAATGCACTTATTACGCCGGATGTCTTCCCCGATCTCCAGAAAACTCTGAAGATCGGTAGACTACCAAAACCCGCTCCCGAATATTCAATTAATAAGTCCAAGTTGAACAAAGGGCTTCTTTCAACTTTTGCGTCCTATTTGAAAGGTGACGAAGAGCCCTCTGATGATGAGTTGAAGCTCTCTATAAGCGCCCAAGAATGCGTCAAATCAAGTCGCGTCACATCCTCCATATTTGGCAATGAAAAGAACGTAAGGGGATCACTAGTATCGGCTTTACTGGAAGCCATTCCAAAGAAGATCTCCTCGGAGAACAATAGATATTTCGAGGCCGAGATCTTGTTCATTCTGGAACTTGCAGTTGCTTCTTGCCTTTTCTGCAAAGATAAAATGGACATTGGAAAAGCAGTGCTTTCTAAGCTGGCTGACGCTGCCAGTCTTGAAAACAGAAGCAAGGCTTTTAAACGGCGTGTCTCTTCTTATAAGCTTCTTCTTGCTTCAGTTTTAGACGAGCCACGGGCTATAACAAGTTTGATCAACGACAATGTGTTAGCCGATGACGCAGTCTATGGCCCTGACTTTTTCGCCAGTGAACAAGGTGCTGAAATGTTACACATGATGCTTTCGCTAACAGAGATTGAGAATTACAACACCGTTTTGCTACAGGACGACGGGTTCTGGAAACTACTCCGTATTTTTGCGGCCACCGAGGGCCAAACGTTTACGGTATTCGAATATCTGGACAACTCGATTTTGAAAAAGGAGAACACAATCACTTCAAATAACTTCCTTTCCATTCTTGGTCTTCTAGATGAGATTTCCAGTGTTGGTGCGATGAGTGGAGAGTGGGAGGATCAAAACGAGAAACTTGCAGCGAGTGGACAAAAACCCGAAGCAGAAAATCCGTATCAAGAGGCTATCGAGCTTTCGCTTAAATCAATCAATGCGACATCGCATTTGCTTGAAGTAAAACGGGTAGAGCCTTACAACAAGCGAGAACTTTTGGGTATTGTTCAAGCCTTTTCTCATCAATGCTACAATCCTTGTTTTCAGTTGAGGACCTATGCGCTGAATGTGCTTGAAAAGACACTATTGAAGCATTCGAGCTTGTTCGTGGAAACGACATCAGTTGCGGAAGTATTTGAAAGCGGACTTTTGAGCATTATGGAAGGTGATAAAAAACGGGCTAACGTGCCAGACACTATGGCTTTGTTCTCAAAAGTTTACACCAATTACTTGGTGGAAGGAAATGGGGATAATGAGACCTTCTTGAAGTTGCTCAATATTTTTAACAGATTTGTTGACGATTCCTCTGTGGAAAGGACGTTGCAAGATCTTATCACTGAGAAAAAGGCGTTCGACAAGAAACAGAGCACTGGTAAGGACGACGTCAATGAGATACAACCAGTCGAAGCCCCTTCTAACGGGGACACTATAACTACCTAATGTTTGTAAGTACTTGGTTAATGAAATTGGACGGAATTAATGAATATTAACAGTTGAGTGTGATAAGGATGTGCTAACATTGTAATCGCTCTGACCTGTCGCGGCCTCCGGCGAGTTCCAATGACGGTTCGCCTAGTTTATTTCTCATGAGCTCCAGGCATAACAAACCTGCTGTAGTGCCCGGAATAATAGCCAACGTGTTTCTGAAAAATCCTTTGTATAACCATTTGAATGTGGCCCCAGTGCTCCTTTGGAGAAATCGAACGTGCTGGAAAGTATCAAGGTAAGAATGGTAGTAAATGTGGAATAATCTCTGATTTGTGGGCTTTAATTGGATTCTTGTCGTCGCACCGCTAGAGCCAACTTGGGCTTGTAAGTTTTCATTTTTGGACAAGACGGAGGTCGCCTTAGTGTATATGTCGAACGCTTCCAGCCTGGAAAGGTGTATCTTCTGTAGTTTGAGAAAGGGGAATTGAATGACCTGTAGAAGAAAAGCTGCGGATACTCCACCAACAAAGACAAACGCTTGATGGAAGCGCTTTTCTTCTTTAGCGCTCATCAAATTCAAAGACTGGGATACAAAGTCTTCATCCGAGTCGTCTTGAAACATCCTCGCCAATTTACTTTGTCGTATTTGAAGTTTGAGCTCACGGTAATTCTTGATCCAATCGATGGTCCACTGGCAAACTTGTCCCTTAAGGAATTCGAAAACTGTGAAGTATGTAGCGAAGCCGAGACACTCTTTTACAAGTGAAAGTCCAAAGCCGCCAAAACAGCCCACCAGCCCGATCTCTTGTAGTTTCCTGAAGCCGTACACCCAGAGGTTGTCGTACTTCTTGGCGTTCGTTAAAAGTTGTTCAACGCTGGACCTAGTATAGATCGCATCGATTGGAGCAGAGGCAAGCGCCTGGGCCGCACCAGCTAGAAACCCAGCACGAATTACATCCCAAGGGCTGTGATGCACGGAATTGCTGGTGGTGCTGGTGCTGGTGCTGGTGGTGCTGCTACTGTTGTGTGGTGCCGTCTGAGAAAACCAGTTCAAGGTACTGAGATAAGTAGTGTAAAGAAGTACACCTGCTGCTGAATTGGCTATTAGTGGAGGAAGCACCCTCTCTGGAATTACCCTCCAGCCATACTTGTTGAGACCCTTGGTGAGAAGACCAAGTGAGGTATTTTCCAAATAGTACAGATACCTTGGGCTCCATGTATGTGGCTTGAAAGCAGATCCTAGCGCTGAAGGATGCTTATGCTGGTTTTGAGATACGCCTGTTCGGTCGTCGCCTACCAAAAGCACACGCAAATAATGCAAATAATCGAAGCGCGCCGGTCGGAATAGTTTGAGAGGCGTTCTGAGATAAAAAGACGTCATCTGATATACCACTGAGCGGCCTCCCGCAGTAGTAGCACCAATCAGCGAAGAGCTCGAACCATTGGTCGAATTTTTGTTTTCTTCGAAGTCTGGCGTGTCGGTATAATCCATTTCATCAGCAACAGAAACTGTCAAATCTCGAACAACTCATGAGAGTTTTTATATCTTAAACTTTCAGTTAAAATAAAGAGCTTTCACACTCAAACAACAATGGATTACTGGCGTTGGGATTGGTTTCTTTGATGTAACTTTCTTATACAAAAAATCAATGAAAAGTAGCACTAAAAACGTCGTTTGAAAGCCAGGAAAAAGCGTCTTCGAGAGAATTCAGCTACTAGATCTTGAAATTATACTCCAAAGCCAGAAAGACGACAATCTGTCTTTACAATTGATCGATTTTCCAAATTCAAGATCTTTGATGAACAATTTCATCAAGCTCATCGCCAATATAATTTTAAATGTTGAAAATTTCAAGCAGATCGATGAGATGAAAGCCTCAATTAAAGCTTTAAAACTGTTCAAGAAGACGCTTTCATCGCTTTCCAAAGCTTGGTAGTGATAGATCTTGTAAATCTAGTGGAAATCCCACGCTGTTAACCGTTCTTTTGAACAAATTTGGGCTCAAATCCGTGAAGAATTGTACTTTAATTAGACATGTCTAACTTGACTTACGAAGCCAGAGCTCAGCAACATACAAGTCCCGTTGCCGCCAAGCTGCTCATGCTGATGCACGAGAAGGAGACGAATCTGTGTGCTTCAGTGGATGTGCAAACCACCAAAGAGTTGCTAGACTTGGTAGAAGTCTTGGGACCTCACATTTGCTTGTTGAAGACACATATCGATATTGTACAGGACTTCACAATGGAAGGAACGGTGAAGCCTTTGAAAGAGCTAGCCAAGAAACACCGTTTCATGATTTTTGAAGATCGTAAGTTTGCGGACATCGGAAATACGGTCAAATTGCAATACTCTTCTGGAATCTACAAGATCGCGCAATGGGCTGACATCACGAACGCACACGGGGTGACGGGACCTGGGATTGTGCAGGGTTTAAAACAGGCCGCTCAGGAGACCACCCAGGAGCCCAGGGGTCTGCTGATGCTTGCAGAGCTCTCTAGCAAGGGCGCTATTGCCCATGGTAAATACACAGAGGAAACGGTCGAGATCGCCAAGAGTGACAAGGACTTTGTCATTGGGTTTATTGCCCAGAATGACATGGGAGGTCGTGACGAAGGTTTCGACTGGCTAATCATGACTCCCGGCGTTGGACTTGACGACAAGGGAGATGGTTTGGGCCAACAATACCGTACCGTGGACGAGGTGGTTTCCAACGGCTCGGATATTATCATCGTTGGGCGTGGACTATTTGCCAAGGGTCGTGACGCTACGGAACAGAGCGCCAGATATCGCAAAGCTGGCTGGGATGCTTATTTGAAGAGATGTGGGGGGAAAGCTTAGAGAAAAGTGAAAAAGTGGGCCAAATCGGACGCTAAGTACATGAAAATGGTGCCCTAAGAGCGAAGAAAACGAATCTGATGGCGAAATGTCAAATGATGTACTCCTTACCATTTAAGCCACGATCCTACGATAATGGCGTAAGTTGCTGTGTTAAGACCCCTTCGTGTGACATGATCTCAGGGAACTTTTGATATCTAAATTCTACTAAGATGTATATATATTGAAAAAAATCTTTTTGACAGACACACCTATTTCACAGCCAAAGAAGCTTCGAAAATCGGATAAAAAGAGACTCTTTAAGACTCATTTTTCATCTCAAACCCAAGCTAACTGGCTTCGACCGATTTATAGCTTCAAAACCCTTTTTCGCACACTAAAATACGCCCCAAAATGGATGCTCTAAATCCCAGAGAACAGCAAGAATTCCAAAAAGTTGTGGAACAGAAACAAATGAAAGATTTCATGCGTCTGTACTCCAATTTGGTTGAGAAATGTTTCACAGACTGTGTGAACGACTTCACATCCGCCAAGCTCACCAACAAGGAACAAAGCTGTATCTTAAAGTGTTCTGAGAAGTTTCTAAAGCATAGTGAACGTGTTGGACAACGTTTCCAAGAGCAAAACGCAGCGTTGAGTCAAAGCATGGGTCGTTGAATTGAATAAAACAACCACAAGCTTTGCAAGCATGTTTACATCGTGTACATATATCAAATAGTAATGTCAAACCCCTTCAACTAGAACAATCCAAAAAAATTGAAGCGAAACATCGACAATAATCGGTATCGCGTTAAACGCATTATATGGCGTTCTCCTACCATTGCACTCAACAGACCTTTTGACCTCAGCGTAAGAGGCCAAAGTCAAACGAAACATCCGCTGCCATTCCCATCACGCCAGGCAAGCCTAACATGTGTATTTCTGATAGCAGCGACCAACACTCACTTTCCAGTGAAGTTCTCTCACGAGAAACAAAGCTGTTTTGACGAGCTTTCTGGTAATGGAACTCAGTATTCTAAATACCAAGCCGTTTCGCTGTGTTCCACCGAATTTCCCACTTGCTTATAGCATCATGAAAGATTGTTTGCAAGCAAGTTGTACTGGTAGGACTGACGATGTTCCGCAGAGGGTTCGAACCCGTGCCCGGATCGCGACTTGGAGCCACTGCTCCAAATAGGCCCCGGACCCGTGAAACTCGAGGATTTTGAGCACTGCCGGTACAAGTAGTAGAAAGCTGGTCAGATGGGATGGAAGGACATTAACCGAGTTACTGCTCCAGAAAACACTCGAACGAAACATCGATTGGCGTCGAACTAGACTTCGTTGATTTATGTCTATGATTGTGTGTATTGAAGAAACATAAGCGATCAAAGAATTCGCTTGTTTTGGATCTTGTAGTAGTAGTAGTACTTCGTAGTAGTACTTCGTAGCCGTAATTCAGCTGGGATATCACAACCTCGATTTGCTCTGCCAGCCAAACTCGAGCTTTCCTTGCCGTCCGGGCTCTATAATGACATTCAGCAGAGCGGGCCGGCCTTCTGTAGCCAATTCGAACGCCTTTTGTAGTGCACGGTGCAGCTCTGATAGACTCTCGACAAGAAAGCCACGGCATCCCAGTCCCTCCGCTACAAGGTCATAACGACACTTGGTGGTCAAGGTCGTAGAGGCCATGTTTTGAGGCTGATGGGTCTTGGTAGCGTCTTTGTCGTTTGCACCATGGTAGATCCCACTGTTGTTCATCACAACCACGACGAGTCCAAGACGGTAGCGTGCCGCGGTTTCCAGTTCCATGCCAGAAAACCCGAATGCAGAATCGCCTTGTATGCACAGCACTTGCTTATACGGATACGCCAGTTTTGCAGCAATTGCATAGCCTAGTCCCACACCCATGGTAGCATTGGTGCCCGCGTCAAGTCTTTGCTTTGGATAATCAGTGGGGAACGATATTCTGGCCACGTCCATTGTGTTAGCGCCCTCACTTACAATGAAAGTGTCCCTATCGATAATTTGGCTTCTAATAAGCGCATAGACCTGATTGTAGGTTAGTTGGGCAGTAATCGTCCTTTCTTTCGCCTGCAATTTGTCCTGATTTGCAAGAACCTGTTTGCGTACCAGCGAGGAGACCCCAGGAAAAGTGAAGGAGCCCAGTATCGTTGTCAGTTTGCGCAACGTGTGCCCAATATCTCCGCACAAGGAGTATGTCGTGCCAAGGCTATTGTTGTGGCCCAACTCCTCCGCTGTGGTATCGACTTGAATGAACACAGCGGAACTCTTCCATTTGGGAGCCTTGCCGAAATGCAAAATCCAGTTAAGTCTCGCCCCGAGCACTAGAACTACATCCGCAGTGCTAAGTGCCAAGGACCTGGCTGATGATACATTCAGATCGCTGGAATCTGGGACAACGCCTTTCGCCATGGGCGTGGGCAAGAAAGGGAAATTGAATTTTTGAACAAACGCACGAACCTCGCCAGCGGTGTTCGTAGCGCCTTTCCCGATCACGCACAATACGTTCTTAGACGAACGTAACGCTCTGGCTGCAATTTCAATATCTGAGTCTGGAGGTTGGAACTTGACCGCACGTAGTGGCCTGGGGGGTAGAGGCTGGCTGTCCGGGCATCTTTGTGCAAAGACGTTTCCAGGTACGTCCATATAGGAAACGCCGGGCGTACCTAAACTGGCTTGCCGTAATGCGTTATACAAGGTTTCGTCCACATTTTTGCAGGTCAATCGAGCCGTAAATTTGATATACGGAGTGAGTAGCGAGACTTGGTCCAGTTCTTGAAACCCACCGCGGTGCGTGTCCTCGCTGCTGCCAGCTATCACCAACAAGGGCCATTTATTCGATATCGAATTGTACATCCCAGCCAAAGCGTGCACTACGCCAGGACCACCCACCGTAAGTAACACCGCTGGCTTCCCAGTCAAATACCCATACGCGGAAGCCGCGTATGATGCCGCTTGTTCGTTTCGAAACCCATAAAACCTGATTTTACCTTTCAAAATCATGGTATCTGCTAATTCCACGACTGGGATGCCAACTATACCAAAAATGGTGTCTATACCATAGCTGGAAAGAGCATCAGAAAGATAATCTGGAAAGAGAGACATTGCGACAAACAACAAGAGCTCGAAAGAGCTTGATTGATGCCTTTTTGGTGGATTTTTTTGTATTTTTCTTACTTTCAAGAAGCCAAAGTTGATAAACTTGCCCTTTGATTAGACAGGGCCTTGATGAAAACAATTGAATTTAGGAAGAAACAGCCAGAACTAACAACTGGAGCCAGTCCAGAAGGTCAATGGCTAGCTATATAAAATCGCATAGTCACATAGTATAATTCGTGTAATTTTGGACTTCTTTCGAGTTCATTTGAGCTTGTTATCATCACAATTCAATGGAACCTCCAGCACTTCTGGAAAACGGAATAGCATCGCGAATATTGTGAACGCCAAACAGCCACGCAACGAAGCGCTCGAGCCCCAAGCCAAAACCGCCATGGGGCACGCTCCCGTTCTTTCGCAACTCCGTATACCAGCTGAGATCCTCGTGGTTCATATTTCTGCGCGACATCTCTTGTAAAAGTGTCTCGTAATTGTCCTCGCGGACGCTTCCACCAATTAGTTCGCCCATTTGAGGAACAATGAGATCGAAGCAAGCAACTGTGCGGCCATCCGTGTTTTGTTTCATGTAAAAAGCCTTGCAAGAGCGTGGATAATCAGTAATGAAAACGGGCGAGTCGAAATGCGCAGCAAGCCATTTCTCATGTTCTGTCTGCAAGTCTTGGCCCCACACAGGTTCGAACGAAAAGTTTTGAGAGGCATGTTGATTCTGGAGAAGCGTTATGGCTTCAGAGTATGCGACACGCGGCCATGAACCCCGGGCCATTAGTGCCTCCCATCGCTGAACTACAGATTTCGCGTCTTCTGAGCTGGACCCACTGGGCACCATTGCCGGTAGTAGGTCTTCTTGTCTGTCGATGCACCGCTGCACGACATACTTGAACATGGTTTCTGCAAACACAGTAAGATCGTGGACGTTATCAACAAAACTCAATTCTGTCTCCAGCATCCAAAACTCAGCAAGATGGCGATTTGTATCACTTTCTTCAGCTCGAAAACAGGGCGAGAGAGTCCAACAGCGGCTTAGAGCCGCCGCCAATACTTCCAAATGCAGTTGGGTCGATACCGTCAGGTACGTCTCTCGCCCAAAATACTTGGAGCCTTGACCGTATCGTGCGCGGGCCTCCACCCGGAAAAGTTCACCAGCGCCTTCACAATCCCCCGATGTCAAAACTGGCGGTGCTACCTTGGTGCAATCGTAAAGCTCGAAAAACTGCGAAAAGGATAGTTCTACGAACGACCGGAATCGCAGTAAGGCGCCCAAATAGTTCGATCTGTGCTTGAGGGTTGGTTGTGTGCGCAGAAATGATAACGAATGGCTCTTTTTTTGCAACGGGAATGTAGCAGGTACGTCTCCGACCACTTTTACGGCATCTGCAGCGGCTTGCAGCTCGAAAGGCTGCTGCCGCGTGGGCGTAGGCATCCACATAGCACTGTTCACCAGGACTGATTGGCCAGTTTTCAGCTTTTGGAGGTGCTCTTCAACCTCACCAGAATCAATGCCAGCACGCCGCACCACGAGTTTCAATGCATGCGGTGTGGTCCCATCTTGGAGGTCCACGAAAGCCATATTTTTCATCAATCGCACCGATTTGACCCATCCTTGAACGTTTTCAACTGTTTCTGGGCAATTAGAGCCGCTACGAGCACGGTTGAAAAAGTATTTGAAAGTACGGGGCAAGACCGATGGTAAATTGGTACCAACTGTGCTCATTTCACCCTTCAAGAGCCTCTATTATTCTGTTTTGTAAGTTTTCGATTTTTCACCTCCAGTGCTGAAAAATTTCGATGCCAAGCGATGAGCTAGTAAAAACTTAAAATTCACAGCGTCGGAACGGAAAGACCTTTATCCTGATGTTCTTGGGTTTCCTGGACTTTGGATACTCTACATCTCAACTCCATGAGTTCATCGCGAACCAAATCGGAAATGGACACTTTTTGACCGCACCCGGCCACTGGACAATTTCTACTAGGCTCGTTCTGTAAATACTGCCTGGAACCCTCAAGTTCGTAAACATGGCTACACTTACGCGACACCATGGGTTTTTCGAACGTCTTGAAAGTGATTGGACACGTCAGCTCGATGCGTCCTCCAGCAATGTGTAGTTCGTCATCATCTTCTGGGGACGTAAGATCCGGCACGACACTGCGAGGATCACGTAAAATGTAGGGTAGAGCATGGAATAGGACCGAAGTTTGGTCTTTCGAGGCCACGGGGTTGCGTCCGAAGGTCTCTGCAAACACCTGGTGCAATTGTGGTGCTTTTAGGGCACCTTCTCGATAAGCATCCCAATTTTCCCATGTCACTTCTGGCAGCCCTTGGCAGTCGGCTACGTAGCGAGCCCGGGTTTCGCCAACACGCGAAGCAAGCTTTCTTTGCCGCTGTTCCAGTGCTTGAAAGTCTTTGTAAACCTCTCCAAGTTGAAGAGCTGAGGTATCCATCACAGTGCCCTCATCAATAGCCTCTATCAACGCTTGATTGAAATGGCCTCGAATATCGTTAAAAAGACCGCTCAAATCGCGGGTCTGCCACTTCTGTAGCTCACGAGCCACCTCCCGATGCAGTGGCACTGCTTCTGGTATGCCATGCGGTCCCGAAGACACCATTTCTGTATTGTTTTTGGGTGTTTCTTAGCAAGACATGTAACTTTCTATACTTGACCAAACTTGATCAAACTTGAACAAACTTGACCAAACTTGACCAAACTCGATCTAAGTGAATAAAGACGTGGGTCAAGGACGATCTATCGTGCTAAGAGTGCTTTGAAATGGATGAGATCATTGTGCTACAAACACTGTATACACTGCTAGTTCAGAACAAAACCAATCGGGTCTCGTTGGTTCGATTGCAGACCGAGATCAACGACAATGCGTTGATGAAAAAACTAGTTCCAGCAACGGGAAACCCTGTCTTGTCAGTACACGAAACGCTGGAGTTGATCAAGAGACTTTTCCCGAAGAAGACGTCGTTGACAGAGGGACAACTGACCTTTTACAATCTAAACCTTGCCGAGATGAAAGAACAGCTGTTTAGACGATACAGCACGATTCGAGACGAATGGGCCGCCCGGATTGCAGAAACTGAACCCTCGATCGAAACTTTACTCAAGGACAAGACTACTTCCCAAAGAACCCGGCTTTTGGTCTTATGTCGAGATACACTACTGAACAAATTCGAAGAACACAGAAGGGCAAGGATGTACGCCAAGAGCATAGGAGGCGATGGTGTGCGAGAGCCTTTGGACTTGGAATTGATCCGTAAACGCACGCCTGCCAGCATTTTGGAGTTGCAAGCGTGGTTACAAATGTGTGTAGCCAATGCAACAATGTGGTATGCAAGTGGGAGTGACGAGTGGAAAGGTGCCAAGGAAAGTCAAGGAGAGCTGGATGAGACCATTGCGTTTGTAAGGAGTGTTTTGGAGTGAGGCTGGAAATAAGAATGCAACGAGAGCGCGGTGCGATGAACGAGAGCGCAGTGCGATCAACAGGAACTTTAGCACCAATAATTGATGGGTATGACAGACCGAACAGATTTTTACAGTGACATCTGAATAAGCCGGTGTCGTTTGATTGTGGGAACTCGCAATTCTTCGATGACAACCGCTGTCGTGCGAACTCCAGTGTAGGCATAGACTGTGTGTGTCGTGCTTGAGACTACAGAATAACTCGCGATGTCCACTCAAAATCCGATGACAGATCTTAAGTTTTCTTTAGATCTTCATCGAAGGGCAAATTCCATGCATTATCGTGAAATTACTATTATTCTACACCATGGTCACCTTCGCCTGAGAAATAGTATCAGATCAGTCGTGGTTACGCGGTCCAGTGTTGGAATCGACAACTATAAGATATGAGATGAGATGCGAGTTTCGAATCTAAGACCGGTATGAAAGGCTGAGAAAATGGAGGTTGTGAGGCTGCGCGTGTGAAATTCGTACACTGCCGCTGATCGATAACCTCTGGAGCTGGATTTGGAGTCGGAACAGTCATTTCGTGGTAGACTTAGGTTGCTGGACATCATCGCGAGATCACGTGATGGCTCCTGTTACTAAGATGTGTAACGAAGTCTCTGGATTCAACGTGGGACCGCTATGTGAGTGAACTATTTCGATACTATTCACCTGGAGTGACGGATTAGAAATTTATCTCTCGAAATTTACGGTTTTTGGAAGTTCAAGAAGAACTTATTCGTTTTGCCGTATGGGCCTCATATTAGATCAATACCAGTGGATAATATGTTTGACTTTATGATACTCAATCAAATGCTCTCTTGGGAATGAATACCCTCACGAATTTTTAATGACTATCGATACGGGACCGGTGACACTTTCTTGACGTAGTGATTGTCGAAATCTCGTCGCCCACGGCGAATTGCCAAGAAATTATGTAATTCGAACAATAACGATTAGAACTTAAAGACCTGATTTCATGTAAAAAATGTTAAATCTGCTCTGAAGCGTGCCAAGAGTCGTTAAATTCACTCCGTGGCTGTCCTAAACTCGGCAGAAGGACAACAACAACAGTCCCAGGTTTTTTTTTGATGGCCATGGCAAATTAAACGTATACACATACAAATAAACACTTGATTGCCACCAATGACACGCAGTCAAAGCCTGTTTTCGCTTAACGCTATAGTCGACCCCCTAAAAGTCAATCGCATTGACCGTCCACACACACACGGAACAGCCAACACTTAGGCCTTGAGACCAAGAAAAGTCTCGCGGCTGGGAGGGACTAGACGTTGCAGCGAAAACAGAGAAAAAAAAAAGCGACGGTTTTCACGGTTCCTTTCCCATACAATAAGAAAAGGGACCATAAAACACGACGCTGTGTCGCGTCACACAACGACAACACTAAAAAACGCACGCACACGGGCACACGGGCACACATACACACACACACACACACTCTCTCTTTCTATTTTTCTTCCACTTTCTTCTCAACACTCAGTCCATATGTCTTGTTCTCCAAGACTCACCGACGACGCCAGACGTTCTGACATCTCACAGAGTAAACACACTTTACTCTGCTAGATTAGAACTTTTGCAAACCCTTCTTTCTGGCTTGCATTTTCTTGTACGTAACAGTACCGATAACAGCAATGGCGGCCAACCCGACTAGGACAAACACCAAAATAACACCGCCTGGCAACATTTTTTGTTTATTGTATGAGTGTGTGGAACGTTTAGAGTGTGTGTGTGCTGTGACACCGAGTTAAAAAAATGCTCCACTAGTAGAGAGTACTTCCTACCCAAACAAACAACTACAGGTGAGAGTTTCTCGAGGCCAAACCTTGAGCCTTATATACCCGAAAAATTGAGAAAAATAGGGGTCAACAGTTTATGTTTCGCTCCGGCAGAGCCAATCAAATTCATTCTCGCTAGAAAACGCCGCGGGTTTTTGGAGAAACGAGTGAATTTCTTGTTACGATAACAAACCAACTAGTAAAATGTACACAAAAACCAAATCCGGTAACGGAAATAAAGACGCACATGGTAACCGGGCCGGAACAGACGGGCCGTGATTGGAGTCACGTGAGAGATGAGTAGAGGGAAAAAAAATTAGTGATAAATAAGGCAGCGCGGCTGATAAAGCGGTGATTATCGTAGTGAAAAGAGAAAGAAAGAGGAGGTGTGTGTGTGTGTGTGTAAAGTGATCACCTGTGTGCTTGGTAAAATGTCTCAAAGGAGAGTACGAGGGAGATCGTAAAGGGAGATTCATCTTTCAAGAAAAAGGACTACACGGCTTATAGGGAGGGTCAGGCGACTAAGAAAAAAGAAGAAAATAGAGAACAGAGAGAAATTGAAAATCGGTGGGAAAAAAAAGGCGTGATATCATTATGTACGTAAAGCTTAAGACCAAGGCCCTTCTAGAATGAGAATTGAATGCTTGGAACGCATTTGATGTAGTAGCTCTTTGTGCCGTGTGGAGGTCTTTTTCGTTTTGAGTTTCAGCCAAAAACATTGCAAGCAAAAGTGAGAAAAAACTACAGCTCGTGTAGAGTGATGTTGTGTATTCTTGGAAGCCGTAAAAGATGACAGTGTTTCAAAAGCTATGGGCAGGTATTTCAAACAAAAGTCTCTGCCTCGTAACAATCCAGCAGAAGGCGTGTGGTCAGCGACAGAACGTTTCGTTTTATCTTGTATTCCAATCACTATACACGTCCACGTTCCTTCGAACGAAATGTGTTCTCTACCTTTCTCTCAATTTTCGAATCTTTAAGCTAATCTTACAGTCGTTATACAAAATTTAGATTACAGTCTGAGTTGTGGGAATATAATTCATTTCGAGCGCGCTCTTTCTCTCTCTTTCTCTCTCTCTCTTTCTCACAAAACGTACAAACAAAGCGCGGAGCCGGCAAACGCCAATACAAAGGGCAATAGACCCATTTGTAGTTTCCATTCCGTTAACGCATACCGGAACCAATGCGCAGCGGTCTCGTATGAGGTGACAGATCCAGAAACGTCCTTCACCGCGTAAGCGGCCTCGTCCGCAAACGAAGGCTGCCATTGCGTCAACAGCAGTGCCAGTAGCGCTTTTGTGATATGAAACACCATGGGGTCGATCGACACTTCCGGCAGATCGTAGCGTATGAAATTCACATAGTATGACACAAACACAGGGATCGCCAACGACCATAAGGACCAGAACGACGTCAAAGCGCCGATTTCTTGCCATCCCGTGGTGATCGTGACAAACGGTTTCTGCGTGGTGAACTCCAAGTGGTTGCGAACCACGTAAACGTAGGCTTCGACCGCTAGGAAAATCGCATCCACCGCAGGAATGGTGGACAGAGCATCCTGGACGCTTTCGTTGGCTTCGAATGTCTTGTTTTGAACGTCATGCAAAAACTCGTTGAATTTGAACGCAAAGGAGCCCTCCGCAGGAGTGATGCGTTGAAAGTCCAAATTCGAAAACCAGTTTTGAAGTGGTGTTCCTTCGGGCAACGTCCCGTTGACCAAATATTCCTCATCTTCGTCATTGTCGTTGTCGTTTTCGTTTTCGTTTTGGTTTTCCACCTTCGTTTCGTTGGATGTGATGGACGTCACTGCGCTACTCACAGCATCGGCCACAGCGTCTGCAGTGTCCTGGACTTTGGCCTTGAAACGTTCCTTCAGGCCTTCAGTGTCTTCGTTTGGATCGCTGCCGGACTCTTCATCACTGTTCACTGCAGATTCTTCGTAGTAAGTGGCCAACTCTGGATATTCCACCAGATCTAATGGACTCTCCAGTTCCTGCAAGTAGGCATCAATGACGTCTGCGATTTTGGCCTTGGTCGAGGACTGAGAGACGTGAACGTCTAGTTTGTTTGCCAAGTCCAACAGCTGGGTTTTTTTCCACTTTCTGAGTGACATAGCTAGCCTTGTTGAAATGGTTTTTCTTGGATGTTGGGACGATTATTCGGGATCTCGAGATATACTTTTAAGATCGTTTTGTTCCTGAGAGACTGATGGTAGGGTCCTTGGAGAAGTAGGATAAACGGCAAGCCCTAGCGGAGAGAAAGTAGGGGAAATATATAAAAGCCTGTGCTTTATTTTGTGAGTGTCAGAGTTACAAGTTTACCTTGAGTGAGGGAGGGGTCGTCTTTTGTTTACACTAATCCTAATTAATTGATCTGTGCTGGTCGCTATCTACGAGGATGGGAAAGAGTTGACGATGCAGATAAAGATGTAAAGAAGAAGCAGTGGGTGGGTGCGATGCCGGGCAGGGAATAGAGGTCGAAACTAGTGAGACTTAAGGAAGTGAAGCAGAATTGGAAAAACTAATGCGATGATTTCGGCTTCTCATGTTTAGAACTTCATAAGCCAGGAGTCACGTGACCGCCAATACTCATACAACAAAAACGGCAACTTTTCTCGGATCAGGGGGTTTTGTGAGCTGCCAAAAAATTTCTCAAGTACCTGCCGGAAAAGCTGAATCAGTTTATGTATAGCTTTCCGTTTCGAAATGAGTAGTTTCGTGTCATGTGAAAAAGTCATGTGTTTTACTAGTGCTTTGCTCTAAGATGAAGTAATAGTCCCAATTTCTTCCTGATAATCGGAAACCCAGAAATTGGTGAGAAGCCGCTATACAAGACTGTATACCTTTGATCTTTCGGGCAACACGCGAAATTTGACAATTCTGAATGCTTCTTTCAAACTGGGAAAGCTAGATTTATGGTTTAACTACAGAATTGGGGACGAGTACGGATGGCCAGACGAGTACCGCGTACATAGTGACTCTCACTTTCTACGGGTGGACTCTGAAAAAGTAAACAGAGTACGAGGAACCTCAGCTTTGATGAAGACCATTTTTGTCCTATTCTTTTTGGCAGCCATCACAACGAGGCTTGGAAGTCTTGAAATGGCTAGCAAACGTGATAAAGAGCTTTGATTTTGGTCAAGAAGACTCGAAATGGGATAGAATGGGGTTCCAGGAGTTGAACAATTGAAGTTGAAGTTAAAGTCTGGAAGGAGACGCGTAAAAATGCTCTCCGATAATCCAAGCAGAAGAGCACAGCGATAACGTCCAAAATAAGAGGAGAATGGAAATCCAAGGCCAGCTGCTTCAAGAATTAAGTATGAGGAGGCTCTCATGACCTAATTTACAGTGATGAGCGAAAACCCTGTGATAGGGCTGTGTTTAGCAGAGCCAGACTCATGAGCCCGATACTTAACAGCTGAGCTATCTGACAGTGACAGTAGTTGTGATTCCTCATGACAAGCTATAGCGTGGAATGAAGCGGCAGACATCGGTCTTGATGGGTGTTTCATGAACCCTGGTAAAGGTATAGAATTCACGAATCAAGCGAGGGAAAGTTGAACAAGCCAGGGGGGTAAGTTTGACCGCTGGTTATCAACACCCCAGTTCAGGAAGTGGCTCAAAAAACATAGTGGGAGCGAACTTGAGGCGCGGAGTATGCACGATCATTATTTCAACACATACAAACCCCCACTTGTATGGTGAAAGCGTTACTATTGGAATTTTCACCATGACTTAGAGATGGTGCCGACGAGGAAAAGAATTTAAACAAACAATTCGTTGGGGTCCACGCCCAACATACTTTTTGAACGCATTCGTAAAGTGCAAAGGGCGCTGAGTACAACGAAGAGCTGGTAATCAATTAAGCGTCCATCCACCATCTTGGCTAACAAAATCCCAATTTTTCGCTACGAAAACTAAGACCCTCGTGATAATCTTATCTTCCCTTGGCGTTTTCCTGTCCACATATCACTGAGAACAACAATACAGTGAAGCCCGAGTGCATCACCTCCTACGAACCAAGCCTTCACTTCACACTTTGACAAATCTGAGCGGTAGTTCAAAGTGATATACGACTCCTTCCGCCTTCCTCCTCCTCCTCCTCCAGAACACTTCATACGAATGTCGTTCTGTACTCGAGTCCCCTCCCCTTTTTTTTCCTTCTTTCCCATTCCTTTTTCCCTGCCCCCCCCCCCACTTGCTTTTCAGCGCATACGTTATCCATTGCTAGGCACACCAAAAGAAACAACAACAACAACAACAACCACAAAGCCGTTGTTGTTTTTTTTGTGTAGTACTCGAGTACACACCACGCTTCCACACGCTCTTCTTTTCTTTTTTTCTTTCCCACTTCCTTCCCCTATTACGTCATCACATGATATCTTTCAAAAGCAACATCCATCGTTTCTCACTCACTCTCTCACCCCACGTGATACCCTTTTCCCTCTACTGCTCCCCCCCAAAAAGCAACAACGGCTTTATTTCTATTTTCGCCCATACTAAATCCACTATCCACAGAGAAACACCCTTGCCCCACACCCAAAACCAAGAAATCCCAAAGCTTAACAGCACAAAACAGCCATTCTTTTCACATATAAAAGCAAAGCATCGCAGCCCGCTTTTTTTCTCGAGCCGTCTCCTGCTGCATCGATCTATTATTGCTTGGTTTTTCTTTGATCAAAGAAAACCATATTGTAACAGATATAAAAGCACGATAAACTCGACCAACCCGTTCAATTTGTTTCCTATTTCTTATTGATTAAAGGTTGTTTTCCATCACAGATTTCAAAGAAACACTCATCAAGGTTACACACCAAAGGTTACACATTAAGTTAAGTCTAGCTCGAAGCTTTACTCAACTATACATTAACAAGAAAGTTTGGTCAGATTTTGTCAGATTTTGGTCAGATTTTGTCAGACTTTTTAAAAGCTCCTCTCACATTACCACACCGCTCACAATTACAATGACCAACGAACCAAACCAAGTGGAATCCGCTCAACAAAGCCAGCCTTCTATCCCATCGCTTTCGGACATTCTGCCCTCTTTTAGACTCGACGGCCATGTCACTGTCGTCACAGGCGGGTCCGGAGGCCTTGCACACACTCTGGTTCAAGCGCTTTTGGCACAGGGCTCAGAAGTGGCTTTATTGGATTTGAGCGTCGAAAGACTCGAGTACACGGCACGTGAGCTGCAAGAGTTCATCAAGGCTAACAAACTGCCAAAACTCAACATTTCTACATGGCCTTGCGATATCGGTGACGCTGCCATCGTGGAAGAGGTGGTGCGTGCCATCCCGCTCAAACACAACGGTCTTCTCCCCGACAAACTTGTTCACACCGCCGGATACTGCCAAAACACACCAGCTCTAGACTACGATGCCAGACAGGCTGAATTGCTGGTGCGCGTCAATCTACTGGGTTCAATGTACATCTGCCAGTCCATGTCCCGCCAGCTGATCCACCGGTCGCAACGTCGCCGTTCTGTGTCCTCAGACGCTGACGAAGCCGCAGAAGCGTGTCCCCAGCTCTCGAACGTGTCGTACGTTTTGATAGGGTCCATGTCCGGCTGCATCGTCAACAACCCACAGCCTCAGGTCGCCTACAACATGGCCAAGGCCGGTGTCATCCATATGGTCAAGTCCCTAGCATGTGAATGGGCCCGCTACGGTATCCGTGTCAACTCCATCTCTCCAGGTTACATCGCCACAGCCCTCACGAAGAAAGTCATCTCAGGCTCGCCTGAGGGTGCTGCTTTGCAGCAGGAATGGACCTCCCGTGTACCCATGGGCCGTATGGCCGATCCCCGTGAGTTTGTTGGCGCCATGCTGTACCTCTTGAGTCCCTCTGCATCCAGCTACACCACTGGTGAAAACCTGGTCATCGACGGTGGTTACACTTGTTGGTAAAGAGTGTATTTTAGATTGGGCACAACCTGCTGAAGAATTATAGAATAGACCATAACGGATTGCTCCACTTCTCTTATTACCCCACCCACCACTATCACAATCGCCAACTGCTCCTTCCACCATCTTTCTTCAAAGATTTTTTTTTTACTCTCCGATCCGATCTCTCGGTTCAATGCATCAGGAGCCACCCGCACTAGCATACTCACTCATTCCACTCACACATTTCTGAACAATCCTACTTGGCAACCAGTTTTGACCCTAATCATTCCTCATTTTTATCTGTATACTACTATTTTCGATTTCCGCCCTGAGTTGAGGGTCTCTCAAGTATTTCTATAGTACATTATTATAATACACCTCTCTCTCTCTCTCTGCAACACTGTTAGTCACATCACGGTGCATCCTGCAGCGTTATCATTGTTCGACCCACTCAATTCTTGGCCTTCCAAGCGTTGCAAAAGCTGCAGCACAGCGTCGTTGACACCCACGTTCAATTTCGCGCTACATTCCACGAATCCTGCACCCAATCGTTTTGCCAATGCAGCACCCTCAGCTTTCGTTACAGTAGCACTGTTCGGTCCAAGATTTTCGCGCAGATCGATCTTGTTAGCCACAACCACCGTAGGAATGTTTTCCAAACCCAGTTGGTCCAGAATCTTGTCTCTTATCAAATCTACAATCTCAAAACTAGCTCGGTTCACGCAACTGTACACTATGGCTACGCCTTTGAGCCCAATCAAGGACTTGGTATTTATCAGCGAAAACTCATCTTGTCCCGCGGTATCGCAGATTTCCAAAGTGTAGTTGGCTTTGCCGAAAACCAGCTGTTTGGTAAACTGATTTTCAATCGTTGGATAGTAAGACTCTACAAAATGTGATTCCACGTATTGCACTGTTATTGAGCTTTTACCAACATTTCTAGCTCCCACAACTGCGATTTTACGATGTCTAGAAAGTATATCAGTTGAGTTCATGTCAGTAGATTTACTCACAGAGACTCAAACTTGAAGCGATAGCTTGATTCAAACAAACTGTCTTCTATCGGCTCTAGTTTGAGTTGCGATGCCTTTAGATAGTTTGTCTATCTATACTATTAATATTCAATATTTTTCAGAAATGAATGAAATTGACAAAAATTGAATAAAGTTAACAAAACTTGACTAAAGTTTAGATATTTTGACCATTTTCTGACCACTAACACAAAATAAGGACTGAACGAAGACTGCTGAGGTCAATTGCTATTCATATTCGAGCTTCTCGAAATTTTTTGGTGTTGGTATAGTCTCTAAAAGTGCTTTTTCTCGGTCTAGAATAGTAGAAAGGAAAACTAACTTGGTTTCAGACTTTTCCCAAAAATTTTAACTTTAGCCTCACTGATTGAACAGATTTACTCCCAATTCCCGATATTTGTGCGTTCTGCTGAAATTTGTGCTCGAGCTTTTCCATAATGTCCCAATTTTCAGGTTTCGGCGTGGAAGTCGAACTCAAAGATGGGAAAGTCATTACCGGAACCGTGGCTAAGGCCAACGGTAAATCGCTAACCCTCTCAGATGTCATATTCAGTGACGGAGGAACATCCCAAGTGTTCAAAGTTAAAGGCACGCGCTTGAAGGACCTGAAAGTGGTATCAACACCCAAACAGAGCCCCGCAGCGAAATCTGTGAACAAACCTAGCCCCAAAGTAGAGGCTTCTACCACAAACGACTGGCAACACGACGATGCCACGGTCATAAAAAACCAAGAGGATTTCGATTTCCAAGAAAATTTGCGCATGTTCAACAAACAGGACGTTTTCGCCAAACTTAAAGAACAGGACCAAGTTGGGCAAAATGCCCGTCTTGTAGCTCATAACGTCCGGGACAGGAAAATGGAAACGGACGAGCTTGTCATCCCGGACGCTAAACAGGACAACTGGGATAGCCTGGAGGAGGACTCGACGCATACGGAATACCTGCCCATCACCAAATCCATCAATATCACCCATCTACTGCAAACCGCTGGCGATACGGAAACGAAAAATGATCCAATGTTGACACAGTTACAGCGGGCACTCAAATCCCCTCGATCCTCCTCTGTGTCCAAGGGTGCGGGATTCGTGGCGGCTTCCACAGGTGTAGCAGTACCCTGCGCAACGCCTGTACAACTCCTAGAGATTGAACGTGTTTCAAGCGAATCCTTTGGATTTACATCGAAGTTGGCGCTAGAGCACTGGGCAATTCATGCGTCGCAGTTCGTCAAGCAGAAGCTGGGAGGCAGGGTCAGAATGCATGCTCAAAACTCCAACCCACAGCCGCTGGTAGTCATCCTTGCAGGCGACAACAGATGTGGTGCGCGTGGTTTGGCTTTGGGTAGAGCCCTTTGCCAATCATCCCTGGTTCGTGTTGTTGTGCTTTTCACAAACACACCTGAAGATCTTGAGGTCAACGAACAATGGCAACTATTCCAGAGATGCGGCGGTAAGACTGTAGAGACTTTGCAGTCTCTAAAATCAAGTTTAGAGAAACTCAACTCTCCCGTGGAAATGGTATTCGATGCCATGCAGGGCTTCGATTCAAACCTCCAGGATGTCTGTGCTGACGCTAGCGACGAAGGTCGTTTAGAGGACATTATAAACTGGTGCAATTTACAAAAATCAATTTGGTCGTTGGATATCCCCAGTGGGCTCGATGCAGCGAGTGCAATGCCCAATTTCTTGGGCGTGCATGTCAACGCAACAACTGTGATCTGTTTATGCTGGCCATTGACGGGAACATACAATTTAAAGACTCAACTTGCCGACAGAGGAGGACTTGAGATTCATTTGGTTGATATGGGGGTTCCTCAGGCTGTATATTCCATGCGTACCTCACTGCGGAAATTTCAGATCGCTGATCTGTTCGTTACCGAGGGTATGGTACAGTTGCGTTAGCAGGATTACCAAAGTCCTTTGGTAACGTGTCAGAGATGAAGACCATTGATAACATTTTTTTTTCCATGGGTAGTGGAATTTCTGTAATGGTCTACAGAGCTGCTAATTATGGATGGGGATCTAAATGGGTGTTTTAGCAGCACCAAAGCGACATATTCCACTCAAATTCAAATTTGGACTTTTTGGTTAAGGTCGATCGGCGAAAGACGAAATATAAGGGCTTATATTGACCCGCGAGCATTTCCGGTTTCCCCAAAAGTATACACCCTTTGTGAAGATCTGACGCGCTTTTTTCGAGTGATTAAGTCAAATTCATGGGCCCCAGCTCTAGTACTAACCACCGATTCGCATAATCATTTTCATTTTTTGATGAGGGTCGACGATCAAACTAATGAAAACCGCTAGAGTCCTGGAAAAATCAAAAAAATTTCAAGAACCAGGAAGATTCACTCGAACATAATAAATTGCACTCAATTGACTGCTGTAATAGTACCCATATCTCGATAATGTATATACTCTATAAACGATCATTACCGATATCATTTTCCCTCGTCTGTCATCTGTCATAGTATGATCACTATAGACGAAATGCTAAAATTTTGAAAATTAATATATTGATTTTAAAAAGAGTTTCTCTACTGTTGATAATTCCCCTTAACAGGAGCTCTTCGTTCATAGAAAACTGTCTCTGTTTAAGCCAGGATCTTTCCTCATTGTTACAGAACGTATTCTCGATATCTTTTAAGGCAGTTTTAGCTTTTCAAGCGGAAATTTTGCGTCACTGGTCGAATTTTAAGAAGGTGGAAAAGTCTATTTTTCGTACCACTGAACAAAAGTACAAAAAGGTGGCCTTCAAGACGAGAAATAGCTTTGACGAGGCTTCGTTGCGATATATCTCACTGCTAGGACCACTGCATCATCACAATTTTTTTTTTTTGGTCCCATTACGGCTCTGATCGATCAGGAGTTTACAAGAACTTTTGTTTTCTCTTCTCGACCCTAGCTAGACACACGAAGGACTGAAAATCAAAAGATAAAGGAAAACAGCTGTACTTCTGACGCTAACCAATGGGTCTTTGTTGTAGCTGTTTGGGAGACTCGAGCGATGACGCCAGTGTGCTTCCCATTGCGGACAACGAGCGTGAAGCCGTTACCTCATTACTAGGATATTTGGAGGATAAAGACCGTTTTGATTTTTACAGCGGCGGTCCTTTGAAGGCCCTCACTACACTGGTGTATTCCGATAACCTCAATCTGCAGCGCAGTGCAGCACTGGCTTTTGCGGAAATCACTGAGAAATATGTGCGGCCCGTTAACCGCGAGGTCTTGGAGCCCATTTTGATCTTGCTGCAGAGCAGCGACTCGCAAATCCAGGTGGCAGCGTGTGCAGCATTGGGTAATCTCGCTGTGAACAACGAAAACAAAATTTTGATTGTGGATATGGGCGGACTCGAACCGCTAATAACGCAAATGATGAGCAGTAATGTCGAAGTGCAATGTAACGCAGTAGGCTGCATCACGAACTTGGCTACGCAGGACGATAACAAGGCCAAGATTGCCACTTCAGGCGCACTCGTGCCTTTGACAAAACTTGCCAAGTCTAAGAACATTCGAGTTCAAAGAAACGCCACAGGTGCTCTGCTCAATATGACCCATTCCGGCGAAAACAGACGGGAACTTGTCAACGCTGGTGCCGTTCCGGTCCTGGTATCTTTACTATCTTCTGTGGATGCCGATGTTCAGTACTACTGTACCACAGCTCTTTCGAATATAGCGGTCGATGAATCGAACCGTAAAAAGCTTTCTCAAACGGAGCCTAGGCTGGTCTCGAAACTGGTCGCTCTGATGGACTCTCCTTCTGCCAGGGTAAAATGTCAGGCGACATTGGCGTTGCGTAATTTGGCTTCTGATACAGGGTATCAGTTGGAGATTGTTCGTGCAGGAGGTTTACCACATCTGGCCAAACTCATTCAGAGCGACTCTATGCCACTCGTGTTGGCCAGTGTTGCATGCATCAGAAACATTTCCATCCATCCTTTGAATGAGGGTTTGATCGTGGACGCTGGGTTTTTGAAACCTTTGGTCAAGTTGCTTGATTTCAAAACCTCTGAGGAGATCCAGTGTCATGCCGTCTCTACACTCAGAAACCTGGCAGCCTCATCTGAGAAGAACAGACAGGAGTTTTTCGAGAGCGGTGCAGTTGAGAAGTGCAAGGAGTTAGCTTTGGACTCACCAATGAGCGTTCAAAGCGAAATATCTGCCTGTTTCGCTATTTTAGCCCTGGCAGACAATTCGAAGATCGATCTTTTGGACTCTAATATCCTTGAAGCGCTCATCCCTATGACATTCTCGAAGAATCAAGAGGTTTCTGGGAATGCAGCGGCTGCTTTGGCCAATTTGTGCTCGAGAATCAATGACTACACCAGAATTGCAGAATCCTGGGAAAGGCCTGGTGATGGCATTCGCGGGTTTTTAATTAGATTTTTGCGCAGCGAGTACCCGACTTTCGAACACATTGCGCTTTGGACTATTTTGCAGCTACTGGAGAGCCACGATGAGACTATTCTCAGGTATATCAAGAACAACAAGGAGATTGTAAAGAGCATAAGGCATTTGTCGGACGTGAATTTTGAAAGCGCCCAGAAGGCTTCTGTGGCGATGAACTCTCAGAGCGGATCCGGGGCTGCGTCAGACCAGTTCGATAACGCAAGTCTCGAGCTCTACAACATCACACAGCAAATTCTTCAATTCATCGACTAGTTTTAGGTCATACATGACAGGAAACGATCGTTCGCCCTTACTCGGTAATTCCAAGAAGATACCCCGCTTCACGCTACGATTTCCGGTTTAATCAGACCCATTCATTCCAAGACTTCGGGTGTCAAATCTCTCTTCCCCTAATAATAATAACTGATTCTCGCAAAAGGGAAACTACACTACAAGATACAGCGTTTACCGAATGCACTGAAAGTACCGTGTAGCCTCCAGCAAGGCTTTACCAGAGATACTTTTGGATAAAAGTTATTTTTCATATTTTAACAAAGTTGTAACGGTAGCTCATACCCTCTTTCTATTCAGCCTTATACATATACGTGTAACGCACATTTCAAACATATTATTGAAAAGTACCAGGACTTGTAGCTTTACTAAAGGTAAGTTAGTCCAGTAGCGTTGACATTATCGATGATTTGAAAAGCCAAAAATCTATTCGGCAAAAAAGGTCTTACCCGGATTCGAACCGGGGTTGTTCGGATCAGAACCGAAAGTGATAACCACTACACTATAAAACCACTTAGTTGAATTTTAATGAAACTAAACCATAGATATCCTTTTATTTTATCTTGTGACTCAAACTAGAACCTGGTCTTATAGTCTCAGCTGGTCTTGACACGGTTTAAAGAAAGCGTAAGACTAGCCTCTGTCGATTGCTCGAGGAATAAGCTAGTTTTGACTCTGAAGTTTTGTTTACCAAGAGGAGACTTCATGATAATGGTTAATCGTGGAAAAATCTAGCAGAGTTTGTTCACTAACTTAGATGCGGATATTCTCCTGCTGAGAGTCGCAATGGCATCTTTTTCAAAACTGAAATAATCCGTGCGTGTATGTGTGTGTTTTTGAATCGACAGGTCGAACTTCTTGTTTAGCCATCACCTTTTTATAGTCTTTTGTTCAAGATTCTTTGTTTTGCCCTGACTTCACTACATCGCTTTATCTTCATAAACTTGAAGCTCAACCTCTCTCCTACCTTTATCTACAACGGACCACTTGTGAGAAGCACCAAGGTTTCGAAAAAAACTTATTCACAAGGGAAATCTGATCATGGCACTCTTCGCCACCAATGGCATGTTCATCATTGATGAAATTCATGCCGGCACAGACAGTTTCTACAACATCGTTGGAGGCGGAGGCACCTTTGCCGTGCTAGGAGCATGTATCGTCGGTTTTAGCCCAGAGATCGCAAAACAGTTGCGTTGGATTGTTGACCGAGGATCAGACTTCCCTGAATCCATAACAAGACAAATCGATAGCTGGGGTACGGGAGTGGTATACAGAGACGATTTGTCAAGATTGACAACGAGAGCTTGGAACCTCTATGGAGAGAACGATCTTAGGAAGTTCAAGTATCTCTCGAAAAAAAAACGGATTGAAGTGGAGGACTGGATTCACGAATTCGGATCGCAGGAGGTGCGGGACATTCCTATACTACACTTACTGTGTGACCATGATAGAGTCTCTTCAATATTGAATGAACTTCACAAACCTACAGATTCGAATCGAAATAAGGTTTTCATCTGGGAACCCATTCCAGACTTGTGCAATGCGGCAAATGCAAACCAGATTCAAGAAGTTGTCAATCGCAGAGAACGCATCATCATCTCTCCAAATGCAGAAGAAGGAGCCCGTCTCTTTGGTCTTGAAGAGCCAGTGTCTTTGCAAGACAGCATAAAACTACTGAAAAGATTTGACCATTTTGTCTCTGATCAAAATCCCCTGTGTGCCTTGAGATGTGGGAAGCTGGGCTCTTTAGCTCTAAGTTCAAGGTCGCAAGAAGGGCACCGGCAAATAATTCATTTACCGGCATACCACATGAACTCTCCTGAAAAGGTCATCGATCCGACCGGCGGTGGAAATAGCTTTCTTGGTGGGTTCTCGCTAGGGTTTCTGCTATCCCAAGGCGATCTTGCAATTGCCAGCATGTGTGGCAATATCGCTGCTGGTGCGATTATAGAGCAATTGGGCGTCCCGCAGCGCCATGGTCTAAAATGGAACGGACTAACTTTTGAACAGCGTTTAAGCAATTACATCAAACTACACAACCTTCCGTATTCTACGGTGTCAGTAATGGGAAATCTGACAACAACGATGGAAAGGCATCGGTAAAAGCTTTCACTGCTTATAGCAAGCTTCAAAAAATTCGTACTCATATTTTAGAACGAGCTCAAAGGTCTGAGACACTTCTTCGTAGGAGCATTTGTCAACTTCCGATCTCAGAAAGTCACACCAGCTTTCAAAATGATCGCCCGCGTGCAAATCGATCCAGGTCTGGTATTTCCAGTGAAGCTTTTCTGCTGCAGGGAAAAATGTGGCCCACTCCAGATAAACCAGTTCCATGCAATAGACAAACGTTATGAGCTTGGCGTAAGACGTTTCTTCTCGAGCCGATTTGGTCAAGAAGTTGATGTACGTCTCGACCTCAGGCAACATGGTCTTTTGATAATATTCGCGTTGTGAGGAGCTGAGGGCACCACTCAGCTCTGCAAGACAATCGTGGAAATAGCTGTTTTCATCGTTGGCAAAGAAACCGATTTTTTTCGCAAGCGTAATCAAGCTGTCAGTTTCTGGCGCCAGGGATGTAGTCTTGGTCAAAACTCGCATCCCGCTTTGGAAAAACATCAAATCTTGAGCCAAATAAACATAAAGCGTCTTTTCTGAAAGGGTACCGGCACATAGTTCTTCCGTGAGCTTATGATGGGCCGCTTTTTCAAACAACTGGCGGTGGTTGTCAACGAGCTTCTGAGAAACGGACATATTTGGTAAAATGGACTTGTGGTGATTTGTCGTGTTGGTAACAACGATTATAATAGAGAGATTTTGGAATCTTGGCGCAACCGTTGAATCCTGACAGGGTATTTATATATACATGTACGATTCTGGGTGAATTCTTATAGTTTCCTTCCAATGCAGAGTGAATAGGTCGGATTTGCAGCTGGCGCGCAACGTAAACGAAAAGTTGTCGAAATGAAAAGGCGATTTGATTGAGAGTCAATGTGGTAGGCCGTCCACGGAATTGGCCAACGCTAAGGCCGCTCTTGCAGCAGAGTCGTTTTGACAAACAACCCAGAACTCTCAACTGAAAAGTATCTTGAAAAAAGTCAGTTCTTCTGACACGCACGAATACACAACAATCTTCATCAAATTTTATGCTACACGTAGTCCGTACTCTTGATCTTCAGTGTATGCGTTTGTAAGCTCACTGCGCTTCGTTGCTTGACTGAAAAATCCGAATTCACACGATTTCTTGAAAATATGCAGATTTGGACTTTTTCATACTGGCCAGCTGTGCCGCTTTGATCTGGATCGATTGTATCGTTGGGTGTGGGACGCTGATGAGACCCAGTTTTCGAGTGGAATTTGCACTGATTTCTTCGACATTGTCCAGCAGTAGATTCAGCTCGGAATCAGTGGCTACCAGTATGCCCACCAGCATGCGAGCTTTGGTCACAGTGACGTAAACCTCTGAGCCGATGTAGTCTACCATTTTCAGATCCAGATCCAGCATGGCATGCGAATATTCCTCTTTTCTTGAACGCCCGCTGTCCTTAGAGCGATGGTTCGGTTTTCGAGCTAACTACTATACGTAATTATATACAAGCTTAAGAGAGAAGAGTAAAGACTAGTAGCTAAATGTGTAGCGCGAGAATTTCCTAGACCAATTGGTGATCTAAAGGTGTTTGTTAAAAATCGCAACAAGCGAGACAGGCTTTCTAATCTGGATATCGATGAAGTTAGTTGTTGTATGTTAGCTCTGTAAATGTTGTAGATCAGATAGTGTAAATTGAGTATGTTTCGTATATGGTGATGTGTTATATTGTTAATTAAGAGTTTTTTTCTAGCTCAATTGAGGCATGTGTCTAGTTTTTTGAACGGAGATTCTGTTACTTTGAAAGTCCAGGTATAATGGTTCTTGTTTAATCTTGGAGTTTGAAGCTTTTTGGTTTCTAATAGCTTACTGGGTTTTTTGTCTGATTGTGTCACGTGACCATCGTTGAAAACCTATAATTTATATTATATTAAGAATTAAAAAACTCGAACTTCAAGTAAAGACGATCTTGAAATACAGAAAGAAACCAACTTTCCAAGCAGGATTGTAAGGAATAAGGCTGTGTAAACGTGCCAAATTCTTGTGATTTAGTGTTTGACCAATCTTTTGGTAGCTGGAGCTTTCTTCACACGCTTTTTCCACGATTTTTCCGCTCTTTTTCGCCCCTACAACGCCCAAAAACACACACACAAATGATCCAGAATACCACAATCACATTAAAGACTTTGACCGCACATGAGCTTCTGTGTTCCCGGGAAAACGTGTGTGAGCTGTTTGGCCTATTAGACGACTCAGAGCGTAGCTCGTTGCTGATTGGCGACGACCGCGAAGGCCAGCTCACCGCGCTCAAGACCAAATTGGAGGAACTGAAAAAACAAGTTGAGCAAGCGAAAACGAGTCTCAATGAATGAATCAAAGGTTTGACATGTTCTACAATGACTAACTGGACTTGAAATCAAGTCATTTTCCGGGCTAAAAGCGAGAACAATCGGAATCGTTTTCCTCACGCGCACGTATGAAGGGATCGCTCTCATTTTCATAAGGAGTATTAATATGGAATTTCATTCAAATAAGGAAGAAAGAGCAGAAACCTTCGCTTCACTTACACCAATAAGGCTCTCAAAACTAGTTTTGAAGCGGTTGTTTCAGCTGCAAAGGCCACATCAATCATACTATAAAACCAAAAAATCGGCAAATGAGGTATGTTGGTTCTTTCTCGCGGGTCCAATAAGTTTTATGGCTTCTTCAAACGATCGATGATTCTAACAGATTTCATGCAGTAACTCGAAAAGAAGAATCGAGACAGACGTGATGAAGCTGCTAATGAGCGATCACGACGTGCAACTGATCGACGACAACATGCAGGAGTTCCACATAAAGTTTCACGGGCCTAAAGACACACCTTATGAAGGAGGGGTGTGGCGACTGCACGTTGAGCTCCCGGACAACTACCCGTACAAGTCGCCCAGCATAGGTTTCGTGAACAAGATATACCATCCCAACATTGACTCAGCGTCCGGCTCGATCTGTCTAGACGTGATAAACTCAACCTGGAGTCCGCTCTACGACTTGATCAATATAGTGGAATGGATGATTCCAGGGCTGTTGAAAGAACCGAACGGTTCAGATCCACTCAACAACGAGGCCGCCACGCTGCAGCTGAAAAACAAGGAGCTCTATGACCAGAAAATCCACGAATTTATCGAAAAATACGCAACAGAGGATAAGTACCGGAGCTCGTTCGGGAGAGACAGTGACGACGAGGATGACGAAGACGACGAAGACATCGATGATTATGACAGTGGCAGCCAGGACGAAGACATGGAGGCATCTGTCAAGCTGAACGGCTCCAAGAGGGCCAGTCAAGGCGACGGCGACATTGAAGACTACAGCGACTCCGACAACTTGAGCGAAGAGCTCACGAACATTCAGGTCAGTGAGGACGAAGAAGACGATGCCGAAATCGACATGTACCCGGATGACGACGACGATGACGAGTGAAACAGGCGTTTGACTGTGAAACAGGCGGTTGACTGTGAAACAGGCGGTTGACTGTGAAAGGGGCGGTTGACTGTGAAAGGGGCGGTTGACTGTGAGAGATCTACACCATTGGTGGAAGACAACTAAATACCTTGCAAAACACTCAGTTGTCGCTAAGTTCTTTGTAGTTAGAGGCTTACACCCACACATGTACCTAGTCACACCACTTTCACGTGACCTTTTAAATCTCGCTTCCCCGGAAATTAACGATTATGTAATATAATCTTGGTCACGTGCCTTTCTGTCACACTATACTAAACCTGAACCCACTTCTATGGAAAACAAGGGGCGGGGAGGGGGGTCTTATACAGGCTGGGGAATATTATTGGGAAAAAAAAGTCTATAAAAGCGCCCATCTCGAGAGCCAAGACCCCTAAGATCTTGAACCACTTTTCAATTGAAGTTGTAAGACCAAGTTTTTCGAGCTTTTTTAAGAGGTTTTATTGGTTTTGCTCGAGCTAGTTGTTTTCGTCGCTAAAGGTTTGCCGTTACAGCCGAAAGAAACGTCTTTCTAGCACCAAAACTGAAGTAGCTGTCGTCATTCGTGGATTGCTGAGAGTTTCTGGAGTTTGCCGGTGATTTTACGTTTTACTTAATAGCTTTGGTACGTGCTTACAATGGGAATTATTCCAGAAAATGTCAAGGGAGCGGTAGACGTGGACCCTTGGTTAGAACCGTTTGCAGAAGTGCTCTCTGAGAGAAGATATCTCGCCGATCGTTGGTCTCATGATATCAAACACAGTACAGTCGATAACACGCCGCAATCGCTAGCCGATTTTGCAAGGACATCGTACAAGAACTATGGACTGCATGCAAACCCAGTAACCAAAGAGATCACATATCGGGAATGGGCGCCCAACGCACTGCAGGCATTTCTGGTCGGTGAATTTAACGGCTGGTCAGGCCAATCGCATGAGTTGCAGAAGGACCAGTACGGTGTTTTTTCCATAAAAATCCCTGCGTCTAACGCTGGCGATTATGCCATTCCTCATGATTCCAAACTAAAAGTGCTTCTTGTACTGCCTGACGGCTCCCATGCGTATCGTCTTCCCGCATACATCACCAGGGCTACCCAGCCTGACAAAGAAACCGCCAAGCAATTTGGTCCTAGTTATGAGGCCCGTTTTTGGAATCCACCAGTCCATTACGAATTTCAGAACAAAAGGCCCTCTTTTGAAAGAAAATCGGACTCGCTGAGGATTTACGAAGCGCATGTTGGTATTTCGTCTCCAGAACCCAAAGTTGCCTCCTACAAAGAGTTTACGCATAACGTCTTGCCAAGAATTCGCGACCTGGGTTATGATGCCATTCAGTTGATGGCAATCATGGAACACGCCTACTACGCGTCTTTTGGCTATCAAGTGACCAATTTCTTCGCCATCAGCTCTAGATACGGTACTCCAGAAGACTTGAAAGAGCTGATTGACGTGGCTCACGGAATGGGTCTGTTGGTGCTTTTGGACGTGGTCCACAGTCATGCATCCAAAAACGTGGACGATGGCCTGAACAAGTTCGATGGCAGCGACCATCAGTATTTTCACTCACTGCAGTCTGGGCGTGGTGAACATCCGCTATGGGACTCTCGTTTGTTCAACTACGGTTCCTTTGAGGTCTTGAGATTCTTGCTGAGCAATCTGGCCTTCTACATCGATGTTTATCAGTTTGACGGATTTAGATTTGATGGTGTCACGTCAATGCTGTACAATCACCATGGGGTCGGTGCTGGCGGCGCCTTCAGCGGTGATTACAGCGAGTACGTGTCCCGTGAAAGGTCGGACGTTGACCATGAGGCTCTTGCCTATCTTATGCTGGCAAATGACCTGGTGCACGAAATTTTACCAGAAAGCGGAATCACAATAGCTGAAGACGTGTCTGGATATCCTACCTTATGCCTGCCTCGTCATCTTGGCGGCACCGGATTCGATTACAGACTTGCCATGGCATTACCGGACATGTGGATCAAACTATTAAAAGAAAAAAGCGACGACAACTGGAACATGGGACACATCGTGCATAATCTGACCAACAGGCGCTATGGCGAAAAAGTGGTCGCTTACGCAGAGTCCCATGACCAAGCCTTGGTCGGTGACAAGACACTGGCTTTTTGGCTCATGGACGCGGCTATGTATACGGACATGACTGTGATGAAGCCTCTCACTCCTGTAGTCGACCGTGGTATTGCACTGCACAAACTAATCCGGCTCATTACCCACTCTCTTGGCGGAGAAGCATATCTCAACTTTGAAGGCAACGAATTTGGCCATCCGGAATGGCTGGACTTCCCCAACAAGAACAATAATGACAGTTATCACTACGCGCGCCGTCAATTCAATCTCATCGAGGACAATTTGTTGCGGTACCAGCATTTGTACAATTTTGACAAAGCTTTGCAGAAAACCGAAAGCCGTTACAAGTGGCTCAACACGCCTCAAGCCTTCGTTTCCTTGAAACATGAAGTCGACAAGGTCATTGCATTTGAGCGGAATGGACTTCTTTTCATCTTCAATTTCCACCCAACAGAAAGTTTTGCCGACTACAGGATTGGAGTGGAGACGCCGGGACGCTATAAGGTCATCCTGAACACCGACCGTATAGAGTTTGGTGGCCATGACCGAATTGACGAGGCCGCCTCGGAGTTTTTCACCACAGATTTGCGCTGGAATGAACGCAGCAACTACATTCAGGTATACATTCCTACCAGAACAGCGTTGGTTCTAGCGCTGGCCACATGAAAGACTCAAGTTGGTCAAAGTATCGGACATTCTCATTGTCATATCTTGGCACATTTAGCGGAAACAACTGTTACTCATGAGATATGAATTCCCTTCTCGCCGCCTCCCCAAACCTTTCAATCAAGAATTTGAACAAAATCTCGCTAGTCAGAAGGTTCTTTAAAGTTGAGTCACAGTTCTGCGATGCTAAAACTCTCTTCATCGGCTCCTCTTTTATAGAAGTTGTTCAGTCGATCGGCTTATGCGGACAATTTTTTAAATATTAATGAGACTGTATATTTATTAAAATCAAAGAATGTTCAAAAGCTTGTTCATGTTTACAACTATATCGCTCAAGGCTCAGGACTATCTGCCATGGTGACTGTTAATGCGAGTATTGTACCGGTGGTACATACCGTATGTGCATCTGCAGCGTTCTTGGTAGCTCTTATAGTGGGTTGTAAGCTGCATTATGTCAAAATTATCACCAATGCGCACTACACTTATCCCGACGAATGGTTCCCCAGTGTTTCTGCCACCATTGGCGACCGGTATCCAGAACGGTCCATTTTTCAGATTCTCATTGCATTGACGTCTTTTCCGCGATTTCTATTACTCTTGGGGCACTACATGATCAACAAATCGACTTCCTGCTTTGTTGTTGGAGTTCTTAGAACCGTAACCTGTGGAGGATGGGTTTATATCACGTCTACAGATGATCACGATGTCCACGACGTGTTCATGATCTCTTATATTCTGTTGACACTGCCCTGGGATATTCTCATTATCCGTAATTCCAAGTTCAAGAGTTACAAAGTTGGAGCCATGGCTGCTTTCTTTGCCGTTATAGTGCCATTGATCTATTGGTTTCTGCAGCACAATATCTATCATAGAGCTGGGGCTTACTCTATTTACGCATATTTTGAATGGTCACTGATTGTTTTGGATATCGCCTTTGATGCTCTGGCATTCAGCGATTTCAAAGCGCTAAGTTTGAATTTGGAGTTGACGTCCAATGTTGGCAACTGGTTTTTCATGTTTGAAAACAAGAAGTCCCTACAACCTGCGGCCTCAGAGGAAATTCGGACCGTGATTGAGGAAGAGTTGTCGGAGATCCCTGATGCTACAATACACGATGAATCCATCGAGTCTGATGATCCGGATTACGCACCACAACAGGACGAGTCCAAGGATGAGGGGGAGTTGTCTGATCTGCTGGAAGAGGACATCGTTTTGCTTCAGTCAAACGACGGCGCAGAGCTTCGAATCATGTTGCAAGACGATGAAGATATTAGCTACCTAACGAACAATGCATCGGCCCTGCCAGTACCTTCCCAGACTTCCATTATTTACATTGTCGTCAACATTTTGAACTCTCTTCTGTTTTGGACTATGCTCACGTCGCTGCTGTGTATGGTGTGGTACTTCCCTCTATGGTATATGGGCATATCAGGATACGAAGCGTCCATTTTGTCAGTGACGTCTCCTTTATTGTTATATGTGCCAGCCATCCCTATGATCGCCGATGTCTACGGTCCTCTGTTCACTGCTGTAATCGGCATCGGTGCCTACTTGATTGACTTACCCGAAAGCCGACTCTTGACGGCATCTCTGGCTGCTGGTATCACTTCTCTCAGCTTCAGTAATACGCTGAGAAGCATAACAAGTCAGAGTTCCGTTCATATGTATAGTGCAACATGGATTATGGGACTTGTGGGCTCCGTCATCCTGAAAATGGCCTTCTTTTCTCGGAACCCACTATGGCCCATTCTGAACGAAGAGAATGGAGGCTGGAATAAGACTGGGCTTGCTATAATGATGCTCGCTGCTTTATTCACTCCCCATGTTAATGCTATTCACTATCAAAAATTGGAATCGCCTCCACGCGTGCCCTACAAGCTCTTCTCGAAAATGGTGATTTCGGCAGGTTTTGGAGCTTTGATTTTCTCGATCCATCAGCTACTCACCGATGCTTCTACTATAATCTATTGGTCTTGGGAAGGTTGGAGTACGAATGGATCCCAGGGGCCTCTAACCTGGCCATATAGCTCACTTACCTGCGTTGCTATGTTGATTGCTGCCATTACTTCTCAGAAATTTATTGAAAAGCCCATTATCCCTGTCCTGCTTACGTGTGTTTCGACTTGCATTCTAGCTTCCTCATCCGTAACAGGGTGGCCCTGTTACGCTTTTGGCGGGATCATCTACATTTTTGGGATTATTTGGATCATTCCCACCTACTTCTCGAAAATGAACGTTATCAAGAGTCCATGGGCTTTCAGCTTTGCCTTTTTGTTCTACTTGGTTTTTGTACTGGCGCATGTATGGACCGTTGCGTACGCTTTTGTGCCATTTGGATGGGTACTAAGAGAAAGAATCGGAACTGTTTTGATCGGATCAACTATCCTGATAACCCTAGGCACTCTCTCTGGGTCGAACCAAAATGAAGGACAAGAGAAAATTAGCAGAAAGTTTTGGAATCGCATTTATGTTATTGGTATTTTGCTTGTGGGCTCGATTGGTTTTATCACCATGAGGCTAGCTCCCACCGGCGTTCCTATGCCTTATCATGCTGAGGACAAAACTATAACGGCTGGTATCTGGACTATTCATTTTGGCCTCGACAACGACATGTGGTCTTCGGAAGACAAAATGACGACGCTGCTGAAAGACATGGAAGTCGACGTTGTTGGACTGCTAGAAACCGATACACAGCGTATCACAATGGGAAATCGGGATTTAACCAGCAAAATGGCTCATGATTTGGAAATGTATGCCGATTTTGGGCCCGGTCCTAATAAACACACCTGGGGATGTGTTTTACTGTCCAAATTTCCAATTGTTAATTCAACACATTACTTGATGCCTTCACCAGTCGGTGAGCTTGCGCCTGCTATTCACGCGACTATCAAAACTTATGACGATATTCTCGTGGATGTTTTTGTCTTTCATGGTGGGCAGGAAGAAGACGAAGAGGATAGACGGCTACAAAGCGAGGAGCTTGCCAGAATTATGGGAAGCACAAATCGACCATCTATCCTTCTCAGCTATCTCGTCACTGATCCGCATGAGGGGAATTACAACAACTACGTCAGCGATGTATCGGGAATGCACGACATTGACCCAAGCGACGATGATAGGTGGTGTCAGTACATTCTATACAAGAAATTGGGAAGAACCGGTTATGCAAGAGTAAGCCGAGGCAGCGTCACTGACACCGAGTTACAGGTTGGCAAGTTCAAAGTTCTGAGTGAGGAAGAACTGGGAGAGCTCGGGGACTCTATCTACGAGGCAACAATACTCGACGACGACACGGATGTTCCAGAGTCTCTCTTGTTTCCCGACGAATACCATGGCGAAGGACAACGAGGACATCACTACCATGTCTTTGACGAACCTCGGTACTACCAAACCCCATGGTAACCTGTGTCACAACCTGGCACCATTCGACTAGCTCTATTATTTTCCAAAATCGCTTAAACTTAATCTACGTAATCTACAAGGTCGATTTCTTCAATGATCAAGTTTGCCATATGCTGCTGAGGGCTCAAAAAAGGCATATCAGATATGGACTTTAAGTCCACCTGCTCTTGTATCAGGTTATTAGGCTGTTTGGATGCCTCGATAACCTGTCTAAGAGAACTGCATCTTGCTACTATCTCAGGACTGTGATGGGCAAGCTCTTGCAGAACTGCATCGCATTTGGTCAAAGCAATGGCAGAAAGCTCAGGATCGCTTGCAATAGCATCATAGTATCCGGGAAGCGCTGGGGTCAATTTTACAGGAATAACGTTAATGTCTGTAAAGTTTTCCAAGAAGCGTAAAAGCAGCTCTTGATCAGTCGTGCTCATACAAGACTGAATGCGAGTGTTCTGGCGCGGACGATAGCCAACTATGCCTATATAAAAGAGACGAAAACTTCAAGTGCTCAGTCTTAATAGTTCTTGATAAAGACCGTGCTCACGAAAACTGGATTTCAAAGTATAGCACCAAGATAGTAACATAAAATCTGGGCCGCTTAGTCGATGAGAAAGCATGTAGAACATTATTGATATTTCAGGTCACTTTGTACTATTCTGAAGTTACGACAAGGGCCTCTTCATAAGAACTAGAGTTCAGAACCTAATGAGCTTTGAGTTAGTTGACCACCTAAACCTGTATGATTTGAGCCGCTGATTCGTGCCGAATCTGTGCTTTTTCAAATAAGAAACTTGTGTTGGACATTAAATACTATCATTAAAACACTTTTGAGTATATAGGTGGCTGGCGGTGCCGGGAAAAGAGCTGCACGCCTTGAGTTCGTGACAGTAGAGAAAAGAGAGGTAGATGAGATGGGAGGTAGGCATGTTTTGCTCTTTTCAGGTTTTCCATTATGCTGAAAGATTCACGCTCGGTAGCTTGACCTTTCCTATTATCGCCTGCTTACTACTGTGAGTGACTGGTGCTGTTTTCCATAACATCGTTATGTTCGAGCAAAGGCTTTTCATTGTCCGTATTCTCGATGTGTTGCGCTCTCGCCAACAATCCGAGCTTGTTGCCTTCTTCATCTTCGATTATAGGTAGCTCTGGCACGTAAGAGCCGGTCTTCCAAGCAGGGATGTTATCGGCCCACATTTGATCGATTTCTTCCAAAGTTTTACCCTTGGTCTCAGGGAACATGAAGAAAGTTTGAATGGTGAGACACACTGAGAATACCCCAAAGATAATATAGGTCTTCCAGCTGATGTTTTTGAAAGCCGATGGCACGAACATTGCCAAGGCAAAGTTGAATGCCCAATTAACAGAGGTACACAGAGCTGAGCCCTTAGCTCTTTCCATGTTGTTGAAAATTTCTGAGCAGTAAATCCAGATACCAATACCCCAGGTAGGTGCGAACGAACACACAAACAAGTAGCAAGCGGCAATCACACCTCGCGCGGCAGGCTTTGCACTATTGGGAATACTGATCGTAACTGTCTTATCGCCATCGAATCCATTGGGTTCGGGTTGCGAGTAAGTGGCCAGTAGTCCAGACACTACGAACAACCATATGAACATGAAAATACCGCCAGTGATCAGAACGGGTCTTCTCCCCACTTTGTCAACGAGGAATAAAGCGGGAATAGTCATAACCACGTTCAAGACGTATTGAATCGAGCCAGATACCAGAACCTGGTTGCCAGAGTAGCCAGCCATCTTGAAAACGTACACGATGTAGTACATCATCACGTTCATACCACATAGCTGTTGCCACATTTGCGCTGATACACCAACTATAGTCTTTCTAACGGTCTTCTTGCGGAACAAATGACGGTAGCCGAAATTCATGGCGGCCTGGTCGATCAAAACTTGTTCCTTGATTTCTTCCAATTGTAGCTGAACTTGAGGGTCATCACGATCGCCGTGAGCTCCGATTCTAGCCACAACTTCGCTGGCTTCTTCCCAGCGATCGTGGTTGGCCAGCCAACGGGGCGATTCGGGCAAGAAAAACGCTGCTACAAGCAAAATAAGGCCGGGGACGATCTGGATACCCCACGTGACCCTAAACGCGCCCGTTCCGTTGATAAAATGGCAACCGTACCCAATGTAGAACAGAACCATGATACCTACGGTCACACTGAGCTGGAAAAGCCCACAAACAGTACCTCTGATACGAGGAGGCGACACTTCGGAACAATACACAGGAGCCGCAGACGACCCGAATCCGATACCGATACCGCTGATCACACGGCCTGCTACCAGCATGGCCACGTCTTGGGACGAGGACTGCAAAATAGCGCCCAGAATCCAGAAAGCCGAACAAAGATGCAACGACACACGTCTTCCGTAGACGTCTGTCACGCTCGACGAAATCAGCGACCCGAAAAACGATCCTGCCGCCATAGCAGCAGTAATACCGCCTTGCCGGGTAGATTGAGGGTTGTGGAAGTAGTTTTTGTAGTGGTCTGTACCGATCATCGAAGACATCGATGAAATGTCAAATCCAAACATCAGTCCGGAAATGCATGCTACCACACCCACCACGTAAATATTGTAAATCTTGGGGAACTTGTCGTAGAGACGGCCCCGATAATTGACGTTGCGCATAAGACACTTGTCTATTACACTCATTGCACAGAAGCTATCGTTGTTGTCGATAAAACTTATTGTTTTGAAAACACACCGTGGTATCTCTTCAAGGAAACTATTCTCTAACGAGTGCTCAAGGTGTTTCCATTTCGAAGACCTTGGTCCGGATCTGGCCTCTTTATATATGTCAAAATTCTGGTGCTATGAGTGAGGAGAATGATCACCCCGCCAGTGCCAACAATGGGGTGATTTAATTAGCGGGTTGGTCTATGCTCTCTCCGCCGCTCGCACCCCTCTTTCTTTACCTCCCTTTGTAAAAGCGGAATGTTAAATTCCGAGGTTCTGCAGAGCCTTCTACGCGGATTGGGATAAATTTATGTCCCCACACTCATGCAGTGTTTGTGTGAAGTACGTCTTCTTCTGTGTGCGCCAGCGGAAAATCCAATGCGGAAAAGCGGAGCTAAGACGCCCGGTACACCGTTGAGACTATGTGATGGGTGTCTGGGTGGTTGTATGTGCCGGCCTTTTGGCGTCGGAGCACATTCGTCCGGGGCAGAGAGAGAATAGTGGGCGCAGGCACAGGGGTCGCTGGAAAGGCCCAACAGCGGTAGTATGAGCAATGGTTGGGGTAACGGACCATGTCATTCCGAAACACCCAAAATCAGAGAGGGTGACTGGGTGTACGACGCGGAGTACAAAGGTCCGGGATGTACAATTGCCTTATGGTATCGGATTTGGAACGTCCGGCCGCGGAAGTGAGCCGAAAATTAAATGTGGGGTTGTTCGGAGCGCCCAAGTCCGGGGTAGCATCCCCTGGCGTTTCTGCAATAACGGTCGGCGCACTTTAAAGGTGTTTTGTTTTCGTCCGGACTTCACAGAACAAGCGCAGATAACAGGGAAAGGCGCTCGAAAACGTCATAAGTCCTGGTTGCGGGACTCGGAATTATAAAATGGAATGATGGCACATTGACCAAGTCTGCGAATTAAAGCAATTGGCGGGTTGTTTCTTGTTGTAAGATTAACATTCTTGACCATCAAGATGAACCTTGCGATCATGAGAAAGGCCGTCATCAGCGGCGGAGCATACTCATTTTTTTAATTTTAGCAAAGTTGAGGCCTTCAAGGAGCCCACTGAACAAAACGGTCAGAAAGAACTCAGTAAAGACCGAAAGACCGGACTTACAAGGCTCATACTGGTTGAAAAATCACGGAAGTGAGATGTGTCTTTGGGCTTGTCGGGGTCGTAGTAAGGGCTGCTGATGGAAACTGACAGACCGCTTGTGTGTGTTTGCACGGCGCGAGACGAGCGAAAAGAACAAGATGAAAAATGTTCAGTCTCGCCGAAAAGCGTTGACTAACCAGCTCTGGTGCTTGTAAGGTGTTTGATTATGGCTCTCTAGTGCTATTGCCGGCTTCGTGCAGTGCGAAAAGTTGGTAGCCGCAGCAAGCAGTTCACAATTTGTTTTCGTATTTCATTCAAAGCACCGAAAAGTCCAGATTTCAAATGTCCTTTGAATTTTAGCACAACTCGTTGTGTTAACGTTTCTCAGTGCCAAAAAAGGGTCGAAATAAACATTATCCCATCTTTCTGTGCCATGAGGCTTGATAGTTGTACCAGTACACCGCAGGTTTACTTCTTCTGCAATTCTGTCCTCTTACACGCGGTGGCACAAGACACTTCTTGCACACAGCCGCCATAAAGGTGTATTTCTCATACCAAACAAGCCTTGCAACACAATCGGTCGGCTTGTGCGTTCAGATTTGATTTGCCTCGATTGCAGGGCAGCTTCAACATCCAAAGGTAGTACCAACGAAGGTGTAAAGATGCCTCCAACTCGCTTATATTAATCAATTGTCATTTGCTTTAACTGCCACGGAAGGGCCAAACACGCTGAATTCCTCATTCGAGAAACTAGAGGACAAAATTTCGACCTGTCTTATAGCCACGGGAAGAGCACTTAGGTTATATTGTGTGGCAATCGCGCAAATTTGTCCCGAGCCATTTCTGACACCCATTTCTGCCTTTTTTTGGTTATATGACAATCAGTGCACTGGTGCACTAGGAACGATTTTACGACTCGTATTGCACCGTTCTAAGCTTTATTCAGAATGTCCTAGAAGTTTGTTGTTTCAAGCTCCAAGAACCTGGCCTAAAACAAATCAAGCTCTAAAGGCTTCAAGTGCTCGCGTTACTAGCGTGTATAATGTCTTGTAATCGCCAAAATAACTATCAAAGTCTATAAAGCGCACAACAGCAACATTCTCATTTGCCGCTGGCAAAGGTAGCAGCCACAATAAGTGGGAAGACCACAGTCGCATCCGCATAGATCTTGACACTCTTGGCCTCAGCTTTAATCTTACCCCAGGAGATGGCTTCGTCCGGTCTGGCTCCGGCGTCAGAACCGTCAAATTCTTGACCTGTATTGATATAGACGGCATAATCCGCACCGTTGCGCATCAGACACGCGTTTGCAATGTGGTGTTTGATCAAACCACCTCCCAATAGAAGCATACCTGCCTTGGACGCTTCCATGGATAAGCTGTTAATTCTACGGATGTCCGCGACAATGTCTACGCGCAGCTGACGTGGGGAAGATTTGAACGTGTGGAAGAAAAGCATGTCTCCGATCGAACCATCCGTTATAGCAGGACAGAAAATAGGAATTTGGTTTTTGTACGCCCAGTAAAGAACCGACGACTCGTCATTAATCTCCTTTCCTAATCTGTTGATCAGCTTTGAAGGAGTCCAGATTGGAGATTCAACGTCCGAATTGGCATCCAAACATTCTGACTTGTGCTCCTTAACGTATTCTTCTTGTTCGTCCAACATCTTGTCCAAAATGGGCACAATCCATTCTTCGAACTTGCAGTAGTTGTCATTAGGGACCAAGAGGTTACCAATACGGTTGAGTCCTTTGTCACGCAGAGACGATCCTTTCAAAGTGAAATCTCCAAGGTAGGTAGGTGCAAGACATTTGATGAGATCCTCTTCAATCCCACCAGCGCTTGCAACGATAGCATCGACCTGCTTGTGCTGCACAAGATGACGAATGGTCTCACGCAATCCAGAACTGATCAAGTTTGAAGTGTATCCCAAGAAAATTGTGGTTTTCTGTCTACCTTGTTCGTCAAACGAGCCCTTTCTGTCGTGCTCTTCTAGCTCATCGCGGTGCTTTCCTCTCCAAGATCTCATCTCGTTAATAATTTCACAACCTTGTCCAAGTGTGCTGGCTTGGAAGCCCATAGTGCGCATGGACTTAACGAGATCAGAAGCTCTCATGTCTTTGGCTTCAGCCTTGGAATAGTCAATGCCTTGAACCTTCACATAATCGTCAGATAACGGTTCCGAAGCCTTCAACACTGCTTCATTCAAACTGCTGGGTAAGTTGGCGTTCTGCTGAGACATCCTTGATTATCACAACTAAACTATTCTAAGACGCTTGATACTCTTCTAATGGTCGCTTATGCCAAGTGAACTTTTGCCAAAATTTTTCAATTTTGTTCAAGTCTTCGAGATGACCAAATAATGAAAATTATAGATAAATAATGCAAACTAAGCGCTCTCTTCCTTCAAGTCTATCACGGAGTTGATGAACAATGGCGTTGTAGACCCTGACGATGCCATCATAGTCAATCAAGGAAATGCGAATATTTTGGTCAGGTACGGGGATCGGAAGAGCCGTCTTGACCGGTGCTGCGTGCGATTCCGAAGCCTTGAACAAAATAATACTTATACTTTAAAAAACTTGCAATTCGTCAAGAATTGCGTTGTACCACTCCTTGGCGATTATCTGGTTGCAGTTACCAGATTTCAGCGGAGTGTTTTAGATTTGAGAAATCTTTTGACAGAATTCAAAGTTGATGTAGACAGCCAGAAAGTTGAAGTCTTGGAAATGGAAAATTTGACCTACGATATGGACTCAGTAGTTAGAGTGGACCATTTTACCAAATTTCATAGGTGCAAGATCAGCGAACATTGTGAAACCATTGTGTGGGAATTCAAGCCCAAGTGGATGACCGAAAAAGGCGAGAATTGTCGCAATTGCAGCCTTAATTGCTTTAAGGGCCGCAATATTCCATATTGCTATAACATGGTCCTGGAACGGCCCTCAATCCTGAGAAAGTGGCTTGCTGCATTCGATGTGCCATCTCAGTTCTTCGATGACATGGAACTATATTTCAGTGGCCCCGATAACGTCCTGGCTACTATCTATGGAGCACAAAGCAAGCTTGTCGATTTCGTTTCACCGCCCGGCGAACTGACGGGCGAAAACGACGTTTCGGAAAAATTGGCCCTTTTAATGACTTTGCGGGATGTTACGTGCTTTCTTAGGTGGGACCCAGCGTCAGGCATTAGCGCCAAAATTGTGGACGTAGACCTGAAGCCAAAGTCTAAATGGAAACAATGGAAGGATCAACAAGATGTTTTAGACGCAAGTCATGTTCGAGTCTGCCATTAAATTGAGGTTGGCATGGATGTTTTGATAGGCCCGCCTGCTTATATTACAGTTTAAAGGCATTTTTAAACGTTTAGGGCAGAGATTTCATTGATACCTTTCTTCAAAAGTTCTTTCCATGCCACTCAGGCTATTATACGATGTGAACCATAGCTAGTTGTTTTTCTGTAGCCAGAGGTTACTGCTTCTATGTGAAACCGGAAGGCATCTAGTGAGTGACAAAGACGACCTATCGGACGCAGCTTAATTTATCTTGATGAATACTTCCCCGAAGCTTCTGGCAGAGAGGGCAGGTCCCCTCTGATAACACACGCATTGTGTTATATCCGGTGTACAACAATCTTTAAATTGTTCGAGGCAATAACAAGTAACACACATATTTACTAAGTCTTTATATCGATCCTATCTGATGCTGAAAAAGTAAACAGGCAGTCCTTCCATCAGTTAAATTCATACTTCTATAACTTTTGTCCCGGGCTCTTGAGAAAGTGACGCTTAGGAATTGTGAACTTAACGATGCCATTAAGTACTGTTTAAAGACACATACCAGGGTTTATCCAACAACAATCTTATCAGACGACCGCACAGGGTGAGACAGCCTGGCTTAGAATATAACCAACATTCAACTGAACTACTTTGGTAGAGCTCGACATCCTTTGTATCAAACCATGCGAGAAAAATACATTGAACGCTTGACCTTTCAACAGCCGAGGCCCCATCTTGCTATTAAAGAAACTCCTTTAAATTAGAGCCATTCTCTTCCACGTCCCTCCAGTTGGGAAGCCTGTAGGTAACATTTTCTGGTGCAAATTCAGGATAGGCTGAGCGTATAGCTTTGAGAAGCTCATGATAAAACACTTCGTACCCTTTTCCGGTGTAATGGACGCCATCCAACAAAAGCTCCTGCCATTTATCTCCACCCTGTTTTTGAAATGCCTCATACAGGTTGACGAAAGGAATTTCTTCCTGCAATGCAACTTGTTGAAGAGCGTCAGAATATCTCTTGTTGTTGTCATTTGAGCGGAAAATTCCCTGGCCGATCTGGTCTGGTTTCAACGCTGCCCAGCGCTCGCTGTCATGAAGCCCGGGCCCGATTAGAATAGGTCTGATATCTTTATCTTTTAGTATATGGACGAGTTTTGTCATATTCTGAATGAATTCTGTTATCTCCACTCGCTGTCTGCCAGCGGAAGCCGCATCGTTACTGCCAAAAAAAATTGTGCACATTACGATATCACTTGAGGACTCATTCTCCAAAATTCGAGGAAGTATTTGAAGAGCCCATCGAGAGTTATAGCCACTGAAGCCTCTCTGGACGATGTCAAGCTTTCTGGTGTAATCCCTGCATAACGCGGCCCCTAGGGCAAATTGATGCCCCCTGGTTTCATCGGCTAGCGTGTTGAACGCGAACTCTGTGATTGAGTCACCAAAAAGGAGGAATTTCTGGTACTTAAGTGACATTCCAAGCGCCTTTTGACGCTACTTGTTGGTCAAGTAGAACCCTTCTTAGATTTATATTCCAATTTTGAAGCACCTACCAATGTCACGTGCTCTTGAAGAGCGATGCGATGAGTTCAAATTTCTAAAATGTACCAACTCGAGCAAGACACGCATCTAGCCCATATCCTCAAATTCCAGGCTTGTACTATTTTTTGTATTATTCAAGACTATCACAAGGAATGCAATACCTCTCGAAACCGACGCGTGAACTAGGACCACCAACTGCGAAGTATTATTTTCAGAACGGAAAGGAATTCCAAATAAAGCCTACAATCCGAAGCCATAACTATACCGTGAAATAAAGGAATTCGCTAACAAGCTAAGAGATTTCGAATGTTTATGAAAGCGAGAGCTTAGAGGTAATGGTGGACATTTGTTCCGTCTAAGACGATGTGCAACTCATGTTTGTTTTAGATATTCCAGTAGCTTCTGGGCACGCTTGACTTGGTGCTCAGATGGTGGTAATTCCTCGGCCTTGGATTCAGAGCTAGGATCAGATTTGTCCTCTTTTTTGTCAGTTCCTTCGGGTTTTGTCGCCTGTCCGTCGGCATCCGTTGAGATTTTCTCGTCTGTATTTTGAGCTTTCTCATCTTTTTCCTCAGGTTCTCCCCCACTTGCATTATTCTGTTCGGCCTCAGAGTTCGATTGGGCCGCCAATAGCGCTTTTTCGTGTCGGTCCACGCACTCTTGACAGGCTTTCTCGAGTCCCGTCTTAGAGCCACCCTTTAGATCTTTGAAGTAAGCATACAGCAGCTCGTCATAACATGCAGGAATTTGTGTAAGGTCGAGGATGTGCTTCAGTAGCCAGTTTTGTTTTTGTTTGGAAAATTTCCATACTTCCGTGACCTGAGGCTTCGAGCTGCTTGCATCCTTTTCTTCTTCTGAATTTGTAAAATCGCCTAACTGTGCTTGCACCGGTTTATGTTCCCACACTTCTTGCGGCAGAGCTCCAACTTTCTCGCGATAGAAATCAATCAAATATCGCAGCTGATCCTTCAATACCTGTTCTTTGTTCAAAAGCCTCTCTTCACGAGGCGCCTTGTCCTTCTTTTGCTTCTTGTTAGAATTGCCATGCGTCTTCTGTTTCTTAACGCTCTCCGATTCGCCTTTGATGATCTTTCTCTTCTCTCTTTTACTCAGATTCGCTGTTGCTAAATGTGTTGTCACCTGGAGAGCCGTGGCATCGTCATTGGTTGTGGAGCTCTCTTGGCTCTTGATAGCGATTCTTTTCCAAGCTGGTATATGGTCCATTATGTCAACTCAAATGCTTTCCAATGGCCTGAATCTCACAATTGAAGCCTTGTCTGTTCGGGCCTTCCTATGCAGAGAGCTCATCTCTTTTGAAAGTTTTCCATCTCTTCTTGACCTCATCGATTTTTTCGGCAATTTTTCAAGAAAAAATAGTATAAAAGGCAGAAAATATTCAAGAAGGTGTCAACGTCCCATAACTTCTCTTAAAAAACCACATTCAAAATTTTGCGCGAACCTTGAGGTTACAATTGGAGATTGCTCAGAGTGGGTAATCGACTCTTGTTTCAGCGCATAGATCAAGAAATCACCAGTTTGAGTCGATCGGTAAGCTTGAAGTACAAACTTCGGGCAAACTACCGGTTGATATAGAAGAGTGCTAACAAGCGATGATCAATTCCTAGTCCTTTGTGTATAATCTTGACGTTGTAGAAGCTCTTGACAATCTCGTAGTTCAAAAGAATATCGGCTTCGCTCCATTACTTAATTAAAGTCATCTCAGATCTTCAAATCATGAAATATGAACAAGATTTTGAATTGTTTAGTTAAAACAGAATTAGGACACCGTGAAGCAGAACAACGATCTTTCTCATCATGTCCAGACATATACTTGCTACGGATTTCGATGAGACCATTACCAATAAAGATACTATTTCTACCCTGGCGGAACTCCCGTACCTTTACAAATCATTTAGCGTTCCTTGGACTCATTTTGTAGACACATACAAACAAGGATGCAGGAATATCGAACCTGCAAGCCGCATGCTGCCAATTTTGGAACCTTGGATTCACAATCCGAAGCAACTCATCACTGCTACTAATTTCGACCGATTGTTCCAATCGGAGATAGAATTCCAGAAAAGCCTAAGGCCCATAGAGCTGAACAGTATACGCGAACTCGAGAAGAAGGAAGCGTTTTCGGGCATTACAGTAAAGAATATTCAAGAGTTTTCTAGAAATCGCACGTTTCTGTTGCGCGATGGGTTTTTGGAAGCTTGGAAGGCTGTGACAGAAGTCCGGGTTCTTTCCGTCAACTGGTCCGAAATCTTCATTCAATCTCTACTGGAGTCAGCAGCAGAACAAAGCAGCCTAGAAGGCCCAATGCCTCCTGTCCAAGTGGCTTGCAACAATCTCATTGCTGAAGACGGTAAATTGAGCGGGAAGTTCGATAAGGCTGTGGTAACAGGAGTTGACAAGTTAGAAAACCTAAAAAAACTCGTTCTGAATTCCACGCAAACAGCTACAATATGGTATGTCGGTGACAGTGAGACAGACATACTTCCTATTCTTTATCCCGGAGTTAATGGCGTTGTCTTACTCGATCCTGCAGAAAACGCTAAAAAACTCACCAAAGTGACCTCTTGCATGGGTGTTCCGGATGAATATCTCAACAAGTTTGCCGCACAAAAGCTGGATATTGTTGAAGTACCCTGCAAGAAGACGGGAGCATTGTACCTTGTCAAGAACTGGAGAGCTTTTGCAAGGTTGTTACGATAAGGTCTAGTTGCTAATTTCGGCCTTTTTTAGCTTGCGGAGCATCAAGAGGTGTTCTAATGCAAGAAAACGAATCCGCCAATGTCAAAGTGTACGCATTGTTTATTCCATGTGGCATTGTTTTTCACGTTTGCCCAATGTTAAGAAAGTTGTCAAAAATAATAAACTTCAACGACGTCCTACCCTCACGTAGCATCAAATATCGAAAATAAAGGAAAGGGTATACTCTCATTCTTCTTTCGACCGTCTTCGTAAATCCCCAGCCTACTTTGGCGCTGATTCATAAGTTCTCACTGGTCTAAATGTTTTCATCCCATGAAAACTAAGTTATTCGCAGGTCTCAGCTTTTTGATTCTCCCATCAGTCGAAACGCCTAGGGTTCAGTTCTTGGTGAGACTTATTGAAGCAAACGGAGGAGCATGTTTAAATACGTATTTCAAGGACGCTGTGGTTTTACTCAACGATACATTTGTTGCTGAACATGGCTTGAGAAAAAGCCAGCTCTTTCACAGCGAATGGGCTTACGATGAAGAACTTTGGTATGATCTCTTGTCAGATGAGAAGTTGTGTATTTACAAGCTCAGTTGGATAAGCGAATGCCTCAAGCATCAGAAACTACTGGACCGGGAACCTTTCAGAACGCACTTGTTTGATGAGCATCCTGAATACGAATCTTCATCCAATCCCCACACAGCGCCAACCAAGGCAGAAAAGCCAGACCAACAGAAGGCAGTGAAAGACCAAGCTTCAACCGTTAGCTCACTTAAAAAGCGGACCCTGGCCGAGGAAAGTGAGCAAGAAAGAGACGCTACAAAAGCTGCTAAAAAAGTCTCGTCAACAAACGTTCGAGAGAAGACAAACTCTGCTCTCATACTTGCACTTGAGCAGCTTTCCAGAAAAAACCGACTACGAGGGGATACTTACCGCGCGCGCAGCTACCAGCTTGCTCAGCAAGCTGTCGAAAAGCATGATAAACCTATAAGGTCAGAACAGGAGGCCCTAGCTTTACCGAACATTGGACCCAGCATCGCCGCCAAGATTCAAATGATTCTAGAACTTGGGTCCCTACCTGGTTTGCACGAAGCTAACAAGAATGAAGAGCTTCTGGAATACTTCATGGCATGTCATGGCGTTGGGGCTCAGACAGCAAAGAAATGGGTTTCCAATGCTATTGGGTCATTCAGGGAAGCCTTGGAAGTGTATCCATCAGATTTCAACTGGAACGTGTTATTTGGATTGAGGTTCTATGAAGACTGGGTCCTGAAAATACCAAGGGAAGAATGCACAGAGCATTTGGCTCTGATCGAAAGAGCGCTTAAAGAAGTTGATACTAATGCACGAATTGTGCTCACCGGTAGCTACAGGCGTGGTGCTGCAACGTGCGGCGACATCGATACAGTGCTTTTCAAGCCAGGTTGCGACAGTATTGCAGAATTATCTCAAATTCTTGAAAAGCTGGTATTAAGTTTGAAGCGTACCAATTATATCCGTTGTCCACTAAACGTTAACTACAACTTGGGACAGGAGTTCAAATCAATGATAGAAGAACTTTCTAGAGCAGCCGGCTTAGAAGAGTCTTTTTCGTTGGGTCCCAAAGAACTGCTCAAGAAATTTTATTTTGGAGGCAGACTGCCGCCCAGTTCGGCGGGACAGCCTATGTTAAATTCAAAGGAACCTTATACGCTTAAAAAAGAAGATCTTTTCATGATAGAGCCGTCATCTTGCCAAAGATGCCGTCGTGTAGATATTCTTTTAAGCCGATGGAGCCAGTTGGGTGCCGTCATGATTTATTTCACGGGTAATGACGATTTTAACAAGAGTTTGAGATTGAGAGCTACCCAGCGGGGTTGGAAGCTTAGTAACAATGGCCTTTACCAGGCTAATGCCAATACAGGAAATGAAGGAATGCTCATAGAGTCATTTGATGAGAAAAGGATAATGAATCTTCTCGATGTAAAATGGGTACCACCCGAAGACCGCAACGTCGAGGGATATATATAGAGTTTCAAAGCAAGCTGATATTATAAAGAACAATCAATGTACTTCCAAGTTGGATATTGGATTATCTAGTAGTTTAGAGAGGTCATACACACATTACTCAGTCCCGCGATGCTCTTAAGCTCTGCTGGACAAGAAGGTAACACCTGGTAGTTCCTTACCTTCCAACAACTCCAAAGAGGCACCACCACCGGTGGAGACGTGGGAGATCTTGTCAGTGACACCGTACTTCTTGGCAACGGTGGCAGTGTCACCACCACCAATGATAACGGTGCTACCGGCTTCGGAGGCCTTGACGGCTTCCTTCAACATTTCCTGGGTACCTTCGCTGAACTTCTCGAACTCGAAGACACCTGGAGGACCGTTCCAGACGATGGTCTTAGCCTTGGAGATGGCAGTAGCGAATAGCTTTCTGGATTCTGGACCACAGTCCAAACCTTCCCATCCTTGTGGGACACCTTCCTTGTCAGTGACGATCTTGGTGTTGGCATCTGGGGCGAACTTGTCACCGCAGACAAAGTCAACTGGCAAGACGATCTGGACACCTCTTTGCTTGGCCTTTTCGGCCAACTTTGGAACGATTTCGGCACCAGCCTTGTCGTAGATAGAGTTACCGATTTCGGTGTTTTCTAGCACCTTCTTGAAGGTGAAGGCCATACCACCACCGATAACGATGACATCAACCTTGTCCAACAAGTTGTCGATCAATTGGATCTTGTCAGCAACCTTGGCACCACCTAGGATGGCCAAGAAAGGTCTGGCTGGGTTTTCTAGGGCCTTACCGAAGTATTCCAATTCCTTGGACAATAGGAAACCGGCAGCTCTCTGCTCTAGCTCGAAACCAACAATGGAGGAGTGAGCTCTGTGAGCAGTACCGAAGGCGTCGTTGACGTAGACATCGGCCAACGAGCAGAGTTGCTTTCTGAACTTCTCAACGTCGGCTTTGTCGGCCTTGACCTTTTGGCCGTCAACCTTTCTGGAGCCTTCTTCTTCAATGTGGAAACGCAAGTTTTCCAACAAGATGACAGAGCCTGGGGCGGCAGAGTCGACAGCCTTGGACACTTCTGGGCCAACACAGTCGTTCAAGAACTCAACGTCCTTGCCCAACAATTTTTGCAATTCAGCGGCCACTGGCTTCAAAGAGTACTTTTCGACTCTTTCACCGTTTGGTCTACCCAAGTGCGAGGCCAAAATGACAGCCTTTGGTTTCTGTTCTAGCACGTACTTGATGGTTGGCAAAGCAGCCACGATTCTCTGGTTGGAGGTGATCTTGGTGCCGTCCAATGGGACGTTGAAGTCCACTCTGATGAACACACGCTTGTCCTTGACGTTTAGGTCCTTAACGGTAAGCTTGGAGGATAGAGACATTTTTTCAATTATGCTGTAAATTGATGATATCTAAGAGAAAGTCTATGACAATAGCTCTTTGACGTGGGGATTTAAGACAAAAGAATTATCAGAAATTCTACTTTTCCTTCTAGAAGCACCCTGTTGTCATTTATATACTTTTCCATCGGCCTAAACTGTTTTTACTGTGACGACTTGCGCTCGTACCACGACCCGATCTCCTGCGTGAACACATCATCCGCCATGTGGCGATTTTTTTGCCACGCTACGGTATTTTTTTTGCTGAATTCTATGTAAATGCTTTGCAGGCTGTGTCGCGCTCACACGCTGCTGCTACAACTCGCGCACAAGCTCTTAGGGTGGGTGTTTTGCTTGCTCACCACGCTCACGCTACACTGCTGCATCTGAGAAAGAGACAGAAAGTCAGAGAATACTCACCTGGAGGGACAGGAGACTCAAGGAAACCAGGGAAACCACGTCATAAAGCTAGCGTTGATGTCTCGGTGGATATCAAGACTGTGAAGGTGATTTTTCTGAACAATTCTGGTATGTTAGTCTCCAGACGTCGAGTCAAAAGTGGTATTTGGTTGGCAAACGGTAAGACGCGTTAGAAATCGCGCAGCTTCAAACCGTTAGCGGCCCTGTCTGTGCGGCCAGAACGTCGTGAGCTTCCTGTTCTGAGTGTCGAGCTGCGACGCACGACGTCGGAATCCGAAGGAAGCGCCCGGAAGTCGGGATCACGTGCTGCATGAGGAGATGCATATGGAAATTAATAAAAAAATATCAGACTCTCCGTGAGTGTGTGTGTGAGAGGGAGGGCAGCCGGAACTTGAAATACGTGGTGAGCAAGGGAAGATAGGTTTTTAAGGTTGGTGGTGATGAAGATTGATGATTGACAGAACAATAAGGCAGGTGGAACTTCGGAAAGTGATTAGTGCCCTTCAAAATGGATTGTATGTATCTACTATGACCTGGGAGATAAAAGGGTATATTGAGAAAAAAATATAGTACACACGTGATGGCGATCACGTGTTTCGAGAGTTAACAGATCTTTTACCATAATGACACCAAATAAGGTTCGCGATACATAATCCAGATTCCCGGTAATATTCCATTATTACGTCGTGTTTTGAGTCGGTAGGATATTGGTTTCTCACATACTGGCGTATGTGCCTAATCTATCCCCTTCATTCAGGGACCTTTGGGCTGTGGTAAACAGGTTTTTGCCTTAGCGTCTGGTCTTTATTTTTTGGACTATTGATAGGTTCCAACAGTTTTAGACGATTTGCGGGTTCGAAACTGCCGATAAAACCATGGTAACATACAATTCCACACCTTGAACTGGCGTGCTAGGATCTTCAGAACCAAAAACAAAATAAATGAAATAAAATGCACAATTTCTTCAAAATGATTGCATACTTTCTGACAGCCTTAAAAACAGATACGTATACACAAATATGCATATATAAACTATTCAGATCAGACACATGGCGGACAGTTGACATTTTGACTAGCAAATTCGTTAGAATAGCTACGCGACTGAACCTGCAAAATATCAAATTTCTGGCAACTTGAATAAAACTAGCACCCCACAAAAATAGTGGTAAGTCTTCCAGTATTGTCCTGTCGAATCCGGGTTGTAACAGAGTTTGAATCTAGACTCTTGAATCGAAGATCACGTGCTACCCGTTTAAAAAGCTCTAATTCTCTAAATTAGAGCTTTAACCAAGTATTCATTGAATCTATGCTAAGGACTTCCCACATACACGGTAGCTGAAAAGCTACTCCACGAGCAAAGATGTCAGCAAGTATTGTTGAGCAATACCAAAATAGCGAAGACAATGATCTCAGATACATGGCTCTTAGAGAGCATTTTTTGCACATTCAAGATCCAATGGACGATCAAATGCTGCTTGATACAACGTCACGTGTTCTAATACCAGCACTCAACGATCGAGATCGAGCCATTTCAGAGCTTGTGTCGACCCAAATTCTGCCCCACATTGCTGAGATAAATGTCTTGGAAGCCGAGATGTGTGTAATTTTGCCACTGTGCGAAAATCTATTGGAAACGACCTCTCATGTCCACAGCAGCCCTCCAGTTCTGCAAGCGCTGAAAAACGTCCTTTCACGCTCCAATAGTCCATTGCAGACTTCCAAACCCCTCGAAAGATTTTGCGAAACACTGGCTTTGCTAAGGATAAGGCCTTACATGGTTTGGGATACGTTGTCGTTGCTGCTAGAAAGAACTCCTGTGACGCTATCAGCACACGTGATCCAATCCCAGTATTCCACGCTCTATCGTCTGGCGCTGAGTGACGGAGGATCAGCAGCCATGATCGCTCTTCGTACAGCCACCGGCAAGGTTTCTGCTGAAACGGTTCTGTCAACTTTCGAAGAAAATCGAGAGTTTACAGACGTTCATTTGAAGCTTCTGTCATACATCACAAGCGAACAGGTAGCATTCCGTTTGCTTTACCCCGAGCTCATTGACAAGTTGCTGCAGGTTCAGCTCACAGAATACGCATGCAAGACGCTCGTCAATCTTTCTGTCTGGCTACAGCAGCCGGCTATGAGTGAAAGCTCAAACCTAAAAACAGAGCTCCAACACCGGTTATTTGCTAAATGTTACGATGTTCTTGCCGATTATGCCGAAAAGATGGAAACGGACTCTGAAAATGAAGAGGACTCCGAACAGGAAGCATACTTCAAGGAGTTATCGGCAGACGGTTATGGTGAAGGTGTTATGTTCGAAGATGAAGGAAAAGACGAAGCTTACCAAAGTTCGAGTGAATTACCACCAACGGTCGATAGTTGGCTAAAATTGCTACAGCAGATAAAGCTGCGTCTGCCTCAGACAATCGTCTCGATTCTTGCATCGCCAAAATTCGCGAAAGTTCGGGATTGCTTCCCAGTTCAGGATGGAAGATCGGGTGATGAGACAGTTTCCCGCAAAATTGACGAAATAACAAACGAAGGTAATTTGCAGCTCGGTGTGGAGCCTGACCTTATTTCTTCGGGTGCTCCAAACTTACCAACAGATGCAGACTTGACCGAAAAAATCAGCAACTTTAGTGAAGCTTTGAATATCACTGAGGCTCCCAAGGAAACCGGTATACGCTGGCTGTACAGCATGCTGAGTACCGACGAAAGCAATCTGGCGGATCTGGAAATGGCAGTGGATGCTGCGTCGGCGCTTTCAAGGCGTGAAGACATGCAGGACATGCACGATTTTATTGCTGAATTACTATGGCCACATCTGAAGCCCAATAAACTTTTCATCGGAACCGTCAAGGTTGGAAACATGAAGCAGTCTATCGATGACGGCGTTTCGTTCCGAATAAACTGCTACGCATTGATTCAACAATTGCAGTTGTCCTACGGATCCCAATGCAGAACCCTGGAGGAATGCGTGGAAAGAGGGTTCAAAGACGAAGCAGAAATCAAAGAAGTATCAGCCGCGCTCTTCAATTCCATTTTCACCCAGATCTGGCCAGAAATAGAGATCCGCGACGCTTGTTGGTTGCGCGACAAGCTCTGGACAAGAATTCAAGACAGGCTCAATAAAGCGCTCGCTACGAAGCCCAACGACTCCTCAACATCTCACCAGATCTCGAATTGGACCAGGGGAATAGTCAGTCTGGATACTGTTCGGGGATTAGTGGGTACCGCGCTACACAACCCACCCGTACTAGTCGATCAGGACAGAAGCCAATAATGATTGTGTGAAGCCCCATTCCCACCCGAGCTACAAAATGCTAGTCAGAATCCACCTTTTACTGTAAACGAACGATACTCTATAACTAAAAGTATGAAAGGCAAAAATTGCGGCCATCACCCAAAAACACTACTTCTTCAGCTCTTGAAGAAAGGTTTCATTGACATTCGTTTTCGTTTTCCCACATCCAAGAGGAAACGAACGTCTCGATATTAAATAAGCTATTGAACACGTATAAAAACAAGAAAGGTCTCGTTGGAAACCTAGAGAAAAGCCAGCAATTGTGGGATAAATTCGCTACCCAAAACACTATAGCATTGCATGGTTTTCTGCTTTAACGTCAAACTTTGAAGCTTGATCTCTGGTGGCCATTGTCTTTTAAGTAGTTGTCACTAACAATACTCAACTAGATCAACGTCATGATCAACGGTCGGTCGACGATCTTACCCTAACCCAGTGAAAAAGGTACGGCTCCTATAAGAAAGGTTGCTCAGACGAAGATGACCGATTCGTAGTTGAATAACTCTCCCAACTTGACCAAACCTCATCAACTCATTGTTGAGAAACACGAACCGAGCATTTGCAAGATGGCTTCTCAACCCAGTGAAGACTACTCTGAAATCGATTGTCCACCTCAATATCGTGTAACTCCAAACCCAGAACAACAAGAGCGTTTGACTAACGCCCCCCCACTGTTGAGAAAAAAGTCGACAAATTACAGTGACGCTCTAGAGTTGGACCAGAATCTGCCCAGTGCTATGTCGAAGGGCCTGCATTTGAGAAAAGATTCCGAAAGTGAACAGACGCAGCAGCGCGAAGCTAGCAAGCATGAATTGCAACGAAGAGCAGTGAATCCGGATAATGAGGACGAAGAGACTACTTACGAATACGGGAATCTGAAATGGAACGAGAGGGACGTTCCTGTCATAGCTGCATCGCATGGGAGCAAGACAGGCCTCGTCAAACCCAACGTAGACTCGCCTCCAAAGTCACCATACGGTATCATTTACTGTGACGGGGAACATGAAGGTGCTAAAAAGTCAGAATTCCCATTTGAAAGGCCTCCATTGAAGGAACGACGGTCGTCGCTATTTGAGGACCAAAGAGAAGAGTCCGATGGCCGCCGTGCGGTTGCCCCATGAAACCCTTTTTTTCCTGTCTCCCAGAAATGCTCAAAAACCAGGAATAAAATCAACATTACTTTCACGACTTAATGACGGTTTGCTTTACCTTTTTCCCATCCCGACTTCCAGAGCGGAGTGCTTTCTTACTATTACTACTACTACTATATGATATGGCTAGAGAATTCTATGAATTTCATTCACGTATGCATCATCAACCGCGCTTAGCTTAGCTCTTATCTTTATCTAAAAATATTCGGTCGCTAGCGAGATAACAAGAATATAAAGGCTCGAAGAAACACTTTTATAAGAGTTCCCATCCCTTTCTCACACATCAAGCAACAATTTTGGCTGTTGAGCATCATTTGCAATTACAACTAGAATAAAAATGCTGTCCATCGAAAAAGTAGATAACGCAGATTCCATCTTCAATGCAACCATCGAACTCAAATTCGATTCGGATTCAGTGTCTACTTTTAACCTTATATACTTGCTAGATAACTGTAGTTCCCCGCAATCTTTGCATCCAGAAACGAAGCAGAGACTGATCGACGTGTTCAACGGGACCGAAGAACAAGCTCGGTGCGGTTTTGAAGATGCCCGCAAGGCAATAGAAAGGGTTTTCGACGGGGTCAAATTTGAGGTAATTGACGGAGCCCTTGTATGTCACTGGTCCAAGTCCCACAGCTCTACGTTTTCGGAGAATTGGCTGCAGACACATTCTTATTGCCCAAGATTGTATGAAAAGCTTCAATTGCTCCCAGAAACCCGTCCTTGGGATGCTGCTCAATTCTGGGATTTAGTACATGAACGCAAACCCTACAAATACGACGAGCTTTCCGAAAATCTCAGTGGACTTCTCGAGGATATCTTTACGTATGGCTTCCAGCTCATAGACGATGTTCCTGTGAGCTTGGAAGCCACTAAGGAGGTCTCTGAAATGATATCAATTGTTAGACCGACTCACTACGATTTAGGCGTATGGGACTTTTCGTCTGATCTAGCTAAAAAAGATACCGCATACACCACTCTGGGCATTGACATGCACACAGATGGCAACTATTGGCAAGAAACGCCCGGTTTGCAGCTTTTCCACCTCTTGGAACATTCTGAAGGCAAAGGTGGAGAAACACGCATAGTAGATGTCGAACATGTACTGGGAGTTTTGAAGGACTTAGCTGCAAAAGACGAAAGCTGGCAAGAAACTTACCACATACTCACGACTCAATCAATCGCTTTCCATCAGGCTGGTGAGGAAGGAACCTGTTTTATGAAAGACTGGTTTCCCATACTCAGTGTTAACGAAAAGGGCCAATTATTGCAGTGCCGCTGGAATAACAGTGACAGATCGCCACAATTTCCAGACCTCAAGTTTTCCGTTGGCCACATTTACGAGGCTCTATTCAGGTTCAACTCCCTGATCAACGATCCGAACAATTTTGTCCAATTTCAATTGACGCCAGGAAAAGTACTTGTTTTTGACAACTGGCGAGTTTTGCATGCCAGAAATTCTTTTACCGGGTACCGTCGTCTCTGTGGCTCTTACTTGACTAGAGATGATTTCATTGCAAGGCTCAGAGGCTTTTACAATGACAGAGACGCACTTCTAAACGCACTATGAACATTTTAACAACTACCAAAAATTAACGGCCACCAGCTGGATCCCGAGTTAATTTTCAAAAGACTCCTATATAAAACAGACTGACTGTAAGCAACTGTTTGATGCTGGACATAGCCAAGATCTAACTAGCAGAAGCTCGAATGTGTTGTCGGTCGGTGGTGGCATTCGATTTGATCGATTGGCTCGCCACGTGACCATTTTTTTCAAGAGATGAGATCAATGTCAGTGTATAAAACCTGTATTTACCATGACTAACTACTATACATATACATTACTAGCGCAGCGTTTCGGCATACCTATAAGCCAGCATGTTAGCTCGTTGGGCATTAGTACCGAGACTCTCTTTGAAACTATGTCGGCCAGCTGAGTTTACGAGCTGTGTAACAAGCTTTCCGCGCAATTCGAGGTTTTATGCGCATAAAACCCCAGCCAAGAGGAAGAAATTCAGCGAAGAGCTCAAGCCTCTTAAGTTTGAAATCCCAAACTATATCGCGGTCAGTGACCTAGCAAACTTGATAAACCTGAAGATAGAGAAATTAGTCAAAGATTTGACGAAGATGGGATTTGCCAACGTAACCCATAATTACATTCTGTCGAGAGAATACGTCGAACTAGTTTTGATGAACTATAATTACGAACTCGGCAAGCAAGCTCTTGCCGTCACTCCCGAAAATGTTTACGATGAGCTTAGGTCTCCAGTAAACCCCAAGAATCTCGCTAGGAGGCCGCCTATCGTGACTATCATGGGCCATGTTGATCATGGGAAAACCACGATTCTAGATTACCTGCGGAAGACATCTATCGTATCTGAGGAACACGGAGGCATAACACAGCACATCGGTGCATTTCAAGTCGAGACCCCGGTTTCCAAGAGAAAAATCACGTTTCTTGACACACCAGGCCATGCTGCATTTTTGAAGATGCGCGAAAGAGGCGCTAACGTCACTGATATTATCGTGCTTGTAGTTTCGTTGGAGGATTCTTTAATGCCACAGACGTTAGAGGCTTTGAAGCATGCTGCGAAATCTGGAAGCCAAATGATAGTTGCAATAACCAAGATTGATAGAATTCCCAACGCGAAGGAAAGAGAGAAGGCTATCGAAAAGGTAACCCTCGATCTGATGAACAACGAAGTTCCCATTGAAAGAATCGGTGGAGATGTTCAAGTTGTGCCCATAAGTGCTCGGACAGGAGAGAACATGAATCTTTTGGAAGAAAGTATCATTGCTTTGAGCGACATAATGGATTTGAAAGCTGAGAGAAGCAATAAAGCCGTGGCAGAAGGATTTGTGATTGAGAGTGAGGTAAAAAAGTCAGTGGGAAATGTAAGTACCGTTCTGGTAACTAAAGGAATTCTGTCGAAAGGTTCGATTTTAATTTGCGGAAGCACATACTGCAAGGTGAGGAGCATGTCAAATGGCCAAGGGGCGAGTGTACTTCTTGCGGACCCAAGCACTCCAGTCGAAATCACCGGTTGGAAACATTTGCCTGCTGCTGGTGACGAAATTCTTCAAGTCGGAAGCGAGTCAATAGCCAAAAAATACGTGGCTAAGAAGCTGGCTGTTCTACAAACGGCTAAGGAAGTGAAAAATGTCGAGAAGATCAATGAACAAAGGGCAATAGAGGCTCTCGCGAAAGCAAGTAAGGAGCAGGGTAATGAAGATCTTGAAGAAAGCGAGGAACTCGAAGAGAACACAGGTCCGGAGAAGGTCAATTTTATTGTCAAAGCTGACGTATCGGGTTCGGTAGAGGCAATCGTTGAAAGCATTTCATCTCTTGGTAACGAAGAGGTTCAATGCAGTGTTATCTCTGCTTCTGCTGGTATTCCCAATGAAAGTGACATGAAGTTGGCTCGTCTAACAGACAGTAAAGTCTTGTGTTTCAATCTAGGGTCCCTTCCTTACGATGTTATCAACAACAAAGACAAAATAGAGGTGGAACAATACAACGTCATATACAAACTAATTGAAGGAGTTACAGAAACTCTTACAAGCAGGTTGAAACCCATTTACGAATCCAAGCAGATTGCACAAGTTGACATCAGGGATATTTTCAACTTCAGCGTCAAGAAAAAGGTTACCAGGATTGCTGGATGCAGGGTGGTTAATGGGCTACTAGCCAGAGGTTCCATGGTGAAGATTTTACGAGGTCCTAATGAGGATGTGGTTTACGATGGCCGCATCGCAAGCCTAAAGCAGGGAAAGGAAGATGTGCCATCGGTGAAAAAAAATAGCGAATGCGGCGTCACATTCGATAATAATTTTGAGGGTTACGAGGCTGGCGACAAACTAATAACGTATGAAAAAGTTAAAGTTCCAAGATACCTTTAGTCTTGTTTGATTAGATATATATACCACTTGTAAATATAAATTTGAATTAATTCTTGTTTTCCACTTCCCACTGTACCCTCACACATTCTTCGACATAGCCAACGTTGTGTTCGTCATATTTGGTGATATAATTTTCCACATCGGTAAATATCATGATGGTACCCCATTCCATCCCTCCTCTTTCTAAGGTGGTTTCTTCCAAATCTAATATCATTTTTGGCATCAACTGCATCTCGAAAACTCGTTTGGACGACGGATTGTAACCTGGTGAAGGTATCGTCTTCAAAAGGTCCACTTGTGTAGCTGCGTAGTATAAGGGTTGACCACCAAAGTGATATCTCAAGACCTGCAATGGATTATATCCTGCCACGTCCTGGAATTTTTGGAAAACATCGTCGTCAAGAAATTTTGACAGCTTCTCGGTTCTGGGATCAAGCTCGATGTTGTTGCCTATTGCTGATTCGTCGATCTCAGCGTTGAGATCTAGGGCTGACTTATCAATTTTTAGATTCTTGGGCAGTTTGAGATGGTCAGGAATCTTGTTTTTGAATGATTCTTGCTCAACATAAAGAAAGAAGCCAGGAAATCCGCTTTCGAACTTTTTGTCAGCCAGGGCATCGTGCTCCTTCCGTGCGGTTTTTGGGTTCACCGTCCCAGTGGCTGACTCAGAACTTTCGTGAGTGACCTCCTTGGCATTTACAAAAGGATTTTCTGAGGCGATTGCAAAAGGGTTATCATTTCCTGTGGGATCAGCAGCAAAAGGATTTGAAGAGCTCTTTCCAAGCGAATCACGACTGATGTTGAAGTCTTTCGCAGGCGCCGATGACTCCAGTGTGTCCTGTAAACTTGCTGTGCTGTTGCATTTTTTCACACCCCGGATACAGCGTACAGAATTTGGCTTTCTGGGACAATTCGAGCATAGAAAAACGTATATGACCCTTGTGTCTTCCGGATTGACTTTCATGGACGTCATACCAAGCTCTGCTGCTACTTCTTCAGTAACTTCTGGATCCAGTGGGGCGAAAGCTTGCAGCAACAGTTTCATGTGAGTGCGGGAATGACACGAGCCGCATTTCAAGAGTTCTGCGTCTGGAATCGAGTCTGGATGAAGCCAAACAGGCTCTCCTCCTATGAAGGTATCGTCTGTGCGGACCTCATCGGCATCTTTGATAGCTGCATCAACAAATCCTAAATAAACGTCACTTGGCTTCGCCGTTAAATTTTCTACCGAATCAGAGAACCTATCTTCTATATCAGACATCTAGCAATTACAAGAGCGCCCACAATCGTGTCTAGTTCAATGCGATTATTTCTTGACAGATTCCATCGAATTATTATTCAAATTTCATATATCAAGTCTAATTCAATTATTGTCAAACTTATTCTAACTTTTTACTTTACTGTCATTTTAACAATCGAAAAAACAGGCTAATCTTTGCAAGCTTGCTAAAAACAACGCTGGACTGTATTCGATAAAAAACAACCATGTATATTTGCTAAATTTCTAGTTGTTAGTGAAGACTCAGCGCCTTTCCCATTCCTTGAGTTGACGTTCAAATATTTTTTTGGTCCATCTGAACGCATCTCCGGGACTGCGGGTGTGTGTGTAACTCTGCTGGCCTTATGCATGCTACATACCGCAATCCATTAGAAGTTCAAACCTGACAATAAGAATTACAATAAATCGTCAGTAAATGGCGGAAAACAAGCGACAGAGGGAGGAGCTAAGGGAGGAGTTAATCGAATCTTTCCTACCAGAGTCCATATATAGACAGGAAAAACACTTTTACCACTTCAAAAGTCCCAAAGCATAAACACTATGTCACAATTTTGACGTCACAATCATTCTGTCTAGATAAATCAAAAATAACCCGTAGAAGTGAGGACCTGAAGAAACGGCAAAAGAACTTGCCTTCAAATTGAAAGAAATCTAGCCAGGTATTGAAATGAGAACTGGAGATGAAGTACGTAGCGATGTTTTAGAGGTTCAAGTTGTTCAACATAGTTATACTCTGCACACGCTATCAGTTTTCTGATACTTAAGCTTTAAAAAATAATATGAATTACATCGAAGCGCAAGTGGTTTAGTGGTAAAATCCAACGTTGCCATCGTTGGGCCCCCGGTTCGATTCCGGGCTTGCGCAATTTTTGCCTCTCACAATTTCGTAGAGCTCTCTACTTACTCTTAAAATATAAAATATTTAATCCAAGAAGTTTTCGACAACCGAGTCTTAACTTGAACTGAAGTCTTATATCGGGACCTGATTCGATCCAAATTGGTACATCAACACCGCTGCTCATTCGAATCAAAGCTGTTTTGAAATGTCCAACATCGCGTTCAAGATTCGCCAGGCCGCTCCCGGAATTGATCAAGTAGTGGCCGATTATGCCAGCGGATACTACAATCACTTGTTGAATGCCACTTACGACGCAGTTCAAAGCAAACAGCTCATTTTGCCGCAAGAGGTCTCGTTTCTGCAAGAACTTTTGGAGAATGCTGGTGGGAAAGAGGATAAAGTAGAAGAGGTCTGCAAAGAAATGCTCGAAAGACTGTCGCTGCAACTTGAAGAGAATCAAGCCAAGCTTGAAGTCACTGGTGATACAAGCAAAAGATTGCTGGACGTTAACATTTTGCAACATCACAACAGTAAGGCCAATATCAATACTTCGCTTGCAATGCTGGGTGTCAACGGTGACATAGAGCATACAGGCCGCAACATGGATACCAGGGTGGATTTGAAGAAATTAGAAAAAGCAGAGAAGAAGATCGCCAAAAAAGTGGCCAAGAGAAACAACAAGTTTGTCAAATACGAGGCGTCTCGTCTGATTAACCAGAGCAAGGAGGATGACTACGATTCCTTCTTCTTGGAAATTAACCCTCTCGAATTCGGTTCTGCCGCAGGTAAATCCAAGGACATCAAGATTGATACATTCGACTTGTATGTTGGTGACGGGCAAAGAATATTATCGGATGCACAGTTGACTTTGAGTTTTGGCCACAGATATGGTCTGGTAGGGCAGAATGGTATCGGTAAATCCACTTTATTGAGAGCGCTGTCGCATAGAGAGCTCAATGTTCCTAAGCATATTTCGATCCTTCATGTCGAACAAGAGCTTAGAGGAGACGAGACGAAGGCACTACAAAGTGTCCTGGATGCCGACGTCTGGAGAAAACAACTCATGACAGAAGAAACCAAGATCAACGAGAGATTACAGGAAATAGAGAAGCTGCGCTCCGAATTTGATGAGGATAGTCTCGAAATAAAGAAATTAGAGAACGAACGCGAGGATTTAGACCAGCATTTGGAACAAATCTCGGAGAAACTAGTGGATATGGAATCTGACAAAGCCGAAGCCAGGGCAGCTTCCATTCTTTATGGTCTGGGTTTCAGCGCAGAGGCGCAAGAACAACCCACAAACTCATTTTCCGGTGGTTGGAGAATGAGATTGTCACTAGCAAGGGCATTGTTCTGCCAACCTGATCTCCTTCTGCTGGATGAGCCTTCCAATATGTTGGATGTTCCATCTATTGCATACCTTTCTGAATACCTAAAATCGTACCCTTCAACCCTTTTGGTGGTCTCGCACGATCGTTCTTTCTTGAACGAAGTTGCCACTGATATCATCTACCAGCACAACGAGAGACTGGATTACTACAGAGGTCAGGACTTCGACACATTTTATGCGACCAAAGAAGAGCGTCGCAAAAACGCTCAAAAGGAATATGAAAATCAACTGGCGTATAGAAAGCATCTACAAGAGTTCATTGACAAGTACAGGTACAATGCAGCTAAATCCCAGGAAGCCCAATCAAGAATCAAGAAACTTGAAAAACTACCCGTCTTGGAGCCTCCTGAGGAAGAAAAAAGCATCACATTCCACTTTCCCGAATGTGAGAAGTTGTCCCCGCCAATTATACAGCTGCAGGATGTCTCGTTCGGGTTTAGCGCTGACAATTTGTTGTTGGAAGATGTCAACTTGGATGTTCAAATGGATTCAAGAGTTGCTCTAGTTGGTGCCAACGGTTGTGGTAAAACGACGTTGCTAAAGGTGCTTATGGAACAGTTGCGCCCACTCGCAGGTCACGTCTCCAGAAACTCTCGTCTGCGTGTGGCTTACTTCACGCAACACCACGTGGATTCCATGGACTTGACAACATCAGCAGTCGATTGGATGTCTACAACTTTCCCAGGCAAGACAGATGAGGAATACAGACGTCATCTCGGTGCGTTTGGGATCACAGGTTCGCTGGGATTACAAAGAATGCAGCTGTTATCTGGTGGTCAGAAATCGAGAGTTGCATTCGCCGCGCTGTGCCTAAACAACCCTCATATCTTAATTCTTGATGAACCTTCTAACCATTTGGATACGTCCGGTTTAGATGCGCTGATGGACGCTTTGAGAAACTTTACTGGTGGTGTCTTGATGGTTTCTCACGATATTTCAGTCATCGACGGAGTTTGCAATGAGATCTGGGTATCCGAAAACGGAACTGTGAGACGCTTTGACGGTACTATCCACGACTATAAGAAGTACATTATTTCGTCTGCCGGTAAAGCGGGCGTGGTAAAGAAACATTGAAGTCAGGAAAGAAAGAAAGCGCACTGAGCTTTTATATTCCAGATCCTACAATAAAGCTTGGGACTTGAGTTTATAAAGGTAGTATTCTATGTATTTTATCTTAGCAAAAGCTGCGTTTTACGTTTGCTCGTGACAGGATCTAGAACAGACTTGACTTGTACGTTCACCTTATCAAAAACGAAAATGTCCTTTGTGTTCTCACTGCCAATTGGCTTGAAACTCAATTTAAACTCTTCAGCTTTGAATTCGGCCCCCTGTTCATCGTCAGTCAGATTTTCAAGTCGTATTAAGCCCTCGACTCCAAATTTTGGCACCAAGACGACTATACCGTTGTGAAATACTCTGATCACGTAGCCCGTCTCTTCTGATTCGTTGTTCCTCATGACCTGGCCCACGTAATATTCTATGCTTGCTCTTCCGGCAAATTGAGCATTCCTGTGTTTTTTGTTCATGTTTCGACACAGAAATTCCATCTTGTTCTTGTCCCTATGACTCAGGTCAAGCGGTTCGTAGCCAATAGCTCCAGCAAGCTGTCTATGAGCCACAACATCACAGTAACGTCTGATCGGAGACGTAAAATGGGTATATATGCCAACTGCAAGACCATAGTGACGATAGTCTGCGTACGAATATGCTCCTGAATAAAAATATTGAGCAGCCATCATGCAACGAGTGGATATAATCCGCACCAATGTGTTGAAGTAAGGGTCGCTGGGATCAACACAACGGTCCAGAGATGCGGCAAGTGCTTTGGATGATTCGGTGGAAATGGACATGCCCTTTCTCAATTGAAGCATTTCATTGAGAGTTTCAAAATTGGTAGCAGGGGGTGCGGCGTGCCTTCTCAACATGGCCGTTTGAGGGAATGCGTCATAGATTTTACGGGCGACGGACTGATTGGCGAGCAACATGAACTCCTCAACTAGGGAATTGGTGGCTAGAAGTTTTTTGATTTCCACCTCGCCGGGATCAGAGGTTTCGCTATCCATGTGTACCTTGACCTCCGGAGAGGCTAGATTTAGCGCACCAGCGTCAAGACGTTGCTGTTTGAGTTTGATGGATAATGCAAGCAAAGCTCTCATCCCCTGTGTGAGCTCGTCTGTGCAACTCTGGTCGTCAATCCGCATTTGCGCTTGTTCGTAAGAGAAAGCCTCTCGAGACCTGATGATCGACTTGGTAAAATCAACGTTAACAATATTGGCGCTGTCGTCCAGCTCCCATATAACCGAGAAAGCGTACCTGTCCACGTAAGGCTTCAATGAACAAAGATTGGTACCCAGCAACATCGGAAGCATGTCTATACGCTTGTCGACCAGGTAGACAGATGTGCTTCTTGAAGCACCCTCCGCATCTAGAGGCGTGTTAGCTTTTACGAAATGAGTAACGTCCGCGATATGAACGCCGACTTCCCAATTTCCATTGGGAAGTTGTTTAGCGTGTAGAGCGTCGTCGATATCAACACATCCAGGAGGATCGATGCTGCAAATGAGCTTATCTCTTAGATCACGTCTTTTGGTGAGAAGAGGGTCCTTTGCAATTGCGTCTGCATCTGAAATAGTTTCCGGAGCCTTCCAATCAGAGCCTTCGGCAGGCAAACACTCCAAAACTCTCTTTGAGAAAGGTTGATATTCAACATTGTGCTCCAGCAATAGAGCCTCTGTCTCTGCCTCCACAGATTCAACCTCGCCAAGCTCTCTGACAAAATGTCCCAAAGGGTACTTGTATGAGTCTGGCCACGAGTCGACTGCTACAACAATACGCTTATTTAGCAGCTCTCTAGCCCGACGTGTGCGTATTCTGATTTTAGGTAAGCATTTGTCCATTAGGATGACAAAGGCATTTTGCGTACCACCATTTTGCAGATCAACCGAGTTTGTGGCCAATTGTCCCACATATTGGCGCCACGAACGTCTTGTGATAGAAACGACGCGAGCTGTTGGCTGAGTTTTGCCCGACTTTTGTGTTTGTATAGCATCCTGGACAAGTAAGCGGCGCTGCTTATCTGAAATCTCATCTTCTCTGTCGTTTTGACTTTCATCGGCATCTGGGTTATCATTGACGTCAAAGTGCTCAGAGTCCAGAGCTACAGTCGATGGTGCCTTCCATTCACTTTGCGGCAGTAGCTCCACGACAACTTGATCTCCGTTGAAGGCTCTATTGAGGTTCTTTTGACCCAAGATTAACACAGGCTTGGAAAAATTGGGTAAAGACACAAGGCCTTCCAAAAAGTTGTACTCTGAGATTTGAACTGAACCCTGGTATACAACGCCACTTTTGATGCCACCCATAACTCTGGCTGTTGAATAGTAATCCGGGAACTTGAATTCTGACCTAGCTTCAAGGTCCTTCTCCCTGGATGTGTAGGTGTCCATATTTGGAAGGGCATCCTTGATTTGCTCAGATTCAGGTAGAAGATCAATGTAGTCGGCAAGACCCTTGGCTTCCAACCCATCTTTGATTGCACGCTCAAGATTGCCTCGATCATTCGTCACAAGCAAAATGTTTATTCCATACTCTTTCAAGTGGTCTGCATACCAGGAGCAGGTTCGTCTGATAGCCCTGTCATTTCTGTCATTGATGGACTCCTCTGGCTGTCTTTCAACGTAGGTGTTTTCATTAAACTCGTTGTGGAACACCACTACTCTCTTGCTGTCATTACTATCACGGCAGAGCGTCCGTAGCCTTGTGTAAATAGGGTACGAGACATTCCTGATTTCATCCAATGCAATCTGAGGAACAATCACGTCGAAAAAGCATGCTGGGTTTTCCAAAAGGTCGATGGCCTGTAGTACAATATTGGCATCCAATACCACGTAGTGCTTACGACCATCAGTCAATTTTTGTGGTGATTCGGATAGCACGAACGTAGGAAGCTCGTTTTTGGCATCAGGGACAACGATGTCAATGCACTTCTTGCAAGCTCTGGATAAGCACGGTATGTCATTTCTCAAATAGTGCTCTCGCACAATCTTAGTAGCGCCTCCATTGCGAGATCTGACGAAAACTTTCTGGGTCACGGTAAGACCGTCCGAGAGTCTCTTCCTATGAAGGACCATCGTACACAGCTGGGATAAAAGCTTTAATAGTCTATAGAAGAGTCTTCAACCGGTGTTTTACTGGTATTTGCAGTACATAGATGATGACGATGAGCTTGAACTCTTGATAATTAATGTAAAAAACTCGCGTCACCGAATACGAAAACAGCTCAGAGTGATGATGGGCTAGTAGAGCTAGCCAAGCTTTGGTTTTGGGCAATGGGATTCTCTTTGACCGAGACCATGAGATAGAAATCTTGGTGTTGGTAGTTGGCAGGTAACAAATCGTAGGATTCCAGCGCTGGAAACTTGGTTTTCAAAGTTTCCACAAGCTTTGCGACGCTGGAGTTGGTAAACTTGCCGTAGTACAGGACAGGCTCAGCGTCAGGGTCTTGGTCGTCATTATCTTGTCTTTCTGAGGTCACCGGTAACATTAGGGCATTCATGCGGTCAGCAGGGTATTTTTCTCGTAGGGACTGAATATAAGAGCTTTCCTCGAAGCTTGTGGCTGACACCAACAAGAATGTGAGAGCGACTAAAATAGTTTGAAGGCAGATCTGCATTGTGGAGTTTTCACAAAGTTTGTTTTTTCTGATGTCGTAAGCTTGTAGTTTAGGGTGTCTGGTAAAAAATATGGTTTCCGGGAGATAACCAGATCTCTTTTATACGTAAGTGTGAAACTCATTCTACGATGCATTACAACCAGTTAAGCCAATTGTTTTTCTTGGTGAAACTTTGTCTGTGATGCAAAACTCTCGAGCAGACGCAAGTGAAACCCAAGAAGCGAAATTTCTGTAGTTTTGATACTCAATGCGAAGAATATAATTTCGATATTGTATTCACGTCTGATCTGCGTGAAAGGTTTTCAACCTCCCAAAGAAAAAGAGCGTGGCACACAAACGTAGGCTTATATTCGACACGCAATAAAATCAGGGCATCTTAGCTGGCACTTTCCACATGACTTTTCATTGGGAGACGGGATAACTGATCGCATCTGCTGTCCAGCTGGCCCACTCAAGTGATGAAGATTTGAACAATGCTGGTGAGCTAGCTCATCGAATAGACAGCAACGACGGGATCGTTGGTAGTGATCTGGTATTTATGTGACATTTGGCAAGATGTGTGGAACAAGCAAGTTCAAAAATGCCGTAGTGACCTGATAGCTTATTCCTCTTATAATATCGGTATACCTACCTGGACAGTAGCTCTAAACTCTCCTGGTTGGTTCTCCGGATGTTAATAAGTAGCATCGAAAAAAAACACTTTTCACGGTTTTTTCTTGACTGAGCAATGGCTCGTTGATCCCATCCAAATAAACCGTACTTTGTTTCTTCCCTTCGATATGACCATGTTCTACCAGCCTTGTTCTATTTTCTATTATAGACGGCGTAATTCGGTCTCACCAACATCATATTTCTTAGCTTACACAGAACAAAAAGCAGAAAAAAACATCAGTCCAGGTTTTAATTCTACCTCGCACCATACTTTTGGAGCTTGATTCCGTATCCTTGATCTAGTCGGCCCGTTGTCTTGAAGCTAAATCCTTCTGGCTAAGAGAATCTTTATACCGTAGCCTTCAAGTCATGTGCATCTTTTCATGTCGCTTTCTATAATAATTATCATCTTCAATTAAACAATTTGATCCACATCGAACTCTAACCATTTGCCACCGATATCCAGCATTATACTTCAAAATCTTCGAAGGATTCGCATCAAACCAACCATGAGTCTTGAATGTATGTTTTCTCTCGACACCGCAAAGCATTGTCCACAATCTGCTTCATTTACTAACTTTCTGCACCATCAACAGTCAATGTTAAGCATGCCGGAAAGGTGTACCCTATAAGTTTGGACCAGCAGGCCACAGGATCTGATCTGCTACTTAAGGTGGAAGAAGTTACCCAAGTACCTCAGACACGTCAGAAATACATGTTGAAGGGAGGACTGGGCGAAGACACAGTTTTGTCGAACGTTATAAAAAATGGCCAATCGGTGATGGTTTTGGGTACTCCAGATGCGAATTTGGTCACTAAACCCAAAAAGGAACAGAAATTCGTGGAAGACTTGGACGAAGGTGCGCAATTCCAGCAATTGTCACAACTGCCGCCAGGTCTGAAAAATTTGGGTAACACTTGCTACATGAATTCTACCCTTCAAGGTCTGTATAACATCGCACCACTTCGCGAACAGGTGCTGAGTTTTGACAAGCCAGCCGCGAATGATGAGAATGCAGCACACGTTCGTCTTGTGGCAGAGCTTAAACGCTGTTTTCAGGCACTCAGAGACAAGAAGGAAGAGTCCGTAACTCCTATGCTTCTCTTGGCGATGCTGAGAAATTGTTACCCACAATTTGCGGAGCGTGACGACCAGTCTGGGTTCTTCAAACAACAAGATGCGGAAGAATTGTTTACTCAGATCTTCAACTCTTTGCAAATAGTTTTTGGAGATCAACTCACCCAGAAATTCCGCATCAACTTTCAAACCACTATCAAAGACACTGGCAATGAACAAGACGTCACTGTGAAGAATGACGACAATGACATGAAATTACAGTGCCATATTTCGGGTACAACCAACTTTATGAAAAGTGGCCTATTAGAATCTCTGAACGAAAAGATCGAGAAAAGGTCCTCAGTTACTGACGTTAATTCCGTTTTCTCTGTGGAGAAGAAAATCACGAAACTTCCTGAGTATCTCACGGTACAGTACGTGAGATTTTTCTGGAAGAAGAGTACTAACAAGAAGTCTAAGATTCTAAGGAAAGTCGTTTTTCCTTTTCAATTGGACGTTAGCGATTTGCTTGAGGCTAAGTACGCTCAGGAAAAGATCAAGGTCAGAGAAGCACTTCGTGAAGTAGAAAAAGAGAAAATTGAGGACGATCGTGAAACGAAGAGGCGCAAGACGAATGGCAGTGATCAGGACGACGAAACATCAAAAACAATGACTCCAAGGGAATTGGCAGAGACGCAAGTTGCTCTCGAGGAGAGCAAAAGGGAGAAATGGAGACAAGAGTACAAGAAGAGATTCCCCACTGACCTCGCACAGGGTGAAAACCCATCTTGCGTTTACAATTTGGTAGGTGTCATTACTCACCAGGGTGCCAATTCGGAAAGCGGCCACTACCAGTCTTTTATTCGTGACGAAGACGAAGATAAATGGTACCGCTTCAACGACGACAAAGTATCGGTCATTCCCAAGGAAAGAATAGAGGCTCTAGCCGGAGGCGGAGAAAGTGACAGCGCTTTGATTTTGATCTATAAAGGCTTCGGCTTGTAAGGTAGCGAAAGCGACACATATTGCTGAAAGATGCACATATCTAAATAAAGGCATTATGATGGCATGTTTTCGTTTTTGCTTGATAAATCTATTTTGAATATACAGAAAGATAATAGTTTTGGGGGGGATGGCTCGAGGCTACTCAATGCTGAGGGGTGGTTGCTCATTGACCTAGAGCTAATTTTTTGAAATTTTGCACCTCCTCAAAACAGTTTAGCGGCTGGCCTTCGTTGTCTCGTAAACATTTGGCAAGAGTCTCTTTGCTCTGTTTGAGATCCTTGTTCGCCAATTTCTTGGCCTGATTTTCTTTGATCTTGCTCAGACGCTCGTTGAGATGGGAGATTTTGTCGCTCAAAGCCTGGGAAGAAACTTCTTGGTTGGACTGGTTGTTGTCCGAAAGCAAGGAGGTGTTGAGCTTGTCCTCGAATTTTTTCAGCGTTTCTTCTTCCAATTGTGTCAAACGCTCTGAGACTCTCTGTTCAAGGTATTTGCTTGCCAGTTGTTGTCTGGCATAATCGGCCTCGTTTGACTGTTCTAGCTGGGCAAGAAGCGTCGAGCTGAAATCGACTTGGGTTTTTGGCGTGAAGACTTTCGTCTCTACCGATTTGGAAGGCTGCGAACCCATGCTTGATGCTGTAGTGGCGATGAGGGTATCCGACGAGCCCGAGACTTGAAGACATAGCTAGTTTGACGATCCAATCAATTTTAGTCTTCTTTATATCATTATATACGTACACGCTTGCTCACCTAAACGCGTTAACAAACTCGAGAAAAAGACTGACCATCAGAGAGAATTGTCGGCATTTGAGAGAATTTGTGGTAGACGTTCAACGAAACGGTTTTCTTGTTTTTTGATGCCAAGATCTTATCAATGATAGTTTACTTTTAGAATATTGAAGCTTCTGGGGGTCACGTGCCCTGGCCTTTCAAGAGCGATCACATCAAACGGGATTCCAGAAGACGTTTCAGGAATTCACTTCAGAATAAGCGTAACCTGGTGTTTCAAGTAGACAGGGCGTAGCTCGAGAGGCTACTTCAACTTTTTCTGCAATATTAATGAAACCACCACCCCCCCCTCCCTTTCAGGCGCGTGGTTGTGAATGACAAAAGCAAGCTACCAAATTATAAGCGGCAGTCATGAGCAAAGAGCTACTAATACTACTACCATTACCATCCCATGACTTGGAAATTCCCTTCATAGCTTCATGTACATACCTATTTACGCACAGTTCTCACTTCTGACACGTGACCCATCTCTCTCTGCGTTGTTTCTTTTCTTTCGTCCATTCTCGCATATCTAACATCACGTGATTTTCTCATGCAGGGTCGAAACTCAGGAGAAAAACGAAAATAGATTTGATAAACAACCTGATATAATTATAACAAACTAAAGCTTCGAGAATCAATAACTTTAAAAGCCTATCTTCATACAAAATTCAAAATCAAGCTACCAACCACAAAACTCCATTTTGAACACACACAGCGGCTAGTTTCATTACACATTTGCAAGCGTGAAAACCTACCTTCAAAACCAGTTCAAAAGCTTTTCAGCGTGCCTCTTTCTGTGTCAGTTTGTGAGCTTAAAGCTTGTTAAAACACGCGTTAGATCTTGTTTTAAAGTTGAAGAATTTCAAAAAATAAGCAACTTTTTCAGATCGACTTTTGTCTCCCACAAATGGCTAGGATATTCGGCGTGGGCGTTGCAAGCGCTCTCGCTATTGTGCAGTTCGCTGCTTTAGCGTTTTTGATCATATGCTGTGTGACGGCGCCGGTGTTTAAACAGATTGGAATCGCGAAAACGAGCGATGTTGTTTTTGGAACTTTCGGGTACTGTGAGAAGGGTGTTTGCTCATCAGCAGCAGCCAATTATCACCCAGAAACCATAGACACGTCGGAAACCTGGAAAATGAGCACGTCAGTGCGTAGAAAACTCGGCAGAATCCTCATCATCATGCCTGTCGCTGCAGGGCTCACGTTTTTCGCGATGGTGGGCACCATTGTGTCACAAATCGGTTCCTTAAGCGCCTCTGGTGTCTGCCTGGTGTTTAACGTCTTGCTGAACGTCATAGCATTTGCTGCCTCTGCTCTGATGTGCATAGTAACGTTTCTACTGTTCTTCCCAAGCATCACGTGGTGTGCATGGCTTCTGATCCCAGCTGCCGCTATAAACCTTTTATGCGTTCCATTAGCGTTTGTTGCACATTCACTGGGATCTGCAGACGACGCTGAGCGAGACTTTGACTCTACCAATAGCCCCAATCTTACTAGATTGGACCAAGACGACGCACCCGACCGCTACAGCTTGGACGATTACAAAGAAAGTGCCAAGTTTGGCAATCACGACAACGCTTTGTACCGTGAAGTTTACAAAGGTCCTCAAATTGTATCTTCGACTACCATAAACTCAGGTACAACCGACTCGAGGTCTGATCGGGACGCTTTCATAAGGGAAGGACCCAACAACAATACCGGCAGAAATGCGTCGCATACTCAGCTTGCATCTGCAGAACCCGTCCCTGACTTTTCATTTGAGGATACCTCCAACGTCGCAAAACCTTACTCGGCAATTGCAGCTTCTCACAACCTCCAAGGAATGCCTCAAGAAGACCTAGCATCAAAGCCAATCAGGGCCCCTCAAATGTTACGCGGCCCATCTACGACGTCATCTTTTTACTCACAAACCGACGGGGAGCTCTCGCGTCAGGGCACTCTCAGAACTACAGACTTACGTCCTACCTCTGCTCTAGACTTGCAGTCGGCCAAAGGTGTGAAAACTGGCCATGACGAGTTGCAAAACATCATCAATGGAGCCATACATGAGGAGGAAGATGAAGAGTTCCTAAAGCAGCAGACTATTGACCCAAGCGAACGGCCATCTCTTGATGACGATGATGGTATCAAAGACGACGATTCAGACTTTACTTCTGTTTCACAACGTGGCATCAACCCGAATTACATGTCTGCTATAAGTGGTAATAGGTTTGCGCAAAGGCCCGTACAACCAGCCGTGCAGCATTCAAGAGAGCCTCGTATCACTGAAGACCCGTCCTTTGCTAAGATGCCCAATCACAAGTATCAAGTCGTTCCTTCACAAGCACAGAGGAAGTTTGCGCCTCCGCCCCAGGGAATGGTACCTCAACACCATTACCAGCCCTACAATCCCCAGCAACCGGTCCAACCGTCTGGAAGAATCCCCAACTATGGCAGACCGCAAAGGGTTCCACAAGTCGCGAGCGGAGGTTCCGATGCGATTTTGAATACTAGTCCAGATTTCATCGTTCCCGGTGTACGTGGTCCTCAGGGCGCAGGTGGTCGCGTCGCCCAACGGCCCATGTATGCTGCCCCACAACAAGCAGCGCCTGCTACTATGTACAAGCCAGCCTACAAGAAACGGCTACCGAGACAGAATATTCCAGCCGCTTCAATGGCGAGAGACGGACCTTACAGTGGAATGATGTAAAGACTAGCCGGTTTAGTTTATTGTATAATATACCACATTTGAACTGTACTTACATTCGTGGATCCCCTTCGGAACTAACACTATGTCCAGCATCGCTTGCTGGTTCTTGAGGGACCGGTTGTTTACTGGTGTCGTCTTTTTTGTTACTATTATGGGGTTTTAGCATGACGAAAAAAAATAGCGCCAACACCACCAATGACAGCAAGAGTATAACTTTACATTTTTGAGTGCGTTTCTGGTAAGTTGTGGCTTTCTCAAGTTCGCGGTGGGCCCCTTTCAGCTCTATCACTGTATTTTCCAGATTGTAGTCAACCCGGTCTATTATGGTTCCTTGGTCGATCACCAAATCCTGCATTTCCCGAAAAATCGTGCTAACCTCTAAAACGCCTCGGGCTAACTGTGTTATTTCTTCTTCTCGTTCCCGCAAGAATTGGGCATTTCTTCCGTCCGTCTGTCTTTGAGTTTGTCGTTGCAGAGTCTGCCTAGAATAACTATCGATGTCTTGTTGTGCAACACCATCTTTTTCCTCCTCTTCGAGCACTAGAAGGGTACCTGCATCCGTGGATGAGCTCGGTAATGGCTTGAAATCGTCTTTGTTGAGAAACTTCAAATAATTGTTTTGGAGTAACCTAAATTTATTAGAGCTGAGCTGAATCTTATTAGCATAATTCTTTTCCAGATTATTCAAGACTATGAGAGAGCCCTGGTTGAGATGATGACCTTGGAAAATCCCGGAAGAGCTCGATGCTTTAAGCGTTTTCATAATAGAATAACATCGTTGGAAAAGCTGTATGATCCGAAGACCCAATTCTTCTATCTCTTGCTCGTCTTCAGTCTTGTCATCAAACCCTGGAAGAGAATTCTTGCGATACAGTCTAGTCAATTGTAGCATATGTGACTCCACATGCTCCAGATTGCGATCAATCTCTTCAGTGAGCTCAACGAAAAGAGTTGAAGGACTGTGAGAAGTGCCTCCCATGTCAATCATTGGATGTGACTCCTCCAATCCACTCTCCTCGATATCAAAAAACGAATCATTCTCATTGCCCTTTGTGCGCTGGTAGCTTCGCGGAAATGTTCTGCGGTATGACAAAAAGAGATTAGTTCTGTCCCGAAACATTGCTTCCTCCAAAAGCTGTGGCCTCCAAAATCCGAAGGAAAGATCAAAGGCTTCTCTTGGCTAATTGATTCACCCGCTGAGATAAATCAAGTGTCGCTTCAAACAAGTGATGGCATGCATCAACGCTTTAGCTTAGGGTACTTGAGAGTGTGGTCCCAATTTGAATTTCGAGTACTTGTGAACGAATCGTGACTGGTAATGAAGAACGAATCAAGTTTGGAAAAAACTTTCGGTTAAAGTGATCTCCTGCCAGATGAGCGACTAGAGGTTTGGGTCGAAGATTGAGGATAAAACCGGAGCACGTCAGTTAATAATCGTCAGCATATAAACCGTTGAAAGGAGCCTTGGTTCATTGGTCCTCGACCATCGTGGGCCAACTACGTTATGGAATCTGCCGAACTTACTGCTTTCTCGATTGTTTGGTGTACCTGTACCAGCAAATCGAAAGTAACGAAATTTGCTAGTATATCCCGAATGTAGGTTCGGGTCCATGATGTCTGACGCATGGAAATAATGTTATAATAGCTGTTAGTCCGCTGTTAAATTAAGATGGAGCAATTATTGTCGCTGTTGTTATAGTTATGTTATGCATAATGGATCATAAAGCTTTCGAACAAGTTAGATAAAACCTTAGACGAGAGAAAATGGTCACCTTCTGGAATTTTGGCTTATTTCATCATTGTCGTTGGTATAGTTATATGTTCTGTTCGTGTTCAAATTTTTCACGTTTGCGTTGCTCCAGAACGAGTTTTTTGGAGTTTAGCAGGTAAGATTCCTTCATATTCACTCTCATTGTGATACAGTAGGGTTGATTCGCGTCGAGTATGGAGGATTGTTCCTCTGAGTTGAAATAAATCATGTTTTCAATGAAGCTCGGAACATGGTTTGCAGAAAACATCTGGCCTGCATTTCTTCCGTTTTTTCGGTGGTAAGCAACATAAAGTTGCATTTCTGCGTTACTCAGCTCGACATCGCTTTTCAGCCTATAGAGCTCTTACAAAACTGTGAAAACCCTCTCAACACTTGTTAGTAACAAGAATTTTCTCTCATTCCCTGTAGCGATAAAAAAAATTTATGATACGCGCGTTGCACTAACTATCTGCATATCTGTTCAGTCGGCGTCTTTGTGGCACCGCATTTACTTCAATATTCAATGCCATCAGAAGGCCATACAAAACACAACTCCATTCGAGTGATATAAAACTGCCTCGATAGAGCTTCGTTACTGTACTTTACCTCAAACGTTAAAGACTGTAAAAAGAACCAATTTCATAACAGTATTCGACCAAATAGAACGTTGAGTCGTCACTCTTCCTGAAATTTTAATTTACTACATTTTGCCTATTATCTGCAGATTTGTAGCATTACCTCATGACCAGCTCTCTAACGGTCTCTATCATTATTGCTTGCAAAAGTCGAAGGTTCTGTACTGTAGCTGAATCTTCATTTATAAATGCTTGATATTAGCGTTCTAAATTAAGCTCCGTTTACCCCACTGAAGTACCAGGTTGAGAATACTTACAGTTCCGCAGTGCCAGAAGTTTGGTGGTATTTATGAAGGCCAGCCTCAATTGTTGAGTTGGCTCGAACCTCGGTCCTCAGCAAGCAGGCCACTGGAGAGAGCGTCAGATTGAAAAAATTCAAATAAGACTTCTTCACTTGTACGATCCGCTCCTTCCATGAATTGCCTAAGCTCGGTGATCGATTATTGCATCGATCAATATCCGCCAATTGATTGACTTAATGCGTACCGCATTGTCACTCACAGCCAATCTTTGTTCCGCAGGTTACCGGACATGAGCTTTCCTAGAAATCAAAGCGTGGACTTCCTCTCAAGGTATTCGATAAATGTAGCCTACGTTTAGTCTGAGACTTCTACAAAAAGCGTTGATGGCTACCTCTCACTACTGATCCAAAGCCGTTTACAAGTACTGTACTTACACAATCAGTTTTGCATAACGAGCCTAGAGATGCTATCATGCACCTACTTATTGAGCGGCAAAAAGCCTCGATCTTTGGATTTCAGCAAATATGTGAGCCATTGAATTATATGAAAAGCCCTAAAAATCATTATTAGAAACTCCAGTGCGCATAATTTCTTTCCATTCGATCGTTCTGTTTTGTTTGTTTCAGAATACCAAGCATATAGGACCTCATTTCCGATTCGTGCCGTAATATGATTTTTTTTCGTGAGCAAAGCGTTAAGACTAAATTCGATCAACACTAGAGAAAGGTTGTTCCTCCATTTGCTTGGAACTGTCACATTCAGTCCGTGTTTGACCAAGAGATATCAATCACGTGCTAGAAGACAAGCGACGGAAATTGTAGGAAAACTCAAGAAACATGAACTACGAGTGGACATTTATAAGCAACAGTAAGCCACATAGAGCGTATGAAACTTCCGATATGCGAGCACGACCTTACTTGTTCGTGTAATTCGGCGTACAGAACTCACCGGTGAGCAAGAAGGTTGTAGTGGTTAAAGAAGAGACTTGAAGTATGAAAGACATCGGTCAGGTGAGAGTAATTAATGTGTTTTTCTCGAGGGGCGACATTTGATGATTTGAGAAAGCAGATGAAGTGAAAACTAAAGATGATGTGTAATGGTTGACTAAACAATAAGGGTGGGAGCATGGTGAAAGCTAGAAAAAGTCTTTGCTTGATACAGGAACCAGGCGACAGGGCTAGGAGCAGCTTTATGTGGTTTGAAGTGCTAATGAAAACATGTTGCTCCGCAGCGCTGCATACAGCGAAGTTACGCAAGGCAAATCGGTTTTTAATTTTGCTACATGTGGAGATAGGGAATGAATAGATGCTCTCGAGTATGCATCTGTATTGATAAGGAGAGAAGACTTTTTGAAGATTTTAGTTTTTTGATCTCCTGGTCGCTGCTTACCTCGATTCAAACACCGTAGTATTCTTGATTATTTACTTTCGACTTTTTTCCGTTTTCCCAAGTTTCAAGATGCCAGAAGGTCATCCCACAATGTTACTGATATTGTGTGGATACACTGGGTCTTTTTCACGGATTAGATCACACTTTTTCAATTTTTGCACATTTTTTGTAGAATTTCAGTTTCAGTTTCATTTTTTTTGGTTTGCCTTTTTTTGTCTTTTTTGACCTTTTTTTAATTTTTATTTTGTTCAATTTTTTTTCATTCTTCCTTTTCTCCCCGAGGATAGTCAGTAGGATGATTGAGTTCACCCACCGCTATCCGCAGTTAGTTTTTTTTCCTCTAAGACTTTGAATTTTGTGTCTAACAGAAAGAGATTTATGAAAAAATTAATATGCCAAATAAAAGTTATGGAAGAATTACTTTGAGAAAAAAATGCTACTTTTTTGAAATTTATGAAGGGGTGTAGGGAAAGAAGAAATGGAGCATGGAAAAAAAGATTGTCAGGTACTTCATGCGAAAGCAGTTGAAAACAGATTGAAAGAATTTGGAAACAAGTTCTAGTAGGTTTGGAAGTTCGTAAAGAACATGGCCTCGTTGAACGGTGGAGAGAGTCACTAGGTGATCGTCAGATCTGCTTAGTCTCTATACAGCGCGTCAACATGGGTGATGGCGGCGAAGCTGTTGCGAAAGTTTGTTTGAGGTTTCTCACAGACAGACGCGATGGATGAGCTGCTTAGCCCGAACAGTCTTGTCTCGGACATCTAGCGATTCCGTGGGCAAGCAGTGAAGGATTTGGTGGATTACTAGCTAATAGCAATCTATTTCAAAGAATTCAAACTTGGGGGAATGCCTCGTCGAATAGCCGGTTGTTTAATTACATCTGTGATTCGATGAGTGTAACCTCCTCTCAAATCAATGATATTAAACTTGCTTCTGTGAAACATCGGATCAGTGTTTAGTGGAAGTTGATTAGAGGAAACTCAAAGAGTGCTATGGCATGATGGGCGAGTGAGAAGAAAGTGTAAAAGCTCTTTTCTTGCTTTGCTCGTTGCTTGTTCGCAAGCCAACCTTTAAAAAGTTATCTTCAAATGACGGTAGTTTGGTAGGACCTCTCTCGGGAGCGACTGCTTTTCTGCTGTTCAGATTAAAGATAGTTATCTGGTTGATCCTGCCAGTAGTCATATGCTTGTCTCAAAGATTAAGCCATGCATGTCTAAGTATAAGCAATTTATACAGTGAAACTGCGAATGGCTCATTAAATCAGTTATCGTTTATTTGATAGTTCCTTTACTACATGGTATAACTGTGGTAATTCTAGAGCTAATACATGCTTAAAATCTCGACCTTTCGGAAGAGATGTATTTATTAGATAAAAAATCAATGTCTTCGGACTCTATGATGATTCATAATAACTTTTCGAATCGCATGGCCTTGTGCTGGCGATGGTTCATTCAAATTTCTGCCCTATCAACTTTCGATGGTAGGATAGTGGCCTACCATGGTTTCAACGGGTAACGGGGAATAAGGGTTCGATTCCGGAGAGGGAGCCTGAGAAACGGCTACCACATCCAAGGAAGGCAGCAGGCGCGCAAATTACCCAATCCTAATTCAGGGAGGTAGTGACAATAAATAACGATACAGGGCCTATACAGGTCTTGTAATTGGAATGAGTACAATGTAAATACCTTAACGAGGAACAATTGGAGGGCAAGTCTGGTGCCAGCAGCCGCGGTAATTCCAGCTCCAATAGCGTATATTAAAGTTGTTGCAGTTAAAAAGCTCGTAGTTGAACTTTGGGCCTGGTTGGCCGGTCCGATTTTTTCGTGTACTGGATCCAACCGGGCCTTTCCTTCTGGCTAACCTTGGGGCACTTGTGTCCCTTGGCGAACCAGGACTTTTACTTTGAAAAATTAGAGTGTTCAAAGCAGGCGATTGCTCGAATATATTAGCATGGAATAATAGAATAGGACGTTTGGTTCTATTTTGTTGGTTTCTAGGACCATCGTAATGATTAATAGGGACGGTCGGGGGCATCAGTATTCAATTGTCAGAGGTGAAATTCTTGGATTTATTGAAGACTAACTACTGCGAAAGCATTTGCCAAGGACGTTTTCATTAATCAAGAACGAAAGTTAGGGGATCGAAGATGATCAGATACCGTCGTAGTCTTAACCATAAACTATGCCGACTAGGGATCGGGTGGTGTTTTTTTAATGACCCACTCGGCACCTTACGAGAAATCAAAGTCTTTGGGTTCTGGGGGGAGTATGGTCGCAAGGCTGAAACTTAAAGGAATTGACGGAAGGGCACCACCAGGAGTGGAGCCTGCGGCTTAATTTGACTCAACACGGGGAAACTCACCAGGTCCAGACACAATAAAGATTGACAGATTGAGAGCTCTTTCTTGATTTTGTGGGTGGTGGTGCATGGCCGTTCTTAGTTGGTGGAGTGATTTGTCTGCTTAATTGCGATAACGAACGAGACCTTAACCTACTAAATAGTGCTGCTAGCATTTGCTGGTTTGTCACTTCTTAGAGGGACTATCGGTTTCAAGCCGATGGAAGTTTGAGGAAACAGGTCTGTGATGCCCTTAGACGTTCTGGGCCGCACGCGCGCTACACTGACGGAGCCAGCGAGTATAACCTTGGCCGAGAGGTCTGGGTAAACTTGTGAAACTCCGTCGTGCTGGGGATAGAGCATTGTAATTATTGCTCTTCAACGAGGAATTCCTATCATCAGCTTGCGTTGATTACGTCCCTGCCCTTTGTACACACCGCCCGTCGCTAGTACCGATTGAATGGCTTAGTGAGGCCTCAGGATTTGCTTAGAGAAGGGGGCGACTCCATTTCAGAGCGGAGAATCTGGTCAAACTTGGTCATTTAGAGGAACTAAAAGTCGTAACAAGGTTTCCGTAGGTGAACCTGCGGAAGGATCATTA